AATAGTATAAATATATATATTATTAATATTTTATTATTTTATATTAATTATAAATTTAATTTAAATATTTATTAATAAATAATTTTAAAAATAAAAGTATTATAAATTATTAATTATATAAATAAAATTAAAAAAATTTAAAAATAATTTAAAAAAATTTAAAATTTATATAAAAATAAATAATAAAATAAGTAAATTAAAAAAAGTTAAAAAAATTAATTTTTTAAAAAAAAATATAGTTTATTTATTTTATAAAAATTAAATTAAAATTAAAAAATTAAATAATAAATTTAATTTTAAAACAATTAAATTATTTAAAATTAAAAAATAAATATTAAAAATTAATTATAAACTTTTATTATTTAAAAATATAAAAATTTATTTAATTTTTTATATTTTAATATTAAAATTAATATTAATAAATATTAAATTTATTAATAATATTAAACTTAATAATTATAAATTAAAATATAAAGTAAAATAAATTTTTAATTATAAAATATATAATAATATTATAAAATATTTAATTATATAAAAAAATTATAATAATAAAAATAATTTATAAGAATTAATTAAAAATTTAATAAATTATTAATAGTTTTTATAAAATTATTATTAATAAGTTTTAATAATTTAAAAAAAAAAAATTTTATATTATTAAGTAATAATAGCTAAATTATAAAATTAAAATTACTATTTTTTTAAACTAAAAATATTATTTTAAAAATCTTAATAATAGCTTAATTTATAATAGTTTAAGCTTTATTTTTTTAATATTTTACTTTTTTTAATTTATTTAATAAATTAAAACTATAATTAATTATTTTTATATTTTTTTAATAAAAATAATATTTTTATTTTTAAAAATAAGCTAAATAATTTAAAAATTTAATTAAATAAGCTTAAGCTTTAAATAACTCTTTTTAATATTAAAATAAATACTTTTTTTTAAGCTTATAATTATTTAAATAATATAGCTTTTTAATAATATAATTTATTAAATAAAGAATTAATAATAATAAATAAATAAAAAATATTATTAAAACTTTTTAAATATTAAAAAAGGTTTTATTATTATTATAAAAATAACTTTATTAAAAATAATAAAAATAATAATAAATATTATTAGTTATTATATAATAAAGATTTTTATTAATATAATAAAAGTAAAAATTAATTTTAAAATTATAAGCTTTAATAAAAGTAAAAGAATTTTTATAAAAGTTTTTATTAAATTTATTAAATATTTTAAGCTTTTTAATTTTAAAAAATATAGTTAATAAAAATAAAATAAAAAATATAAAAATTAAAAAAAAAAAATTTACTTAATATAAAAATATAAAGATATATAAGAAAAATATTTTTAAAAATAAAAACTTTAAAAAGAAAAAAATAATATTATAATTTTAATAAAAATAAAATTAATAATTAATTTAAAGTAAAATTATATAAAATTAATTATATAGCTATATAATAATAAAAATAAAATAGCTAAGCTATATAATTTATTAGTTTAATTAAATAAATTTATTTAAAATTACTTTATATTACTTATATTTAAATAATAATAAATAATATTATTATAGCTTATTAAATAATAATTAGTAAATTAAATTAAAAAAATAAATTATATAAAATATATTTATTATTAAATAAATAATATTAATTTAAAATAGCTTTTTAATAGTTAATTTAAGTATTTATTTTAAATAGTTATAAAGTTTTTAATTAACTATTATTATATATTACTTAAAATAGTAATATTTTAAGTAATATATAAAAATAATTAATTAAAAGCTTTATAACTATTTTAAGTTAATATTATTTACTTAATAATAAATATATTTTATATAATTTATTTTTTTAGCTTAATTTACTAATTATTATTTAATAAGTTATAATAATATTATTTATTATTATTTAAATATAAATAATATAAAATAATTTTAAATAAATTTACTTAGTTAAGCTAATAAATTATATAGCTTAATTATTTTACCTTTATTATTATATAGCTATATAATTAACTTTATATAATTTTGCTTTAAATTAATTATTAGTTTTATTTTTATTAAAGTTATAATATTTAACTTAAATTTAATAATATTTATATTAATTTAAATTAATTAAATTTAAATATATTACTTAAAAAGTTAAAAAAAAAAAATTAATTTTTTTAATTTTTTATTTTTAAATACTATAAATAAAAATTTAAAAAAAAATATTAAAAATAAAATAAAAAATTATTTTAAAATATTTTTAAAAATATTATAAATAAATATATATTATAATATAATTATATAAATATTAATTAATTATTAAACTCTAATATTTAAATAATAAGAATTAAATAAATTAATATACCCTATTTTATTAATATTAGTTATAAAATATTTAATTATTTTAGCTATTTTTATAGCAATTAAAGCAAATTTTAACAATAGTATAAATATAATTATAAAAAGGCATATAAATTTACAAAATATAACTTAAAAACAATTATTAATTTTAAAATATAATAATAATAAAAAAATAAAAGTAAAAAGATTATTTAAAATTAAAAAATATTTAAAATTAAAAGTATTATTAAATAATAATATATTAAAAACTAATATAAGTAAGAAAAAAATTGGAATTTTTAATTTTTATTTATTTAATTAAAAGTTTTAGTTATTAAATAAATATATTAAAAAAATTATTATTATTAAAAAAAGCATTTTTAAACTATTTTTTTTATTTTAATAAAATTAATTAAATATATAGTAAAAGTATTATTATAAAGCTAATTTTTAGCTAAATTTAATAAAATATTAAAAAACTTATTTAAATAAAATCTATTTATAAATTGTATTTATATTTATATTTGTATTTACTATATATTTATATTTATATTTAAATTATTTATTTGTATTTATATTTATATTTATATTTAAAAAATCTCTTATATTTGTATTTGTATTTGTATTTGTATTTATATATTTACTATATAATTACAACTCTAGCTATAAGTAAGTTTTTTATAATAATAAGTATTTAATTATTATTTTAAAAATTAATTAAAATATATTAATAGTAAATCTAAGCAAATAAGTATTATCCCTTACTAAAGTAAGTAAAAGCTATATACCTTTATATAATAAGCAAAATCTAATTTTACTACTTTAAGTTATAAAAAAAATATACCTAATTAAAGGTTAATAATAATTTACAGCAATTAATAATAACAGTAACCTTATGAAAAGGTTATTAGTAAATACCTAAGCCTATCTACAAATTTTAGTAGTTAGCACAGGACTAACTCAACTAACAAGGGGGGGGGGGGCTGCACTTCACTTGCCACAGACAGCAGATTATGTCAAAGAAACTTGGCAGATCTCCCTGTACTTGGCAGAGCGATCGAATTTCTTGGCAAATTGGCTACATCACATGAAATTTTGTTGCTGCTCCTCTACTTCTCAATAGGTAACGACGGGTGATTGCTCAAGCTCGCTGACATATATTAGCCACTGTAACAACTGCGTTATGTACCGGATTATTTAAAGGATTTTATGTTTTCTATCGGGCAGTAACCACTCATTCAGTTTAAATCAACCTAATTAAGCTGAAAGTATGCGACGTAGCTCAAAGGAAACGCGACGAATTCTTGCCAATAGTATATCAGGGCTGGCTCCACTGCCCACACGTCTGCAACAAGACGTCCATTAGAAAAGTCGCTGGAGTCAAGGAAACCACGATGTGCTTCACGTGGCTGTGCTGCATAAGAGTCCAAGACCAACGCAGCGAATAGTGACCGTCGCCGTATTGGTGATTGTCGCACTAACAGTCACCCTGGAAGTGACGGCTGGGAGTGTCAAGGTAGAAGTGAGTGCTGGAAGCGTCAAAGTAGAAGTCGCGGCGGGGAGGGTCAAAGTAGTAGACCTTGTGACGGCCGGAAGCGTCAATGTCGACACGGATCCCGGAAGAGTCACAGTCGTCAGTTTCGTAAGAGCAGAGGGAGTTTCAGTAGCAGTCGTGGTCGTGGTCACCTGGGCCGCAGGCAGAGTCTGTGTGACTGTGGTCCCAGGAACAGTAATTGTCGAAGTGGCTCCAGGAAGCTGAGACCCTGGCAGGGTTACTGTTATTGCCTCGCATGTCTGCGAGCCTCCAACACTTGCCGTTGGTGGACTGATAGTTACCCCTGCCGATAGGGATGCTGATAGGGAAGTTGGGATGACTGAGGCAATGCAAGCCAGATCATTGAATACGTATGGACTGGATGGGTTCGGGGTGAGGTTGTCGGCGACAGGGGCGGTATACAACAAGCAGTATCCCGCGCCATATGCGAAAGAGGCACAGCCTTGTGCTCTTCTGCAAAGGGATGCACAGCCGGTTGAGGTCACATCGGTGGCGTTGCTGCTAACATAGAAGGCCGCCGGGTTATTCTTGTCGTAGCCATTGTTGCCGCAGAGTGCGTCCCTTGGCTGCACAGGCGAGATCACATCTCTTCGATGCGCAGTGGGCTTCGCATGAAGGCATGGTAGAAGAGATGCCAGAGCAAAGATTGTTCGCATTTTTTTCAAATGGCTTTTTTGAGATGAAGAATATCTTTTTGAGTGTAAAAATTCAAGTGAAGGTTTGAAAAGTAACGCCCGTATCAAACCCTTTGGCGGAGGCGTGGTAGAAGTATTTGTAGGATCGGGGACTGACACTTGTCATGCGGATCACAGAACCATATTGCATCTAGCCCTTCCATTGAGCATATGGATTTCTTTGAGTCCTACGAAGTGTTCTGCACGATACTTGGACTACAGGTCAACATTGGCCTATCGTTGGAGATAACTTTCCGTGCCATCCTGCACGGGCTAGCACTGAGAAGCGGTGCCATCCTTCTCCGCGGATCACGGCATTGAAAATGCCGGAACAGACTGGTCCAGATCGTCTTGTTCGTGAGAGTCTGCTTTGTCCTTCAAGAGATCCCCACATCAACACTTTGACAATGTTGACCATTGCGCGGGATCATCCGATTGCCGACGCTGATTATCCGCCAATCCGCCAACCCGCTTCTCCTATCGAGACTAAATAGGTGAACTTCAAAACTAGGTCGGTAGGTGGCCACTAAAATTGACCATCCGCTCAAGTCTAGACACGTTCTCTTTGTGCAACGCTACTAGGCCGTGACTGAAATTTTGACCAAGACTTTAGGTGGACTATGGACTCGGGATCTTCCAATCCGTAGAGCCTCAGTCATCGCTGCTACACACCAATTGCACTGAAACAATCGTCCTTTAATAAGAAAACACATGATTTATGGACGGCAACTACAGGTTATGAATCGTCACATGCAGTAAATTAGCACTTGGATGTTTGATGTCACCACCGGAATCTCTGGCTCCCAAAAGCACCATGTCAAATTTGAAGGGGCCAGTTTGTGGAGAGCCGTTTGTCTGTATGGTGCCTAAAATAGCCGAATACTTTCAGGCTCATGACAGTCCTAGCCTCGCCCCATAATCGATATGAGCTCCTGCCGCGAAGGTCCTGAATTGGAAGTTAAATCTAGGTTCGAGAGGCCCGACTTTGTCTTTTGGAGCGGTGCTTCCAATCCAGAGCACTCTGATTGCAAGACGCTGTCACGGAGAAGGTAGCCAGATTGCTAAATGATAACTGAACGTGACCTTGTATAGGCCGCAAGCCTATAAAACTTCAAACGTGATTCTGAATTTAGTATGCTTTCGAATAGTTATTATGTTGCGCTTCTGATTTCTCTAAAAGCAGGCAAAAGCGTCGGCTTATGACCAGATACCGTCGACGTTTGCTGCCTCCCAGCATCCTAAGTAGGGCTCAGTGAAGTGTATTGCGTACGGAATCCTTTTCAATTCTGTTTCTCTGCTTGCTTCTCGTTCTTGCGCCTCTCGTGGCTGGACTGTCCAGCGTTCCTCACAGCTTGCTTTTGACGCATCCTGTTCGTCTTGTTCTTTCTGTCTCTCGCTTTATTTCTTTGCCTTCTCACGTCTGTCCTTACTGCTCTGGCCAGAAGCCATCGTAGCGTCTTCCAGATCATCCTGGTATGTCCCTTCGCTGTCGCGGTTGAAAGACATGGTGAAGCCGTCTTTATGACTGAGTCAAGCCAGCTGGGTTGTAGTGGTTTCATTTAGCGCCATGCATAACTAAGCCACTCCCAACTTGGAACCAACACGCTTCGACGTGCCACATCAGCAGCACTGAGATCACAAATGGCGAGTTGTCGGCCGTGTCTTTCACGTTCTCAGGCAGTTCACTTCCTAGCCTTCAGCGTCGTTCCATCTTCGTCTTAATTGTCTCGTTTCAAAATATGCCCTAGCAAGCACAATACATGATGGAAGCCCGGGAAGACTCTGACAACCTGGCCTGGGACCGTAGCGACGAAATCTGGGAGGAGGCACTGAGGCAGGTCCGACTGTCATCTCAGTGTCGCAAAATCGAATCTTTCGCCGCGAGAATTTCCGGAAAACCTGCGACCTTGGTAACCCCACTGATTATTGGGGGCTTCAACGTGCTATATCCTATTCGACTTGAAGGCTCTTCCGCTCCTGTTCTCGTCCGCCTGCCCTGCCCCAATCAGGCCGTCTTTCCTGAGGAGAAAACAGTTGCAGAAGCCGCAACAGCTACGTACATCGCCCAACATACTCAAATTCCGGTTCCCGAAGTTTTTCACCATGGTGTTGACTCTGATATCGGACCTTTCATGATTATTCAAGATCTCGAGTCCCGACGAGGCATGGGTCAAGCGCTCGAGGCCCCCCGCGAGGATCCCAACGAGACAGCCGTACTGGATCCTGATATCTCTGAAAGTAAGCTCAAGGCCCTGTACGTCAAAATGGCAAGGTGTGTGCTACAGCTTGCACAACCTACCTTTCCGCGCGTAGGAGCTCTCGCTGAGGCGGGTCCTAAATCTCACTGCGTGATGGGACGACCTATAACTTTGAATATGAGCAACATGGTCCAGCTTTCCAACATTCCAAAATCAACTTTTCCATCCGAAGGCACCACGTATCAAACGGCTGATGCGTGGTACGTGGCCCTGGCCGAGATGCAAATAGCCACGCTCCTTTTCCAGCACAACGACATGGTATCATCGGAGGATGACTGCAGGACTAAATATGTGGCTCGCCAACTATTTCGCAGGTTGGCCAAACAAGGCCGGCTGGCAACGTTCGGGTTTGCTGAAGACGACTGGTCTGCCCGGTCCCAGCACGCTCGTGCGACGTTGCCGATGCCGGACGGTTCAGGCTCCTTCCGCCTCTGGGCTGATGACTTCCGACCGGCCAATATCCTTGTTGATGGAAATGACGAGATTATCGGAGCAATAGATTGGGAATTCGCCTATGTGGGACCAACGCAATTCGTCTTGGATGCGCCTTGGTGGCTTCTACTGGACGTGCCTGAGATGTGGGATAACGGTATCGACGATTGGGCCAGCGTGTACGAGAGACGTCTGGAAACATGGATTTCGGCGATGGAACAGGCAGAAAAAGATATAAGTCCCAGTTCTTTGCTCCTGTCGGCGTATATGCGAGAGAGCTGGGAGACGGGCCGCTTCTGGCTCGACTATGCTGCTAGAAAGAGTTGGGCGTTTGACACTATCTACTGGAAATACCTGGACGAGAGGTTCTTTGGTGAGCGGGGAAGGGATATCCCCAAGAAGGATTTGTGGCGGGCGAGGGTGCATCTTCTCAATGAGGATGAGAGGGCGGCCATGGAGCCGCTGGTACAAACGAAGATGGAGGAGTCGAAGGAACGAGTGTTGGTCGAGTGGGACGCTGAGGCAAGGCGGCGCTTGTCTTCATTCCTATTCGACTAAAACTATAAAAAGAGCGAGCTCAGCCGGCTTACTGCTTGATTAATCTATATAAAGCTCATGGATAACCTCGACGGTGCCAATACTGCGCAACAGCTTCCACCTCATCCTCGTGTCTCGTCGGCAAGATCCTTATGATAAGGCCACCGGAGCTCACAACCTCCTCATAAAGCTTGTGCTCCTCAAAAATGACCAAGCGCATCTTGCAGTACTCCCAGTACTGCGGATTCCACCCAGGCTCTGCCCAGTCCAGGATACCCGTAATCGTCCGAGGCTGCTGGTACTTAGTCTCAACATAGCAAGTGGATTATCTGATCCCTGTTGGGTTCTAGAAATGAGAAACCACAAATTATTTCACGTCTAGCAATAGCACAGGCTGTAAATGTTCCTTGCGTCGTAGCCGGACGAGTTGTGATATACAACTAATTATCATGTGGAGTGTAGACCTCAAGTAGCTGCACGTCTGACATTGTGGATCAAACATGACGCTGATTGTAGCACGATATTTAAGCGTACGCTTTATCTACTTCATGAAGTGGTTGCACGCTAATGTTTAAGTCAATTCCCCTGCTTGCGGGAAACACTGAAAGATTTATTCAAAATTGACATACAGGGATTTCGACTTCTGAATCCTGGCATTGAGCGTTGGTGTCGTAGTCAAAATCTTGCTGGTAATTTGTCACCTCAGCCCCTCAGGAAATCCAGGTCCCAATTTCTGCATGACCGCTGGCCCTCCGCCTTCCTTTCTGCCGCTGCCCTTGACAATTTCCATGCCCAGAACTTTCTCATAGAATGACACACTCTTTTCCCAGTCGCTTGTGAAAAGCATGCTTCTCCGCAGGTGCGGCATCGTCTCGAGAACTTCTTTGACACATCGTAGAACCCATGACCCTAGTCCTTGACCTTGGTACGAGGGCAAGACGTAAACATCTGTCAGGTAAGAGAAGGTACTGAAGTCTGTCACACAGCGTGCGAAGCCTATTAACTTCTCTGCGTCCCGATTGTCTTGTTCTCCGAGCTTTTCGAAGCCGATCGGGCGCGTGTTGGGGACGTCGGCTGTAGGTTTGGTGTCGTATAAGCCAAAGCAGAGGGAGCTGTCTAGGGTCTTGCGCATAATTTCTCCAGAAAGTGGGTTCGCCCAGTATACAAGATCTGACGCAAATGCCGAGTTGAGGTCCGCAATTGGTATCAGCAAGGGATCCGTGGATATAAGATAGGTGTCGCGAGTCCACGTGCGGTGCAGCAAAGGCTGCTGCGTGGTCTGCATGCTGAGGTAATTTGACTGATGAGACTAAAGGTTTATATCATGAAGTGATTATTATGGATTCCTGTTTTAGACTGAAGGGTTCAAGTAAAGGGCATTGCGTTGTTACACGGTGCAGCAATCGCAACTTATAAAAAGCCAACAAGTTGTGCCCAGAAACTATCCTCAAGGCCAGAAACGTTAGCCGGCGATTCGCGTGACTCATATGTGACGGCCCACATGGAACTGAATCAGCTAGGTTATCGGCTGGATAGAACCGGCTAGTACAGATCATCGTGATCAAATAACTTGTTGCTCGCAATGCAGGGTACCCCTCCGAGCATGAGGATCCGAGGATATCACCAGGTCAGGGAGGTTTGATATCCAAGTAGTGGGGCCAGCGCGTTGTTAAGCTTGTGACACACCTTCAGGCGATCTTGCCGCACAAGTCTGTCCACTCTGTCACACGCCTTATAAGAAATCATAAATTACCGATGGTACATCTTTATGATTGATTACAATTAGAACATATGACGCAGGAAAGATTAGTTGATATACTGCAATGTGAAGCCCAGCTACATATATCCTTCAGTCCACATGCAGAGCGACGTCGATTCTTTTGGCCTCTGCAATGGACCTCTCGAGTCTCCTCATCTGTTCGTCAGAAAGGTCATGCATTTGCTCTCCAACCATACAGCTCATGTCTTCCCTTGTGGCGCCTTTTTGCCATTCTCCATCGACCATCCACTTGTCAGGAACGGCATAGTCGTGCTTCATTTCAGGAATCTTCTTGTTCTTGAGCAGACCGCCGTTGTACCAAATGAGATTCTCTTGCTCATCCACATGAGCAATCACGAAACTGCATACCTTCTTTGTCGAGGGATCGTCCCGCTGTTCCCGGTTGTCTTCTCTGTTCTCTGCCTCGGACTCGAGCTCAGTCTCCCATCCCACTATAGCACCGTAGTGCTTTTCCATCTCGTAGGAAGACCCAGCCAGCTCAAATCCCATCCACCATGTCTCTTTGTCGCCATATGTGATTTTGTATGTGACCTCTTCTCGGACGTCGTACGAGTTCTGCCAGCAGATATGAAGAAGGCCCATGAAGACATCCGTACGACTCTTATCAACAACCACTACGCCCGAGTCTCCTTCCTCGGCGTACTCCTGTGTCCAGACCAGGGATGTGTTGAGTTCGTCACTCGGCCGCTTGATTTGGCTGTGCCACCATTGATGCCTATCCGAAAATGCATGCTGCCAGAGTAGGCGATCTCGGAAGAGGAGGGCTCCTGTATGCTGAAATCCAGAGTGGTCGAGAAGAACCTCCGGCTTCTGCAAGAACACGGCGTCGGAATCAAGGAGGACGATCTTCTCGAAATTGCTTCCTAAAACCGCAAATGGCTTGATAGCCCACCCTCCTTCTTGAAGCTTGAGTGTTGAGTCATCAAAGACAGTCAAGATATCCAAGAAATCGAGAGCCTGGCCGCTGGACGCAACGAGCTCCGCAAGGAAGTGTCTGTTGGACGCCGACAGGTCCCTGTCACCGGCGTACACAATTTGTATTGGCAGTCTGGAGTTCAATACATTCCGAAGCGAAGATATAAGATGAGCTGCAAATCGCACGTTGTTGTTGCCAGCAGGAATCACTATCCCCACCGAGCCAGGCTCAATTGAGGAGCGTAAATTCGTTAGTCCACCTGCTGAATTCGAATTTGTTGGCGGCCCTCTTAGGAATGGGAACAGCAAAAGGGCGGTTTTGTCGATGATGTCCAGCAGGGAGCTTCTTTGAGACGGAACATGGTTGCTGTCCGCAGACTCGAGTAGGTCCCTAAGCAATCGAGTTCGTCGGCCGAGCTCACCGAATCGGTCCTTGTAGGGAGGCACCAGTGGGTAATCCTCAAAATACTGGACCAGATCCGCGGTCAATTTTGGTTCAAAGTTGCTGATTATAACCCCAGGAGAAGGGCTCGAAGATAAGGTTTCAGAGAAAGTATTGGATCGCAAATCAAATGAAGGTTGGTACAGATAGACAATGCCCAATAGGAAAACTAGGCCCGTGAGAAGAACGGCACCTCGCGGCATGTTGAGACTCAAAAAAGCCATTTCCAAAACGGTGACAAGGAAACAAATCGAAGACAAAGACGACAGTCACGTTTTGGTGTAGGTTGGAAAGATGCACATTGTCTTTCCTCACTATTGGCACTCGTGTGATAAGGTAGTGCTTCAGGTGGGCTACAGGGACAATGTCACGGGGCGTACCCGCTCTATACAGTAAAAGGCGTCTCTTCGACCGAGTCGTGGCTTTCTGCGAAGACATGCCCCGCAGCCCCCCCTTTCAAGCACAAAAGAACCATACGGATGCTTTTGAACGCTTGCCAATTTCTGTCATGGCTCTTTTTTTCCAAGCCACAACACAGGGATCTCGTCGGCGTTCGAGTTGCCGATCGTTCAGCTCGGGAGCGGGTGGGTGGAGAAATTTTGCAATTTGACTTTCAATTCTACCAACAGGTTACTACCAACATTCATTTTGTAGCCAATGAAGCTTGACGGTAGGATCAAGTGTGGCGCGAATGAAATGAGCGGAGCGGTGTCGGAATATTCAAAGTTGTAGAGCAACAACCTTTGAATTTTGGCACGCGGGCATGAAGCTATAAGGGGAACCAACTTCTTTTCTCGTAAGCCCATATAGGCTCACTCTTGTGATAGATTGGCATTTGCTAGTATTTGGAGACGAGAGGGACTACTCGAACGCACGTGGATTCGTTGGGAGAACGCGAAGTACCAGGGGGAGCTGGAAGGAGGGAGTTGACGCGATCCACTGAGCGGCTGAGTGCATTCGCAGGTACTTTTGTAGCCGCCGAGATCCCTGAGACTTTCAAATCTGAGCTTGCCGGCTCCATTCCCCTGGTCCCGCTGCTGAAAGGACCATGCTAGCATAGCTAGCGGCACAGTCAGGAGGATCCGTCCTGACGCTATCTTGAAGCGCCGTCGGCTTCAACGACCGAGTCATCAATGTCGCTGGGTGTGGAATTATAGCCAGCGTCTGCACTAGCATAAATGTCCTTTATCTTCTATGCATCCTGAGCCTCGCGGAGTGTCTCCCGTGCTCATGGATTTATTCCGTCAGCCTTATTGTAGATCAACCTGTCTTCGGTGGGCAGGATATGCTCGTCATGTGATTCAGCCTGACAACTAGATGAAAACTCCACTTCGGGCCGGATTGGAACCAACAGCAGCCCCTCTGATAGCGATCCACCTATCAATTCCGAAAGGTTTCCTTCCAGCCATACTCGAAGGGCAGTGTATTGCCCAGCATCAAGCGAAGCCGAGAAATGGATCCGTTACAATTTTGCGACACTGTGCCGTCCTGGTGCATCGCCCTGCCTCAAGTGGAACACGAAGCTAGGAGGGCCCTGTACAGCGCTTTCCCATGTCCGGTGTCGATGTGCATTGCCTCGGATTCTCGTGCTGCATCATGACTAGAAAGTCGAATATCTTCCTATGGGATGAGTAAAGTCTCTCATTTCTTCCCAACATGATGTTCTCGCGTCTCTGCACCGAAGACGACCATATCTAGTGCAGCTCTGCTACTCATGCTCAAGACCTTTACCAATGGGTGCTAAAGAGATTTTATCAGGGAGTTCCTCACTTTTAATCAGTCTCCTGCTTCTCAATTCTCTGTGTGCGCATCTAATCCGGGCTGATGGCACGGTAGGCATTGTTTGTTACGGCTACAGCGGTGCCAGCTATGTAAATAATACCAGATGTCCCGGATCGAACGCTTGCTGTGGCTACGAAGCGACATGTCTCTCAAATCGACTTTGCCACAACCCTGGTGATGCCGCGGGAACATACGTACGGGGTCCCTGTGCCAACAACGTTTGGGACGAGACGTGTGCTCAGGTCTGCCTATTCAGTAAGTATATCGGTCGCTTGACTGACAGCGATGAATTTCAATGCTAAACAATCACTTGTCCATAGATGAGACGATCCTTCAAGGCTTTCTACCACGTGTGTCTCAGTGTAGCGATGGGAGCTGGTGTTGCAGCAATGATGCAACATGCTGCAGCAACAGCCGTGGTGTCTTTCTTGACTCAGAAGGCAATACTGCCACCACCGAAGCAACGACTACTATCAGCTACCCTCCAGTGTCGGGAACAGGTCTCAGTCGCTATGTGAGACTCTCTTTTTCTTTTCTGCCTTTTATCTTCTTCTCTAAAGTCCTCTTGACCCTACGACTTTGATTGCCTCTATGCTTTGATAGCGGAATCGAGAAGATCTCCGTTGTTGTCGCGAAGCCCCAACTAATGCATATATGGTCAAAAGACTGAGACAATTTCCACACCGACCCTTTCGACAATTTCTGCCTCATCCACGAGCTCGAGCTCGACCACCTTATCCTCTGCGACATCACTGTCAACAACATCTGGCATTTCCTCCCCCACGTCCTCCGCTTCAACAGCCACAGATACCACTTTCGCCTCGACCTCTTCACCGAATCAAGATAACTCCGGCACCAAGGTTGGGCTGAGTGTTGGTCTAGGTATTCCACTTGCCGCACTATTGGCGGGAGGAAGTGTCTGGTGTTTCCTCAGGCGGAAGAAACGGCCCCAAGGCTCGCATCCGTCAGGATCAGATCCAGGTCTTCGACATGATTTTCATCTGTCGGGATCCGATGAAGGGCTTCAACATGGGTCCCATCTATCAGGATCGGATGAGGGGCTCCAACATGGGTTCTTCAAGCCGTCAGCGATGCCTCCTGCAACGTCGCCGAAGATCGAATTGAGCGGCGAGGGAAAATCAATTCACGAGCTGCAAAGTCTATCGCGTTCACCAGGATACCAACGCCATCACTATTCGGACTCACAGTCCCCAGACTTGCAGTCGCGGGATCATGTATCGTATGAGCTGGCATAGTGCTTTCAATATCCCTCACTGGAATGATTGATCCCTTGACGGAGCAAGCAGACAGTCGTACAGATCTGTTCAATTTTGTAAAGTAGATAATGCGATTTCGTACTCAATAATTATACAGCTGCGGAGAGCACCGCACGAGAGGAAACCTGGGTGTCAGTCTCCCTGATCTCGGGGCCCAGGCATTGACTTTGTGAAACAAATTTACTCATTAGTCGCCAGCATGCATCACACGGAGGGGCTGGCAAGTGGGCGATTATGTACAACCAGTGGTCACAGAGAGGCGGCGCGGTGCCACTCCGCTTCTCGCAATCCTACTCGTGGCATCTTCACACTTCACGCGGGCCGAAGCGACGAGCTACTGCATGGTCTGGCTCGATATAGTATCGCAAAATCATACAATTGCTGAAATCTTTGTGACATGTGTCATTGGCTAGTTCGACCATGGTCTGACATGGTCTCCGCACTTCAAGCGTTGTTGCTGATCAGTGGGTATGTCTCACAAAAGAGTCGAATCATGCCGAGAGCATCCGTCGACAAGAATCTCATCGGGATCAACGGGTGAACAGGTAGGCCTCTTCAATATTTCTTTGCGCAAGAGATTTCGCTAGATTATAATTTGAGGACTAGCCTCTTGCCAAGTCTATGGCATGAGAGCAAGAGGTGAGGCTGGCAACATCTGAGGTCACACTCGCTGGAATGGATCAACGTTTGACTTGATAGTTTCCCATAAGGTGTACGATTCTCGGCACAGAGATACAACATCTACTATAAAGAGAGGTGGGATACTTTCCCAGCTGGGGCAACATGGTCCAAGTTGCCAGCAAGAGACATCTGTCAAACACTCGGAAAATCGACTTAGTATACTGCGCCGAAGTCTTTCATCATGTTAATTAAAACTCTCTATCTCTCGTTCTGTCTGACTTGGTCAGTGATAGCAAGCCCAGTTTCGGAATCGGAATTGAGTTCTCGAGCGAGCACTACCGTCACGGCCAATTTCGACGACCTTACCCCAGTGGATGTTCTTTCCAGTGTCTTAAACGCACAGGAAATCGGCTCGTACAATGGCCTCCGCTACCAAGGATTCTGTACGTCTCTCCCAGGCATCAACATGAGACGAAGACACAACTGACGATCACGTCCCGCAGATGTTATCCAGCCGGGACTGTTTCAATCTTTGAGCGTGGGCGGCCTGCTCCCCAACAGTGGCTCCAACGCTGTTGGGTATGACACCCTCGGGTCACTCGACACAAACACTGCACTCATCACTCGCGTGATCACTTTGGAAAGCCGCAGCATCCTCAGACCCGCTACGCTCGACCTGCACTCGTTCTATTGGGGTTGCCAGCTGGGCTTGAAGCAATACGTGTTGACAGTACCCACTGGGTGCAATCTTACCATCATTGGCTCATTCGCTTTCCGAGAGGTGACGAGGAGGACGGTCCGGTATCAGCCAATCCTCATCGATCTGGTCCAGCCCATGAAACTGGTAGACTTGGGAGACCAGTTCACGGGGCTGGATACCTTGACCTTCATATCGTCGTATGATATCGGGCTGAATGGAGCGACCTCTTTTGATGATATTACTTACACCATCAATCGTTAAGTCAAGGGCTAATTTGGCAGTAGAGGATACCTTTCACTCCATGTTTGATTTACGTCTTGTATTGGCGATAAGACAGCTCAACGGGTTTACTTGGCTCTAGACGCGGAATATTATTGTGAAGTGACTCCTTGGCTTTCTGTGGACTTGCAAAGTTAATTGAATTCTATTTATCGTCTGCTGTACTGCTAGGCTTTTGCAATATTTGTAGTCCTTCCTAAGACAAATTGCTTTTGATCCGGACCACTGGCATTTTCGCCGAGTCTATGCTATCATAGGAGGTTCAAGGACAAGATACAATTCTTTCTAAACTCCGCCTCAAGTATTGTAAAGTGACGCGTGTGTATCTTCAGATCTACCTTCAGTGATGCAACTTCAGCCATATCTACCAGCCGTATTCAGAACAATCCTGATTCATCTGACTTGGCTGCGATACACTACAGTCACAATAGCCCGACTTTCACGCACAGCAGCGGGGTTACTGAGAGCCATAGCGGCGAGTAAGACTAAAACACACAAGCTTTTCGGTCAGGGAAAAACAAGCTCTTGCTTATCAGGACGAATTCTCCCTTCATTGCCGACATTGACACAACGTGGTTGCAACTGACAAGACAATATGTCAAAGCAACGATGGAGGCGAGCGGTGCACCCTTTCCTGGAATCGGTGTTGATCCTAAAATGCAACAGGAGGTTGATAATGAGAAACAAGGCACCCGAGACGATGGCAGAATAGCATCACCGGTCTGGCATGAACTTCGTCCTCCCTGTAGACCGTCCTTTTCAAACCCCAGATCAGCTCATGCCTGCCTCATGCTTTCGCAGACCCATTGACCGGAATCACAGTAAGAGATATAGGTCCACCCGGGCAACAACAGCTAAAGTTCATCTGTGTGCATCTATAGCGACACACACACACACACACACAAGCCGGTTTCGATGCCCATAAAATGGCACGTTGGACCACAACGGCGGCCTATGCGGAAAAACAGACTGGCAAGGTGAGAACGTGATCAAGAGCCCAGCGACACATTGGCACGGCGCCTCCTTTTTTCGTTGTAAACACCGCAACAGCCACGCAGGCCGAGCGCCGAGCGCCGAAGACACCGAGCACGAGGGCCGCAGGTCGGACCAAGACGCGTTCGCGAAACGAGGGTCGTCGGGGCAGTCGATGGGCAGCGCCGGGTTTGACCCATTATTTCATCATGGGGACGTCCTCGCCATTTTGGACGCTGGTCAAAAGACGAGGTCGCATATTAAGCTTCATCGCCGTTGCAGCCGGACATTCCGACATCACGCGAGCTTGCGTTCCAACTTGTCCCTCCACGAGGCTTGCTGTCATTTACTGTCGCGTTGTTCATACTTCTCTAGGTACTGTCAAATCACCACGTTCAACCAAACGATACCGCCTATGCTTCCATGCCCCTTGCCCAATAGACATTTTGACGAAATAGGCTGTAACACCAAGCCCATCTGCACCACATCGCGCCCATCGCGACCTCGGCAAGATCCGTTTTCAAGGCACGCAATAATTCGTTCAACTCTTGCTAATTTGAAAACAAAGCCAAAAAGGATATAGATTCACCTACCACGAAGATTAGAAAAAAAGCAAATTCCATGCCCCTCCGACTGTAGCCGCCAGTCCTCAACCCGGACCGGGCCCCTAGGGGTCGCTCAAGACTCTTTTGCCCAGGTCACTCCGACCGGACCCACACAAGAGTGGGTACCTTACCTTTCCCACCCCACTGACAGGCAGAAGAAGGGCCGGACGCAGATGCACCGGCCCGAGGACAGCTAGGAAGGACCACATAGTCTAACAAGCAGTCTCTTCTAAAAGCAGAAGGTACTTTGCAAAAAAGCCCAGACAGCAGAAATCCTCAGCGGCCTCTAGGACCCACGTTGCGCGTTCCAGAACATGTCTAGAAAGGTTCTTGACATCAGGCTTTCCTTGGAAAACGTAGAAAATTTAGGAGGCGGTCTCCACTTGGATACGCCCAATTCATAGTAACGTCACACCTGGCGTTTCTGTCACCAGTCTTGGTTGCAGTGTGCGCGCCTGATCGTGGGAAAGGCGGTGCACGGTGCAGGTGATATAGGCGGTAAAGGCTGAACGACAGATAATCACCTGATTTCTGCGCTGTTGGCTGCTGTTTTACCCCATGGGCCTGCATCTCCATCGATCTGGCTCTCCGCATTTTGAAAGAGGCCTTGTCGTCCGGGGCAGAGCACGGGGCTTGGGTTGAAGGTGAACCTCAGGTGATTGATATCACGGGGCCTGGAGTCACCGGCTTATGGGAGGGCGCGACACCTTCTTCGGCCGTCTCCGAAAAATCATCCGTCGCGTCCTTTTTGCCGCTCGCGGCTCTCATCGGAAGCCGGGTGTCAGGACCTGCGCCGCATCAGGCACTTCCCGGCGCTGACACTTGGCTGGCAGGCTGGCCTGTGCTCGCGCAATTATGCGACGGCGGAATGGTCTCGTACCTGACGATCGGTGAATCGGATCGAAACATGGGAGCTCCCGTTGTTCTGGGTTCTGGGACATTCCCAAGTCGCGGGCCCCACGGTTGCTGTTTCCGGCATCTGTACGCGGGAATGTACGTAATAGGCCCAGGACATGTGAAAAAACACTACCCCCCAAAAAATTCTGAAGGTGGCCTCAGTACCTAAGAGGTGCGAAAAGAAAGTCTCACTGGTATCCACTTGGACCAAGCGAAACCAGACCGAGAATGATGCCGTGAAAAGCTGAGTTGGCCTCAGTGGTGACGACTTATCGAGTAATGATCAAGTAACGACTCCAATATTCAGTAGTGCACGATGTTCTGACAAGCGTGGGGAGCTGGCCGATTGGATGGGAGCTGGGGCGCGGCATTGATACCTCGAACGATATCGTCAGGGTCAACTTGAGATCGGTGGATCTCTCGCTGGGCGATCCTGCGACGTCTTGTCCATAGTGTGAAGAATGCATGGAGGCAGGCATAGTACACACAGGCAGCCAGCTGTCGAGGGACTCAGAACACAAAACCAGAGGAAGCTCGAGAGGTAGAACCCTGAGCTTGGAGGCTGACTTGCGCGATGCCAGCAGGGTGAAACGTGCTGGGCTGCAGGCGTCTTGTTTGGCGGGAGGGAGACGGCTATTATGTAAAAACAATGCAGGTAGGGCGGTAGCAACCCATCACCTCATTTATGCGCGCCTGCAAGCTGTAAATCGAAACATATCTGATGATGGATGCTTCTCCTCGGAGAATTAGATGGATCTCACAACCACACGAAAGCCAACGTGTCTGACGCCTCGATCCGAATGATCAATAGGAGAAGCTACAGCACTTTCGAGGTGACGATATAGCATGACGTCTTTTAGCTGAATGCGGAGAAGAGTGGAGGCCAGCGTTCCCCGGATTTTGATTTTGCTTCTGCAAGAACATGCTGGCTGGGCGCTATCGGAGAGCGAGGGTTGCGCGGCTGCAAATGGCAAGCGCGAAAGTTATATGGCCGGACTGTGTGATCCGCACCAGCTTGTGCTGGACTGCCCCGGCCCTGTGACTTGTTGCTCTCCGGGCGATGTGACAACGGTCCAAGTGCGGCTCCGCGGAGATGGTCAGATCTAGGCTATCCATCGTCATGGTTATGGTGGCATGTCTGTGTGACACGGAAACGGCTCCAAAGCATGTCGAAGGCTGGGAAACAAGCCCAATCAATCAACACCTGGGGAATGCGGGGGGAGCATCACGACGGCTGAGTGGGCGACGGCAGAGGAAGACCCCGTCAATGGGCACCGCGTGACACGAAGTGGCTTGCAGGACGGGTGCGTAGATCGTCTCATAAGCTTCTCGAGGCCCAAGTGAGGTGATGGCGTCTGGGGTAGCGACCCATGCTCACGGTGGTGAGAGCCCGAGAGCGGCGGACATCCGGAGACAGCATTGTTGCATGCGACAGCTGATCCGTGGCCTAGACTAACAACACATGCTCCAAGACAAGCAGTGCCGTGGACGAACAACAACAAAGCAAACAAGCAGTCTAGCAGATGGAAACAGCACCCCACAGATCAAACGGTAGACCCGAGAGTTTGGGACGTCTTCTAGATTCGGGCGTCTGGCTCTCGCGAGGCGTCGACGAGGCAAGTTTGGCCTGAGCGTGCATGTGAATGACGAAAGGTTTGCCAAGCGCTCACAAGGCGTGGTCAAACAAACTCTCTCACAGGTCTGGGTCCTAGGTTCATCGGCACATTGGTACCGTAGCCTAATGACCTGGTGATCTTTGTGCTAAAAGAACAGAATTTGAAAGGGATGTGCTAGGCTGGACAGGAGTTGGTTGGCGTGGATGGCGAATTGGGGAAAACTCTGCAAGGCCTCGCTTCGGATCTCAGCAATACACGACAGCAACAAATAACGAGTAGGGCAGCTGACTGTACCGTAGTGCATCCGGAGTGGGCCAGGGGGCCATGAGGGAACAAACAACGTCTTTTTTCAACGGTGGGCAGCCAATGGAGCGCCGGGCCTTGCGCCATGTGACGGAATGCAGTGGTGGTAGTTCGTGAAGCCGGGCAGAAATTGCGAGCTCTGGTGCTTGGGCCCTGGCAGGAAAGGAGGGAAAAATTCTCCAGAGGCCCCAGGTCCCCGTCCAACAAGTTGCAAGTTGCAAACCAAGGACCGCTTCAAGCCGAAACGGGGCGCGCCATTGGCAAAATGGAGCCCAGAGGCACCCAATCCAAGCGAGTCGTGTGTGGGCTCACGATGGGATTTGCAGTCTGGATTTCTGGGATCTGGAGTCTGGACGCCGTGGGTGGATTGCACCGGCCCCGTGCCATGATGGAAGCCGGCTGCTGGATGGCGTGTGAAAACTCAAATGCACGATGGAGACAGACAGACGGAGACTGGCCTCCAACTGTGAAAAGCTCTGGCGGATGAGTCAGGGGGCCAACCTTGTACCCAGTCCACTCCCTGTGACACGCAACCAATGGGTTGCTCCGTTTGTGAATTTGTCCAAGCTTTGAAGGAAGAGGAACAAGGCAGAGGATGACGAGCGTTGGCGAGATGTGTGTGACTTGAATTTTCTGAACGAGAAGTGTGCCGAGATCTGACTTATGGCAAATGATGTGAGAAGTTTAACAAGGAAAAAAAGAGAGCAGATTAGATTCCTGAAGTCATCATGTAAGTACCCTTGTACCCAATATTTCAGGTTGCCAAGAATAGAAATCGATCTCGCTCTGATCTCACTCATGCGACTGACATTCGAGAAGGCGCAGTACAAAACATTGGTAGTCACATCCCGCATTGGGGATGGAGGGGCAAGGCAGGGCAGAGACAGGGCAGACAGAGGGGTTGACTTGAAGGGTGGAGGAGGCTCTGCGCCTTGACGCTTGACAGCGAACCTTCTTCCCTACCCAGGCGGTGATCGCCCTGGGCGAGCCCGGCGAGGTGGGTACCAGATGCTCAAATGCGCGCAGGCAGGAACTGCTGGCCCCTCCTCTGCCTCCTGCCTCCTGCCTCCTGCCTTGTACCTCCGCTTTGCTTTTGTGCCTCGTGCCTCCTCGCAGGGCTGGAATTGGGACTGAGACTGGATCTGGAAGTCGAAGGCTGGATCCAGACGGGGAAAGAGAAAGAGACATGGGGCCATTTGGGTCCATTTGGGGCCATTGGGGGCCCTCTTTCCCGGAGGCAGTCACCCTGATACTGTACCTCGACCATGTACAATACATGCGCATACAATTTGTACCCATGTACCTCCTGCCTGGTGATCACCCAAATCCCTCACTGAATGATGACAATGTCGTGATGGCTTCAATGATGTGGCTATGCAGCGCCAATGTTTTCATACGTTATACGTATTCTCATGGTCTTCATAAGAGAGCAACGTGTACACGGCGGTTCCGTTGCAAAATGTGGAACATGCTAGGCGCCCAAAGCCCAAAGCCCAGGTTCTCAGCACGCAGCCGCCAGGGCGAAGCGAGCCCGAAATGAAGGTCCTCTCCCCCCCGAGGAGATGAGGCCATCGTCACTTCCCAAAACAACCATAAAGTCCACAAGTCTCCCTCCTGGTGTTCATATTATTTCGGCCTTCGCCCCCTGACGGATATGTGCGAACTAACTAAACCAGACCAGATCGCAACCAAATGCCTCACTCACTCTTGTCTACAGGCTGACATGATGTGCTCGAGGCTCTTTATTCTGCACCTGCAGAGGCCAGGCACTGGGACGATTCGTCTTCAGCGATGAGCATGATACAATCAATCCAACCCAATCCAATCCAATACATCCAGCAAGGCAGACCATCGTTTGAGGACCTCCATGAGCTGGTGGTGCATGTGGACAGGTACGTACTGTACCTTAGTATGTACATTGCCAACTTAGATGGGCCATGTAATCGATCGCCGATGTGCGCCCGCAGTGGTACCTTTTCAGACCAGTCCAGGCTTGTACCGTGCAGGACTGGGCAGTACGTACCCGCGCACACCTAAGAGTCATCCAAGCGTGCAGTGGGCTGATGCGCCCCAAGTGTCGGCTCCAGGTGCCCTGTTTCTATGGGCTGTAGGCGCTGTGACAGGTAAAAACACCAGGGCACGTACAGGAGGCGCCAGGAGGTCCAGCGCCCGTACCCAGGAACCCCCTGATGCTATGTGTCATTCATTACCTGATGAAAACGGCCCCAGGACGAACCTCTTCTTTCATAAGGACCTCTTTGGCAGGAGGCTCGCCCGCCTTGGTGGGCTCGATATTTTATTTTATGTTGACAGTTTGGATCTGCCTCTGCGAATTCTGATCTGTGAGATTCTTTTTCTTCTCCAGATAAAAAAGATCAATTCTTGTACGCCTCGGCCAGCCAGTTCTGGATCTGTCATCTGTCTGTTTTGAGTTTGTCCACATACTTGGTAGACTCACTACCTATATTGCCTTGTCACCTATCACCTTACCTTTCCCACCTGCAAACCAGCCCAACTGCAGCTCAGAGATACCCCTCCATCTCCCCCCAGACGCCCGGGAATAAGCAGCCAGCACCGCCAGCAGCAGCACTCAGCGACCGACGACTTACACGACTTGGACACCATCACGCCACATTTGGTCCACAGGAGAAATAGCTAGCTATATATCCTCAGGAACATCACCCTCACCCAATTCATCGATCACGAAACGAGAAGCAGCAGCAGCAGTTCAATTCCAACACTGCGTGTCTGTGTCCAGCCGACCTCGTCGAAGAATTTTCGAAACATCAAAGCAAACGGCAGAGAAGGAGGCCGAGCTGCAAGTGTGTCTCTCGTGCCTGCTGCACCTAAATTAAACATTGAAGAAACCTGTACCCTGCAACCCTGCAACTGCACCTGCCACCTGCACTTGCACTTTGGACTTGCAACACTTGCATCATTTTACCCGCCCTACGCCCGATTCAGCAGGATCCGACTATCGGCCAGCAGCGTACAGCGGAAAACGGAAGGGCGCCAGTCAGCCAAGCAGTCAGTTCAGTCAGCCGACCGTCGCACATCGACTCATCCTTCCACCATCGCCAGATCCGGTAGTGGGACTGGGCTCACCGACCCGTGCCTCGAGAAAGCTGCATCCGTTTTTGGGGCAGCCTTTTTTGGGGGCGACAGGAGAATAAAAATAGGGAACACGAGCTCTCCAACAGATCGTGCTCGACGTTGCTCGATTGTTCCTTGCATTGCATCACGATCCCACCTCTGATCTCATCATCATCCTCAACATCATCATCATTCTCCAGGATCAGGACGCCACCCATTACTCAGTATATTGTTACTACAAGCACTGCACGGAACGAGTCAAGCAGTGCACACTTTGCCCACACACAAAACAGCCTACACACATACACACACACCCGCTAGCCGAGCCAGACAATAACTGGGCTCGCTACAGCCGCATCGGGCATTCCACTTATACGCGCCCAAATCGGCAGGGGGGAAGAGGATCCAGTGTGGCCTTCCACACCCACCAGAAAAGATGCCGCACCGCGTAGCAAACTTCTTCCGCAACTCCACCACAACAATTGAGCACCAAGTAACAGCCATCAAGAAGAACACAATCCGGAGCAGGACAAAGTCCCCAAACAGGACAAACAGCGGGCTGTCGGACCGCGAGTCCAGGAGCCAGGAGAGAGTGGTATCCACATACGCATCATCAATAGAAGAGGACATGGACAGCTCACGAGAACACACACCTGCACCCGCCTCCAGGAGACCCACAGACAACACGCCACGGCTGTGGTCAAAGGAGGCACATCATGAACACAAGGACAAGGAGCACCACAGGTTATCATTCCCTGGTCTGCACGCCCTGCACCTCGGCCGCTCAAGCAAGGACGTCCACTCAAATCCCCACGCCAACCTGAGCTGGAAGATCGAGTCACCTCCAATAATATTCCATGGCGATGCAGAGAACAGCTCCGGTGCCCTGGTCTCGGGCCAGCTGTTCCTGGAGATCAAGGAGGAGTCCTACGACATCGAGAGCTTCAAGGCCACCCTGCACATCCACGTCACGCAGAAGAAGCCCTTCACCGTGCACTGCACCGACTGCGCCAACCAGCACACCTTGCTCAAGGAGTGGGTTCTCCTGCCACACGCCATGCCACTGAAGCAGGGCATCCACCAGTTCCCCTTCTCCATTCTGCTGGATGGCCACCTCCCGGCGACGATGGACAACCCCATCGCCAGCATCGCCTACGAGTTCAAGGCCGAGGCCATTCCCGGCAGGCCCAACCAGCAGCCCATCAAGCTGGAGAAGCTGTTCGACGTCAAGCGCTCGCTCCCGCCACCCGAGCTGCCTCACCACTCCGTCCGTGTCTTCCCGCCAACAAACGTCAAGGCCAGCGTGCACTACCAGCAAGTCATCCACCCCATCGGCACAAACACCCTTTCCATGCGCCTAGACGGCATCGCAAAGGTCAACTCGTCAACCAACACCATCGAGTACTGGAAGCTGAAGAAGCTCACCTGGCGCCTGGAGGAGACGCTCAAGACGGTCGCCCCCGCCTGCGACAAGCACGCGCCCAAGGCCGAGGGCGCCACCGAGGAGCAGAACGAGCAGCTGCGGAAGAAGGGCGTGGCGCGCACCGAGACGCGCACCATCGGCGAGAAGACGCTCTTCGCGGGCTGGAAGTCGAGCTACGCCGGCCCGACCGACTCGAGCGTCGAGCTGGAGCTCGACTACGCCCTCAGCAAGCATGCCAAGTACAGCTGCGACCTCAAGGCCCGCGACGGCACCGAGGTTAGCCACCAGCTGATGCTGGAGATGGTGGTGTCGCAGGAGTGCGCACCCGTCGGCAAGCCCAGCCTGGTCACGCAGACGGGCGTCGGCCGCATCCTTCGCATGCACTTCGGCACCGTCCTCACCGAGCGCGGCGGCATCGGCATCTCCTGGGACAACGAGGCCCCGCCCATCTACCAGGACGTCCCGCCCAGCCCGCCCGCCTACTCTGACGAGCCCCTCTTCCCCGCACCCGGCGTCGAGGAGGTCTTTGAGACGCTCGACGGCCACCGGCCGCTTCCCGGGGCATTGGCTGGGCCGAGCGGGAGCGGCAGTGCTGGTGGTAGTGGGCACGCAAGTGCCAGGAGTAGTAGGAGGAATAGCGCCGAGGTTCACCGGTGAAATCTTTTTCTCAGTTTTGTTTACTGAGGGCATAGCGTTGTTGTTACCAATTGTTTTTGATGAGTCCATGAGCGAGGAATGGCATGGCATGGCATTGTGGGAAGAGGAAAACTGCGACTCTCCCATCCAAAACTTTTTTCTATTTGTCCTCTACTGGATATCGGTGTTTTCTACTCTTTTTTTCAACGGAATTGGGACTGGGCTGATACCCCCTATGTGCATGACGCACATTCAACATGGCTTTTAGACTGCAGCAGATTATTAATGTTTTGTCATTTTCACCACCTGTGGTTGATTTCCATTTCATTGACATGATATGATATGATATCCCGGGTCGATGGGCCGCTAGGCTAGAATGTGGTGTGTCTGATGAATGGAAAATTTTAATGATTGTGTATGAATTTGACCTTGATGTCCCTGTGTTTTGTTGTGATGAAGATGTGTATAGCGGGTAGGTTTGATGTGTGTAGAGCATTTGTGACGTCTGCCCTGTGGAGCCTTCTTAAGTGTGATATTCTTAATGCAGGGGATGTAAAATACGAAAAGTTGTTTCCCGAGTTCGAGTCTGTCGGCCTTGAGTGAAACTTTGATCGGCGCATATATATACTGGAGTCCTGACTTGACAAATGATACAGCTAGGAGTAGTAAACCATTTAAAAATGACGAAACTAGTGATTGATGATACACAACGTTTGTAATTATCGTTTTCTTTTTGCAAACATGCTCAGCGCCATATTCTATCAGTGAATTCAATTCGAATTTAACGAGATTGAAACCATGTTTTATTAATGACTTCAAATCTTTCCATAATCTTGGTCCCTTCGAGACTGCCCTCCTGGAGGAATCACTCCCACCACCACTCCGGAGAACACTTTAGCAACGTTCCATGGCATGGAATTGTCAGGGTGATTTCGCATATCGCGCAGGGAAAATATTCTTAAGCATTGTGAGCTCCATAGGAATTGTTTATTTGTGATGACTTGAAGATTGCATGGCATGCTAATTTTATGGTCATTGGTGCTGTATGGAAATGAGGATGGTGAATCTAGACATTCGATGCCCGTGTTGAACTTGTGCTGGTGTATAAACTGTCTGGCACGCATGCACTACTGCAGGCCCATGTGTCTGAATGCGACTACAATATTTCTTTTCATCGTTTCATTCATCCTCTTTCGGGTGACTATCATCTTGCAAATTATTCTTTCCCTCAATTCCTAGCATCCAGGGATGGCTCAAGCACTGTTCCACTACAAACCTCTTCTCTGGATCAACGACTAGCATTGAGTCGATCAGATCAAGCGCTGAGTCTCCCACAGGATCCCAATACGGTGAAGGATAGTCGAAGCGTCCTGATTTAATCTGCTGCGATAGGGTGTACGGGAAATCTTTGCTGTAGAGCTCATCTGAGAAGGGAGGAAACCCGCAAAGACATATGTAGAGCACAACGCCAGCAGACCAGACGTCGACAGGGTAGCTGTAGAGTCTATGACAGCTATTTTCAAGTATCTCAGGAGCAATATCTGTCATGCTGAGTATTAGCAGTGCTCTCAACGGTCGACGGATGGTAGAATGCTCACAGCTTGGTGTTCCACAAAGGACGTCATCCATCTGGTCTAGCAGATTCCGAAGGTTTACTGCCAGACCAAAATCCGCAAGCTTGATGCTATTTGCGCTTGACATCAGGATATTCTCTGGTTTGATATCTCGATGCGCCCACCCTTCCCCATGCTGTCGAGTTTTTTGACCATCAGCAAGTAGTTCTCGATGTGAGATAAGAGATCATTTGTGCTTACGATGTATGCCAAAGCCGAAAACAGCTGACGAAAGATTGATCGCGACTCTTCCTGGGTGAGCTTCTTATTCACAACAATGAAATTGAAGAGCTCCCCCTCCGGAGCAAGCTCCAGCACTAGGCAAATCTGGTCCATGGCATCTGACACCATGGTGTCTATCAAGGCCAAGATGTTTGGGTGCCTCAGCTTATTGAGTACCTTGATTTCAGCATTCACACCAATAGCTTTGATGGCATCGCCACGGGAAAAGCTCAATATCTTGACTGCGTGTCGAACACTTGTGACTTTGCTAGAGCAAAGAAATACTTCTGCAAAATGGCCTTTTCCCAACTTCTCAAGAAGATTGTATCTTCTATGAAATCCTCTTTGGTACGCGACCCCTTCTAGGGCCACTTCGAGACTGAAATCATCTTCAGATCTCATTGCGAGAGGCTGTTTTGGCTGATTGAACGGGTCGTCACTCTCTTCACCATCTAGCTCAGCAATCTGCGCAAGCTCCGGGCCGAGTGCGACGGGCTCTCGCTGAATTCCAGCATCCGCAACAGCTTCGTAATCACCGCTAAAAGAGGTCAATCTGCTGACGAGGTTTGCAAGTCCCTTCCTCGAAGCTTGCAGTGTTGCCCTTCTTCCGGCACGATTCAGTGGCAAAATGGCACCTGAATCCATGAGCAAATTCGCGATAGCTTCTTGACCGCTGACCGTTGCTAGACTCAGTGCCGTCTCGCCCCAGCTCGTCCGTGTCAAAAGGTCCGCCCCTCCTTCTATCAGTAGTCTCACAGTCTCGATACTGCCACTGGAAACGGCTGACATGAGAAGAGACCAGCCCGCTGTGCCCGTGACTGTATTCACATCGGCACCGCCATCAACCAGGGCTTTAACAGCAGGAGCGTTACCGGCCAAAGTCGCACATTCGATAGATGTTTCGCCAGCAACGTCAGCGGCAGTAATCTTGGCGCCGAGTCGGAGTAGGGTTGTGATATTTGCTGCGTGTCCAAGCCGAGCTGATCTGATGAGTGGGGTCTCCTTGTCACTACCGCTACCTTCGATATCGTGTCCTTGATTCACAAGCCTTTCCAGAACTTCTGGCAACTGGAATGAAGCTGCAAGGACGAGCGCAGGGACATCTGTCGGAAATCCGCGGCTCCAGAATGTGTATCTGTGCCGAGGTAGACTCCAAACCTGACTTGTTACGCTGACGGCTACCTCGTTTGACAAGAAGCGATCGATAGGCCCCCAGGATGTCTCGATTTGCACCCCATAGAGCTCAGAGCCCCAGTACTTTGCTGCGTACTCCAGGAACGGGAAGCTATCCAAACGCTTGGCCATGATATTGTCCGACAAAATTGGTCCATCTGAGAAGTTGAGAAGTTGTAGGTAGTTTAGACTGAGTTTGGCGAGTTCTAGTCGTGGTTCGTGCAGATGTTCAGCGTGTGTGCGAAGGAGGTAATCCTGGGCCGTGTAATGAACCAGCCTCACTGTCTTGGACGCGGCATCGACGACAATCAGACCACCGCAGACGCCAGTGACAATCTCGCCAGGCGGCAGGTCATCATCCTCTAGTGTAATCAACTCCTCATCGTCATCCTGGGTAAGGAGGTGGACAGCATACATGTGCTGCAGCTCAAGAACGCTCAATGGTCGTCGGGCGCATAGAATCCACAAGATGACAGTTTCAGCCAATTCAACATCTTCCTCGGCCTGGGTCCGAATCCTCTCAAGTGCCTGCTCGTATGTGGCGTCAAGTGTCTTGGGAAGGATTGACAAGGAGGAGCGAACATCCCGGCGAGTGAGCTTGCGAGAGAGTGAATCCAAGTTGAGGGTTGCCAGAAGAAACCTGAAAGGCGGTGATTCATCAGTTGGCTGATGCGAGTAGGGACCCAAATTACTCACATTCCTCGAGCACTCTCTGCGATATTTCGGACGATGTCGTCTTGGAGTTTCGGGTCTGCACGTATATGCTTTGCCAACCTTGATTGCTCTGGGATCTTTGTCTCCAGAAAAAGTCGCACATCCTGGTCTTGAGCTGCTATATCTATGCGCGGTGCATCTTCAAACCAGCTTTCGAAGTTGGTTGAGGTACGAGACGTGATCAAAAGACGAATGTTGTTGCCGAGATCTTTGATAGTTTGAATCAGCTCCAGAGCTAATTCATCTGAAGGAGCACATTCATCAAGTGCATCTATGACGATAAAAATATTGGAGCGTGATGATAAGAGCTTCTTGAATACCTCAGAAAGCTGCTTGACTGTAGGGCGAGTTCTTTTCTGGACGTGTTTTCTATAAAGCGACTGGACCTCTTCAGGGAGACTGGAACGACTCATTTGTCGAAGGACTTGCTCCAAAAGACTGGATACCATTTCTAGTTGGGTTTGGGACTCGCGTTGGTTATAATCGAAGTAAAAGTAAGCCAAGAGGTTGTTAGGCGAGGTGTATTGAGTCTCGATTAAATCGATGACAAGCGAGCTGACTTCATTAGCTTTCAATGTTCGCCAGCTGCAGCTATATGTCCTTATACGACTTACGCTAATCGAGTCTTTCCGGCCCCAGCTGGATTTTTTCATGTTAGACAGCTGTTAGAGATTGATGAAACGGAGCGGTTCCTGCCTTACGTATACCGGGACACCACAAAAGACAGATGTTTCCTAGCAGCCAGTCACGAAATTGATGGGCTTCCAAAAACCATTTTCCGGTTCCTGGTTGAACACTGCGTAGTATGTCCGTTTGCTTAGCTTGGAAGGAAGCCGTGCTGATCCAGGAAAGTATCTTCTCGGCTTCTTGATCTCTTCTTTCTAAGTCCATGTCTTCGACTTGCTTACTGATCTGGTCGACCTTCTCGCTCGTGAGCTTGGAGAGCGCCCTAGTCCAGGTTAGCACCTTCACGAAAACCACGCCAGGTCCACGTGTAGTCACCCAAATGCTGACGCGTATTAGGTAAAGTAAAAAACAAGAACTCACCAGAGATCATTCTGCAGAACGAGTGTGAAATGCGTCTTCAGCCTTTCTATAGTTGCGAAGAGCTCCAGAACGTCTTTTTTGTCAAATGGCCACTTGAAAGGCTGCGCAAGTCTCCTTAACCCAGCCTGAGGTGCAAGCTTTGATACGATGTCCTCCATCGTGGCCTTCATCCTCTCAAGGGGCCCGTCAGGGCCTGCCAATGATGCAATGGCGGCTGGCTTGAGGGCATCTTCACTATCCGACCCATGCTGTTCTTCGACACGGTCATGGAGCATCTCTAGGAGGCATGTGACACTGCGTAGCTCATCCCGGAGCTTCATTCGCTCCTTTCCGCCGTCTTTTACATCCCTGAGATACTCGGTCGCTTTGGCTGTCACCTGAATCAGGGCTATGAGACTGGTGGCGATGCTCAAGGGGTCGCTCATGGTCAGCGAGTTCCGCCGTCCTGCAGTCGAACTAGAATAAGCTTAATGACACCTCCCGATGTCAAACTCTTGGCCAGGTAGTCTGCGATACCGGGTTTGGGATGATTCCCGGCAACATTTGAGGCCAGTCTTTTCGGTCGCCAGTGGAAATGGCATGGTGAGGTTGAAGCCTGATTTTACCCCTCCAAAATTCCTCGTTAGTCGTTTCCAGAGACCATAACAAATCCTGATTGGTTCTTTTCTTTAGTGTATGGGGGGATCGATGTCAGACAGGATTTGTCTCCACGCAGACGCTGGTTGGTTCGCCGGATATAAACGGTAATACTCAATCAGGAAACCGTGAACTTTGCCCAAATCATTGCAGAATGTATATACGAGCAGGTATTACTGACTGCTATGGCAAGACAAGGCTCATAAAGAGAAAGGCGAGATGATAGGAATGTTTGCGAGGAGACAACACATATTTCGTTTGATCTCGAATTCAAAACAACACTTGTGCCCTATTTCCTTGTTCAACAATTATTTTCGCATGGCACATGACCTTGTTGGCTTCTTGTCTGTCACCAGACGATCCACTTTGTTTCCCGCCGCGAAAAGCCCTGGGGCCTACAATACTCGAGAGAGAGACCCAACTTTCAGGCCCTTCCATGCTATTTGTGGGAGTGGACGGTTTGTGATCTCATAGACAAGTTGGTACGTCTATACAAGACGGGCGGAGCGGAAGAAAAAGGCATTAGATCATGCAGATTGGCCCTAGACACGTCCTCCTCTCCTACATCATACTTCGCAGTCCACCCTTTTTGCTCCTGATGAGCCCGAAAAATATCATTCCTACTTTTACATCATACCATAATGCCTCAGAGTCCACGGCCTGTATGCAGCATTCTCAAAATGGGTTTTTTTTTTCGCTCTGTTGCTTCTCGCCGCCTCGGCTTCTATTACGCCCCTTCCTCAGGGCATTCCATGTAGGCTTTATCCTCAATTTGCAGAATTGACGCGTTCCGAGGTCGGCTACTTGATTAAGCGTAGCAAGCCGACTAACACATTCCAAGCCGTCAATCTGCTCTCAGAAGAGGCGGACGGCAACCCGAAACTCGACACAGACCTCTGCTTGCTGAAGCGTAATGAGAAGCGCGGTGTTCTCGTTGGGGAAGGAAGAAGCAATGGTGGCTTCCAGAGGCTACAGTCGTCGAAAAAGGAGGCTAATGTAGAGAACATCAGGCAGTCGGAAACATGGCGGGTGTTCAAGCGCGCAGGTGGGCTCCAAGCTGCATCGCTGGGCCAATATTGCAGGCCAACTGGTCAAGTATGCAGCAATGAAGCTATGTAACCTAGATGCTTCTATGTGGCACAGCTGACCCACCAACCCATGAAGTGGCAGGGGATGTTGGCTGTGTTGGCTCTGTTGGTTCGGGATTTGCAGTCTAGCCCGCGGAGCTGCTTCAAAACAGACCGGTCGTGTCTCGATCATGATACTTCAATCTCATCGACATTCCCTCTCAGTACGATTCAAGCAAACACAATGAATTCAATATGGTTGCACACAGTCTTTCTAAGCTTGGCTCTAGCTACTAACGTCGTTGCGGAGCCTGTTGCCAGGCTCGACAGGAGCAAAGTTGCGTATCGAGGTGTTGCCCGAGATTTGGTGGAAGACTTTCACAATATCAAGTTTGCCCATGACACCGCCGGGCAACGACGCTTTGCTCCCCCAGAACCATACACCCCTCCAGATGGCAGCGAAATCGACGGGACTTCGCACGGACCAGCTTGTCCTCAGTTCCAAGCCGCTATTCCGCCGTTCTTCGACGAGACGCTTGACATAAGTGAAGATTGTCTTCAACTTCGAATCACGAGGCCAGCTGGAACGACTGCAAATGATCTCCTGCCGGTCGTGGTGCACCTTGTTGGTGGTGGAGTGGTAAAGGGTTCCACATACGACTCGCACATCGATCCCAAGAACCTCATCACGCATTCGATATCACTCGACAAGCCAATCATTGTAAGCATTCTTGGCGTCACCCTTCTTGAGTTGCTGGCTGACATCTATCTTACAGCACGTCGCCTTGAACTACCGACTCACCATCTTCGGATTCGCTCGCCTCCCGATACTCAAGGACCAAAAGTCCCTGAACGTCGGAATGCGGGACCAACGAGCTGGTTTCCAATGGGTCAAAGATAACATTGCAGCCTTTGGTGGCGACCCTGAGAGGATCACGTCGTTCGGATTGAGCTCCGGCGGAACATTCTCATCCCTGCACCTGATGACATTCGCAGGCGAGCAAGGAGTTCCTTTCACTCAAGCGTGGGCTATGTCTGGTCCTCCAGGCACTGCTCTCAATATGACATCCGATGCTACTGAAATACATACCCGTGCTGTGGCCAAGCTCGCAGGCTGCCCGGTCGAACTCGACCAGATCTCTGACGAGGAAATCCTCCAGTGCTTGAGGGATGCGCCAATGAACAAACTGCTGGAGGTAGCAGTAGAGTACTCGCAGAGAAATCATCCTCCGTTAGGACTTTTTACCTTCATTCCCTCAGTCGATTCGGACTTCCTGCCTGAACGCCAGTCCACGCTGTACAAAGCAGGGAAATTCGTCAAAGGGATTCCTATTGTACTTGGCTGGACTCAAGACGATGGCGCGACCAACGCTGGCCCTGCTCCGGCCTTTCAAACCGAGGAGGATATGAAATTTCCAATCAGAAAATTCGCTCATGCACTCACGGACGAAGATTACGAACGCCTATTCTCGCTATACCCGGTCTCGGATTTCGAGCAAGATGTTCGAAATTACGAGGCGCGCAAAAGCGAATCAGACCCAGTCGTGCCTGTCCATTACTTCCGAATTTCTCGCATAATGCGTGATCTTTTGTTCACGTGCTCATCGATTGATTTTGCTTTTGAAATATCACGACAGTCGAAGCAGCAAGACCCCAGCTTTCCAGGTGTTCGCCTCTACGATTTGAATCAGAGCATGTTGACGCCTATGTTCCATGACACTGGAATGCCGTGGCTGGGTGCCATTCATGGGAGTGACTTGGATTATCTCTTCAATAACCTTTTCTCGAAAGACCACATGTCGGAGGATGACCGGCAGCTATCTGAGTATCTCCAGGGGTCTTTCATCAACTTTGCCTACACAGGAGACCCAAATCTAGGCACCATCGTCGGCAGGTCCTCGACTTGGCCAGAGTCATTCTCAGAGGCTGACGAGAACATTTCAGGTCACCCTGGGACGTCTGGATGCTCGAATATGAAACTGCAGGTCATAGGCGGGCCCTTGGGCACCGGCAGCTGCGAGTTGACTACGGGGCTGCACGACACCTCGGATTTCAATGAGAAACAGGGTACACTACAAAGCCCGTTGATTGACAGCGTACAATATCGAGAAATGGGATCACCCATGGCCCAGGAAAGACAGAACGTTATTGAGCATGAGAAGTTGATCGAGAGATGTGCTTTTATCGACAGCCTGGCAGAAAAACTAGGTCACTGAAAGCACATGTATCTCACCTCTCTCGATAACTCATGATCCATCGGAGCGTGCTGGACAGATGAAGCTTTTTAATGAATTGACAGAACCTCTACCCGGGTATAGGTATTCGACTTCCTGTATGGGTTGTAGCTTCTGAAAATTCTAGGTCCAACTCGCGTTCACGTTTCTTGTTATAACTTTCACTGGCAATATGCCACTGTGTCACCAATAACGGCCTGAATCCATCTTTGCTATCATCACTTGACTTGTGTGATTCTTTGTTAAGCCACGGCTCTGTTTTGTTGCTCAGATGCCCAAGCCTGGCCAGAACGAGGGCGGGACGTCATTTCAATTGCGCACCGTGGGACGGTCGCTTCCAGGCTTCCTCTTGGGCGAGTCCAGACAGTCAAGCCATTTCTAGATAGTCAGATCCGCGGCGCTGGAGAAGAAGCACTCTCTCGTCAGCAGTATGTAAACACCCTGCCATCGTCTCTGGTGCGCATGATGTCCAATAGGTCGTTCACACATTGTTCCGAGTTTGAGTGGTCTACTAGCTGCAGGTCGTCAATAACGCATATGATGTGGCTCGGAGATGACCGAGAATTATTTTGAAGCCTTACAAGTCAGTCTGTATGCTCTTCGTAGTACCGGCTAGTTCTGTCAGAGATGCTGTGATGCTGTTGGGCTCTTCGAGAGTCTCAGGAACTAAAATAGTAATCTGCCGTATTAATAAGTAAAACAAGAGAACTAGGCGTACAGTACGCTTTGTGTTGACTTGTCGTGCACCAACGGACGGGTAAGGAGAGTGATTGCTCGATAGCGAAGCAGAAGTGGTGCTAGCTTCACGGGGGGAGGGGGTGGTCAATGAGGTTCATCAGAGTGCGAGTTGCTTCTTCTAACTTTTTCTCGTGCGTACGATGAATGCGCCTTCGGCTGGATTAGATATTCTATGTATTTCATGGGATGGAAGGGTTGGGTTGCCAACCTGCGGAATGAATCCCTGTCCTATCTCACTCGACTCTTGGTCTGTCTTTCTACCGTTTACACATTTAATCGGAACATTGATATACCTGAAGCCGATTCATGTGCAATATACGGCTGAGAAATGTACAGGTGCCGAGTGACAGTGTCCGTGGCTAGAGTTTGCGCCATTTTTCTTATGACAAGGCGAACCCAGTCTAGCTCTTGATTTAAATCATGCTTACAGAGATTGCTATTCTGATCGAAAGTTTGGTTTTTGCCTGCGGAGCTCCGCTACGACATGTTGCAGCCGCGTGACTGTCTCATGAGTTTCGACTAGGGTCCCCTGAGTCTCCAGACGCCTCCCCTTCAACGTCTCTGACCACGTCTTCGATGCTGTTCACTATCTCCCAAACTTCTCGACTGTAGTAGCGCTAATTCACAGCAGCTTTGAACCGCTCTATTGTCGAATACCTCGGCTGCGCAAAGTTGATCTGAGAAGTTGTTGCAGACTTGCGACGCTTGGTGGGCTATGGCTGTTTGGTAATAGCTCGTCACATCCTGGGTGCTTTTCCTGTTGCTTGAGCAATATAGAACAGAGTTTTTGCACTCCTTCTAGAGCAGAGAAATATCGTTATTTCGTCCAAATTAATAGATAACCAAAGGAGAGACGGCTGTCATAAATGAGTGTGATTGAGACAATTCACTGGTCGATTCCATCAAAATACAACAGCCGCCGCAACTCGCGTCCCACGTCTTGTGCCAAGGCAGCTCGCTCGTGAGTCTCAAACTGTACGAGAGCCTGGGCGACATCATTGTTGGGGATATCTTGAGCCATCTGCAAACTGTACTTTCTTACAGGGTGCAAGGCATCCTGTCCCAATCTATATCTTTCAAGCATCATAGTTGACGTTTTGGCGCAATAGTATCACAACTGTGCTCCTCATCCTGGATATACTCCCAGCTAGAGGCGGCGGTCACTATCGTTTTTTGTCAGAACGGAACCAGAATAGATTCCGTCAAAACTATGTTACTCATGCGGCTCGCCGAGAAAGAAGCGGGGTTGGGAGAAGCGATGGTACTCTGATTCATACATCGCAGCGGCTGTGTGACAGCCATGTCAGCTTCACGATGCAGGTCACCTGCATATTGCACGTCAGCTTTACGTTGATCGTCAGCTTCACGCTGCACAAGACGACGCGATTCACCAATCATGACTGCACTAGTTCACATTGAGTTCTCATCAAACCTTGGGAGTATTTTGATGGGTCGGACTATGCAGGCATCTTCATTTCCACGCCATACTTTGGACAGTAGCGAACAAGGAACTCTTCACTTCATTGAAAGACACTTGGTAATCATATCGGAATAAGTTTACATGGATGAAGCCGAGTCCGAAGCCAAAATTGGGGCTGAAGAAGGACCGGACCAGGCTTAGCAAGATGATCTTGACCAACACATTAGACGGCGACACAGCCAGAGCTCGAGGCTTCATACGGGACAAGCATTGAACACAGGACACCGTCCGCGATTGGCAAAGACCCTGCTGAGTCCCTTAAGGGTATGTATACCGGATCTACTGAGCCGACAGCATAGACTATCGGGCGTGAGGCTCACTCGGTCATGGCGACGAATTCGATACACTTGGATTCTCTTCGGTGCCCCGTGCGAGGGCGCAATCATGCCATTCTGATCGAGTTCGGCCTTCAGTCCTGCCCTCTTTGCAAAATGGACTTGAAGTCTCCCCCGGATACAGGAATTTTACACCACAAACCGGAAGCAATGGAGGAAAACGAGGTGGTGTCCAAAAATGGGACTGGTGATGACCGCCAAAGCGACAACGACATTGGGCCTGCTCAAGAGTCGGAGTGCAACTTTTTCATACACTTCTTGGATAATTCTGGAGACTACATCACGATGCTTCCATGGCACGAAATTCTGGACCTCGAGACTGAGCGGGCGAAGATGTCCCGTCAAATCGGGCCCCCTGTGCAGATGATCACAAAGGTTGCAACGAGCCTTTCAGCTGAGTGGCGAAAGAACTTAGGGCCGAGCCAGCTTGCAGAGCTTGCTAAAGGCTTTCTCACGAACCCTAACTACATAATGGAAGTTGACTATAGGGTAGTCGGTATAAGATCCAGCTACATCAAGCAGGCCTTGCGACAGATCGTGACATACTGGCCTCATCTCAATATGGTGGGCGATGTTTTGGAGATCGAAGAGCCCTACTGTCTGTTTTATCATCACTTAGACGCCATAAAAGCCTACCAGAAGACGTTCAAGGGAGCAAAAGACTACGACGAAAGCAGGAGAGGTGTGGACTTGAAGACGCAAAGACCAGGATTCAAGCCGTGCGATGAAGTATCGTATCATCATCTGACAGTGTTGAGGAAAACGATCGAGTCTCAAAACTTGACTGCCGTCCTCGAGGAGAAGAACCGCCACAAGCAGTCCCCAGCCTTGGTAACCTTTGGCATGCTCTGGCTGCTTTTGAAGCCCGGTACGACTGTATACACTAAGATTCACGGAAAATTGGCCGCGTGCGTCATCAAGGTTTTCCAGTTCTACCCAGACTTTAGCCTCCGCAAAGAACCAAGAGCTTACAAGGTTCAATTGTGGCACTTACAATACGACGGGAAGGTCTTGGGTCGACACGAACTCACTCGTTTCATCAGCGCCTTCGAGGGAGAGAAGAAGTTGATTGATCTGGAAATCATCCCCGCCGAGTATTACGATGGTCATGACGGTGGTATTCTGCGCAAAAGCCTCGAGGCTCGTGGGCAGAAGTACTTTAAGTTTATCTCGGGCCCTCGACAGGTTGATTATCGGGGCGAGTCCCTCGGAGATGTGGCTCATTGGGTAAGCATCACTCGTGAGTCTTGCTCTATAGTCGAGTCCCAACTAATCAAAGATCCACTAGTACGAAGGCCGGGCTGTTCTGGATACTCAGGCGTATTATAATTACATGACGCGAGGCCCATTACTACACCCCTGGCCTGCAGACGTCATTCGCCGCCCCCTCGTTGGCGCAGTACTTGACGATACCGATGGTCCTGTTTATGCTGAACAGAAATTCAGAGATGCAGGGCCACCGGCTCCTCCACCTAATCCTTTCCAAGCTGTAGCAGACGCTAGAAGCAGCGTCCAAGCCTTCCCGTTGAATTCCACTTCTGAAGGTCCATGGGCAGCATATGACAATATCGATCCAAGGAACACTGAATCTTTGGACTTGATTGACGCAGTTACGGGTGAGGTTAGCCGGCATCGCTACCTGCTTTGTCCTGCCGATGTCATCGGATTTGTTCTAAAGCCAAGACGATGGGGTCAGTATTTTCGTTGACGATCTCACCCTGCAGATTTCTATCAAGCACCTTTATGGCAATAAAATTGTAAAAAGCTAACACGAGAATCTCAGATATCCTGGATGTGGAGTGCTGTTTAAACATCGAGTTCAATACCAAGGCCATCGACAGTCTCGTCATGCCTGATGAGAGAAAGATGATTATCAAATCTCTTGTGCACCGCTTCTCAGACGTTGATGCAATTAATGGAAAGATCCCTGCCCCATGGACTGCTGATGTGGTTCAAAAAAAAGGGGAAGGACAAATATTCTTACTCCATGGGAGTCCTGGAGTTGGTAAAACTCTCGTAAGCTCATGCCACATACTTCGCCACGTTATCAGTATCGTTCGAATTCAAAGAGTTGCGACTGACATTCTCTGACAGACTGCTGGCAAGTTGAACTGTTTGGAAGCGTCTTCTTCTGTGTCAAGTACTGACGAGCTGGTCTCAGAATGTATCGCAGAGTCAGCTGGACGCCCATTACTGTCTCTGACCTGTGGGGACATTGGCACTGTCGAGCGTATTGCTGAAGAAAAATTATCAAAGTGGTTTCGACTTGCTGAACTATGGGATGCAGTCATGCTCATCGATGAGGCAGACGTCTACCTTGAGAAGAGAGCAACATCCGACCTCTCAAGAAACAGTCTTGTCTCCAGTAAGACAGACTTATCTTTCAAAACGGAAGATCAAAGCTAACATGACGACAGTCTTTGTTAGAACCATGGAGTGCTACCGAGGCATTTTGTTCCTGACAACAAATAGAGTCGGTCACTTCGATGACGCTTTCGTTTCGCGCGTGCACGTGGTTATGCGATATGACAATCTTTCTGAGAAGGACCGTGCAAAGATTTGGTTACAGTTCTTCAACAAACTCCAGACAGAGCGCGGAAGGTACATAACAATCTCCAGAAGAGCCAAAAGATACGTGTTGGAGGACGGCGAAGTCACCAAGATTCCATGGAATGGAAGGGAAATCAGGAATGGTACGCCAATTGCCACCCCTACACCCATGTGACTTGGTCTTGTTCCCATTAATCTAACCTGAGTTGAACTCCCTGCCAGCCTTCCAAACAGCGGTAGCTTTTGCTGAATATCGGTTCGCGCATACAACGGCTGACCAGAGAGACGAAAAGGCTTGTTTGGAAGAAGAAGACTTTGCCAAAGTTTGTGAGATGACGGGGGCATTCAAGAACTATCTGCATTCAATTTCTGGAAGAGACGAGTCAACGTGCGAGAGGTCTGACTAAGCAAGGAATGACATTTTTTAATCCCGGAAGTGATCGATATGAACACTACACAATGTTGTGGGTGGGTAATGCCCGAGCTACCCTCCGTTTTCCAAAGTTGAACTCCATACTGGTTATTTTATCAGGCGGAGGTCTCCACAAGCTCGCTTAGTCATTGAGATTTCAGTCATGTTGTCTTCATTTTTCTGTTAATGTTCAAGACAGGTGAGTTGAGTTTGTCGCTGATGAGAGTTGAGTCTCCTCTCATAAAATTCCGGAGATAGTCCTAGTCCTGCAAACGTGAAGAGTTCTATGTGAGAATTCAATCGTTTCTATCAAGGACTATGAGGGACTCTCATCGAGTCATTAATATGGATCTACATTTCAACAAGTGAGCAGATATCAAGCCCGGTTGGGTCCTTTATTCTTGCCACTATTTCGCTTTGACTAGGTCGCTAGTAACCCACTGTTGACGTTCTAAATCATTCATGCTCTATCTAGAGGTGCGACCTAGCCATAACCTTATAGAATAGTGATGGTTTGCATGGTGAACTTGTCATGCTCGGCAAGTGGCCGCCAGCCACGCTGGTAATAAGACTTGTCATAAGTCCCGATTCTCTCATACTTTTCTGGGTCTCTGGGTGACCTTCCAAGCACAAGCATAAAATTGCGACTCTTCAAACTCTTCGGTTCAGGCTCGACCCATTTTCCCAAGTGTAGCAGCCACACGGCCGCCTGATTGAGGTTGGAATGCGCATCTCCTTGTGTAGGGACGACTGGGACGAGATTTGAGAGCTCATCATCCTTTCTATACCCTCCTACTTGAACTTCTCCACATGGTTGCGAGGACTTGCTTCGCCGGACTGATATCTTCTGGTCTCCGTCCTGCCCAACGTAGATGAATTGCACCACAGCAGAATCTAGGTCTGCTTCTATATCAATAATTCCATCGTCGGAGCGAAAACGGGAGGTTTTCCCATCGGAATATAAAATCCCTTGCAAAATCGGTCCTCTTACTTTGATCCAGGCGTCGCTCACTTTGCCAAAAGGATTGCGCCCGGATACGACGCTCTCTGATTCAGAAACAGAGGAGCATGAGACCCAGGTCCATTTTTTCTTATATTCCCACGAATTATAAAAGGCTCCATCGTTTATCGACGCCCATGAAAACGACGGCGCTCTATAGCTTTTCGGGAGAGGGGTGGCTTTCAATGGAATACTTACCCGCGTCCACGCGAGATCTAGGATAATATCCTCCTCCCACAGGCCGGCCAGGTACCGCGACTTCATCCTGGCTCCAAATATGCTCGCCAGGCCCGAAAATGCAGGAAGCTTATCGTCGGGGCTGGTCAGCTTGCGTGGGCTATACCGCATGACCGCCTTCCGCCATAGGTTCTGGAGGGTGTGGCCTCCCATGGCGACAGCCTGTCGCGTGTCATCGCAGTAGTCCGGGAGAACGGGATAGGATACGCTGGAGCAGCCCGCGCCGCACTCGCAGGCGGTATTGGTTCTGCACATCCACTGCAGCTCGTCTATCGAGAAGATCAGGCACCGCGTTGACATGTGTTGCTCCTGGAAGGCCCATGCTCGCTGAGCCAGCGGGTCCATGGGATCATATGCATCGTGGAAGCCGGAACAAGGCCGTCTACGAGCCCCGATGACTATCGGCATGCCGTAATGTTCCGGAAGCGTGAGATGGTAAGGGCGTGATTGTCTTTGATGGCCTAAAAAGCCTTGTTTCGCTGATGATGACGAGGACGCTGCGATGACCAGGTATGCCTTCTCGTAGATAATTGCCATCTGTTCCGCCTCCTTTTCCCAGTCTTCGATGCTGTCTTGGATTATACAGAGCGCATCAACCCAAAGGTACTGAATCCCTAGTGAACGCGTGACATGGACCGCGTCGACGAGTGTCTGGGGTAAATGGGAGAGCAGCAGCTGCCCGGCCTTCAGATCATTGATGTTGGCACAGGTCGTTTTGAGCGGTTGGTTGCCCCCCCAGCAGTAACTAAGGGCGGTGTACTGACCGATCGTGCTCGCTTGCGTCTCCAAGAGCCGTAATTTCTCATCACCAATATTGCCAACTTCAATTACCCGCGTTGGGAGCATGGTGTCTCTTAGTCGACACAATTTATGGTCTTGAGTGCAAGTCCGGATGCAATCCCGTGCAAACTTCTGCGCCAAATCTGACCATGCGCTTTCAGAGATTTCAGTTCTCACTGGGATTGATCTAATTATCTTGTTTTCTTTCTTTGGAAGACCAGAGGACGAGTCAATACGTTCTGTTGCATGGCAAGAGCTTTCTGACGTGCGTCTGGTCCACCACCAAGTAGCTCCCCCAGGGCGGTATATATCGAGATTATGTTGGTGCTGCACACGACGCACCACCGGTTCACTCCCAGAAGAGAGGTCGACCTCAATATCTGTGTCGGGACGTATTGACTCATCCCCTGAGCGGGCGATGTTGGCCCAAACCCAGCAGGTGGTACATCCTCGGTCGGCGGACTGGTCGACCTCGAAGAGAGTCCGTGAAAGAATAATGAAGGACAATTCCAACTCTCCCCCGGGCAGAGGGCAATGAAAGTCGAGATTCCGGCACACGGAACAGAATGCGACCGGGTCCTCAGACGCCAAGTCCTTTGCAGAAGCCATGGATAATACTTAAGACAGCAATTAACTCGGTTGTTGACAGGAATTATGGTGCTTGAGCCAGTCACCACGGCACTGTCTGATTGACGTTTACGGTTATCGACACGCGAACACTGCCACGTTCGGCGCTGGGTCATGTGAGCTCCATTGATGAGCAAATGCTAGCCTAGGACAGGAAGACGGTAGCTTTAGGCTTTGTGTTGCCTAAATACAGTGGGTCTCAGAAACTCTTGGGGCAGTCGTATAGTCCAACTGTTGTATTTAAAATAGTCCTTATATTTTTACCCTACATGTATTAAATAATATATATAGCTCTGTGTAACGGAAACCACCATTATCAATAATCATCCGCCAACTCATCTACGCATTCAAACCACAATGTTGGTGACAGGCCATCACTAGCCTCGAATGTTGACAGTTTGTGGATAATCTCATCTGTGCATCCATGCGTGGGTCAATACACAACCTCGGGAAGTCTTTTCAAAGAAAGGTTAGACTGGTAGGGCTTCCAAACTGGGCTTGTGTATTGCGCAATAGCATGACAGAACAAAAGTTTTCCAGCAGCCACTTCAGCTAGTTCGAACGTCGTGCATCTGCACTTAGCTCATTGTAATTAATACTGCTTCTTTTCTGTGTTGCTGTCTCGAGCAGACACCGAAACAGCTACGTACGTCGTAACGTCCAAACACCTTCATTTCTGTATGCTTCTTCGGCCCCCACTCGCTGCAACAATTTCCCAGACGAACAATATTCATGACTGCTTCTGAGGAAGCCTACCTTCGCGCAAGAGGATCGGTCGACAATGACACATAAGTTATGTTTGAACATACCATAAAGCCCCAGATTAGTGGTTCTCGGCTGCTGCGACATATCGGCCCAAAGCTTCTAGTACGTCGGACGTCCACGGCCAATGGCGGCAGACGCGCATTAGCACAGGCGAGGAGGCCCACAGATCCTTGAGATAGTCTTTCGTGTCATCGAAATCGATTCGGTGCGCGTCCCAAAAGACATATCCCCACCGTCTGATCTCGTCCGGTATATACTCGCCAAAGAGATTCGAGTACTTCCCGCCCCATAGGAGAGTCCAAACAAGCGGTGGCGCGCCAGCGTCGTCGCCTGCGAATGCCATGGCCTGCCTCCTCTCCTCAGCCCGGTCTCTGTCATCGAACTGGATGTCCCGCCGGTGCCTCTGGGCTGCGAATCCCACGGCCTCTTCAAAGAAATCGCCCTCGTTTTGAAGGGACTTGGTCATCAGATCCACTCGTTCGTAATGGCTCGCAGCCTTGATCATTTCCAGAGCCAGCTTTAGACCGCCGTGCCCGATGGTGCCGTTTAAAAACCCTGGACGCTCTGATCAGAAGATAGGCCCATGCTGTACCTGCATACGATCGGTCGCACAGCTTTGTACATCTTTCTTGCACAATATAGGCGGCAGGGTGAGTCGGCTAAAGGGACAAGGTTCAAGGAAAAGAGGACAAAAGGAAAAAAAGACATTTGGAAAAGAGAGGGAGAAAATACACTTACCATCGTAATCCTGGTCAATTGGGAAGGCTAAGCCCTGAAGCTCAGGCTCGAATTGACCATCAAATTTAGGATTTTCTTCATTCAAATCCCCCTTGACGTCGTCCAGCACTGCTTCATAATTCTGCTTGACAAACGCGTAGATGCAGTTCATCTCCTCTGCCTCCCAGGGTGCAAGATCCAGATTGGAGAAGAAGACCTCATTGATATCCATGGCGACGAACCTCTCATATTGGGATCCACAGAAGAGGTGGCAAAACACCTCAAAACGGTAGAGTGCTCGCGTCAGGCGTGTCTTCTCTGTTCTTGTCAGGTCTTCCGCGGCCTCGGGAGATTGGGCGTTGGGCTGGACGGGGCTGGAGCGGAAGTTGGCGAGCGCCCAGGAAATGAAGTAGGTGACCAGAGGATTGACAGTGGACTGGTGAAACCGAGCCATCCAACATATTCCGTCTAGCGAACACGTTTCGAGAGTTGGCCTGTCACTGGCAGAAGGAGAACGCCAGACTCGATATAAAGCGAGGAAGCTAGTGACATTCGTGTTGGGTCCCGTGGGTAGCCCGATATTGTATGGACGGGACCTGAAAGCAGCGTAAACGTCGACAAAAACATCCTCGGTGGTCTCTGTCAGGAGGACGCGAGTGAGAATGGATTTGCGGTCGAGCAGGTACTGGGCATGGAAGACGGGCGACGCGTGCACGAGTCGGCTCAGCGTCGCCAGATTTGGTATGCTCATGAGCAGTATGGTCCTCAGCTCGGCGGGCAAACTCTCCAGCGTTGGGGAGATGGCACCTTCAGGTGCACGTCGGACTACTTGATGGGCTGGAGGTTCTAGCCCTGGCAGGTTGTCATCGGCCATTCCTCGAGATGGGAGTCGACCTGGAGCAAGGCTGGTTTGTGTAGGGACTGGGCAACGTGGCGTCGGTCCCACTTGACGCCTCATCCCTCACACAGCTTTGAGTCATAGGGTGGCAGGAGAGATATTTGATGGTTAACTACGCCTTCCGGTATCGGATAAAGAGATGGACACGGATGGAAGTACCGGGAGTTAAGTATGGCGAGAAGATATCGTTGAGAAAAAGTTCCAATACGACCGATAGTTATTGGTGAATAAGCCAAGCAAACCGGACCATTGATTCTGTTTTGCAATGCCTGTAATGATTAATATACACAATACAATAAGACTGTAACACAATCGATTGATACTTTGAGCCATTAATAAACGATCTTTACTGCACGGATCAACTTCTTGCTCCTGTCTTTTGATTATTAAGTCTTTTATAAAGCTGAACGCAGCTAAGAGATATATACAAGCTATGTCTTCCGTTCAGCTTAAAACTGCGAGTTGCTCACTGGTCTTAATTCTTTTAAAGCTTCCAAACCTCGAGATTACGATATCGGGCAACCAACGGCGTCATCCCACGAAATGCAATGCGGCCTCCACGCACGACTGGACCAGTAGACTTGTCATCTTGGAAAGAGAAGATAGGCAAATCATTGATAAAGAACTGCACGTCGCGTTTGTCCTTGATAACAGTGATTCTATAGAAAGCACCGGCAGCGTCCGCAACAGGCGGCAACGGGTCCGCCCCCTGAGCGACGAGGTTGAAACCCGGGGACTTGCGCAGGTTGGCGAGGAGAAATGCGCGCTCTTCGGGCCAGCGCCGGCGGAAGTACGACGCGTGCAGCGTGCGGATGTCGCCAGAATGGTACTGTGGATAGGAGCCGTTGCGCGGTGCCAGGCCCGGGTCGAAGATGCTGCCGCCGGCCACGGACTCGGCGCCGAAGAAGAACATGGCCAGGCCCGGCTCGTTGCGCGGGGAAAACTCCCAGGTGATGCGGATGCTGTCTGGGAACACCTCTGGGGCCCAGAAGACAAAGTGGTCGTCGATACCGCCTCCTCCGGATAATTCCAGCGCGCCCTCGACGGCCGTGACGTTCACAGGGCCCTCGGCTACCCAATTCGCAACATCTGACGTCGAGTTCAGAGGGTTTCGGTAGAGAAGGGTTTCGTTCGAAGCCGCCATGGACGACGATATGGTTGTCGCGAGGGCTACTGCCAAGATTTGTGCCCGCATCGTCGCAGAGGATAGTGCTTGACTCAGAACAAAAGTGCCGAGTGATCCGATTGAGAGCACAATCAAATAATAGTCGGCGGCCAGAGAATGCGATGAGGAATGGGAATATATTACAAGATGTTATGCGCGATAGCCTAGCTTTAACTACTTCGTAAAACCCGCTGTACTTGGCCAGCTGAAATATCTCATGGGGCAATGTTGCACCGAAATAGCGAGATTACGGCGTCTTGACAATACGCGCTAGAGTTTAAATTCCGATATTTAATGAAAAAGCCTAGAATTCCGACCACTTGGGTAAAGAGGGTTCTCCACAAAAGAGAATTCGATCATAAGGTGCAGCGAAGACGTGATCCCATTTAACATCAAAACAGATAATGCTAAGAGCCCCTGTAAAGCTTTGAATCTTATATCCACGTCTTCCTGTTCTGTCGTTCGTGCCTCTTCTAACTTTTCTGCCTCTCTTCAAAATTCAAATGTGAAGACCTTCGATACATGGGCGTATGAAGGGTCGTCATTTGTAACATAGCAATCAATATTAACATCACCCAGAGGAGGATATGAGGATATCTGTAGGAATGATTCATTCTCAGATTGAGATACCTTGGCACCACTCGAATTTATGGACAATGGAATCAGTATGACTCCAGGCTGGAGAGCATGAAATGTCTGCTGCTTCGAAATGGTCTCAGCGATATCGAAAAGACGAGGAGAAAAATCGAACAAGCGACACAACTGTAGAACGCATACCATCTCTGTGAAGTAGACGAACACATTGAACACCTCGACATTCCTATTAGACTAATGACTGACCAAGCATGCACTGCAAACAAATCAGACAACCCACCCAGACTGACCAATGGCACCACATGACTAATCCTAAACAACGTCGACTTAGGCGTTAAGCCAGGTAGGTTCCCGTTCCCTGACTCGGCGATAAGAGGAAAACAGTACCCCTCATACATACATAAGCAACCGTCCTCAGGAGGTCTTGGCGTTCACATGGGTCATGCATGCGAGTCAAAAGAATGCAAACTGCCAGCCTGGCGGACTGCCGCGGGAAGACGGTTATGGTGTGTCATGATATGTGTGTGGATGGGCTTGGTGTGGGCAGATCTCTCGTCGGAGAAAAGGAATGGTCGGTCGGCTATGGTCCCATACCCTTGTCGTCATCGGACGTCAAGAGTCTGGGTGCATGCTACACCTGGGCATAACACTTTCTCCATAGGCGGGTGGGGAATAGCTTCAGGATTAATAAGAGGAACCCCTGGTTTTCTTGGACCCGGCCGTCTTGATAACGCCACATCGATCGTGCAACGCTGAGAGGGTTATCTTCAAAATCAGAATCTTTTAAAGCCGTGGCAGGACGACCGCATGAGCAACCAAAGGCCACCACAGCGACAACCCACTATAGTCCCTAACATAACCCGCTACACACACATCTATAGTCCACGTACCTACATCGCAGACGCTATCATGGGCATGAAGGAGATCGGCATCTTCCCGGCCTCGGGCGCCCTAGGCGGCAGCACCTATCGGCACCTTCTCAAGCTGGTGCCCAACGACCACGTCACGCTCATCAACCGTTACCCCGAGAAGGTGGAGGCGCAGCACCGCGATGCGGGCGTGAGGGTTCGCAAGGCGTCATACGAGTCGTCGCTTCAGGAGCTGGAGCTCGCCTTCAGCGGGCTGGACGTGCTGTTCCTGGTGTCGTATCCCAGCCACGTGCACGAGTATCGAGTGAAGGTGAGTTGGTTGGGTTCTCATTCCCCCAAAGGATGTGTATCTATATCGAATGGAATTCTGCTGACTTTCCTGCGAAGGTGCAACTCCCAGCACTAGATGCCGCCAAGCGCGCTGGGGTGAAGCACATCTTCTACAGCAGTCTGGGCTTCGGCAGTGACGCGGCGAGCAAGTCGCTCAAGGCCGACTCCAAGACGGTCGTGATGCAGGCGCACCTCGACAGCGAGGCACACCTGGCGTTCCTTGCCAAGACGGACCCCGGGTTTACGTACACATCCATCCGCGAGGGCCTTTACTCGGAGTCGTTCCCCATCTACACGGCGTCCTTCGATCCCAAGACTGCGGCGGACGGGTCAGAAGTGCAAATCCCGCACGACGGCAGCGGCCGCGGCGTCAGCTGGGTCAAGCGGGACGAGCTGGGCGAGGCGAGTGCGAAGCTGATCGCGCGATACTGTGGGGTTGGCGGGCAGTTCCCTCAGCAGCTTGTCAATGGCAAGGTGCTGCTCTCCGGGGACAGAGAGATCAGCCTGAAGGAGACGGTGGAGATCCTGGGTAAGACAGTCGGGAAGACTTTCAAGATCCGACAGGTCAGTGTGGACGAGTACGTAAAGCTGCCGCAGGTATTGGGCGTATTTGGGTCCGAGGAGAAGTGTAGGACGTGGGCGGCTTCCTGGGAGGGCATAAAGGATGGCGAGGCGGCGCTGGTTACTAAGGATCTGGAAGAGATACTAGGGAGGAAACCGGAGGCATATGAGAAGACCATCAAGGAGTTGTTGGCATGATTGGCATGGACTTTTATGCTCTGGAAGCTGCCGAGTGTCAATGGCACGCACGTCTTCATGCCTAGAATCGGTGCCTATGTTTGCGACTTGGTACAGCTTGTACATGAGATGCGAGTGCTTCTTTGAGTTTCCATGAATGTACTGGCCCAATTAGTTGTCTCGGTATGTTGTCCTGGAGTCTGGGCTGGTGTCGCGATGAAAGGGCTTATTGGTTGCATAACTTCCAGAGTATACGTGGAAGACTTGCATGCCCTCATCTGTCCTTTTGAATCTTTTGATTTTCAGGCTGGACCTCGTAGCTCAGGATGGGTGTTTTCCCACCTGAACCATTATCTAGGTGTGTCATGCCGGGGAGAAAGCACATTTCTGTCAGCCCTCAAGCTTCCAGTTTAGGAGGCTTCTAAGAAATTGAGGATCCAGAACGGGTCGTTAATTGTAGCCTCTCTTGAATTCATACTGTTTCACCGGATTGTATACCCTCCCAGCCAGAAAAACAAACCGGATCCGGCCAGGCTGGCTACTGCCAGGACGAGGTTCAACTCGATGATGGACCACACCCAGAGACACCCAACGGGTGGAGCCTGCTTGAGGACAGCAATATAACTGTACTTGTTTGTGATGTAGATCAAGTAGCACCCGGCGATTGTTCCCATTACCAGAAATATCGTCTGTCGAGCAGGATTCTGGTAACGTTGGGGTAGGCCGGGAACGACAGTCGGGGCTGCGGCATGAGGATGGAGGGCGTAGACGAGGGCCGCGAAGACTGATCGCAGAAGGACAAGTCAGCACGATTACTACGAGACTGATGACAGCAAGTTAGAAGGAAAACATACCCATCAGAGCTTGTACCGCCCTCTGCACAATCTTGAACCAGTCCATCTCAATGGCATACTGCTGCTGCACCAGGACGTCGAAGGTCAAGTGCAGCATAGCCAGCGACACGGTGTAGAGCAGCGTCTCCAGGATGCGCTCGGCAGCCGCAGGTATGCCGTCGTCTTCGTCATTATCGTCGTCGTCCTCTCCGTCCTGTGCCCCTTGCTGGCCCTTGTTCTTGCGCTCCTTGGCGGCGGCTTGCTTGAAGAGATTCCTCTCGGCTGCGATGTCCAACAGCGTCTTCTCTGTCGGGCCAGACCGATCAGGCTGCTTGAGCTTGATGTTCTTGGCCCTCTTCTCTTTGCGTTCGCGGACCATGGTGGTCTTTCAGTCTCCTGTAGAGTTTTGTAAAGAGGCTTCGTCGGCCGAGGAGACAATCGAGAGAATACGAGAGTGTCGCGTGGTCTGTCGTGCGACCTGGGAATCGGGCGAGGAAGCCGAGGCCGGTTTTCCAGAAGCTCGACCCCTGTCAGGTCAGAGCTCGAGCTGCCGACAGGGTCTGCAGGGCTGACGGCCCTTGGGGTTGGCGTCACCTTAGCACGGGCAGGGGGCATCCTGACCCTCCACATGCGCGTTCAACGGCTCTTGCGGTCGAGGCTAAGCTGTGTCCTCAACCAACACGCCCGAGCCGTGTCTACGGCGCAATTCATGAACTTGCAAAAAACTTGATCTAGTAGTACAACTTTCAGACATCTTTCAGGACTGTTTCCTGGCCACTTGCACCCCCTAGCCGAGCCACCTGTCGCCAATTGCTCTATCACAACCGCCGCTACTCTTAACAACAACACCAACCAAGTACATCACAGCACTACATCTCAAGAACCCCCCAGCAGATGCGCCGCCCACCATGAACCCATTCCTCACGATCCTCGGCCTCGTGGCCCTGCTCATCCCAACACTATACCTCTACACGGTGAGCATCGCGTCGGCGCGGTTCCCGACGCTGCGCAACCGGCGCATCTGCCTGCTGATCGCGCACCCGGACGACGAGGCCATGTTCTTCGCGCCGACCGTGCTGGCCCTGACGCAGCCCCGGCTGGGCAACCACGTCAAGATCCTGTGCCTGAGCAGCGGCGACGCGGCCGGGCTGGGCGAGACGCGCAAGAGGGAGCTGGTCAAGAGCGGGATGGTGCTGGGGCTGCGGAAGGGGGAGGACGTCTATGTTGTTGATGACGATGTGTATGTCTTTGCCCTCCTGTCCTTTACTCTCTAACATGGCTGGCTGGCTGGCTGGCTGGCTGTTTGAATGGATAATCAACTAACGAATCTACCTGCCTAGGAACTTCCCCGACTCAATGACCACAACCTGGTCAACAGAAAAGATCTCCGCCCTCCTCCGCGACGCCTTCGCCCCAACCAACAACACCAACACAACAGCAACGGCCACAGCCACAGGCGAGCCCCCAAAAGCCACAATCGACGTCCTCATAACCTTCGACAAGGGCGGCATATCCTCCCACCCGAACCACATCTCCCTCTACCACGGCGCGCGCCACTTCGTCGCCTCCCTGGCGGCCAACAGGCCCGGCTGGGCCAGCCCCGTCGACATGTACACGCTGACGACAGTGAACGTGGCGCGCAAGTACGCCGGCATAATGGACGTGTTCGCCACGCTGGGCGCCACGGCCCTCGACGTCTGGCGGGGCGGGGCCGTGGGCAACAAGGGCAACAAGGGCAAGGACGGGCGCAGGCGGCCCGCCGCGCTGGTGTACATGCACGACTTCGGGGCCGGCGGCTGGGCCACGGCGCGCGAGGCCATGACGCGCGCCCATGTGAGCCAGATGGTGTGGTTCCGCTGGGGGTGGATCACCATCAGCCGATATATGTTTATGAACGACTTGAGGCTGGAAAAGGTATGATGTACCACGTACGCGTAGACACTCATGTGTAGGAATTGTTGAATAGATAAAAAAGTAGAAGCGCAAATACAGATACATTTTTCCTAACCTTCTAGGGGCTGGGAGATGCCCATGCAAGCCCCGTCTAGGTCTATCCAGTCTGGCGGCTCTAACTGCACATAGCCAGGACAGATGCACATGCACCGCAAAACATAATGCCCGAAGAGAAAAAGTCAAATAAGCAAAACAGCTCTCTTAGGTCGTACAACATCGCAGCATATCACGTCCTCATCCTCAGCACTTCATCCACCATCTTCGCGTGGCGCCTCCGCCGATCCTTGAACCGCACCATGTCAACAGGCACCCCGACTACCCTCCTGGTCGTCCGGATCAGCCTGTGCGCCGCAAAGTGCCGTCGCAGCGGGTCATCGTAGAACCCCGTGAACTCGCCGCCGTCGCGGCGTATCGTGAGCATCGACAACTGGTCCGACGGCCCGCTAAATCGCGGCCGGTACAAGTACGCCGGCTTCTCAGATTCCCGGCTCGCGGAGGCCCACTGAGGCGTGCTGATATACTCCGGCACCTGTTCGTCTTCGGTGGCTGAACTCTTGGAGTCCACGGCCTGGTCTTCGCTGACAGCTTCAACTTCACTTTCCGCAGGTAACAGCTGTTGTAATAGATGCTCGCCCTCGGTTTCCTCATCTTCCCAAGGCTCTTGCAACCATTCATCGTCCCCATCGTCTTGCGCACTGCTCGCAGCTTCTGAGAGCGGCGGCGACTTCATCACAGCCTGCTTCACTTCTACCATGTTTTTCTCGAGCGCGTTGTCAGAAGAGAATTCCAACACGCCGGTCGCGACCTTGTAAGAAATATTCAGCGGAAGGAACTGCTCAAAGTCGCCAAGAAGTTTCGGTATTTCTCTGACCGCGCTTTGGTCGTCGCTACGGCCTGGCCGGAGATCCTTGAGGATCAGGTAAATACTATGGTGAAACATATACCACATATAGTTTCTCCTGGCTTGAAGGACCTTGTAGCGGCGAAAAGCTGCGAGATTGGTTACGCGCTGCCCCGTGGTCTGCATCAGTTCGCACCAGGCCTGCTCACAAGCGTCTACGACATCTTCGTACAACGGCCTGATCTGGCGGAGGGCTTCAATGGGCCGTACCATCGGCTGGCCCTGTTTGACGAGCGACCTGATGAGGTTGTAGTAGTCCCTTGCTTGTGGCTGAAAGCTGTACGGTGCCTCGGTGCATAATGCCCACACCTGCAACACATGATCTGCTTTGGTGGCTTTGCGTCGGAATTTGGCGATGGCCCACTCATTCTGGACGGGTTTTGTCTGCATGACCCGAGTGTATTCAATCAGATCAGACCAGACGTGGTCAGGAACAGGGATATTGAAGCGTTGTGACATGAAGTCGAGTAGTCTTGTGGCCAAGGCTACCTCCCCCTGACAGCAATAACCCTGAACAATGGCGTCAAGCAAGACAGCTGTGGGTGCTCTGGGCGAGCCGGGCGGGTAGGTGTGACCTCCTTCAAGAGTTATTTCATCGGTCTCTTTGTCTATGTGGATTAGAACGCCCCAGTGTTTCTTCAGTAGGGAATTGTTGGCTCTAAGGCGACCAGCGCGGCCATTTGCCTTTAAGAGGGCACATATGAGTTCCTCACCGATACCGCTGCCTGTCAAAACACGCAGCCATGCTGTGCGTTCTAATTTCCTCAAGGGATCTCGCTTGCGAAGCAACATGGTTAGAGGTTCGTCAAAGAATCGTTCGTGAGCGTTGCTCCCGAAGCGATGTTTTCGAAGGTCCGTAATGCGTGCGGAGAGATGTCGAAGCTTTAAGTGGACCTTCCCTGGCAGGTTGAGGCTGCTGCGGTGCATGTCCAAGGGTCGCAGCCTCAACCTGACCAGGTCGTTATTTGCATAGATCTTCTCTGTCAAGTATCTGGCCTTGATGAACTCGGTGTACAGCTCCGAGTGCCTAAAATTGGCACGGTGGTCACCCGTCATGGACAACCAAACATCCTTGGCTAGTCCAATGTCGGAGGTGGCGCCGGCACATCTGATCATGACGACGTAGTCGTTCAAGAGCGGCACAATTTTGGCTTGCCGCCGAGCAAGCTGTATGCGCCGGAGTCGGCGAAGGATGCGGACGTAAAGAACCTTGACACCCCATTTGTTGACCAGCTCGCCCAAGGGGGTGTGGACGGCCACGCCCCACGAGATGTTCAGGCCAGGAGCGGTATCGATTTTGTCGGCGATATTGTTGGGGTCAAAGCTTCTCAAGATTTCCGAGAAAGTGGTTGCGGGAATACTGGCCACGGCCTCGGTGAAGACGCGGGCTCCAGACTCTGTCTCATAGCCACGCACAAGATTCATGAGACAGAGGTACAGCTGGAAGGTATCCCCCTTCCTGAGGGCGCAGAGAAGAGCCTCGACGGCGGCATGGTAGTAGGTGATCGAGCCAGAACGGGCAGAATCATCTGAAGGCAGTAAAGGGCCGGGCCTGAAGGGCGTTCCGTACGGGAGGTGAGCCCGCTCGATAGGACGTCTTGGGTCCTGACGAGGGTTCTCATCCGGCGGCGGGAGGCTCCCGTCCTGCGTCAACCCGGTCCAGCCAAAAGGGACGCTGGTATGTGCGTGCCGTTGTTGTACAGGACGACTGAATGAGAGGTTATGACGGCAGAAACTGTTGTGGCTGTTGTTCTTGTCGGCGATGAGTCGACTGGTGTGCAAGGTGGCGGAGGGGAGGATGAGCACACGCGAGTGGAGCTGGCTTGAGTTGTGGAGGGCAGAGTAGCCGCGCTCCACTGAGCGAGTCGCGATCATCCGGGGCGGGTCTGCGATAGCTCATTGCCGTGAGGTCGTCAAGACATTGAAAGTATTGCAGATCAAGAAACAGCCGCGTTCGATGAGGAAGAGGTGAGAGTTGCTTCGTTGCATTCGATTAATTTTCCATTTTCATGAGACCACCTGCAGCTTCCCCAACTCTCTCCCCTGCCCCCTTCCCCTTTGCCCCTTCCCCCTCACTGCAACATGCTGCAGCAGGGCAACCACAGCCCAGCACCCAGGTCTCTCACTGAGCAGGTGCACAGGTACCCAGGTACCTCGGTACGTACCGTCGTGCACGGACCTTCAATCTCTTCGGCCGGCGCAGCTCCAATTTGGCTGGGCCTGTCCAACGACAAACGTCAACAGCTAAGCCTGGGGTGAGAGCTCCATTCATGAATTCAACGTTCACTCACTCATTCACTCGTCCACTTGCTCTAAGCCGCTGCATCTGGCAGATCCTGACGCCACGAACATCGGTTGAACCCGTCTGATCACCATCTTTCATTCATTATCACCTGCCACCATGGCCGACGCCGGAGACGAGCCCACCAACGTCTCGGAGCCCCTCGACCTGGTCCGTCTCCTGCTCGACGAGGTCGTCTTCGTCAAGCTGAGGGGCGACCGCGAGCTCAAGGGACGACTCCACGTACGCGAAACCAGTCCCTTTCATTCAATATGAACCTCTCAGGGCAAACCCCGCTGACTCTGCTGTTCCTAGGCATATGACAGCCACTGCAACCTCGTGCTTGGCGACGTCGAGGAGACGGTCTACGTGGTCGACGACGAGGCAGAGGACGAAGACGTCAAGACGGTCAGCAAACGATCGGAGATGCTGTTCGTCCGAGGTAGGTTCGGACCGCTGGCCCCGGGATTGGTGCCTGCTGACGGTCTCCGTAGGCGACAGCGTCGTCTTAATATCGCCCCTCTCTCAGTCATGATACATGAGTAAGGATGACGCGCTTCACGGGCCACCAGGGCTCACTGCTGCCATCTCGTCCTGTTTGGCTTGGTAGGAAAGACTCTGGGTATAGGAGACGCTACTGTGGCCACGGCGTTTCGATCGAACCGACGCAGAGACACATAGGAGGAGCGTCAACGAGGGAGGCCTAGGCAGTCGAGAGAATGTTATCATGGGATCAAGCATATTTCTCACGCCACGATGAAAAGTGGGAGTCGAGACTTCTCATCCAGGTCGGACGAGACAGACTGAGAAGCAAGTTGCTGATTGGACAAATAACAATGATCAACAGGCATTGCGGGAAAAGGAAACCGGGTCATTTACACAATGATAAAAAAATGAGATACCATCTCCCTAGGGAGCGAATGATGGACCCCGTCACTCACTGTTGTGTCGAGTAATTGCTACATCTAGATTGACGCACCACAAGGCTGAGCTGCATTTACAAGTTGAGTAATTGAGTTCAACAATCATGTGAATACAGAGTCTATAGGCCTAAATCCGCCCGGGACATTTCAGTCAAGACAAGCCCACGTCCGACATGATCGAGTCCCAGTCCAAATTCATCCCTAACCCGAACATGTTAAAATCATCATCCCCCTGATCAACATCGACTCCAGCGGCAGCGCATCCAGCATCAGCAGGCGATGCCAATGACACCGGGGCGTCCCTGGTCCTCGCACTCAATATCCCATGACAGAACTCCAGACTATCCCTCGCGCCCCGGGCAACCTGCAACTCAACCGGCACGCCCGCCTCGACAGCCTCGACCTGAGCAAGGGTCATGCAGAGGAACATATGACTCTTGACGTTTGTCTCGCCTAGCCGGATCCGCTCCTCCGACAGCGCAATGAGGTCCCGCACAGCCTGCTTAAGCATGTCGCGGTACGCGCGCGCCCGGTCCAGCGTGCCGTCAAGTCGCTGCGCCTCGGCGTGCGCGAGGAGCTCGAGACTGACTGCCGTGAGGGCGAGCCGCAGGCCCTCGGAAAACATGCCGCCGCCGACGCCCATCAGCCGCGCAAAGCGAGCGTCCGGCTCCGGCGAGGTGATCGCCACGGCCGCGTCGAGGCTGGCCTTGCGCGAGTAGTGGTATGCCGGGTTGGCGCGCGCCTGGCTGCTGAAGGAGATGTGTAGCGGGATCACGAAGCGGCGGACGAGGTAGTCGAGCAGGTTGCGGCGAAAGGGTGTGCAGTGGTCGTTGTTGTGCTTGGTCGTGCTGGCGCGGGCGTGGAGGGCCTGGGTCAGCTCGGTGCTTAGCTCGAGGACGCGCTGGTAGGAAGGTTCCGAGTGCAGGCTGTTCATATGCTGGACGATGCGGAGGCGGACTGGGAGGGATCCAAGCAACGTAAGCTGGATCGAAGTCGCAGTGAAGGTGCTTTGTGGATGTGGTTCTATCACCGTCGTTGACTCATCCAAGTCTTCGTCGTTCACGTTGGAAGGGGGATCTACATCGAACTCGTCGAAAGAGATTCTTGGAGGCATCCAAGAGTCCAAGGACGATTGCACGACGAGTTCAAGAATAGTGGCCCAGAGCCTCCGCCGGATTTCAGCCTGCAGCGGCGTCATAGCTGGTAGATGTTTGGGGTCACGATACAGCCCCATCTGCATGGCCCTTTGAACGAGCGAGCCCGTCGATATCCATATTAAACCACCGCCGACAGAAAATATCTGCCGCGCTAGGATGGTCAGGCAGTAGACTTGCAAACCACTAATGCTGAGACGGTCCTTTTCCAATGGTCCAGAAAGCCAGTTCTGAGCCGCGTAAATCCATTGCTGAACCAGTTCAGCATTGCTAAGGGCCTTTTCTGTAGTTTGATGGTCGTGCAAACTTGAGCCCAAGCCGATGACAAGAAGAATCTTAAGGCGCGTCTCGGTCTTGGCACGGTCAGGGTGGTCCCAATATTGCTGGTACTCAGCCCGAAATGTAGGACCATGTAGTATGCGGTGTGTTGACTCAAATGATGCAAAGTAGAGGTTGACCATATCATCAGATACATCGCGGGATAAGGGTCGCATCTCAGGAGACGATGCGTAACTTCTGCTGGGCCGACTGACTTTGATGTTCTTGGCCGTGTTCTTGCATTTCTGAATAAAATCGCCAGACTGTGCCACAAGTAGTGCGGTCTCAGGAGTCTTGTATGATGCGTCCTTTGAGTCTTTGCCAATGATCTCGCCATAACAGGCGATGATGACAGAAAACTCATGGGCCATCCCCATCCACTGACTCTTGCCCAAGTCTCGAGATTTATTCAACACGAGTCGCGGTGGATAGTCCGACGAGCTGGCTTCGGCGCGAGAGGCCGAGGACTCTTCGAGCTTCTGTATCCGCTGAATTAGTTCTGCGACGCTACAATCTTGCTTCGCGCTCTGAACATGGCCCGGTATATATTGCACAGCTTGGCTATCGATGTGGTCAATCGGGGATTGGACAGTGGCATGGGGCCTGTGAATGTGAACCGCCGGGGTGGCCGTATCGACCCGAGCCACATGACCACAGTCATCACGGTGGTTCTCTGTGATCAGCCTGTTGGGGTTAAAGATGCTGCCAGTGGTAGCTGGGGTAGGTTCTTGAGCCGATGCTTCTTCCGATGACGGGCCTACTCCAGGCCCAACTATTACGGCCTGTTCCCTTAAGATTTCTGGACCTGGGCGGGACGTCCTCGCTGACACATCTCGACTGTCGTGGCTATATGATGTGTAGATGCATTTAGTCGTATGACGCAGGCAATGTGAGCAAGGGTCGTTGTGGTCGCATTTGATCTTGCGGCGCCGGCATTCCTGACACGACAGCGCAGGTCTTCGTCGTCGACGTGACTGTTTCTCCATTGATGAGGAGTCGTCAATGAAGTGAATGCTCGGGTGGTCTTATTTCTCGGCCGATCCAGCAAGCTCGACCGACCCTTTGGACGCAGATGAGGATCGAAGGGACAGAAAGCCAGAGCAGGCAAGAAAGTGACTAAAGGGAGCAATAGAACATCGGGTATATTGAATGCGTATTGTGCAAGGAAGCGCAGATATCGGCCTTTTGGATGAATTTTCCGGCCCGTGTCTCGCCTTAAAGCCGCCTTAGTGCTGACCAAAGTCCGCCAGGACTGACCTCTCGGCCGAAGCAGCTTGTCTCCTAAGTGGTCACTCATGCCTACATGCCCTTACTACTAGTCTCAAGGCATTTATTTAGGCATGCGATATTGATGATGCAAACTCAGCGTGCGAAATGAGCTCGGGTTATTTCACGCGCATGTAGTTGAAGCAGCCTTTTATTTCGGCCGAAAAATTGGTAGGATGGCTAGACTTGAAATGTCATAAATACACGGACAATGTCCATCAAGAAATTATCGCGCTCTGGATTACCTCGAGATCTGCTTCCATCATGATCAAGTTGCGATCACCTTTAATCTTTCTCTTGCCACTCTCTGCTATCTTTACCAGCAAGTCTCTAGCCAAGCAAACTTTGTTTGACGACCCGTACGCAGACACACGCACACGCCCTCAGAACGACATGACACGACCGAATTTAAAGGTTCTCATCAGCGGCGCTGGGATTGCTGGTAACGCTCTCGCCTTCTGGTTGACCAGGTTGGGGCATGATGTCACCGTCGTTGAGCGCCACCCAGTCCTACGTGTCTCAGGGCTGCAGCTCGACCTACGTAGCCACGGAATCGAGGTGTTGAGACGCATGGGCCTCGAGCAAGCCTTCCGAGCCAAGTCCGCGCCTGAACGAGGAATGCAGGTTGTTGACTCTACTGGGAAGCAACGTGCGTATTTCCCGGTGTCTGAATCCGGTGGCAAAGACCAGCAGGGCTTCACCAGCGAGTTTGAGATTATGAGGGGTGATCTGTGTCGCCTGTTCCATGATGCGGCCGCAAGTTCAGCTGGCAGGAATGGGGCCAAATACATGTTTGGGACGTCGATCGAGAGCTTCGAGCAAGATGATAACTCGGTAGACGTTCGCTTCGATAATGGCAAGACAGACCGATTTGATCTCTTGGTCGGTGCTGACGGCCAGTGGTCACGCACGCGCAAAATGATGCTTGGCCTTGGGAATGAGAGCTCTGGAGCTACGCCTGCCGACGGACTGCATCCGGTTGAAGGCCTCTATTTTGCATACTTCACCCTGAATCGCCCAATTGAGGAGGGCGAACAGTACCTTGCAACCTCTTATATTGCTCCTGGGAAAAGAGGTATCATGACGCGGAGGCACAGCCCGCATGAGATGCAGGTGATGCTTGCGTGCAAGACAGATTCCCACCGACTAAAAAATGCTAGACGCGGAGACGTGGAGGAGGAGAAGACGGCATTTGCAGACATCTTCCGGGGGGCCGGGTGGCAGGCTGAGAATCTGGTGGAGTCCATGAGGGACGCTGATGACTTCTATTGCGAGCGGTTGGGGCTTGTCAAGTTGGAATCCTGGTTCCGCGGCCGTGTGGCACTGGTTGGAGATGCCGCTTACTGCCCAACCGTCCTCACGGGCATGGGAACTACAAGTGCCGTAGTTGGTGCTTATATTCTGGCTGGCGAGATCGAGAGACAGTGTGGAGAAATTGGAAGTCGGGACTCCATTCCGAGCGCTCTCAAGGCTTATGAGAGAACGTTTCGGCCTTTCATGAACGAAATGCAGAAAGGTGTGTTGGAAAATTCACCGCGCCAGTGGGACATGATGGGATCTGCCTTCAGTGTTGCTGTTATCAACTGGGTTTTCAGCCTCGCTTCGTACTTTAAGGTCAAGGCTGGGTTGTTCGGAGTTCGTGAGACTGTGAAGGGATGGGAGCTTCCTCACTACGAGAATATGGCACTAGATTAGGGTTTCAGCGATGTCTTGACCGTGTGCAGACCTAAGAACAGAGTAAGGGGAGAACTCTGCCTCAGCTTCAATAGATTAGTGCTTGTGCTTATCGGAGAAAACTAGTACAATATACATTCAATGCATATCCTTTGTTCCGGTGACCAGGGCAAGAGCATTATGGCGAGTAACCGAAGACATTAACAAGCTCTGATTCAGACCAAGAGTAATTCAGTATTGGATTTCCGTTCCATGCTCTTTTTCGTTGGTGCAACCCTCTATCTGATCCAGCAGCTGACCCGCGTCCGGGAATCTCTGTCTCATCAGCCTCACCGGCTCAGCTTCAACCAGATTCTGGGATATGATGGCAGTCTGGCTCAATCGTGGCGCCGGAGCAACAGGAGGGGAAGGCATGCGGTAGCTATCCTACTGATCGTCCGCTACCCAAGGTTGTCCGTTCTGGACCCATGCGCCATCGATGATCCCATCAACAAGACCGTAGTATGTTGGATATGATTAACAAGAGACCCAAATGGAAGAAAAAAGGTCTACATTTGTCTCTGCTCTCTATGCTGGTGCTCTGTCTCAAAATATCAGGAAGCGCACAAAGGAGACAAAGAAACGCGGAGAGGCTTGGAATGGCACTAGATCAACTTGGCTCTGATCGGAGCAGATATATCACGAGAGCGTTTACTTTTGAAAGAGTGTAGTTTGTATTACTATAAAGAGTGTGTTATTTTCTTTAGAGACAGTGTTCCAAATATAACCAACCACCATTTCATTTCCATTTCTCCGAGGTTCCTCCCAGGTCTCACGTGTCTGTCCCATCCGACCCCCGCCGCAACCTTTGCCGTGCCCTGCGGAATCCCGCCGCCGTTTGTATCCGCCCTCACTATTTCTGGACAACAAGGTTGCCGTGATCATCGTGGACGACAGTGACGTCGTCATTAAGAACACCGTAGTCGATGGTGCACAACGACCCGATCTTGTTCACATCAATGAGCGCGCCTTGAGTGTAATTACCGAAGGTCAGATAGTAGACATTGACCGGCTCAATCTGGTAGTCCACATTGGGTTCTGGCATGAATGTGGCAGCCGGGCCCATGCTGCCGCTCCCAGTTTGCGCACCCCCGAGACCAATCATGTAATTGTCTAAGAAGGAGTTGTTAGCTTGCCCACTCTGTCCCTTCCCGGCATTGATCACGTACGCTTCTTCGCATCGTTTATAGTGAAATCATTCTTGGTCTTGATTTCGTACGACTCCTTGTAGGCGCTATCTGGGAATGTGGTGTCATCGAATTCCGGCGCGTCTTCGCTCACGGAAAGGCCTAGAGTAGTTCCGGGAACAACCTCGCCGTCGGGTTTGGTTGAGCCAAGATTGACCTCACGCTCCGCTGTGACATTGACCTGAACACCGTCCGCAGGAGACCCCTCGGAATTTCCAACGATCGCATAGTACTGTGTGTACACGCTTTGAGCCGTCAACTTAGATTCGTTCTCGACTGATTTTTGTTAGGAAGGAAGGGGGGCCTACGAGAATTTGGCCGTGCTATTCTTTGGCGTGTTGCCTGTCGCAAACACATTGGACCAGATTTGACTCTGGACCAGACCCGTCACCTTGGGGGGCTTGTTGAAGAGAGCATAGTGCTGGTGGGCACCAGAGTTGTTCTTGACGGTGATTGTATACTTGTTGACCATTTTGAATTGGTGTTTATGTAGAGTTTCGAAAGTGCCTTTTTTTAATAATCTATGAGAATGTTCCAGTTATTACTGAGGGTGGTACGATCTATTCGGAATATCTAGTGAGATGGGCGGGCCTCTTATAGTTATAGGTCTCGCAATGTGAACTGAAGATCGCTCTTCATCAACTGCTAGAACACATGCTCTTGACTTTTCTTTCCTCATTCGGTGATTCTATCACGAAGACGTCAATTTTCAAAAGTCCCTACGCCGTGATGCCAAAGCGTACTGTAGATGTCGCGCTATCAAAGACGCAAAAGTCGTAGTTTCCAGCCACCACAACAGTGTTGAGCCAGACTCAGTCCTAAGCGCATATTGAAGACTTATAGAACAAACACAGACACAGAAACAAAAGCCCCCAGCAGCAGCACTGAAACTGAAATATCCACAATCTTCAAAGACGATGTCAACACGATGACCAAACCATCCAAGCCACATACGAAAAATTGTGTCAACTGGCCCTTGTGTGATTCTAGACCGTCTATAAAATTGTACAGTGCTTTCATGATTGGTCATTTTTACGTGCCGTGTCTTGACAGCCTTGCAACTCCAACTCCAAGGTCAAAACGGGAGCGTTTTTGGTGTGCGGGGGCTGTCAAACAACATCAGGCCTAGCCTTAGTACTGGGAGAACGGCTGGACCAGGTCATGTAGACAAAGGAGATCAAAGTCTAGCTCTCACTCTCATTTAAAGCCTCCATTAATTACCTCGCTTTGAAATCACTGGCGTAAAATCTCTAGTCGCGATGTCTATCCTCACAGTAGCACCGTAGAGTATAGCTAATGTGACTTAAAAACGTCGTGGACATGGCTTACGATGCTGGCATCCCAGAGTCTACAAATTTATTCACATAATCTTTTCCCGTTCTATGAACTCATTCGAAGAGCCAAACATCATGTCTCGTAGCGCCCCATTTACAATTTCCGTGGCCAATAAGTCTGGCGTGATGCAATCCTATGCGATCTTCAGTGACGCTCCGACTATACGCCCCTCTGGAGGGTCCCCTGGCACCTCTACCAGGTCAACTATACGCATTATCACTAGCGTCAAGGGTGTGAGCAGTGGGCAAGGCATGGGCTGTTTTACCCTCAGCAAGAAACTGTACGCGACATGCGGCACTTACGACGTTGACAGTGACCCCTCAGAAGGTACGCATTTTCTTGCTCCCACTCCTCGTTGAACGGCAACATGACCACTGTTAGCTTTCTCTTTTCTATTCAATGACTCTGGCTCCCTCTGGTCGCCCAATTATTCGCTGATGTTCAAATCCTAGGCGACGAAGAGCGGTCTCCAGTTGGCACTGGCACGGAAGTCATTGACCAGAGGCCTGTGACATTGGGTAAAACCGATGTCAAAGGAAAAAACATTGGGGGAACTCTACTAGAGGTTGATTCTAGCGGTGGCTCCCCTGCGTTTGTGAACGGTGGTGATCAGGAAGCGGCAGGCGAAGTCGATTGCTTTGCCATACGGACCCGGTCCGAGTTCACTTCACAGGAAGCTAAGCTAAGTCAGTTTTCTTATTTCTCTTTCACTTTCACTTTGGTCTCTACTTTCCTTTCATCTTGATTTCTTGGCTACATGGAAAGCACACTCCTCCATCCTCATTCTAATCTAGATCCTCGCACAGACAAGTTCGTCCTGGGCTTCAGCTCTTCTTTGAGACACACAATTGGGGCATACGCCACCTTCGTACCTGCACCCAACCAGACCTACCAGGTCAAGCCTTCGAAGGTCTTTTACGTTGCCATTGGCACTTACAACGCCCGAGACCTTGTCAAAGAGGGCCTACGTACAGCCACAGCGACATTTCGTGTTGACTTTGAAGAGCTAAGCACAAATGATGTGCAGCTTGTCCATGATGAGCGCGGAAATTTACAGAGACTGGTGTCTGGGAACGAAGAAGAAGAGTAGGAAGGAAATTTGGGACTACAACAGGGCACATTGTTTTCAGCAGCACAACCAAACCAATTGATGGGCACTTCCAGTTTATACGAGCAATCCCAATTCCTTTTGCGTCAAAGTTCCTAATCATTTGACAGCTCTTCAGGATCCACCTTGGTCTGTGAAATGTCTATGGCAAGTTGAGGCTTCTTTGGAAGCGGATTTAAATTTTGTGGCTCGCACGCCTGCTGACCCGTGATATTTGACCATATGAAACTCATAAATTAATGTGGGCTACTTTATCTCTCCATTTTCTTTGAGTCCTTACGTTCCGTCTGAAATTCTGTGTGATTTCTGATGTAAAATTGTTTTCATACCTCGTCTTCTTACCTAGCTGTCTAATGCGTGCGGCAGAAAGTCCACCTCACCCTCCTCGAGCGTGATCGCGTTGCATCTTCGGGCGAACCTGTTCGGCCAAGTCCGAGCCGTCATATCTCTCTTCCTCAACTAGATTCACGACCATGCTTTGTGTCAGGGACTTGTTCTTAAATTTCCACATCCTCCCTTCTAATTCATTAAACATCCAATAGCTTGTGTCATCTGTGATCAAGTAGGTGTTGCCCTCCTGTGTATCAGGCTTGACGAGGACCGGCCTGAGGTTGTTTAGCCCGAAACTGGCAGCAAGTCCTGGAGCAGCTGGAAAGGTCAGTTTTAGCTATACAGCTTAGGGGAGAATGAGTAGTATTCTAATAGGAGTCCCCTTTCCGAATTTACATCTATGTTGCAATCTCATTTCATCTTGTTTTCTGATTGCGTTTTCTTTTTCTTTCCCTCCCTGCCTTATCTTGTCCACTTCATCCCTGATCACCTCACACTTCAAAGGTAAATCATAAAATTGACATACCCTTTTGATCTTCAGCGAAATAGGTCTCAAGCTTCATGTAATTGGGGTCATTGAGCCACGTGGAATAAGTTGGCGCCGCGTCGCCTAGGGCGACGTGGCGAGCAATCCTCGACGTAGCGGCTCCCGCTGATGATGATGGCGGAGCAGCAGCAGCAGCAGCCGACAGTGAAGACGGTGTTTGATCTGGCATGATTGAGCAGTGCAGTTAGGAGGGCAATAGTGCTGAGATTTAATGTAAAGCTGTAATCTGTTGCGCGAGGGTTTGGAAGTCTTGTGGTCAAAGATTGGAAATCACTCGGAGAGAGAATTGGTGTTATAATGTTGTAAAAATGTAGGCCTTAGTCTGGTGGTAGCTTACTAATTATCTAAGTCTTTACCTTCTTGTGTCCTCCTTTCCATGTGAGTCGTAGGAGAATAGCGTACATGAAAATGGAGTCCAATTTCCAGGCTGCAAATTTAACCAAATCCGGCGTCGCTGTCTTGACCTGGGCTCTTTCGACTAGGTTGATCGAGCCTGGAATCGTCAGAGTGATGATATTACATAGTTGCGATGCGTCGGTTTGACTGAGACGATTCCTCAAAGGAACAAGAGGAGCTGAACGCTTAAGAGACGATCTTTCAACCGGCGTCGATCTTGCAGGCCGCAAAGTTAGCCCCTTCCGGCGTCGATTTTCAGCTTTCAAAAGCCACAATGAACTAATTAAATATCCTCGATCAGATTACGTTCTCGCTGAACGCGACGATGACCATGAGTAACAAAACTCGCACAGCATAAAACGAGCTTGCTAGCCATTTGATATGGACTGCAAACGCGAGCAACAGACTTTGAAGTCCTTTATTCCTTGTCTCGTCAACTTTATCCAACTTATCTGTGACTTTAAAATGTCGGACTGGAATGCGTTTACGGTCTTCCAGGGTTCTTGTACCCTTAATAAAACTGTCTTCAGCGCAACAAATCTGTTCCAATTTACGACTTGGGTGGACAGACTGAGAGCCGACGCATTGCAGGGGGGTATTCCAGCCGACCGAGTCAACGATGTCGTCAGGCTACTGAACAAATTCTTTCCGCCGTATGTCCAACAAGAACTTCTTTCTCTGGAATCCTCCTAGTACTTCTATCACGTTTATATTCGATGTTTCTCGTTTGCTTCCTGTACTATCATTCCTCCATCCCCACATACCGTCTTTTCCTTCTTCCTGTCCTGAGCTTCGGCATGGGAAATCATGAGTGCCAAGCTAAGTATTGTAGGGGTTCTCAGCCACTGCTGGTGGCCTTCAACCAACCTGATCCACCGAATCCCTCCATAGATCCAGACCCAGAGATCGTCAAATATGGGAACAATGAGATCAGAATCAACGACGGGCCTTCTGCCTTGGGCTACATTTTCAGCATCGCAGCAAGCAACGCCGCTTTCCCCAGGAAGTATGATAACTACGCAGTTCCTCTGCTGGCCATGTATTCTCGGTGTCTTTATCTAGCATACATCCTTGGCGATGCAGGGCTGCCGAACGACGAAGGCGTACCGTATATGGGCAACTGCATATACACAGTCATCGCCGGAGCAGAACCTGATTTTGATCTTCTTCTTGGTAAGATGTCAAGTCTTGACAACATAAAAGCTCGAGGAACACTAGTTGTTGATGCTTATATACAGGGAGCACTTATCAAACCATTGGAGACCTGAGAGCCTCCAAAATTCAAATGATGAATCGGTTCCGTCGTGGTATCGTCGATGGCGGACTTAGCCAGTACAACCCAGTACACACCCCACCTCTGGAGCCTCGAGTTTATGCCGGGGCTAGGTTGGCACTGAAGAAATACCTGCGAGGCTTGGTACCAAGTAAAGGCGGTACTAACTTATGGATACCTGGCACGACTGATATTGCCCAAGGCAATCCTCTGGTCACCAATTTAGCAGCCCAGACAAGCTTTAATGCGCTCGCCACAGCTTGGGCGGCTGAGTGGCTCACCCAAAAAAAGACTCTGATTGTGCCGCTGGCAATGCTGAAAGCCGTTTCTTCTCAAGCCCTGACGTCGGTCGGAGGCCCATCGATTGCACAAGCTATCGAGAATGTGCTAGGTCAGATCGTTACAAAGCGCTGGGCAGCAGATTATCATCGCGCAACCGCGTGGCCAGAACTCTTTCCTCTCGTAAAGGAATTCTATACCCAGGTGTATATCCCGCACATGTTCCCTGTCCAGGCGGCCGCGCCACTGACGCCCGACCTTACGCAACCGCAAGTGACAATGCCTGACTGGCCGGCTGCCGTCGATGCGGTGGTCGCAGGAATACTCACCGCCCAGAGAGAGGTGATCCTTGACAAGCTGGACCATCTATACTCATGGATCTCAACAGGTGCAGATAACCTATCGGATGGTGGCCCTGACAGGCCGCGCTATGGGCGATGTGCAGAGACACACCCAGTTGTCGGTCTTATGTAAGTGATGCCACCAATTCATAATTAATGCTTTCTATCCTTTTGATGCAGCTGAACTTCTCCGCAGGCCAAATTATGTTCCCAACCGGGTTATTTCGCCTGCCGCCAATCCATCCCCTGTTCGCGGATTCTCGGTCCAAATACTTCGCTTTAGCAACTTGGTCCTGCCAAACGTCGTCACGTGCAACAATCTGTCTCTGGATGGAGGTTTTACCAGTGCTACTCTGAATGCCTTCCATGCAGCCGCTGTCAACGACCCGGTCTACCGCCTCCCATGCGATAATTGCAAAATCCTGCTCCCAGAAATGGATGCGCCGATGGGACAGAATGCTTACTACGCCGATATGGCGGCACTTGATCCCATTGGTTTTCCTAACATCAGTTAACCATATCGGGCTATAGGAGGACAATGGCCCGGGAAATGCCAGTTGTCTTAGATACTCGGCAGATTTCAGAATTTCAAATCACCTGCGTAAGCTGTGATGGTGTTCAGACGGCAACATTGAAGTCGAGGGAGTGGTGTGCACTTTGGCTTACCTATGTCGAGTTTGGCTCCAGAATGAAACCTATTTTCCCCAACGTCTAAACCTGCTTCAACACCGCGAATAATAGCGGCTTTAGTCACGTACAATCTGAACGTGATATTGCATAAACGACAGTAATGAATGTATTCAATTGATTGACGAGGGATGACTAACACTTGCAAACATCTAGAAGATTATCCTTGGGATCGAACTTTTCCTCTCTCCAGTCCTCTTTTACCCACTTAGTGCCAGCCAATGTAGCTTCACAAGACTTTCGAAGACATGTGTTCACAACGAAGCTCACAAAGTCTTGACGGTGACGACGTTTGCGTCCTTCTCTACCTCAAGCTCCCTCTTAACATCTCCGACGTTCATCCTAGCGACCTTTGCATCATCGCCATCGAACACCTTGGCTACTTCCTCCAGCGTCAGACCCTTAGTCTCAGGGTAGAAGAAGTACACGAAGAGGAGATAGCAGAAGTCCAGTATCTATATGAGTAGTCAGACATTGACCAGTTTGAAAGCGGTCCTTCGTGGTTTTTTAGACTTACGGTATAGAACATTGCGAGCGTCCAGGCGTGTCCAGCCGCAGTGAAGTTATCCCAAGCGATTGGGTTTGTGTAACTGGTGATTACTAATTAGCAACATAGTCATGATAAGTAAGGGGTCTGTTCACGCACCTTCCAAGAACGATGAGTCCCTTAACAAAGATCGTCTGGATCACACCGGCCTTTGCTCGGAGGCTGTACGGCATGATCTCTAGGGCATAAGCCGCCATCACGCCCGTCCACGCAATCTGGTAGGCGACGGTGAACAGCCAGATAAAAGCGATCTGTGGATAGCCAAATCTAGCCAGATCCTTAGTTTGCTCGTATTGGGAACTGACGATGGTCCAGCCCATATACGCGAGTACAATACCCGCGGTCGAAGCGAGGAAAAGGGGACGCCGGCCAAACCGGTCTATAAAAAGGGAGAAGGTGACCGAAACGATCAGAGACAGGATGGTCTGTCCCCCGCTAAGCTGTAGGACTCATCTATCAGCTCTGGAAAGAGAAGGGAAAGATGGGGGGCTGGCGGTCGCCGCGTCAACTTACAAGGATCTTGTTCGTCTGCTCGTGAATACCAGCACCCTCATATATCTTGTTGGCGTAGTTTGAGAACAGATTACTCCCGCTGTACTGCGAAACCATCGCCAGAGAGACGAGCAAGAGAACGCGATACCTGTTGCCCGCGGTTCTCGCAAAGTCTAGAAAGCTGCTCGACCTCTTACTTTGGAATTCGAGCGCTAGCGTCTGCTTCATCTCCTGGAATTCGAATGCGACCGTCTCGTTTGCCTTGTCACCGTTGCCATGGTACCGCGCCAGCATCTCCTCGGCCTGCTCGTATCTCTCCTTGGCCACCAGCCAGCGCGGCGATTCTGGTATCCAGTAGATGAAGGCGAGCACGAGCACCGCGGGAAAGGCTTGTAGAAGGGTGAGCGAGCGCCAGGACCAATCGCCCGCGATGTGGATGGTTGCCAGCGCCAACCAGGAGCACGACGTCGACCCGACACCGTACATGCAATTAACGATAGCGGAGGCCTTGGCCCGGTGTTGAGGGTGGGCTACCTCAGTGATGAGCAGCCCAGCCATTCCGCCGTTGAAGGAGCTTCCGAAGCCAAGGATGAACCGACCGGCCATGTACACTGTGATATCACTTCGCGTTAGCCTTCCTGACTTTCAGCCTCGCGCTCCTCAGTGCTCGCTTGTCGACACTGAACTTTCATCATTGAGGAAAGAGTCTTCGTACTCCCGTAGCCATTAGAGAAGGCGCCGATGAAGGCGCCAATCGCCTCGACGACACAGCCAATAATGATAGGCGTCTTCCGCCCGTAATTATCCGCGAAGAAGGGCCTGGGAGATTCAAATATGGTCAGTGAGCAGGCACACACATGCATTTGCTGCGAGTAGTTCTCAAGGCATCTCCTTACACCATCCAAAAGCTGCACAGAGATCCTATGTCAAGAATGGCTACTATTATGCCCAGTCTACCGCCAGTAGGTCGGTCAAAATGGACTTGCCACTGATCCATGACCTGAGATGTATTCATGAGCTTCCTGTAGAACAATCAAGTCAGCCTTCTCAAAGCACAAGAACGGGTTGGTCGCCACACAGCAATGGATATTCGGGAGTGCTCTTCTTAACATCGGCATTCAGGGCCAACTTACGCGTCAAAGCCCGTCGACGCTGACATCCACATCAGAATACTGCACCAGAAGTACAGCCTTCGGAGCCCACGATCCTTCCACCATATGACAGGCTCGAATTCAGGAGCTTCCGCCTGGGCAGCTTCCGCCTGGGTGTGCTTCGCCCCGCGGCCGAGGGCGATTTGAACCATCTTAGACGCTGTCAATCCGTAGATTACAACGGCGCAAACAAAAAGGAATAGCGTGTGATGGGTTTCTGCAAAAGACTAGGCGAAACCAATTTCCCGCAAGCAAGAATTGCGCTCTCTTTGTAGTCAGTCTGAAGAAGAAGTCAGGCGGCACTTTATGAAGTCAAAAACTAAGGAGACGTGTCATACATCTGTGTTTGGATAACAGCCCATGGTACGATGCCCATGAGGGGGATGAGCGCGCGGGTAACACCGCCGGCCCTGGGGATCCCCCTGAACTCTATCCTACATGCGACGAACCTTAAAATTGCCGGCACCTTAATTCCAGCAGCAAAAGGTGTGCGCCCCCAGAAAGCAAATCGCCCATTTTGGAACATCCGAAGTCAGACTGAAGTTTCCGTCCTTCGATGGAACGAGACAGAAGAAAGTGAGCTAGGTATGCGCTTGCCAGTCGACACCGCTATTCTCACCTGTACAGAGTGTTTATGCTCCTTTTCCCGCGTCGCCAATGCGGAAACTTGGTACCGAAGTTCGACTCCTCGTGGTAATTGTTAGTGAACTCCTGGCATTGGTCTTGGCTTATGGACACCTCACCGCATTGAGATGATCAAACTCGCTGACAAACCTAGTACTGGCCTCTGTACCAATGTTATGCACAACGCCGACAGGTCTTTTGAGTTCCTCTGATGGGACACATGAGTCCGGAAGTTACACACCGGGCGTACATCACGTTAATGGTGTCTTCCGGCGGTTTGATACGGGGCGACAACTCACCTGACGAGGCAAAGCCTCAAGGACTTGTAACGATATTTTGTCTTTGGTCTGAAGCATGCCAAGTCAACGTCGCTTTGCGCTCATCCGAAACCTTCTTACAAATTTAGTCAAACAAGATGAACGTGGGCAATGCGGATGGCATCCAGATGTCCCCGCGGCTTTCGAGGATGAGTAACTTAGTAGTCCTTACTGCCAGGAGAAGGCTTTTCATGTCTTCAATGCATATATGTCTGCGTTCAATCTTATTATCTCGTTTCAGAAGATCCCCACGAATGCAGTACACTGGCTGTACGTAGGACTTTGAGGGTGGACACGTGTGACATTGCTGTGTGCTGCGAAGATGGATGAAAGTTATAATACAGACCGAGGGAACTGATAAGGCCCGTACTCCGAAGATGGATTAAGAAACTCAAATTGAATGAGAAACGCGGCGAAAATCGGAAAGAAGTTGCAGTAAAGATGCATTAAAAAATAAATATACCCTCCAAAAGCACGTGGTTCATCATGCAGACTAAGTACTTAAGTGAATAAATAAAAATAAAAAAAAGAACTTCCAGCCGAGACTTGAAGAAGAGCCATATTATCACGGCTCTGAGTCCATCAACTATATGCAGCCTTGAACGTAACTGGTATTGCCGAATAAGCTGGGCTTTGACTTGATTAGAACATTATAGATTCAGGGACCTAGTCGATGTTAGTTGTCACGATCCCCTTCACATTGCGGGGTAAAGACACAGCAATCAGATCCACAAGGCCAAGTTGCAGGCACCAGTATCTTTTGAGCAGCGGTGTAAATACTAAGCTTAGAGGTAGCTTTGGGACGTAAACCGTCGGCGTGTTTGTCCAAGGATAGTTGCTGGTGACGCATTATGAATGGCTTTGGGAGTCACAAAAGATTGCAGCTACTAGCTTGTGCTTTATCAAAATGTACCAAGAAAACATAGCCTCGGCTCATTCAACCATTTCTTCGTTACACTTGAATATTCTATGTTCAAGAACACGTACGCGTGAGACGGTCTGTAGCTAAGCCTTAGGTTCACTCGAGGTTGACAATTTTGTATGAAGCTAGCTGCATAATCGAAAAGGCTTTCTACCCACTGTACTTTTGCTTCAAGCTGCAGACTCTAGCATTTCCCAATGGTAAAATCCCCATTACTCAGCTGGTGTTCGTAATCGTAGTACACCTGAAACTCGGCGTAGCAATAGTCGGGATCCCCTTCTAGATCAAAAGTGTTGCGTGCCTGCTCCTCGTCGATCAAAGCTTTGGTGATGCTCGAATTCCCCGCGACTGCTGCCTCAACAGCCAGCTGGTCACGACAAGAGTGCTCCATGGCATCGAATAGCCAGGCAGCCTCGTCCACAGTCTGACCCACCGTCAACAGGCCGTGGTTCTTCAAGATGCAGCCTTTGCCATGGGGGCCGAGGGCACGAGCGATGTTGGCGCCCTCCTCGGCCGCGAGAACTACACCACCATACGAATCGTAGACGCCGTGACCATCGCCGAAGAACTTGCATGCGTCCTGCGTGAGCATGTCTAGGCGCCGTCCGACCGCAGACCAGGCTTTGCCAGCAGGGCTGTGGCAGTGACATGCTGCATGTACATCCGCCCGGGCTTTGTGGACGGCAGCATGGATGAGAAAGCCTGCCGTGTTGGCCGGCCGTGATCGATTGCCCCCAATGATCTCCCCATCGAGGTTCACAAGAACCATGTCGGATGCCTTGAGGAGACCGAAGTGCAGGCCCAGGGGGTTAGTCCAAAACGCATCCGTGAATTCCGGGTCTCGATACGAGATGTGACCGGAGAACCCAAACACGTAACCTTCACGCGACCAGTGTCGGAAGACGGCAGCGAGATGGTTCAGTCTGTGGTTCCGGTCGGATTCAAAGGAGACATGACGAGGGGGTCCTTTGAGCGTCAAGCCACCGTGCGAGATGGTTTCGAGTGGTCTCAACTTCTCACCGCGACTCACCCGGGTCGTGGTTACACTGTTGACTAGTGCATCGTCTGCTTTTATAGAAATAGTGCCTTGGTCTTCCCTTCCTGCGGATTGTAAATTTGACTTAGCCGTTTCGGGCACCGTTATTGTTGTCGTTTTTGCTTCCATGACTATTTGCTTGGAAAGATGCTGTTTTGCTTCGTATTGATAACAGAGCGGAGAGACGAGCAAGCGGGGAAGCTCGTCGAAATGGTAAAGCAGTAGTGGGCAGACGATTTGATATCTCTGCCAATCTCTGCCAATCTCTGCCAATCAAGGCACAGGTGAGTGAGTAATCAAGCGAGGGAAACGGGAGATGCCATTTACTAATATGGATACGCTACATGTACACAAGTATATGAATGACTAGGGTCAAGAATTGAATACCAAAACACGAATGATGACTACAACGACAGACTCCCTTACTCATGAAAGTCGGACATTGGTCGGTGGCAAATCTCATCTGACGGCAATTAGAATGAATCGTCGCATTTAGAGACCAGAGAGATTTTGATATCAACTACCATCTGTCCAGCACTCAACCGTAAAGCTAGAATCGTAGTCATCCTCCCTAGGGTCGAATTTGCCCCATCTTGCCCACCACCAATAGTCAATACGAGCCTCGGCCCTCGAGTTCAGCCGCGCTGCGTCCCACATGACGAAGCCCCAGCGGCGCAAAGCCTCGGGTACGTAAATGCCAGTGAGATTGCTATACTCGCCCCTCCAATACATGACCCAGGCAAGCGTCGGTGAGTCCAGTCTGTCACCGTCAAACGGCATTTCTTGCCTGAAGTCCTGGGCCGAATCGCGTTTAGAGTACCACTTTTCACGTCTCTCCATCTGTACAAGCTCCTGAACGGCGTTTTCTATCCAGGCGTCTCCTATACCTGACACAATTGCAACGCGCATCATTTCCACTAGCTGTTCGTGACCTTTCGTCTTTAAAATATCAGATAGGAACTGCGGACCGTATTCTAGAACCGCGTTCATTGACCGCAGGTTCATATCTGATCATTTCATTAGTCAGGGGTCTAGATCTGGTGCAAAACCTACAAGGGCAGAGCTACACCTACGTTCGTGCTCTGTTCCGCTATCCGAAACAAGCAACAAATCCTCGTTGACACTGGCTAGACTCACGTGTTGGTATTTTGAATTCCGCTCCTCATTTAAATCCCAGGCTACTCGCCTAAATATATCACTATAAGTGTCCTTAGCGAATTCGTGAATAGACAAAATCTCCTCAACTTCTCACGCTGGAAATATTAAGACAATACGGAGGCGGTCGACATCATCCCAAATCCTTTCTGGAGAGCTACGTCCCTCTCCCAAATACCCGCATACGTTGCAGAACAGCTGCAAACGATATATGGCACGCTGGATACGGCACCTCTCCGTATCGCTAAGGGGTCGCTGTTCAGCTCGCTCTTCTGTCGACGGGCAGGGTAGCGACGCCAACGCCCAACTGGCGTACCGCTCGGTAAGAGGTTCTAAGACAGAGGTATGAAACCGGAGAAGATGAATGATATCGTCGAAGGACAGCTCGGCGGTCCAGTCATTTGCTGTTTTCGTGTATTTCGCTTCGTGCTCATGAACAAAAGCCCAGAGCAGAGACTCTTCGCGGGTCGCTTGAAAGAGATTTGTACCAGAGTGATACACTCCCAGGGCGTCGACAAGCATTCCGTTTTAAATCTGTGCCAAGACAGATCGCAAGATAGGCACGCGGTCCTCTATGTAGACGCGGTGTAATTGGGGCGAGGCGTGGACGAGCGCGCTCAGCGACTGGAGCGTCGGGAGCGTCGGCGCCTTGGACATGACAAGTACCTGGAGCTCAACAGGCAGCTTCTCCAGGGAGGGCTGAGGTGTTGTTGAGGGGTCAAGAGCGCTATCAAGTTGCTTGGCAGGTTCCGCTCCTTCGCCGTTGGCATCCCCGGTGCTAAGTGCCTGCAGGGACGAGGTGAGTTTGTCCATGATGGTGCTGCCTGTGATACCGAAAGTGTTGGAAGTGTGATGGCAAAATCGGATACAAGAGCCTCGAAAATGGGAGAAGTAAGTGGGACAATGAGGGGTTTTCGAAACAAACCGATAAAAGTGTGAGAGCTTGTAGACGGAGATTCATTAGGGGGATGGCACGGCGGCAGTGCCCGGTTGCTTTAGCGCACCAACAGTGGAGCGAGTGACTTCGGCCCCGGTCAGTGAGTTACTGACGAGTGCCTGCGACTGCCACACGTCCAACTATACACCCTCGCCCGTGTAGAAGCATAAAGACTGGATGTATACAGATTCCTGTCCGCGAAGACTGTTTCACGATCTCTCGCGTGGTGGGCCGAATCGCTTTGAAGACGTTGCATCACATTTATTGTTTGTAGGATTTGTATGGTTTGGTGCGTCTTAGTTCTTTGCTTGGCTGCTTGTGCAACGGACGGCTGCCAAAATAAGCTGCTTGTTGGGAGATATCTTGAGAGTAGATTGTGGCCCTTCTCACTTCTTGTTTCGGTATTTCAGGAAAATAGTGTGTATCAGGTCGAGGCCCTTCAAGTCTCGAGCCTGGGCTTTGGGGACTATTCTGGGCATAACAGGGGCAGCAAAGGTTGCCAACAGGGACTTCGGGACCCGTTCTGGACCTGAACGCCAGCTCGTGTTGCTTCAACTCCAGATTTGATTTATTATTTAATTCTTATCTGTAATCTCGCACATCAATTCATCGATAAATTTGCAATGTTAGAAGTCGCAGTCATCCTGCTTACGTGAGCTAGTCTTGTTACACAGTCCGACCAGATTTGAGTCCTCGCCCTCAGCTGAAAGTATGAAACACCAGCAGGCAGCAATTTCCGTCTTGCATTGGCGTTTCCGATGCCATTCATCGTCAAACACAATGGCGTTCTCGGCAAGCTCGAATCGTATCAGATTAGAAGGAGGTCAACTGCTTATTGCCGAATGCTTGAGGCATGACGGGAGCCGTAAGCGCGGACGACTCGACCTCAACCGGCATATAGGCAATCGCGAGGGCAACTTTGATCCGGAGGGGAGCAACTTCGTTGCCACGGCGCGTAATGTCCAGCTTCAGGGCACCGTGCTCCGAGCTGAACTCAGATCCTCTATGGGTGCTTGGTGGCCGGACGCCATCGATCTCGACTCCTTTGTCGAAAATCAGGACGGGAATCTCACGATAGTCAAGCATTTTTTCCGGGGCACGACACGTCTGCGCCCCCAGCCAGCATCATTTGATCAGTCCTCAGCTCAAGACATCAAAAATGGGTCACAATCAGCCCTACAGTGCCAACTATGTCGGAATTGGTCGGTGCCGGGCAGTCGGGAGGACCGTTTAGAAAAAGTAATCCTCATTCGGCTATCCGACCTCTCATCGAGAAAACGGCGCACTGACTGTGCATCCTGCGGGCTTGCAGAGCGGATTATTCTGGAACTTGCCCCTCAGCTTTTTAGAGGCCGTGGAATTCTGCCAGAGAATTACACACTTCAATTCTCTCGGAGATTACTCAACGATACTCAGCCAACGTTCGAAATACAGGCATCGACTTCTAGCGTCGAAAAAGAATCTATCAGATGTCTTGTGCATACTGTGACAGGTACGTCTCCGGCGGATATATGTCATGGATGACATCCCTTAATAGACTTTGTAGGAAACGAGAACACCTCGCAGACCTTTGGAAACATTTCGAATGGGTTTCTACTGAAAGGCGAAAGCAAATCGCGGGACAGCGTACTTATGGCAAGGGCTTGGCTCGACAATTGCGTCTCGAGACATCGCAAATGTCCCAAATCAGTAAATCGTCGACTGCCAACACGTATACTGGATATCGGATTTAAAAGTGACGATCCGGTCAAGCTGATGACAACTTCCAACGTGGGTCCGGCAACGTACGCCTGCCTGAGCCATTGCTGGGGCAAAAGCAATCCGCTTTTGCTGACGCAGGCGAACCTCGATAGTCTTCATAAAGGCATCCCATATCGTTCACTCCAGGAGACCTACATCGACGCCATAGAACTGACCCGCAAGCTGGGCATCCGTTACATATGGATTGACACGCTCTGTATAATCCAAAACAGCCCTGGCGACTGGAAAACGGAGTCCAGCAAGATGCACGAATACTACGGCAATTGCTTCCTCTGCATAGCAGCCACCAGTGCAGCCGACCACGACGGAGGATGCAGAACGCGCGACCTCACAGTACAGCACGTGGGCCGGGGCGACGACGGTTGGCCTTATTCCGTATACGCGCGCCCATTGATCCCCCACATCAATCACTCAGGCATGTACCCACACGAGCGCTACTTCCCGCTCTTGACGCGGGCCTGGGTCTATCAGGAGCGCCGGCTGAGCTCGCGCGTTCTGCATGTCACCGACGCGGAGTTGTTCTTCGAATGCAGCAGCACCACGCACTGCGAATGCGGCGGCAGCGACGGCGGGAACAACACTACCAGCGCCTGGACCAAGGCGGAGGAGACCTTCTTCGCCGCGCACCGCAGGGTCAATCAAATGCCAGACGGCCCGCTAAAGGGCGAGCATGAGTGGCGGGCACACATCCACGCCTACAGCACGCTCGACCTCACCAAGCAGTCCGATCGCCTGCCAGCGCTTAGCGGCCTAGCGCAGTGGACGCGCTTGCGACGGCAGCAACTGGGCAAAGACCCCGGGCGGTATCTAGCTGGGTGCTGGGAGAGCACCCTCATCGACGACTTGTCATGGGTTGTCGGGCACCAGCTCACCCGGTATGAGGTTGACAAAGACGGTGGCTGGAGGGGCATTCCCGGACTTTTTACCGCGGCAGGTTCGGACTGCAATCCTTCCAAAATGAAGCCAACCGAGTATGTGGCGCCGTCGTGGTCCTGGAGCAGTGTGCTGGACCGGGTCAACTACGCGCCCTTTGGCCATTCGGAAGCGCTTTGCCACATCGAGGACGCCCACATCGAGCCCGCAACGGAGGGGGGAGACCCGTACGGCCAGTTGAAGGACGGGTGGTTGATCCTGCGTGCCAAGCTGCGGCCAAGCCGATGGGTGACCCAGAAGAAGTTTTTCAACGGATTCAGTACTTATCTGACCGACATTGCGGGCACGCAGCAGACGCTCATGGGTCTCAAGAAGGACAAGGGCCTGCAGTGGTGGCGGGACTGGCGCGACGGAGACGGGTCGCGGCTGGACGGAGACCAGCGACTCTATGTGATGCCGCTAGCGTCGCGCAAGATTTGGAGCAATAGCGAGGGTGCCGAGTTCCATCTCCAGTGGATGCCGGGCATACTCACTGTGACGGAGACTGCGTACCTGGTGCTGAGGCTCGTTGAGGGTGAGGGCGGTACGGAGGACCCCGGAGTGTACGAGAGAGTGGGATGGGCATCGTACTCCGGTGTGACAGGGGGTCCGGACTTCCGTGGTATTGAGATGGGCTACTTAAAGTTGATATAGGCTAGTACAGGCATGCATGTCACAGCGCTACCTGCTTCAACACATGAGTACACATTAACCCCGCGCTTTACGAGTATGAACGTTGACCAGAAAATGGCCACTTGGCACGGTCATAACGACAAACACCTTCCTCATCAGGTGGCCCAGCGGGAATCCCAGTTAGTGGACCTCATCTCCGAGGTGCCGGTCTCCAGAGGAAAGGAATCCTTCCGGCACTAATCCGGCTGACGTTAACTACATAGACAGTAATGCACACCATGCTGATTCCCTATTTCATCTGCAACTTTTGAAGGAGCGACATGCGTCATTTGCTCCTCAAATTCACTCAATACCAGTTGCGCACAAACAAACAGCGGACACCGTGATGCGTCAGACCTTAATCCCCAAGCCGATTATCTACAACACACCTCGCACCGACCTCACGTACGTCAGCCAAGACAACACGAAGTACATCCAATGATCTCAACTAACACTTTTTCAGGCACCCACCTCGATCATTTGCCTTCTGCGACATCATATAGCACTCTTAAAATGCCGTCAAGACGTCTTCAGGACTATTCCTGCCTCACCTTTGACTGTTACGGGACGCTTATCGACTGGGAAAATGGCTTCATTGAGGCGTTTCGCTCTTTGACAAATCGTCTCGACGCAAGCCACTCGTTACGTAAAGACCCGGCAGCTCTCTTAAAACTCTATGGGCAGCATGAACCACGTATACAGGCTCAATTCCCCACACTGAAATACTCTGCCATCCTGGAGAAGGTTTATGAGCAGATTGCCAGCGAGTGCGGTCTCGGCGAGGCTATCACAGACGCAGAAAAGACGGCTTTCGGAGCTAGCATTGGTACCTGGACTACCTTCCCTGATACAATTGAGGCTCTGCAACGGCTTAAGCGACACTTTAAGCTGGTCATTCTATCCAATGTTGATGAGGCGTCCTTTTCCCGGACTCTTTCGGGACCACTTTCAGGCGCCACATTTGACGCCACCTATGTCGCCGAAAAGATTGGATCTTATAAGCCCGACCTGAGGAATTTTCAATACCTAATTGACCACTGCAAGAGCGACCTGCAAGTGGAGAAAGGCCAGATCCTGCACACGGCGTACTCGCTGCCCGCGGATCTGAAGCCGGCCAAGGAGATCGGGCTGACCGGATGCCTCATTGAAAGATACCCGAATGCAATGGGTGGCGACTTTGAAAAAATGAAAGACGAAGTTGCTGTGGATTTCAGATTCGCAACGTTGAAGGATATGGCTGACGAGGCGGAACGGTTGTTCTCGTCATCCAGCTGAGCATGGGAATTTCGCACCTTCATCTTACTCACAGTTCGTCACTTCCATCACTTCCCAAGGATTGCGGTCTTTAGGTCTTTATGAAATGAGTGCCAATGATCGAGTAGATGTTCCAAACAGCTGTGTATCAATTCGGGTATTGATTGTCCGTTGGTGGCTATGCAAGTGACTCGTGATTCCTGCATGCACACTTCAAGGGCAGGTCACAGATCGAATACGGAAGGTATCATAAAACGTCGTTTCAATAGAATTATATGTGTAGACACGTTTCATGCCGACGGCTGATTAATTTGGCCGGCTAAACCTTCGTGCTTTTCTCGTTGTATAAGGGTCAGATCGGCAGGATTTCATCTCGTTGAATGCGGCTAACGGCCGTGTCTTTCATGCGGTGATCTGTCACAGGAAGCTTATGGCTAGCGGCTAGAAAGTAACTTTGAAGAAAATATCCATCGAAACAAGTCGTTGTGCTGCTCTGTGTTTTCTGAATTGGGCTACTCCACCCAAGACATAGATCAACCCTAACCCACTGAGGAAAGTAATTTTTGATGTCTTCCATATTACGCGAGACGGAGCTTTAGTAATGTTGGATAGTCAGCCATGACAGACTCACCCCCAGAGTCATTCCACTGATTAGTTAGTAGTCTATAATCGAGAGAGAACTGCAGCTTATTCTTTGCTGACAGCGCACCCCCGACGCCTTGTTACACACGCGTTGTTAATAGTGGAACTCATAGCCTCACCAGCGTCGGCAGCATCTATACCTCAGCGAAATCTCTCGATAAGAGCTTGATCGAATGCATCCATGATATTTTACCCAGCTGTCATATAACGCGGGACTACGGCATACCTGAAAGGACGTGTGTCGCGACAGCCACGTATCGCAAAGACAATTTGTTTGAATCCGTCGGCTACGTATTGCCTGGAAACCAAGTCCCCCTTGTTGAGAGGGATGAAACACAATTGAAGGTCACGATGTTGTTGAAGAGCTGCGCATTCGACGACTCTGCATGATTTTGGATATCTGGGGAACGACACAGCCACGCGCAAGAAGAAGACGCCTGATGTCTGGCTGACCACAGTCATTTGCTCATTACCAACCGCATGAGGAAGCTAATCAAAGTCAAAGTGAGTTTCATAAGCTAGCCTCTTCTCTATATTAAGCTATTTTAAATCCACGATTGCGCACAGCTGGTCCTGCGGCATGCAAGTCACGCAAGTCGAGCTGGAGGCCGTGCTGAAATCAAACTGTCTCGTAGCGGATTTTATCGTCATTTCAATCTCTGACGATATGGCTGAAGAGCTGCTGCGAGCAAAGATTGTCAAATTACGGCCGGCGGAAGCCTGAGGGGTCAGTGAGATCCAGGAAGAGCTTCATGCGCTGATGAACGAGGGACTCCCCTCGAACAGGCGGTTTGCGGGTGGCATCAGTTGCTTGTCAGCGATCTCCAGAATGGCACATTATGCGGAAAAGTCCGGCGTAATCAGATGAAGCAGATGGCTAGAGATCACTATGTAGCCGGGAAGACAGCTCACGAGTTCGAGTCGGTGCTGGGGTCGACTCAAGTACTCACCTGCGGTACAGAAGAGTAGGACGAGGATAGCGGTGAATAGCGCAAAATGGTCATGTACAGGTTACTTGTCTGATCGGTATCCTCTTTCCGAGGAGCTCGACGCATTCTTTCTTCGTACCCATCCTGCAAGATATGGACAGGAAACTTCGAATCGCGTTCTGACGCTGACGTGCTTTCAAAGAAATGATTTCCCCACTACGTAACCCCCAGTCGGTCATGATTTTTCTCGGTTACTCCTATCGAGCTATTTAGTACATGCCAAGCGTGATGCGCGACCCACAGGTTCTTCTGTAAGACGGGGCATCTACGACCCGTTCTGCCTAGATTCGATCGTTTCAGAAGTACAATTTGATTGGTGGGAAAGAAGAAATATCAGTGATGAATCTCACAACAGCTTAAACCAAGATAACATTACTTATTCTTATCGTGATTTTTGGGATTTCAAAGTTGCAGCCTGGTTCATTGTAAACTTACAAGTACAGAGGTTGGTGGAAAGTCGGATATGTTATCCCTGAAATCCCAGTGAAACTAGCGTTCTCTCGTTCAGAAGGGCACGTACCTCGGTACGCAGTGCTCGAAGCCGTCGACACCACTGGCTTCAAATTCCCATAACGTCAAGTTGATTGCTCCCGTGACTGGCTTCTCCAGCAGCACAAAATCACATCTGTCACCAATTCAAAGCCAAGTACAGTCGTTCGGTGTCAGGCCTCCATCCTGGATTTGAGCGCAACAATATGGATGCCTCGATGCTCTGCGGCGACGACTCTTTCGGTCCAGGAGTCAAATCTGTTGACTGTCGCGGAGGCTTTGACTTCACTGGTTAGTATGACGTTCCAGAAATGATGATCCATGCTGAAGTCTGGGTTGTAGCCTCCTTCGAAGAAGCCATCTTGGCCATCCTGCCCACCGCCTGTTTCATTATCGTGACGCCGTTCCGGACGCTGCATTTGTTCCGAGGGAGGCTTCGAGTCAGAAAGAATGCTCTTCACGTCTTTAAGCTGGTACGTCACCGCAGCGACACGGACGAGGGAGAAGTCTAACGAGAGCTAGGGCACCATCGCCACCTTCACTGCTCTGCAAATCGCCATCTTGGTGTTGATAGCCGCAAACCCGACGTTCCGAACCCATGTATCACTGCCGTCGGCCGTACTCTCTGTAGTCGCAGCTGTGACTCTCGCTGTCTTGTCTCACCTCGAGCATGCCCGATCTGTCAGGCCGTCCTTCATCATCAATCTTTACCTCATCACCACTGCCTTGTTTGACGCTGTTCGGCTCAGAACTTATTGGCTCATGCGAGAAAACGACATCCATGTCCTTGCTGCAGTCATGACCGCTTCTCTTGCGGTCAAGCTTGTGATTCTGCTACTGGAAGCTACAGAGAAACGATCTATTCTCCTCGATATATACAGCCGATTCTCAATCGAGAGTACCAGTGGACTGATAAGTCGAAGCTCTTTCTGGTGGTTGAACTCGCTTTTGATTTCCGGTCACAGGATAGTCCTGTCTATTACCGACCTGCCAGCCATCCACGAAAAGCTCGACTCGGCAAGCTTGGGCAAACAATTACAGTCCGCGTGGGACGAATGTAAGTCTCGAAAACAAACACAAATGAATTGAAACTGACTACAATATTCACAGGTAATCAGAGCAGAAAGCACGCTTTAGCCCGCGCTTGTGTGTGGAGTCTGCGCTGGGAGATACCCGTGATCTACATCCCCAAGCTCTGCTATGCTGCACTCAACATAAGCCAGGTCTATCTCATTCAGAATGCTGTGACATACGTGCAGGGAGACGATCCTATCAACAGGGGATATGGGTTGATTGGTACATTTGCCTTGGTTTACACCGGATTTGCGGTATGTCACTAGAAGATTACGAACCTGTTTGATTTCCCAAAGCTTTTTCGCTAACGACAGGCAGATAATGATGGGATGGTCATCCCACCTCTCATATCGCCTCATGACAATGATCCGAGGCCAGCTGACAATGGTCATCTACAAGAAGATGTTGACACTTCCTACAGCCAATGCTAACGAATCGGCGGCGATGAGCCTGGTGGGCACTGACGTGCAAAGAATCGCTGAGACATTCAGGGAGCTTCTTATAGAGATAGTACCGAGTGTGCTCCAGCTGGCCGTTGCCGTCTACTTGCTCTACGCTCAACTGGGCGCCGTCTGCGTTGCACCTGTCCTGGTTACAATCATTTGCACGGGTCTATCAGTGCTCGCTGCTAAGCTCATCACCTCCAGGCAGAGGGCATGGCTCGAGGCCGTACAGAAGCGGATCAACTACACATCAGAGATCTTAGGATCAATGAAAAATGTCAAGATACTCGGTCTCACTGGCCAGCAAACTGCAGGCATTCAACAGTTTCGCAACAATGAACTCGCTAGCTCGAAGAGATACAGAAAGGTTCAAAGTCTGAATATATCTCTAGGTATGTTTTCAGAAGGACCCATGTGCATGTCTTTGTGTTCTCTACTGTTCAAGCAGCTGATGGCCAAATAGTCAACCTCCCAGACACTTTTAACTCGTTCATCATTTTCGCAGCTTATGCAGTGACAGCACAGCTGCGTGGAGACAGTGGATTCTCGGTGCCGCAAGCGATCACCTCTCTAGCAGCCTTGAATCTTCTATCAGCACCGCTTGGTATCCTCTTGTATTCGATACCACAGGGTTGGGCTGCACTCGGCTGTTTCGGTAGGATCCAGGAGTTCTTGCTTCTCCCTTCGCGTGTTGAACAGCGTAAACTGCCATCTGTCGTGAGTACCGATGACGAAAGTATTCGGGATCAGGAATGGATCGAGCTGCAGTCAACAAAACGACCGACAGTGAGCAAAATCACCATCAGTCCAGGAAGATTTGCATGGTCGGACTCAAACTCGCAAGCCGTCAAGCTGAACGTTCCTTTGGAAATCGTTCCAGGGCTCACCATCCTCGTTGGCCCGGTTGGGTGTGGCAAATCGACATTGTTGAAGGGTATACTTGGCGAGACACCGCATATCTCTTGCCAGGTCAGCATGCCGTCTCCAGAGATCGCGTACGGGGACCAATCCGTCTGGATAATGAATGGTACTGTTTTGGAAAACATCACTGCTGGAACTGGACATAATTTGGACGTCGAGTGGTACAGGACGGTCTGTCACGCGTGCGCGCTTGATGTCGACTTCCGCCAGTTGCCGGACGGCGATTCCACCGTGGTGGGAAGCAAAGGTGTAAAGATGAGCGGCGGTCAACGGCAACGCATATCCCTGGCGCGAGCATTATACTCGCGGATAAAGTTAGTTATCTTCGATGATGTGCTGGCCGGGCTGGACTCTGTGACTGAGGAACTGGTGTTCAATCGCGTCTTCGGTCGGGATGGTCTCCTACGCAAGCTCAACGCCACGGTTGTTCTCGCCACTCACTCTGTGAAACGATTACCGCAGGCCGATCTCATCCTCGTCCTGGAGCAGGATGGCACACTTGTCCAGCAAGGTAGCTTCGATGAGCTGAATGCTTCTGGGCTCTACATTCAGGAGATGGAGCTCAGGCTAGCGGATGAGATTTCTGGCCGGGACGATGAGCCCGTCGATGAAAAAGAACAAGGCGACGGAAAAGATATACCATCTGCAGCGGCAGCCGTTGATGAGACCCGCAAGACGGGTGACTGGATGATCTACAAGTACTACGCACGCGCCTTGGGACCGCTCGGGCTGGCCTTTTTTATTTTCCTTGTCGCCGGAACATCGGTATTCAATGCAATGAAGCGTAAGTACCCTCAACCGCTGACAGGAGGTGCCTTCTAATTGTCATAGAGGTCTGGCTCAACTGGTGGGCGAATAATAACCAGAACGGTGGCGCCCAAAATCTTGGTTATTGGCTCGGCATGTTTGGATTCATAAACTTCATGAGTGGGCTTTTTATGGTTGGCGCAGTCGCGTGAGTGTATCACCCTACTATTCCCCCGGGAAAGTTGAATTTTGCTCATGCTGAATGTTTCTAGGTTTCTTTGGGTCGTCATGATTCCGCGGTCTGGAAAGAACCTGCACCAATCAATCTTGGACGCTGTTATGCGGTTCGTGTTGCATTGACAGAGGATACTATTTGGAACTTGACTGATATGAATTCAGGGCGCCTCTGTCATTCTTCTCCGAGACAGAGACTGGAGTGCTGGTTAATAGGTAAGAGCCCTTCCACTTCGTAAGCTGCCAATCATCTCAAGTGCAAGGTGTTAACGGCTTTGTAGATTCAGCCAGGACCTGCGTTACGCTGATATGAGTCTCCCGGCGGCAATTATCAACATAGCATTCCGTGCGTTCTTCCGTGTTGATATTATTGGAAATACCCCTTACTAAATTCTCACAGATCTTGGGGGCTGCCTGGCTACCATAGCGTTGTCGGCCACAGCAGTGGGCTACTTTGCCGCCATCTTGCCATTTGTTCTAGCAGCGCTCTACGCTATTCAGAACTTTTACCTCCGCACCTCCCGGCAGCTTAGACTATTAGAGTATGCACCTCCCTGTCACTATCTACACGTAACAGCACTGACCGTTCGTTCTATGGGCAGACTTGAGGCCAATGCTCCCGTATTGGCACAGTTCATTGAGTCCCTTTCTGGGCTCGCCACTATCCGCGCCTACTCCTGGACTAGTATATACACATCGAAAAGCACCAATTTGCTGGATACAAGCCAGAAGCCATACTACCTTCTCCTCTGCATCCAACGCTGGTTGGTACTAGTCCTCGACCTCGTGGTCGCCGGTTTGGCGGTGGTCCTCGTCGGCATGGCAGTAGGCCTGCGATCAAGCATCAACCCTGGTTTTCTGGGTTTGGCATTGGTCAACATGATGAGCTTGTCACACTCCTTGACGCAGCTCGTGCAATTCTGGACTAATTTGGAGACTTCCCTTGGGGCAATCGCCCGAATCAAGGACTTCGCTGAGAATACACCCATTGAAAGGTCGCTGCAGGAGTCATCTGGTCATCTGGATGCTGATTGGCCAAGCAGGGGTGCTTTAAGGCTCGAGGGAGTATCTGCCAGATATAGGTTCGTTGGGATCGAGTAGATCTTTTTGAGGTCTTTATTTGTTAACTTTGTGGTTGACGTGCATGCTAATAACTCTTTCATAGCACTGTAAATGAGTCCCCAGTCCTCAAAGACATCAGCTTCTCGGTTCAAGGTGGCCAAAAAATTGGTATAGTTGGACGTACTGGAAGGTATGGACCTTTTATGCAAACGTCACTTGGACTGTGAGGCGCTGACACACATCTACCAACAGCGGAAAGAGCTCAACAGCACTTGCTATTCTCGGGCTCATCGATATTGTTTCTGGGCGAATTGTTCTCGACGGCGTCGACCTAGCCACCGTCCCAGGGCCGGTGGTGCGGGAACGACTTGTCTGTCTCACGCAGGACCCATTTCTGTTTCCCGGTTCCGTAAGGAGCAACCTCGATCCGCTTGGGGTCTCCTCAGATGAGCTCATTGTCTCTGCACTGCAGAGAGTCGGCCTATGGGATGTCATAAAGAAGAAAGCAGGCGGGTCCTCTTCGGACGTCTCCGTCGTCCTTGCCACAATAATGGAGACAGACACGTTCTCGCACGGCCAAAGACAACTGTTCTGTCTTGCTAGGGCTGTGCTAAAGCCCGGGAAATTGCTGATCCTCGATGAGCCTACGAGCAGGTAAGTCACACTTTCCGAAAGAGAACGAATGAGGAATATCTAGAGACGGACTTTATTGACTATTTACAGCGTTGACGGCGAAACGGACGTCCGGATGCAAGAGCTCATTCGCTCTGAATTCCAAGACTACACGATTATAATGATTGCCCACAGGCTATCAAGTCTTGTCGATTTTGACCGAGTGGCTGTCCTCGATGGAGGCAGCCTGGTAGAGTTTGGAAGCCCTGCAGAGCTACTCAGGGTTGGTTCGGGTCACTTTGCTAAACTGTACAATAACTCTGTGACCACTGGCCGAAGATAGCTTCTATTTGGGCTTCCCTCGCATCTGAGTCATTGTTCTGCAAGGACATATTTATTCTGAGCGGGAGATTGGCGATGATGAAAAAGCCACGCGCAATCACCAGTCGGTTGCATTTAATAGACGCGAGTGCAAGCATTTTTTTAATTTATTTTTTTATTTTCGTCTCTGGTATTCAGGGGCTGCGTCGGTGACAAGACTCTAATGTTTCGGAACCTGAAGACGGGATCAGAGTTGGACTTGGTCTAGCAGAAACGCACAGCAATGAGACCATGATCCTCTGCTGACCGAGCCGACAGTGTTCCTTCCAAATGCCACCTCGAAATCTGAAACCTGTGGAATGTAAATGCACCAGCTACTCTCCTTTCATCATTGTATTCTGGCCATCATCGAGAGCAATTTGATCCATTCTAACAGATTCCCTTCTTTGTCCCCTTCTTTGTCCCTTTGGACGTCAGGGTACTACTGTCTGATTGAGTACATGAGCAGGATGTGCTCTATAATTATGGTCTGTCTTCCCCCTCTCCAGAGGCGAAGGGGAGGATTTGATAGATTCAAGCAATCCAACCAGATCTCAGTACCCGGACACCTCTGAGAACCCGCCTACTTTCTGCACCTTGAGTGACCCAAACTTAGAGCTCAGGCCCACCAGAGCTGTGGTGGGGCGCTGGGGTCTTATCGATAAGATAATTGCGGGGGAAGGCGAGGTAGCTCGGTCCTCAGATGCGCGCCAGGCCGCCTCGGTCCCTTCTATGACTCGACGTCGTCACAGCGCCGGGTCCAGTCTAAGTCCACGCCGCATCACCTGTCAACTGTATTGCTCATTCGGCGAACGATCCAACCAACAAACCGTCCAAGTCATCAGGCACACGAAAGCAGTCATCGCTGCTGGATAAAAATTGGTCTCTCCCGTAGTTCAATCGCTGGGATTGCCTCGTCACTCTCGTTCCTGGCAGAAACACAGCATCAATGATCACTCGAATACATCGTCACATCTGATCAAAGGTACGCCCACGCCCCCACGCCCAACTCGCACGCTCAATTGCGATGGCCCGTCGTCGCAACTCAAGACCGAAGCATCTCTGGAGCCGATCGTGGAGTTTATGATGCTTTTGCCTCCCCTCTGCCTTGGCCGCTTGCTTCATCTAGTCCCCTCAGACAACTGTGGGATACACAGACTGACCAGCTGCCAACACCAGTGCCTCAAGACACGATGGCGACTACAAAACCTACAAAGCTACCCCAGGAGCGGCGGAAAGGCGAGGCTGCGTTGAGCGACTTCGCTGATTACGTCGAGAAGCAGCAAGCAATCAGATTTCCCAGTGCCAAACCAGCGCCGGGGGCGGTAGCTGCTGCTGCTGCTTCAGCCGAGGACGACCACGACGCCGAGCTCGACGACATCCTCGACGCCCTCGACCTCTCCGACCAAGCCCCTCTGGCCCCTCTCCACGAACTTCTCCTCGGAACTGATGACGAATCATTACAAAAGCTTGTCGACCTGTTGACATTACGGATAGAGGAGGGACATGGAGAGGCACTCTTCGACATCGGCTTCGAGCACAATGGCGAGTCCATGCGCCTTGACAAGGAGGGCTGGGACAAAGCGTGGAAGAGGCTACAGGAAGCCGCCAAGAATATCAAGGCAGACTGTCAATTACTATTAACCAAGAATGTCGGCGGTGAAGTTGAGAGCCAGGCAGCCGCCACCGACAAGGGCAAGGACTGCAATTCCAAGGTGCTCATTCGTCAAAGCCCTGCGACTGTCGAGAATGTCATCGAGACGAGGATAGCAGTCGTGGGCAATGTCGACGCCGGAAAGAGTTCCATGCTGGGCGTCTTAGTCAAAGGGGACCTTGACGATGGACGAGGAAAGGCACGAGTCAACTTGTTCCGACACAAGCACGAGATCGAGACCGGCCGGACCAGTTCTGTAGGAATGGAGATCATGGGCTTCGATACCCACGGCAATGTCATTACCAGCGACACGCCCGGTCGGAAGCTGTCGTGGGAGGAGATCGGGAAGCGCAGCGCCAAAGTCATTACTTTCACTGATCTTGCCGGTCATGAGCGGTACCTCCGGACCACGGTCTTTGGCTTGCTGTCCAGCAGTCCCAACTACTGCTTGCTGATGGTCGCTGCCAACAATGGTCTGATTGGCATGAGCAAAGAGCACCTCGGTATTGCGTTGGCTTTGAACGTCCCCGTCATGGTCGTCGTTACCAAGATTGACATTTGCCCGCCTCACATCCTCGAGCAGACATTGACCCAGATCACCAAGATACTCAAGTCTCCAGGTGCAAGGAAGATTCCCATCTTCATCAATAACCGCGACGAATGCATCAACACTGCAACCCAATTTGTTTCTCAGCGTATAACCCCAATTTTCCAGGTTTCCAATGTCACTGGCCAGAATCTGGACTTAGTACGAACGTTCTTGAATATCCTGCCGCATCACGGAAGGTGAGCTTACTTCTCGAGTCCCAGCCTGCGCTTCAACATACTAATTTTCATCACCACAGATATGACGCTGATGCGCCATTTGAATTCCATGTCAATGACACATTCTCCGTTCCTTTCGTCGGAACCGTTGTGTCGGGCATCATCAAATCTGGGGTTGTCCATGCAGGTGACAATGTTCTCATCGGGCCCGACAGCCTGGGCCAGTTTACGTCGAGCTCCATCCGCTCCATCGAACGGAAAAGAATCGGCGTACCAGCGGCGAGCGCCGGTCAAAGCGCTTCCTTCGCGCTCAAGAAAGTCAAGCGGAAAGACGTTCGGAAAGGCATGGTCGTGCTGCCGAAGCCAGCAGACGGGGCCCCATCGCCAAGGGTCTACAACGAGTTTGTCGCCGAGGTGCTGATCCTCAGCCACGCAACGACCATCAAGAAGAAGTACCAGGCGATGCTGCACGTCGGTCCCGTCAGCCAGACATGCTCCATCATCGACGTTGACCGGCCTTTCATCCGCACTGGTGACCGTGCGACAGTGGCATTCAAGTTTGTCCAGCGACCTGAGTATCTCGCTCCCGGTGATCGCTTGCTGTTCCGTGAGGGCAGGACGAAAGGGCTGGGAATCGTCAAAGCTGTGGGGTACGACCGCAGCTATTTTCCCAAGAGCGAGGACAGCGGCAGTGGGAATGGCAAGGCTGCGCAGGCGGCTGCACCGTCGGCCGCGGCTCCTGCAACTTCGGAACGTGGTCAAGATGTTAAGGTCGCGGGCTAGGTGCTTTCACCTTTGGATGACATGATTGTGTGCAGAGAGAAATGACCGCGAAGCATTCATGCTGGCTGATGTGTGGACCTAAGGATGTTGTTCCTGCATTTTGTGCACACAGATTGCGCGCACATACGAGCTGATGAGTTGATGGGTTTGGCTTTGTGCATGCTGCTGACGGGTGACTGGAGTTGGTGGAGTTCCTTGGGCTGGCTTTTTTATGAGAAAAGCGTAATGCTTGTGCATATTTGTTTCTCGTAGCTCTTTACACACTTATGTAGTAATTTGTTAACCCTGATACCAATCTGTCCATTTGTGCTGTCCTCAGGCAGCTAGCCTGAACCGCGACTGGATTTCCGAGGTGGAACCTATGGGCTTGAGCCTACTGGACCGTTTTATAACAAGCTCCACTACCGAATATTCAGGTATAAAGGTTGTGGATGTCTCTCGATTCCGGTGAAGCTCAACCGGGGAATCATGGGCCTGGTACTGTCAAAAATGAGGCTTGCGGCCTGATTAATACCCTGGATTTAGATCGGTAGCTGACGTCTGGAGCATCACCATGCCTAATCTTGGTATAAACTTGAAATATGATTGTGCAGCAGGCTCATCATACAACAAGAACGACCGATCGATGTCAGCCTGTTATATTTATATCAAGCTCTGGGCTCGGCTCATCTTTCGCACCCGAATCCAGTGGTTGACAGTTGACTTGATTTTGTAGCCATGGTTTTTTAAAATAAAGAGCCTTAGTTCAGTATCAAAAAGATGCGGACTTGGATCCGCCTTGATGTGAAGGCATGAGGGGTTGGAAAGAGGCGCGGTGTAGTATGATCGATAGCTATTGTGCACGATTTGTGCTGTTGTTGATTTTGCTTAAATCGAGAGTAGTAGTAGCTGGACGATCTATCCACAAATTCCTCGAATTTACTCCAGCCGTGAGGCTGTAGACAAAGCTTCTGCTGACTGTCTCCACTGTAGAGGTTGAAGCTGGAGGGCTCTGGAGTGCGAGGAGCCCGCCCCAAAATCTTACCAGACCACTGGACTTCTAAATTTGGCGCAGATGGAGGGATTTATACTTGAAATAAGATATATAAAGTTTTTCAGTCTCCCACTTGTCTTTTATCTTCTTGCCTAACACTAAACAAATCGCAACGCGTCAACATGCGTTTCGACCACCTCGCCCTTTTCTGCTTCGCTACATCCACGGCCACAGCAGCTGCATTCACTCGTGAGGCCACCGAACCTCTCTTGGAGGAACGAGCAGATTGCGGATGCACAAGAGACTACACCGGCAACAGCTTCGGTTGCGGTAGCATTAACCCCGGCCAAAACTACTGTCAGCTTATGGGTGTTGATGGAGATTATCCATTCTGTCTTTTTCGTTCACTTCAATGATGCCTGAGTAGTTCCTAGGGCTGAAAATATCGCAGAGGTGTGTAGAGTTTGCCTCCGGCGGCCTCACCTCGGCCAAGTGCTGCACTGTCTGCAGTGACCAGGGCCCTTGCTGGGCGGTTTTTGGGCTTGGGCTTCAAGGACTGTTCTCTATGTTTTTGATAATAACGTAATAAGAGACAGCTTTGCAAGGAGGTATGACATCGAGATAAGGCTTATTTTCTATGGGGATGGACAAAAAAGTTCAAAAAAGCATAATTTAGAAATTGTCATCAACGTCACAGGATCTGATGACGGTGTTTGCTGTGCAATGAAAGTCTATAATTGAGATTAAGAACAAATTGTATTTCATTTCTCGCCATACACGTGGTAGTCCGCGCACTCTCATATACAGCATCGATTCATGTCAGACTCGATACGACGCGATTTAGCTAAACTCTTTCCAGTAAGACATTAGTAAAAGAGGACCGCGTGGTGTATATGTGGTTTCAGGCTGAAGCAATATCATGTCCTCATGCTTTGACCCGTTGAACTAACTGATTTTGACCACCTCCGGCTCTGAAAGTTCAATACGTTAATGATTCAAATTGGATATACACTTGAATTCCTAGTCTTCGACTTATTGGAGATCGGGCAAGATGCTGATACTAAGTGGCGATATTCGGGAAAGGTTTTGTCAGATTATTTGGACTGATGTCGTATTGTAGTCGCAGGCATTCAATTTCTTTCAATCGATCCAGACATATCGATCATGAGCTTGGTTCCTGCGTTTGCGCCTCTTCCTTGTTGTCACTTTCCTTCTTCTCCTGTTGCTTCTGTGACTTGACCGTAGCCGGAGCGGCCTTTTTCTCCTTAGCTTTCTGCTCCTTTGCCTCCTCGGCAGCTTTCTCCGCCTTGACCTTCTCCTCCCACCAGCGCTGAACATAGGTAGCAAGGACCATCTCCAGCACCTCGCGGCCCTCCTCGCCGTCGTCAATGTCGATCTCCAGGTCGCCGAGCTTTCCCTGGTAGAACCACGGCTTCGCCATCTTGGCGACCACCTTGCCGTCCTTATCCGTGATTTTGGACGTCCCCGTCCATGTGTACGTGATTCCTCGGAACGTCACGGTGCGGTTGTTACTTCCAAACCAAGTGCTCTTGAGCTTCAGCTTGGCCTTATCATCGGATGCGGACTCTGCCTCCTCGGTCTCTGCCGTCCGCGACGGGTGCACTGCAAGTGTTGCATAGCTCGGCTCGTCGATGGTCGCGATGCAGATGCCGCCTTCTTTCTCGCTTGGTTGTCCACGCCAGACATACTTCTTTGTGCTCTTGACCCACCCGGTCTCGGTGGATGTGCTGTAGATAACGGCATTCGCGCTTGGCTCCTTGAACACCAGCTCGTTGGAGTTCTTGCCGAATATCCGACCTGGTGCGTTCGCGACTTGGTAAGTGAGCTTGGGCATTTTGAATGATATATATTAGATGGTGGAGCGGTGATGTGGCTGAGGTGTGGCTGTCCCAGGAATGAAATGGACAATGCCCAGTATTTCAAGGAGTGTGCATCCCGTGTAACTTGCGATGTGGGAAAAGTGATGTCATTCAGGCCTCCGCTAGCTCACACCCTCATCTCGCCATGAGTCTGATGATTGGCCTTTAGAACCTTAGACACCACACTCTCTGCATACTAATTAGCTCTAAAATTTGTCTGAACTTGCTTCTCAAGTGTTGCTTGAGTACGGGACCGCAAGAAAACATTAGACTGGATGAAGCGGAACTGTACACTCTATGAGTTCTCTTCTCAGTTATTATCCCGGTGAGCGATATTGCGAGACGATGCGATTTACTCTGCCAGTATCGTATGGGACCGTCAGACTCGATGCATCCTTGGTCAAATGTACATGTGCGGAATCATGGTCATTGCGAGTTCACTATATACACTCGTGATCTATAAATGCGGCGTCCTTCTATATGTACTTCTTAGTCTATGATAATTCTGCCCTTAGGAACCATGCTCATTCGTCCTCATGAATATACTCGGCACAAATCGTATCGCCTCCTGTTATGCGTTAGTCACATGTTACGCAACCTGAAGCAATGAATTCTGGAATGTTATAATAAAAGACGGATAGGCAAACCGTAGCAGAAAAAGGCTTATACTTACTTATATCCATCACATCAGCCACAGTGACATTTGGCATAATATCCAACATCCAAAGCACATGGTTCAATGTCGTGACGTTCCCATCATCTCCATCGTAGTCCAGTATGGCAGCTGTAGGGGCGATCCATTCGTTCTTCAACAAGTGGTCATCTCTTGGCACATTGCGTCCTCCCATGTCCGTAAGACGATAGGTCAGGTTCGCTTGCTGCCACTCCCACCAGAGACGGTCGACGTTGGCGTGATGCAGATAAAATAGAGGGTCTCCAGGGCTGGCGCTTTGGAGTTCGAGCTGTTCGTATGGTCAGCTACATGTACAAATGGTGCGGAGGATCGGGTATGGTGGAAGACTAACTGTTCCCGAAACAGCCAGATGAGCGGAGCTGTGAGGCTTCACGGAATAGCAACTCCATGCATCGTCATAAGTCGTTGCCGCGAAGCACGTGTCAGCGTAGGTACTGTTTGCCCACGACCAGTACGACGCAGTGAAGTTGCGGCCCAAGCAGTACTCCTCATATTCTATCACGCCCCAAGCTTGATCGAGGCGGAGCGTCGAATTTGCAAAGGGCCCGTCAACGACACATCGGTCGCCCTCGCGGCCGTTAGAGCCAAAGCTAAGGTCATCGGAGCCGAAAACGCTGGCATCCTCGACGGGGCCAGCGTCGGCATCTCGCTGCTCATCCCAGTAAGGCTGAGCACCGGTATAGTTGCATTCTTGCTGCAGGAGCACCTCATGGATGCGCATGTAGTAGCGGTGCCAAGGCCAGAATTGCCCGACGTCGTGGATGTCGTTGGACATGATTATGTGTGCCATTTGCAGCTCGTCCCAACGGTTCTTGGTGCCATTGATGCCCAGCTGGGCTGGCTGGGACATCAGACATTTCTCGGCCCGGATGTACTCGGCCTTCTCTTCATCGGTCAAGGCGTGCCTGTGGTGGTGATGCGTCAGCCTCTGTAACACACAAAATCAACACGTTTATGTGGGAAGCGTGTCCTCACCAGGCTTTCCTTTGATTCAAGGATGTGCATGAACTGGTTTCGTTTCTTGTGGAAAGATGAGAAGCACTAGTCAGTGCAGCAAGTGATAAGAGGCCAAGGAAGGCCGATCTAGCAAGCGAGGGACTCATTTTATCCGAAAATATCTGTAAGGACTGGCAGGACTACAAGTGATAGCCGGAAGGAAGAACGAAGGAAACATGTCTGTCAAGCGGATCATATAAGAAGGCGAATGGAGTAGTAAAAGAACCAAGCAACTGTGGCCTGCAACAATTGTTCAGTAATCCATTTCATCTCGGCGCCGGACGTCTATACCGATCCCGGCTCCGCTATGGATTCGGCATTATTCGTATGTGAGTCTGTACCAAGAAGGGCGGCTGTCAGTTCTGCGGGTCGGGCCTGGGTATCCTTCTCGTGTTACATCCGCCTCAGCCTCGCGGATCCTCTCGTACACGTAATGACCAGGGTACCCATTACTACGTTTAAGATCCATTCCGGACAATAGGCGGAGCAATCCTGAAAAGCTTTCTTAAAATATTGACCCGGTTATCCATTTCATGGAAAGGTATCAGGGATAATTCTTCCGCGTCCCTGTTGACGGAAAACTATCTTCGGGATCGCCGCCCACCTACCGTCCGACCGCTTCAGGAGAATGCCTGACCAGGAATCCACAGCTCAATTCCTTCAATTCAAAGCAGCAGTTTGCGTTCCCCAATGTGACCTGTACTTCAGCGATGTCCACCTCTGTGCCTTATCAGGTTCCACGCCACGACCACATGCCGCTCGCTTGCATGAAAGAAACTTTATGCGGTTGCAGGGCTGGTAGGCTGACGTGTCCTTGGCATGAAGCAGACCTGATTAAGGAAGGTCTTTCAACGGCATTTTGTTCTGTTCTCGGAGCAAGGAATTCCGGGCTTCCACATCTCGCCGTTGATGATTGCTGAGTGAAAGGAATGTTTCAAAATACAAAGCTTGACCACAATGGATCTTGATATAATCTTGATCTTGTTCAGGATCCCCACAGGCATTTATTTGAAATATGGGTGCATCCGAAGTGGCGGACACCGGTTCGGGTGGGTCCTCGTCGATCTGCAAGGGCCTGCCGTTCTAAATTCAGCGGCAACTGTCCCTGACAAGCAGCGATGGTCCTTGACTTCAATTATTTAATCTCAGAGTTTCGGTCATGACTTTGAGCTCTGGCTGTGCTGAATTTGTGAATGGGGTTTTGTTTTGGGACTTATCACCTATAATCGGTGTCCTAGCAATCCAAGCCGTCCACTTACGACAGGTCCAACTTGCATGGGACGAAAGTGGTATCACGGGGATTTCCAATAAGAAGACTCATTTTCGACACAGTTTGGGACTAAAGCTATTTTTTTTCTCTCGGTATGATAGACATGAATGTACTTCAATGGGACAACGCTCTTAGTGAAATATCACTGTTGGCAATTATGCTTCGATGCGGACTGAATGATACATATGCACATGAATAAGTGATCATCTATTACATTCTCGCTACAGGCCATTGAGTAATTCATAGGCGAAAGTCACTTCAAGGCCATCTCGCAGCGTTCTCCATGCCTCTAGTTTCCCTTCCATAAGGGCAAAATAAGTCACGTGCGCGCTGCTGGGCTTGAGCATCTGCCAGCAAATAAACCGTGATAGGATGAAGATGATGAAAACCACCAAGTCTAAGTCCAAAAAGGAACAAATTGCCATTACCATGCCTATTATAAAATACAGAACTCTTTAAAGTCTCTTGATTACTGTATGCCTTTCTGTGACTGCTGTGACTGAACTCAAGTTCAAGCTTTCTGCACACTGTGACTCTGCGATGATAATGACGATGGGTGACATTGGCTACTTACGACTTTTCATATTATATACCTCGCATACCTCGCATCCAACTCCTCCGAGTGAGATACCAAGAATTTTTCAGCCTTGCAATTAACTTTGAAAATAAAATGGGTCAAAATCAGAAGACACAAGATTGGGCACTCGTCCGCGCTACCACCGGATCCAAGCATGATAGACCATGCGGCCCACGGTGAGCATCTCTTTAGGTCTATGATCTTGGCATCGTTGAAAAGTTCTTGCTGAGTATCGCTTCCTCATAGATGTCGATTGTTCCAACCAAATGGCCGACGTCACCGCCATCCCCGGACCGAAGTTCACATACAAGGTCCCCACAGAGTCCGTGGACGCCATTCACGCTGCCTGACTGGTGAGTATGGTTTTGCTCGCAGTGTAATTGGTCTAACAGTCATGATACAGTAACTGAGACAGAAAGGAACACAAGTCCCAAGCCAGATCACCCATCCGAGCATGCAAGCCAAGAAACTGCTTCCGGGAGTGGAGGGAACACCGGGAGTGGAGAGAACACCGGGAATGGGTCGGAAGTTGCAAAGACCAGAAACGAGAATGTTGAGCTTGACGTCCCTGAAAATCAACCCGCCAATATTCAAGCGCGTGGAGGAGGCTTGAGCCGTTTATTGCGTCAATGTTTCGGTACGCGGTCACCGTCAAGCACCCGGCCGCAATACAGAACCCACAACCTGCGTCGACATCGACATCGACATCGACCAAGGCGGCACGGGAGAAGACATAGTATCAGTGGAAATAGCAGCAGCAGCAGCAGCAGTAATAGCAATAGATCAGACGGGTATGATAATCGAGGAAGAAGATACGCGGCAACACAAGGATCTCACGATCGCTCCAGGACTTGGTCAGTTTCGGGGAGACGCGATGGGGCCACTTCCGAACGACAGTCCTCGCGCGAGAGACGAGGTCCACGATTTACGCAGTATGATCAGGCTCAAAAGGGTGATTCTCCTCACAAACGCCGTGATCATCGCCATTCTAGTTTTCATCATCGCCGCGACCTACATTCTGGCACAAGAAGCGACGGGTGTCGATCAGCAGAAAGCAAAGCGACAGGGTCTCCAAATTATGATGATATGAGTGATGACGAATTGTTCAGAGTCCTGCTCGCGGAAGAAAAGGCTATGGATCCGTTGCTGCGAGATGTGGATGTACGGAGGGCCCGGGGCGAGGATGTGTAGCAATATACGACATAGCATGTACCATTGTAGATTAGGTTGATACATGAGCTCCCATTTCACTCCGCCGCCAAATTTTATGATACCGCATTAATTTACTTATGTACAGAAAATTTAATTGTTGGCACCTCAGGGCAATTCATAGCTCTTCTCAGGAGACACCTGGGCAGCTGGGAATTTCATTGTCAGAGTTTCATCCCTGAGGTTCGCCAATCTCATTTTCTACATATACGGTGTGACTCCCAAGCCATTGTCCCCATCTAGTTTCAATAGATGCTTTGTAGTATCCGTCGCGGATCTTCGACTCTACCCTTTTACAAGCCTTCATTAAAAGCTTGGATCTCTCGCCCAGGAAAGCGTCGCTTCCATTGTAAGTTCGAAAAAATAGTTTAGCATAGACACCAAGACCGATATTAGCTTTCCTAGATGGAAGCTGTAGAACGTTGGAGTTCATCGTGGCTCTCCCTCTCCTTTCAGTCAATGGCCAAACAAGAATTATATGAAATATATACTTCAAAATATTCTGATAAAGACATATATCGAAAAGTAAGCACCTGTATCTAAGCGACCAAGTTGTGAGTATTTACGAAGAAAAAGAGCGACGGCGTCCCGAATCCTCGGATTCTTCGGGCCGCAGACAAACAGCAAAGCAATGATAGCCAATGATGCAATACTTGGAGGATGCTTGTCCCACAAACTAACACCTGATGTCCGTGCTGGTGCTCTATATGCTCCATATGCTGACTGCATAGCGAAGCTATTCGATTATTACCGCCATAAGAGGAAGGTCACTGATGGAAATGGCTGCTGGGATTTGAATCCTGCCAGTCTGCTGACGCTCGCATTTCAACCAACTGACACGGAACGCGTGATTCTAGAAATATAATTGCTCTTGGATGCCAGTGTTTCTCCTCCGCTCTACCTCGAGCTTCAGGCAAGGCATTGTAGTATTTCAAGCCCAGCATGACATCTTGGTCGTCACCAACCCGCCTCTTGAGCAAGGCCTTGCCGTTGTTCTTCGCCACCTCTGGGTTTTTATCATCAGCTTTGGCTGTGGAGATCCCACCATATTCAGGAACATACAATGTCGGTGCAACTAAGCAGGTTATTGCCATCAATGAACCGGACGTGTTCGCTCCCGGGAACGTTAGCACCTCTTTTCTGGTGACGCTATTTTACCCGACATTGAAAAAGCCTGATATCCCTGGAATAACACCATACTTGACACAAGTCACCGCAAAGCAGTTTGAGGAGTATTTCCAGTTCCCGAACGGTACACTGGCCAACTTCACGACCCGTGTCCAATGGGATGCACCTTTTGCCGACAACATACTCAAAAATGAAGGGTCCGACTCGCCAACCTTGCTTTTCGGACCAGGACTTGGGGGCCCGCCCTGCGAATGTTACACCCTCTTGCTCTCAGAGCTAGCTTCCAAGGGATTCACAGTCGCTGCATTCGACCACACATACGAGCAACCATACGTTCTGTACCCTAACGGCAGCGAGTACTATGGACCACCCCTCGAGTACGCCTGGAGCACGGAGGAGGCACTGACCGCGATCGATCACCGCATAAATGACACTTTTGCTTTCATCGATGTGTGGCCCAAGATAGCCAAGAAGCTCGGTTTCGCCTCTACGACGGACCGATTCGGAACATTCGGCCACTCCATCGGCGGGGCGGCTGCCCTCGCGTTTGCGCAGCTGGTCGACCAGAGCTTGGTCCCCTCGGGTATCAACCTGGATGGGTCGTTTTGGGGTAGGCTGAATGGCTCGGATGCAGACGTGGCGCGTCCGTCGCTGCTGCTCGGGTTCGAAGGACACTTAGTTTCCCTCGATACAAGTTGGAACAGGTATATCGACGCACAAACGGATTGGTGGCGTGTGATAGAGGTCAATGGAACTCTTCATTCGGATTGGAGTGATGTCACGTTCTGGAAGGAGCTGAACCCTCCGGTGCATCCCAACACTGGCAATATCAACAGCGAGAGGATGGTTAAGGTTGAGACGTCACTTGTTGCGGCGTTCTTCAACTGGACACTATGGGGCAAGGACCAGGGTGAATTGTTTGACGAGCCTGATTTATTCTACCCAGAGACGGTTCTTGTTGCGGGGGAAGATGGAACTTCAAAAAACTGAGTTAAAAAACTGGAAGAGTTTTAACCCAGGGTAGGTTTGACGATGACCTTCGTCTACGTCTTGTCTTGTTCACGCTGAACACCAAAGTTCCAAAAAGTAACGGCTGAAAATAAGACTCAATGTAACAAGCAGCACTAATTTATGCTGGCTCATGATATACATTCCACTGAACTTCTTTTTTTATGATCATGTCCCTACTACCGCATCTACTGACACCTCGTCCGTCATCTGTTGCATTGCTCTCATTATCGGACCTGCGATCGGGGCTGTGATGGATGGTGACCTCGTGTAATACCGATCTTGGTCGTAGTACAGGTTGTTGGCTAGCATCTGAATCATGAATTCCGTCGTAGATGTGCTCAGTGGGCATTTCTTCAGATCGATTTCTTCGCCTCCCGGACAGTGTGGTCAATGCTTGAAGAGCATAAGCTTCAGACGAGGTGTCGAGGTCCTTGTCCATAAAACCGAAAGAGACGCCGAGACCGGTGGAGAATGATTTCATGAAGCTCTTGAGGTTCGGAATTGTCGCGGAAATGAGTGAGTATGTGAGCATCACTTGTTGTAGAAGGAGAGTCCCCGATATCTCGAATAGTGGTTGGTTCGATTCCAGATATTGTTCGAACAGGTTGAGATGGGCAACAGAAAGGGCGATCAATGGCAGACGGAATGCAAAGGCAAGGAAGACTTGGAACTTCAGCCAGAACGACATAGTGTTGGACCACACGAAGACGACTGGTAAGGAACAGATGATTATCTCTGTGATGATGTCAAACGCTGTTATAATCTGCCAGCGAAGGAACTATTTCGCTCCCACAATTAGATACAGCTTCTAGTGTAGGGGCTTGTGCTAGGTGACTTGCCTGTTCCGGACACTGGCGAGAATGTGCCATTGTCAGTGTTGTCTCGGGATTGCAGTCGACTGCGATTCCAGTAATAGACGCAAGACCCCAGACGGCACTGAATCCCAAGGCCCCCATGCACATCATCCAAGTCGCATCGACATCGAACGTGAACACTCGGCGTATTAGCGAGGCAACCGAACATTTAGCCAGACAAAGTATCGCGACAGAGATTATTTCGGAGGTCAAGAAGGTCTGTGAACAAGAGGAGCTCAGCACAAAATTCCGGTGGGTCATTGATGGCATTGAATATATTTGCGGTAGACGACCTACTTTTCCAGCGATGGGCCACTGATCCTCCGAAGCGATCTCATTTGACTTTGCCAGACCACTCTTGAGCCCGTGGAAGACGACTGCCGACTGGATATAGAGTAGAAGCTTGGGAACAACAAGGTTAGTCTCGTGACACAGCTCGAACTCGACCCAATGGTCATCCTTACCGTGGCAAATCCAATCAGATAATCATCGGCGCCATAAACACCTCGTTTGATGAGACCTCTAGCCAACCCCGAAAAGCTGGTATATACCATGCCCAAGATGGTCACGATCCAGAGATAGCCAGCATGGTCATTATGTCCAATTGGCGAGAATTGAACCGTCCCACCACCAAGATCGTGCGAGCTCATGATTTCAGAGAAGCCAGAGCAAGCATTCCGCCCTGTGCTGCTTGATTATGGGGGTTCCTCGACCGTATATAAACGATGGAGACAGATCGGCCAACGCAGGTCGGCCGTGCGGGATGATAGGCTCTTACCGCCCACCGGCCGACAGCGGGTTGAGTGTCTTGTATCCTTGGGGGAAAGGACACATGCTTCCGTTTCGATAGTCAAAAGCGCGCCATGATACACGTCAGGGATACATTAACAACTGATGACTGAGATGATTTTGCTTGAGGGAGAGATAGGATAATGAGTTTGACACGTTGAATATACTCAAGGAAGATACAGGGCGAGTACCACGGTCCGACAGGTTGGACCAGCTGTGTTCTGCGGCGGATCATCACTGATTCAGGTCTTCATTAGGCAACATCGTAGGCGTACTGTGGTACAGAAGCCCGGTGGGCCATCTATCATTGCCCGGTACCTTACCGACCCTCGGCAACTTATGCTCACCGATGGGCGCATAAAGCTGGCCTCCGTGCTTTTATTAAGAGGCAGATATGATGTGACAGGTCACTGGGAGCGTCGTAGACGGGGCTTTCAACGCTTCCCAGTAAAAATTTCAGCTTTCGAATAAGATCTCCGAGAAGCTAGCCACGCATGTGGTGGAATCCACAGGCCAAAATTTGACGTGTGGGGGTCGTTCTTGTCGATCCGGCTTGGATACGGATGTTCCACGTGCCCCAATCTCCAGTCGCTCAAACTCAAATGGTCGTTAATGTCCAGCTGAAGGACGCAGATGGGTCTTTACTCGCAGATCAGGCTTGAGTGGTGTTCGGCGTCCCAACAGGCGCTTGTCTTTGTCCTTCGTGTTGCAGATATAGCAGGGTCTTCAGCTTCACTATGCTGCGTGCACTCCAAGAGGGTCATGTGCTCAGCCCCAAACCACGGTACCATGCAGTAGTCTGCTGCATGAGAAGATGGTAAAGAACAGAGTTCCTTACAAATTGACAAGTCAAACGGACATCTCCTCCGGCTTTGAATCCTCTCGGGTCAATGCAAGGAGGCCCTTGTATTCAAAGTTGCGAACCAGAAAGAGCGGGGACGGTGGGTGGAAAGTTTCCACTGCTCGCCTAGCAAATCGCTCAAGGCGCGCCTGGCGATCGCAGTGATAAGTGCAGGTTACGCGTCAGGGAGCATCTCGGATCTGGTCGTGGTCTTGTCAAAATTACGATACAGTAGCCAATTGAATGACGTGTTTATTGAGATCCGTTGCAGGGTATGAGTCGCTGAATTTTTCAGGAGTTGTGCAACGGAGGATTTACCGGAACCCTGGGGACGTGAACAAAAGGTAGCATACTCATTCTGTCAATTCCGGAAATAAGCGGATTTTGTTCACCCTCTGGTCCCGTCTGACGGAATTTCTTGCGCAATAATGCGCTGAATGCTTGTTGATTTCCCCGTACCAAAGCCAGGTCCTTTGGATGGGGTCGGGAGCAGGGCTATTAGGTGGGTCGTTGTGCAGCAAGCTCGCTTTAGTATCCAAACCCGGCAGTCTGATCGAGCCAACCCATTTAGAGTGTTACATGCCTGTGTGTGTCCGCTACGCGCAGAGGAATAGTGATATATCACATGCCCCTGAAGAGCTCGGCATCTTGTTGCTTACCCTCACCATCGTCTTCCTGCCTGAGTCGTGGCAACTTACTGTTAGAAGCCAACCAGAACAGTGAGACTCGATCGCGATGGCCTCGAATGTCAAGGTCGCTGGGCAGGTCGACAATGACTCGGCTGAGCTGTCCCTCCGTCAGGCACTCGGCGGCAGTGCCGTGGACGAGAAGACGGGCACCTCGGACGACCGAGCCAATATGTTTCGGATGGGCAAGAAACAGGAGTTGAGGGTCAGTAACTCTGACGGTCTTCCCTGGTCATGGTATTCCAGATTCTGACGCTACGCAGAGGAACTTTCGATTCATTTCCATGTTTGGCTTCACTATGATCCTCATGGCATCATGGGAGAGCATACTTAGGTTTGAGAATCGTGTTGCCTTGAAAGCTACGATAACATGTGACTAAGTCTATATGTACAGCGTGTCCAATATCGGCCTTGTAAATGGCGGTACTGCTGGTTTAATTTGGATGTTCTTCATCTGCTGGGTTGCCTTCATCTTCATCAACACGTCAATGTATGTCTTTCACTCACACCACGGTTCCGCTCAGAAAATGGCATATGAAGCTTCGCATAATCGAAGGCCTCAAAAATCTTCCTCCATTACCGTCATACTGACTTCGGCTTCTTCAGGGCGGAAATGGGATCTATGATGCCCACTGTGGGTGGCCAGTATGTCCACTGCTGTATACAAAGATTCAACGCACGAGGCCGCTAAAAATGATCCAGATATCACTGGGTGTCCGAATTTGCCCCGAAAGACTACCAGAAATTCATCAGTTATCTTATGGGATGGCTTTGTGTCCTGGCTTGGCAGGTCGGCTGCACTTCAGGCGCATATCTCGTGGGGACGCAAATCCAAGGACTCATTGCACTGAACAACCCCGACTACTCCTATGAGCGCTGGCATGGAACTCTGCTCACTATAGCCGTCTCGGCGTGTGCAATTATGTTCAACACGGTATGGTGGTCGAGACCAAGCCTCTGGAATACATTATCGAGAGAATTGCTGACATGTGCTAGGTGTTGGCAAGGAAGTTGCCTCTGATCGAGGCCATCATTCTTGTCATACACATCTTTGCCTTCTTTGGTATCTTGGTCACGCTTTGGGTGCTTGCTCCTGTAAACCGTTCACCTAAGCAAGTCTTTACTCATTTCAATGATGGTGGCGATTGGAATAGCCTCGGCGGATCCGCACTCATTGGCATCACAAGTGGCATATATCCTCTTATTGGAGGAGACGCTGCCGTGCATAGTAAGAAGCTTCCGGATACGATTTTAATCCTTTCACGAACAAACACCTGCCGTCTGTGGTCTGTTTGATTACTTGCGTCAAAGCCTTTGTCAGCCTGCAGATTCTGAGACAGGCCATGGGCACATGGTGGCCTAATTATTCCTCCCTAGCTTCTGCTTAGGTTCGTTGGTGGCTGACTCCAGATGCTGCAGTGTCCGAAGAGCTTCGAGACGCCGGCAAGACGCTTCCGAAGTGTATGATCTGGACGACTATAGTCAACGGAGCCCTCGCCTGGATCATAACTATCACGTTCTGCTTCTGTGTTGGGGATCTCGAGGAGGTTCTCAATAGCTCAACAGGTGAGATATCTCTATCTTCGCCTGCATAATTCCATCTCACCCCGCTTGCCCTCTCTTCAGGATTCGCCTCTATTAGACACCTCTTTCCATCTCTCCATGTCAAACTTCGTGGCCATTTTTGCTGTGTGTGCGGACCACTCAGTCACTGACCATCATTGAACAGGATATCCGTTCATGCAGGTCTTTTACAACGCGGTCAAGTCAACGAGAGGAGCCACCGCCATGTCTGTCTTTATCACGATAATGTTCTTCTTCGGACTGTTGACATTCGTCGCCACAAGCTCCCGTCAGCTGTATGCATTCGCGCGGGACCGAGGCCTCCCCTTCAGCACATGGTTTGCCACGGTTCGCCCTGGCTGGGACATTCCCCTCAATGCGCTGATATTCACTTTTGTGTTCACCAGCGCCCTGTCTCTTATCAACCTCGGGTCTGCAACTGCCTTAAACTCCATCACTGGCCTGCAAATCAACGCCATGTTGTCCAGTTACATTTGCTCGATTGGCTGTGTAATCTGGCGCCGATGTACCAACCAACCCTTGCTTCCCTCTAAGTTCAATCTGGGCAGATGGGGTTTGCTTGTCAATATAATATCCATGGCGTTCCTAGTATTTTTCTTCATACTGGCTTTCTTCCCTTCTTTGCCCCACCCCGATGCAGCTAGCATGAACTGGAACATTTTGATATATGGCGTGGTAGTTCTGCTTTCTACAGTCTACTATCTATTCAGGGGAAAGAGACACTACGACGGCCCTGTGGAGTATGTTAGAAAGATGGACTGAGTAAATGAATTACGATCTAGCGTTAGTCTGTCTCAATTCATCGCCAGCGTCGTTGTGTGTACCAAACCATTGATGGATGAACATGGCTGTTCACCTTAGCAAACAGTCTTTCGCCTTGTCCCCACCGACGAACACTGACTTCAATTTCTCTTTCCAATGCTCAGCAGATAACGAGTCGAAAGGCAATGTCTCATGACGTATGTGCACGAATCAAGACCGAGGCGGAATTAACCTTCACTCCGCCTACGAGAGAATCGGCCCCACATCCACCAAAGCAGCGTGGTCGGAAATACAACTCGATCACGAACACGACCGTACACCTCACCTCCACAACTGATCTTGGTTTATGAATTGTAAAGCTTCGGACGACCAAGGTTTGAACACCCTCCCGAATCCGTAGCATCCTGGCTGCGGTCTTCAAAAGAATATGTGAAGGTGTGGTGAGAACACCACCTGATTTGAAATACATCATTGTGTGGACTCAGCCTGCTGTCTTTTTGGTTGTTGTATAGACTAGGCCAACAGGCTAGAGAGTACGTGCAGAAAGCACACCAGTGTTTCGGAGAAGGAGTCGGGGTCATAAATTCGCGGTGAATGTCAGGGACCGGGAGGGGGTGGGGCCGGGCATCGTGGACATGGCTCATAAAGTACAATACTTTTGAGAACTGAACTTATTAGATTTCTATCATTGGTAGATGAGCGTATGACTGCATCTGATCGTTCTCTCTTTGAGAAGCCATTTTAGTAGCTAGACCACCAAGATTTGTGAAACTCCTCCCGCGCAATCGTACGAAGACCTTGAACTGTCCCGATGGCTTCAGCATCCTCAATCATTTCGGAGCTTCGAAAGAAACCAGCTAGCGAGCAAGCAGCGCTTCTCATTGCAGCCGCTGTCTTTGCTGCTTTCCTACGACTCATTGTGATTGTCACATTTGGTAGTTTGCGACACCTACCAGGGCCCTTTTCCTCACGGCTGACGGGGCTGCCACTCAGCATTGCTGCCTTCAAGGGCCGACGAGCGCAATGGCTATATGAACTGCATAAGCAGTATGGTCCTGTGATTCGAATCGCACCCGGTGAGGCATCGGTGGCAGATCCAAAGCACTATCGAACCATATACTCAAACCCAAAGACCAGTCACAAAGACCCGAGCTTTTACGGTGCTGCCAGTTTCACAGGCCTTGACAATATATTCCAGATGGTCAATCGAGAGCAGCACGCGGCGCGCAGGAAGCTTGTGGCGGCGCCGTACTCCCTGCAGTCAATGCACAAACTGGAGCACATTATACGGAATAAAGCTCAGCTTCTAACAGATCGCTTGCTCGCCGACGCGACTACTTCGCGGCATGGGACGGTGGACGCGTACGAGCTTTTTGCCCTGTTCAGCTTCGAGGTGGTTTGTGCCGCGGGATTTGCCAAAGATTTTAGCACTCGCACCGACGCGCTGTCCGTCCTCAAGGCCATGGAAACGAGCGGTCCCAGATTCATTTTCAACTCTATTTTCCCGCCTCTGAAAGATGCCAGTTGGAATACCAAGGTACCAGGCCGCATAGGGGCAGTATACAGTGCGCATAATTACTGGTATGAGTGCAGCCGTCAGATGGTGCGAGAGTACATGGACCGAAAAGACTCCGAGGACATCCAAGATTACCTCCTGGCACCTTTTAGGGACGGAGTCGACGGGTGGCTGAGACGCCAACTCAGCGAGGCGGAGTTCGTTGAGGAGGCCATGGGCATCATGCTAGCTGGAAGCGGCACCACGTCATCCACTCTGACATATCTGTTCTACGCCATCTCCTTGCCTCAGCATCAACACATCCAGGAGCGTCTACGGCAAGAGGTCATCGCAGAATCTGACCCGGATGACCTGTCTGTACTGCGTGGGGCACCGTATCTCAATGCCGTCATCAAGGAGACTTTGCGCCTGTACCCGACCATAATCTCGACGCTGCCTCGCATACTCGACCAGCCTGTCCACATCGACGGCTTGCAGCTTCCTCCTGGTGTCACAGTAGGAATGCAAAACTACGTCCACCACAGGAATCCTCTCATTTTCCCAGACCCGGAAGCTTTCATACCGGAAAGATGGCTAGGAGGCACGAATAACGAAGACATGGACGCTGCTTTGAGTAAGTCATCGGCGCTTCCCTACCCTCTTGTGTATTCTATGCTAATCTCACCCCGAAAGCTCCCTTCAGTCTAGGACGCCGGAATTGTATCGGTCAGAATTTAGCATGGTGTGAGCTGCATGTTGTGGTTAGCAAGGTGGTGCGGACTGCTCGTCTGTCTTTCTCCGCTGAGATGAGTGACAACGACATGGAGATGGATGACCAATTTACCGTTGCTCCGAGAGGGGGAAAACTGATGCTTGAAGTAACTCCCTTGTGATCTACATGTTGAGAACCAAGTCATAAGTAGCCTCTTTCAGCAATCGAGATCGAGTCCATAAGTAATGGTTCGGATGGATTTGAATCATCCGGTTTCATCGAAATCGCATATTGTGGCGTATTGCATTTCACAACTCCGAGTGTCTTTTCTCGATGCCTTGAGCTCTGACCTGGGTTTACTGCTCCAGATTCCAATAGACATATGATCTGTCCGAATAACACGCGCGTAGATCCCGGCCATTGATGGTGACTGTATGTAAACAAATCTGAACATTTTCAAAACTTCAACCGCTTTGCTCCATGCTGTATGAACGTTGAATCATCATGAGAGTCGAACCCCTTCCCTTATTCCATTGACTTCCCCAAAGCAGAACAAGACTTGGACAGTCCATGTCAAAAGAACATTTCGACTGCATGACCCAAACTCCAATAACGCCGGCTGCCATGGCCCCGTCATCATACATCTGATTGGAAACACAACACCACTAAAGACTGCTGGAATGAACCATGATCGCCATGCCTAGACAAGCCTCCTCCCCCCCCCCGCCCCCCTTCCGAATGATCCTGTTCACGCCGGCGGCTCGGCATCCGCAGCCGGCGCCGGCGGTGGAGGTGGAGGAGCACCCGCACCCTCGGAAGACGTCTTTGAGCTCTTGGAGCTGTGATGCCGATGATGTCGTCGCCGTTTGCTACGAAAGCGCACCGTGTAGCGGTATCGATACAGGAACACCACGCTTGCAATAATGAAGATTGCAAGCAGAACGCCGACTACGATGCCGATTGTAGTGTTTGTGCTTGAGGTGGTGTCCCTCTTCCGCAGTTCCGTCCATGCTGTGAAGCGCGACACGCCGGAGGGCGCCGTGACGGCCCGCGCGGAGGGCGGTGGGGTAAAAGTGGGCGGACGGGAGGGGAGCGGGATATACATCCAATGCTTGTTGTTAAGGATCTATTCTTATGCTCTAGCAACTTGCTAAGAGGATGAGATACCCACGAGGTGATGCCGAGTGGAGATGCAAACGACATGTCTATACGATGTTAAGCGAAGTGAAGCACACGTGGAAGAATGAAAAAGAGAAGCAGAAACGGAAAAGACACGCCCATTGAATTCAGGGGCGACCGGGGAGGCTCCGAGCTCAACTTTTAAACTTTTTCTCTAGCGACCTGCCATCCCATCTTCCTTGCGGCCCGGCGGCCAGTGTGTAGGAACCGCCTACGTGCTACCCACCTGGGCACCGTTCGCCGTGCTTGGCGGCAGAGAGACTTGAATATGACACCTCACACAGGGCGAACCGAGATCCTTCCATGCGAGTTCCACGCCAGTCATGTGGCACTCATCTGCAACTCCTTTTGATATTGTGATGGCCTTTTACTTGCGAGTTTCACAATGGACTTTGAAGTCGCGCACATGGGATGGAGAATGGAGAGACTGTACTTGTGTTTCGAGAGCGAATGGAATGATGAAGCGGGGCAATATGCAGACGTGCTTGCAGGTGGCACCGCAAATCTAAGGCGTTCCCCCACTGATTCGATGGGCCTGCAGGTCTCGAGCCTCCTGCTTGGCTCCAGCTGTCGATTAGTGACGACTTACAGCGCCGAGCTACTGCAGCTGTCCCACGCCGCGCCGGGGTTGGCTTCTGGTCATCACGAAATGGCCATTGAGAATGGGGAAACTTCTAGCGGTACGACAGTGTGTTGGGTTGGTCGGTGGTCCCCATAACATCAGTGGAGTTTCTGTGCTTCGGAAAGACACTCACAAGGAGCTCAATATCATTTTGCAACTCGTGGATTCTCGTTCCGGCTTATCAAGCCGGAAGGACGGATATTTACTCCATGCCCTGTTCGTCCCATGTCAGCACATGCGGCTTCCCGTCGGCGTGGGCCAACTACTATAGAATAACCGCTGAGCTTCTTCGTCCACGTAATAATCGGCAGGATTTACGCACATCATGTGGCCAGCTCTACCTGCTGTACTACCTGCGTACGCCAAATGTTTCCCTGAGGCTTGACTTGAAAGGACTGTCTGATCGTTATGCCTCCCACCATGCTTTGCGACTTTGTGTGGAAAGTTGGCGGAAAGAATGGCAGCCCATTGGTCTCTCCAGGATCTTCAACACAGTGTCCATCTTGCAGCCCCGATATGTCTACTCTTCCTACTTGGGAATGGGAGTGCTTGTCATCGTTACTGTTCCGATACACAACATCCAAGACATCTTAACGTGAGCCACTGATGTTCCGTATACGGGCATAAACCAACGACAGGAGGAGGGGTTGGGTGGAGATGGTGTTGCGGCCCAACGGGCCCTGCATTTGCATGCATGATGTGCTTGCCCACCTATGTTGGTCAATTGGGGCGGCAGGACGGTCCATCACCCACCCTCCGAGGAAAGTCCATTATCAATACCTCCAATAGCGATTGGCCAATGACAGAAAATGGCAAGCGAGGCGTCCTGTGCCGGGCGCCGCCGTGCGACGCTGGTCCAGTCGCCGCACACCTCGTCTTCTAAGTGGAAAGTGACGACGTCGACCTCAGGATTAGGCGCATTTTGAGGGATTAGTGTAGTTCGAAGAGCCGAGAACCAATTTGTAAAACTACCTCAAAACCTACTTCCTAAGTGATTTCGCTGGCTCAAATGGGAAGCATTCGTTGCAGATTGATTTCAGAACTCGTGATGTCGAACGGCGATTTTCATTACCTCAACGGTATCTTGATTATTCCCAGTCACAATAGTCTGTTCAAATATCTCTAAAATATTGTATTGCGTTCACAATCGCTTCGTCGATTATGGGCCTCTTAATTTCTTCCGCAACCTACTTTCCAGCTCAGAGTCGCCCACTGTGTCATCGCCAATGGCCATCGCCTTCGACTTCCGTTTTCTGCCCTTGTCAGGAACCAGATCTGGGTACTCTAAGCTCAGGGACTCATATTTTTCAGGGCTCATTACACCTCGTACGGCCTCCTGGATGCCTTTGACGAGACAGGTCGAGCCTTCCGCCTTCTTCACCAGCATATTTGCTATTCCGCACATAAAAGGAAAATCGAGCACATCTAGCTCACCAGAGTAGGCAATATTCTTCAAGGGATCCAGAAAGTGTCCACGAATTAGGCTTCTTTCAGTACTAGTCTCAGTCGCTGAAGAGAGTTTCACTCCTGGTCCTAGAAAGCTGCTCAACGTTCTTAGATAGGCCCGTCGAATTGTCTCCACTCGGGGGATGTCAAAAGAACAGAAAAGGAATGTTGACCAGGCCACGGCGCGATTTCCTTTAGACTGACGATCAAGATTAGCAGTTGGATCAGCTCCCTGTTGTAGAAGATTAAGAATTATGTCGTTCTCCAGCAACCCAATTAGGAGCAGCCGGCGTTGTGGAGATGCTCGGACCAGAAGACTGAGAAGACTGGACCACGCAGTGGCCCCATTGTGTTCCATCCTAGCAGGATCAATGAAATGAGCTTCCACGGACCGCCGAAGAATCCTCAAGCCCGTCCGGAAAAGATCAGCATTTTTATCCACCGCTACCATCCCACCCGGTGATATGGCCCTCTCTGGAATGTTGTAGCAATGCCATACCAAGTGCATAGCCAGGTCCCCTCCCAGATTGCGAACGTACGCTGGATCCTCGAGAATCTTTCTGTCCAAGTAGTTGAATGCTTGTGAAATGACAAGCTGCTCCCGGAAGTGGGCGTCGGCATGACAGCCATCCTCAATGGCGAATTCACATTGCATTAACACTCTCTCCATCTCTTCAAAGATCTGAGTCAATTCCTCACTTAGATCCGAACGGCTCTCGGCGTCGACACGAGCACCATACACAAGTGCCTTGCTTGTGATTGTGTCAAACGTCACTCCTTCACATTCACTTGCATCGATTTCCTCAACGATATCTTCGTATAAATCCTCGACTGAACCTTCGACTGAACCTTCGACTGAACCCTCGACCGAATCCTCGAAGGAATCCTCGAAGGAATCCTCGGCCGAATTATTGAATATCTCAAACTTGCCGAAACGAACACGATTGACTTCTCCTCTTCTTTGGATGGCCTTGATGAATGCCAGGTGGGCTTTGAGAATGCTGAGATCAGCGTCGAAGTTCCAAGTCGAAGTGACTTGAGCATGGAGGTACCGTCTCATGACCTCATTGTTCAGGAAATCCATCACTGTGCGGTGCAAGAACGTCACATTATTGCTCTGCGGCGGAATTTCGAGTAGCCCACGTGTTCTGCTGTCCAGTCGACTTGTTGTGGATTCCCTGATGTCTTTTAGCTCGACCTCGGTCAACGGTTGGGATACCATCTTCAAAGCGTATGCTCTATCGTCGTACTCCTGGTCATGAAATTCGTAACAGAGGTAGTGCAGAGGATCTTTCGCTGCCAGTGCCATGAGTAGCATTGTTGCCGTCTTGCTGCGATAGAATGGCTCGACTGATGTTAATATCTTCATGAAGAAGGGTTCGAGCTCAGTGGGGAAGCTATCCAGCCGACGTCGCATATCCGAGAAACGGTCTCGATTTGTAAGACCGTCCAGGAGCAGTTTGGTGACGAGAGTGGCCCAAAGAAAGACACCCCACGCTCTGTCTGTTATCTGGTCAACCAGCCACTGTCCATCCTCCAAATTGGTGATTACCAAGTTCCACCGAGGATGTCCATGCAAGCGGCTTGCCGCATAACTTCTGATGTCCATCTTCGTCAACTCATGAACATGAAGTTTGGCCGTTCCATGTCCGAAGGCTTCATCGTATACGTTCCAAGGCCGACTAGAAAGGCAAACCTTTATGTTGACAGACTTGGCAATGCCGCTGAAGATTTTGCATAATTCTGCGTGATCGCCATCATGCTCATCCAAGCCATCGATAAAGAAACAAAACTTTAAATCGATATCTTCGCAGCGGCTGACGAAAATCTCGAAAGATGTCCTCAGTGTTGAGATGGTCCAGGATAGCGATGGGCTGGCCCAATGGGCCGGACAGATGGTCTGGATAATACGAGGACACTGTCGAACAACTTCATGTAGGAGCGTCTGTAGAAGGCCGTGGAGAGATCTTTGCATTGGCGTTCCACCGTTCCAGAAATAGTGGTTAACGATGACAGCCTTTTTTGGAAACGCCCATCTGGAGAGTAGGTCCATTGTTCTTGGCTCTGTGCTGATAAACTTCATGAGGGTGGATTTCCCAGAGCCGGGCTTTCCTGAAACCCAGAACACACCCTCTCCATTCTGCAACCAATGTCCCAGAGACTCGCTCCGGGTTGAAAGGTCGCAATTTTCTGTGTCATTACCCCTGTCTTCTAAGCCCCATTTGAAAGTCTGACGGTGTGCCTCTGGGATGGCTTCGTACCGAGCGGACAGGCTTTGAAACATGAGACTCTTAATTATAGCCTGTTCTTTCGCAATGTCGGTCTCCGAGAGCCTCAGTCGGCTGAACTGCTGCTCGACCTTCCGGACTTCGTCAACTGTCATCATTCGCTTTGGGTCCCCACCCACAAACTCCAACTTAGCTTTGAGATCTGCCAGAGAATTCAGAATATATTGCAGTCCAGCTTTTTGATCTGCGTGTAGTTCTTCACTTCTATGTCGCAAGACTTCAAGATCACGGGAGTGGTTCAAATGAAGCATGCTGGTTTCTTGTTAGGTTCAAGATTCACGAGGACTGATGTTATTCGACGACACGTGGAGACGTTCTGAGACATACTTCATCGATGTGCACGTTTCCAAGGTGATGGTTGATTGAACCTTGCTGAGCCGTTGCTCCAGTTCAGTGATATCCTTTTGCTTCCATGCCTTCTTCAGTGCGATTCGGAAACTACGCCATTTGCTCGTCGAGGGGGAGCCTGACTTCAATTGCCGCGTAATCTCCAAGAGAGAATCACAGTCGCCTTTGCACAAGGCTGCCAAGCCATGAATATTCATCGACTCCACGTTGTGAGTTCCCAAATATCCGGATTCCTCAGTTGTGTTTCTGGATGCTGAGCGGTCCCCGTATCTTGTAGTTTGGAGGGTATCACTTAAAATCCGCAGACGGCTATAGATTTGGTCCAATGATCTGACATCCGTAGCACAGCCGGTGGTCGACCCGTGTATCTCCCGGGTGGATTTGACAAGATCTGACGCAAATTGGACAAATGCAATGACATTAGATGCCAATGAAATAGCCGTTACTGGATCCATCGCGATGGAAGATAATTTTCATCTGATTGCGTGGAGAGGGGGTCAGGTTGGTAAGAGCAGACTGATAATGTTCGGATAAGGGGTTCCTGACGTGGAAACTTCGCAGAAATATTTGGGGTTCAGGAGCTTGATGAATTGTCCTCAATAGAAAGCATGCACTGCGCCTCAAGGTATTGGGCTTTTCTGGCACGTACCTCCCAAGCACACTGGCAACTAATCGTCGGTGTGCAGTGGCGCAGTGGAGTGATGGTGAAAACAGGGTAGATACGACTGCCAACGAGAGTTTTGAAAATTCCACGGGAAATAGGACGTGGTGCTACAAGTGGTTGCTGCAGGCTCTCGTGGCTCCAATGAAGATGCTGCTGTTCAGTATCCATGGCCAAGCGGGGTTTTCATTTGCCGTCAGCTCTCTTGCTGCTTATGTTCGCAATAGCTGAATCCATGGGGGCTGAGAGGAAGGCGGGAATCTTGGTGACACAGCATTGACTATGAGCAAAACCCACTCGCCGGCACTGCCACCAGAAGCTAGAGGTACATACGCTAGCGATGGCGGAGTCTGTGGTGTAATTATGAAATATAATAAATGTTGCCCTGCACTTCGTACAGTCACGGTCTCAAGCCCAATTATGCTCAGCAGTGGTAAAAGCCAAGAGAAGTGGCAAGCCTGTTCAGCCTTACAGACACTCAAATGGTTTCTTTTCTACCTGCTGAAATGCAAGCATCCCTAAAGTTTACAGGTATTGCGAAATGCAAAAAGCGGATGGGAGCTCTTTAAATCAAGGCTCCTCCACAGGTAGAGGTTCATCATCAATCTAGTCAGTCGGAAGGGTTCATATATAAGAGGAGTAGTCCAAGAAACAATCTCCACTCTATCCTTATAAATTTACGCTTTGAAACCATATAAGCTACGTGCAGTATCCAGGAAAACAATTCTATCCGGCTAAGCCATAATCGAGAACCACATCGTCAAAATTCACCCATCACACCAGCTACCGAACATCAGACCCACCCCTAGACATCGTCGACCCCAGTCTCGTAGCCCTTCCACTCCTAGACGCCCTCCTGCTAGCCCTGTGATGGTGTCTGATCGACTCTATCCTGGCTAGGCTTCGCGTGATGGCCCGCCGCAGAGTATCCACATTCGCAATGAACGGCTCATCGTCCGGTGTAACTTCCGCTGCGCGGGGGTCATGGCTGACCCTCATCAGGGCATCGTACGTCGTCTCCAGCTCGGATGAGAGCCGGTCCAGCGAGGTCATGAGCACCTCGCTCCGCCTGTGGCGCCGACGTCGCTGCCTCTCCTCGAAGGAGGATTGGGAGTGGGACTGTTCTAAGTGCGGCTGCCCCTGCGGCTGCTGCTCGGCCGATCTTGAAGGGGTGGCGGCTGTGGCTGTGGCTGTGGTGTTGTTTGCTGTAGGTGATGAGGTTCTCTGCCTCCTGAAGAAATTGTGGCGCACGACGTAATCCATTACCTCCTCCAGCAGCTGGCCTACCAGGACGCTCATGGCGGCCTGGCCGATCCCTGAGCCACCCTCGCTGTGCTGGTTTGTCTGACTTGCCCGTTGTTCACTGTGGCCATTTCTGTTGCCACTGCTCTGTGGCTCGCGCTGTTGAGGGTATCTACTCGCCGCATACCTCAGCGCGTGTTGTCCGAGGCGTCGAGCGGCGTCGCTTCTTTCGCGAGACGGTCGCAAGGGCGGCCTTGCTTGCCGTGGTCTCGAGCGACGAGAAGAGATATTTGGGTATTGAGGAGCCATTTTGCAGCTCTATGTATGAGAAAACAGCCCTTGATTGGTTTGTATGTAAATGATTTGTTGCTACCTGGATTCAGCGGGATGCAAGCGTGTAGTATCAGCAAGTGAGACGTGTCTGAGTCTATACACAGCTTCCAGATGAGTAGTAGTGCGAGGTTGATGTCAAGAAGAAAATGATTTGAGAATAGTACTGGCTGTCCTTTTCTTCTGTCTTTGTTGATTCTCCACGTCGATAAGGCGTGTTGGAAAGTGTGACTGCTGAGCCCGGTCATCTGGCCAAGACGGCAGCCCTTGTGACCCAGCTGCCTTGAGCCATGTGAGAGGACTCCAACTCTCAACCCCAACACACACAAGTTGGCCCCATCTTGTCCAGCTAATGGGCACCGAAAAGTCTGAAATGGTCAGGACGACTTGTTTTTATTCGTCCATTTCGCGCATTGCTCACAAGTTATCATCTGTCGCAGTGAGGTTGAACAAGGGACATATAGTCTGCCTGGTAGCAGTGGAAGAGGTGCATATGTGGTATGACATTTGTCTGTGCATCAGGGTCCAACCCTGATTCTGTAGCGCAATGTGAAAAAAATCCCAGACTAAATTCCATCAGTCATGGCCCTCTCCTGACCTGAGAGCTCCAAAATGCGCAACGGCACCGACCATCTCGTACACTCCCACACAGTATGGGCCGGGACGCGTCGGTCGAACCGTTGTGGCAACATCGCGAGGCGCTATCGAACGTCCTGAGCCCTTCTAGCCCCTCGCAAATGTGGGCCTCGAGATAAGCATTAACCATGGAAAAGCCACGGAAACAAGCTCTTTACGTACGGGGGATGATGCACCAGCTAAAGGGCCGGCTCCACAACGCCCACACGAGGGCGAAAAATTCACAATGCACATAGGGTCCAGCTGTCGCGTGTTCGGCTTCCTCTTTCTTCTCCTTCTCTCTTCTTCCTCTCTCTCTCCCTCCCTCCCAAGATGGGGGAGACGAGCACACTCGCCTGAGTAGCCAGATCAGTGACCACCTCCGACGACACCGGACACATCCCGCCTCCACAAAGATGGCTTACGACGAGGAGAAGCGGCTCGACCGCGTGGCCTCGCAGCCCGCCGAGTCCGGCTCGGAGGACAGCCCCAGCGAGCAGCAGTCCGTGGGCAGTGGCAGCTCCGTGCTGGACAAGCTGCTATCGCTGGAGGCCACCCTCGACTCCAAGCTGGGCATCGAGTCGCAGGCCATTCAGCGCATGAAGCCCGAGGACAAGAGACCGCAGTCCTGGCACGAGCAGGCCACTATGGCCCTGCTGTGGGCCGGCGCCACTATGAACGTGTCGTGCCTGTCCACCGGCTTCCTGGGCTGGGAGTTTGGCCTGGACCTGAGCCAGACCATCCCCATCACCATCTTCGGCACCCTCCTCGGCGCCTCCGTCGCCGGCTGGTGCGCCACCCTCGGGCCCGGCACGGGCTTGCGCCAGATGTCTATCGCGAGGTACAGCTTCGGCTGGTACCCGTCCAAGATCCTGGCGGCACTCAATGTCATTTCCCAGATCGGGTGGAGTGCTGTCGGCTGCATCACGGCCGGCTCCGCGTTGTCGGCTGTGTCCGACGGCAAGCTGAGCTCTATCGTTGGCATCGTCATCATCGCTGTCTGCAGCTCCGTCCTCAACTTCTGCGGTCTGCGCGCCATTCTCGAATACCAGAAGTACGCCTGGGCGATCTTCTTTGTGCTATTCATGATCATGTACGGCGAGATGGCGCCCCGTTCCGATGTTGTTACCAAAAGCGCTCTGACTGGCAACGACAAGGCCGGTGCGGTGCTGTCGCTGCTGGCCGTTGTCTACGGCTCGTCCGTTTCTTGGGCCACGATTGCTTCGGACTACTATGTCCAGCATCCTATCAACACGTAGGTGTTTCTTTTTGTCGCTGACTGTTGGCCTCTCTCTGTGCCCGCCTGCACAATAGCTGGGCTCAGCAATTCTGACTCGTTCTGTAGTTCCAAGGTCAAGGTCTTCACGCTCACAACCTTGGGCATCGGCATCTCTACCTGTATCGGCATGGTTCTCGGTTGCTGCGTGGGCTCCGCCATGGGCGCCGACCAGGAACTGGCTGATGTCTATGAGGAACAGGGCGTTGGCTTCCTGATTCAGACCATGCTGTTCCCGCGCGGGTTCGCCAAGTTCATCCTCGTCGTGCTGGTGCTCGCCGGCATCGGTATGAACTGTATCAACTTGTATTCTTCGGCCCTGTCGGTCCAGCAGTTTGCGCGCCCGCTGGCCCGCATCCCCCGCTTTATCTGGACCGTCGTGCTCTTCGGCGTTACACTGGGCATCGCCGCCGGCGGCCGGGAGCATCTCAACGCATACCTGCAGAACTTCCTCTCCCTGCTTGGCTACTGGGCCACATCATTTTTCGTCATCCTCTGGTGTGAGCATTACCTGTTCCGTAAGGGTAGCTGCGACAATTACGACCTTGATGCCTGGAATGACCCTTCGAGGCTTCCCTATGGCCTTGCTGCGTTGGTCGCTTTCCTCATCGGCGTCGTCGGCTGGGTCCTCGGTATGGTCGAGACTTGGTTTACTGGCCCGATAGGCCAGTTGATTGGGAGCGCTGGCGGTGATGTCGCGAACGAGCTGACTTTGGTGTTCACTCTGGTCTTCTTCGTTCCTCTGCGGTGGCTGGAGTTGAAGTACGTTGGTCGGTAAGCATGTGGATGGATCGACGTCGGGTAGAGGAGCGTTTTCTTGCACGAAGATATGTGCGAGAAGACTGTCTACCAGGGTACATGTCTGTCTAGTCTGGATGGAAATTCGGATTAGATCTCAGACATCACCTCGGATGTGGGAGGGAACCTACTCGAAAGAGTGGTTTGAATGCTATTGTAATTTGGCCCTGCCATATGTCCTCCCTTTTCGTTCGCCGACTGTCCAATTCCCCTGCATGCCGTATCAATTCTGTCACGCCTGAACGTAGATGTAGAGTGATGGCTGACCGAACCTGAATCTTTTAAGGTGGGTGTTGAAGCTAAAAGAAGATCTTGTCTCTGAGGAGCGCAGTCGGTAGCGACGTTTAGATCTTTGACACAACAGTTTTTGGAAGTCGACTTTGACTTTCACAATCGGCTTGTATACAATTACCTTCAGTATAGATGACCACGGTAGGTGAATCAATTGCAGGAGCTCTCTGGGGGCACTTGGTGGAGTTACTGCCGTAAGCCGTCGTTTTAAAGGCAACATATACAGCTAAGTATGAAGAACAGTGCTTGAGTAAGTCACAGGCCTGAGTTTTTCTGATGAGAGCTAGTGGTACATTATAAAATACTTGCAAATAAAATCACATAAAAGCTGCTTTACAAGAATGAAAATATTCAGCACTAGACGTACGTACGTTGTTCTAATCGTCCTCGTATGATCGCTTTTTCGAACATTCATGGTTCCCCGAGGGCCTCGTTCGGATTCGTTAACTTCTCAATGCTCCTGATAGCTTTCGAACTGTTCTGCGTAAGGCAACCTTTCACTCCAATGATAAATCCACATTGCCAACTCAAACCTTGCCCCTTCCCTCCCTCCCAACATTTTCTGAAGTGCGGTTTCTGCTATCCACCATCAGCACTTGGTTCTCACCTTTGCAATCGTATTCCCTGACGCTCTTCGTCAGATATCCAACTTCCTTGAGACCTGCACTGTAGCGATTTTCTCCATCGTCAGTCTTATCAAGCAACTTCCAACCTAACACACGCCCCTTGGGCCCTTTCCCAACTTCACGGTCTCCCAAAAACCTCGACTACTTCATCTTAAAGCCATTTGGACGGTCTATGCTTCCATATCGGATTTTCTTTGCGACCTGTGCTCCACACGACCAAGCGAAAATCCAAAGCACACCCTCAACACCGACAATCTGGTACTGGTAAGTCTCCAATGCCGAGTCTTTTCGTCGCTTTGATTATGCTTCTCTGGAAAATTTCTGTGTATTGGTCTACTTACAGCCATACTTCGTCGAATTTCTGCCTTCGTCCTGCGTTCTTGCTTTGCGTGCTTGTCTCTATCACCACCCACAAGGCGCAACTGACCTTGCGGGGAAGGGACTCGTTCCCAATTCGCAGAGAAATCATGGCGCAATTGGACGTCACCACGAGTACCAGCGGCGCCATACCCAGTAGCTCTGAATCAATGGGCAGCTTCGATGGGCTGACGGCTCTCCACCTTGCTGTCCTGGCAAACGACGTCGCAAAAGTCCGCAAGCTCCTGAGTGACAGGGAGTATGGTGTCGATCAGCGGACTGCGACCGGCGCCACTGCATTGATGCTGGCTGCCCTGTTCGGACGCAATGAGATCTTCCTCTACCTCGTCCGTAAGAGAGCCTCGCTCGGCAAGAAGGATAACCAGGGAAACATCACCCTAGACTACGTAAAGCAGATTTCACCTCTCATCCAAGATTTGGTCCGGAAGTACAAGAGCATTGCTGCAAGAAAGCCTGATGGAGTTGGGCGACGCAATATCTACGGCGTGCTGAAAGCACTCGCGCGCGACAGAAACAAGGCCTACGACCAGGGTCGTGCCGACGCTCGTGGTGAAGCCCAAGGTCAAGCTCAATTGCAAACTCCCGTACATTTGAAACAATCCAGAGCGCAGCAGCCTTCGCAGGATCCCATCCGCACCGTGTTTCTTCGATCTGTGGATGGCAAGCAGCAGGAGTTCGTCGAAGTCAGGCAGATCGCTACGGCAGAACACAACAGCAATATCGGACGCAAATGCACAGGCTTTATCCGCGCCATGGATGGAAGTGGCACCCACATCTTTGCCGTCTCTGGTTGGGGTGGCATGAAGGGCAAGAACGTCCTCGACAACAAGGAATATGCAGAGCTTGTACGGCGAGTAGCAGCTCTCCTTGGCTTCGAGCTTCAGGGACATTGGATGGATTGTGTCAGTAGTTATCTACCGAATAATTGGCGACTGACATACTGACCATGATTTAGAGATTCCCCGGTAGCCCATCTGAAAAGAAGGGGGCTTTTGTTGCCTGTCACTCTGAGGTATGTTTTGACCAGTAAATCCCATTGCTTTTATAAGGTCTTATAATGAGGCTTTGGGACAGATAATTGACCATGAGAACAGAAGCAGCTGGCAGTTTTCATCCTAATTAAGTCACTTGGCCATGTACTCGGCACAAAAACGCTCACAGTAAATAACATCGCCTCCCTCAAAAACCAACTGGACAAATTGCCGTCTGAACTACGCGAGACAATGATTCACCTGGATCATAAAGTCGTGTGCACGAGCTGTGTCAATGTAAGTAATTATTTCTCACCAGTCAACAGTCTCAATCAATTGCTAACTTAGATCCCAGTTCCTCAAGCTGCTAAGACAGAAGACTGGCCTCGTCTTCCGGTGCGTATCGCGAAATTGGTACACACACGGGCAGAGGGTTCAACTTCGTCCTGAAACCGACGGAAGCTACAAGCAAGTTACACAGGCGACAAGACGCTCTAGTCCTGATGGAGAAGCGGATATCGTCGAAGATGAGGTCGACGGTTGGGACACTGACAGCACTATTGAGTGCGATCTACAGGTTCGTGCTGCGATCCAGGAGGATGACACAATCGTGGTTCAAGACGGCATGGTCGCTCCTCCATCAACTCCACCAAGCCGCCGCAGTTGCCTTCCACGCCAGCTGGTCCTGAGAGAGCCTTCTGACAATCCGAAGAGAGGCTCGCCCGTCTATGAAGAGCCTGACCGTCGTGACTCCCGGTATGCGATTTTCGATGTGACGCCACCTTCCAAACCCCAAGCAATGCCGACTCCTCAATCTCATCACCGATTTACGGGAATCTCCGAGATCGAGGTGTCACCGAATCCGGAGGGAGTGGTCTCTGCTCTCGGTTCGGCAGACCACATAGACACTACTTCGCCGTCCTTGTCCCAAGAGTATGAAGTGGAGACTGTTCTGGAGACGAAAGTTGAGAATAGTACGCGATCATACCTCGTTAAATGGAGGGGCTATCCTTACGGCAACAACACATGGGAAACTGAGGACAACATGACCAATGCATCCGAGGCTATCAGAAAGTTCTGGGAAGACTTGCACACATCCCGAGCTCACACCTGATAGTAGGCAGAGTCAAAGCCCGGCTCGGGCTCCTATGCTTCGACTTGTCGACCTCGACTGCAAATCATCTGCTATATCTGCCTTGTCTGTCGCTATGGCTGGCTGGGATATGCAGATGGTCATGCTTACACACAAACGACTTGTTCCTTGGGATTCCTTCTCTGTGTATGACTACGACCACGGGTTCGCAGCTTTCGCATATACTGTCTTGCAAGACGAAGGAAATACTCGAGATCGTAATGATCGTTCGCGACTGACCGCCTCCGCCGCCTGAAGTCAAGTCTCAAGCCCCGACCATCGAGAAGTAATGGGGGTGGCGAGCTTCTTATGTTTCCCCTTGAAAAGTTATTGTTCTTTACCGACAAAAGTTTTTGTTTCCTTCATTTCTCTTACTGATCATAGCTGCGAAATAAGGCAATCAGATGCCTGCAGTGGATTTTGTCTTTTTACGCTTTCTTCGTTTTAAGGAAATACAGCAATACCATCCTGTCATGGTTAAGTCGCATTATTCGACACTGGAACCGAGGAGCAGCCAATTTAAGGTGTGCGCTTTGAAAGGTGTGTGCTTCGATGCTGGTCTTCAAAGGAGGAATTTCTGAGTCTCGGTTGTGAGCCCGTATTGGGTGAAAATGGGTCATTAGTTGATTCTAATTCATACTCATATGAATCACTCGAGTCCTTGTTCATGTGAAATGATGATTCGACTATGTTGAGCTCGAAGTTTCAAATGCCCCATACCAGGCGGCCTTCCCAACTTCACTCAATGCGAAACCAAGTGTGATTCAGAGCTTCACTTGCCGTAAGCCTCTTCCCAGGATCAAAGTTTGTCAACCCGCCAACCAAATCTTTCAATTCCTCATCGACACCCTGCCATAGAGAGAATGGCTTCCGCGGATTGTCGGCATTAAAGCCATCTCGGAGAACGCCAAAAATCTCCACCCATGGACTGTCGCCAAGATGCCTCAACAGCCCAGCCAGCCCTTCTTTATCAGCGAAATAGGAGATCTGTCGTTCAAGGACATGTGCCAGGATATCCTCACCCTCACCCAACTCATGCTCACCAACAGCAAATATGACTCTCTTGTAAACAGCGTAGATACACTGTAGAGTAATCAGCACATGAATTGGCTGTCAAAATTGATTAGAGCAATCCGTGTAGAGCTACTTACCACAATACCGAAAGAAAACATGTCCGAGGGCTTGTTCACAGGGCCGGATGCATGGGCTTCTGGGCTACGCCACATCCAGTTTCCCGCTTGCTTCCCAACTATGTCGCAATCCGGCGGCACATGGGCAGAATCTTCCAAGTCAGCTAGCTGTACTTGATCGACTTCCATGCCATCAGCGTTGTGCCGCTGGATGAGGATGTTGTTCGGCTTGATGTCTGCAATGTGTTAACATCGTCCACGTTGGCTCTTGTGAAGGCTTGAAAATGGTTACCGGTATGGACAATGTCTTTCTCGTGTAACTTTGCAAGCCCTCGCAGGGCATCCTTCAAGATGCGTTTCACCGTAGGTAATGGGGGATTCTCTTGAGCCAGACTTAAGAGATGGTCGCTGAAATACTTGAACACGAAAGATGATTGATCCGGTATGGTATCACAAGCGACACGCAGGTTTGGGCAGTCATCAAGACTTCGGTAAATTTCCTGGTAGTCAATGAAGCTAGTTTTGGATACATTCTTCAAGACGAACTTTTGGTTTTCCGCGCTGTGGGTACGAGCGTTAGCAGGTGTGCATTTTCGAGTGATGGAGACTCATACGTCGCAAGGTATACATGACTTGGTGGAAATTCCTTCTCCTGGAGAACCCTCTCAATCGCATAGATACGACCTGATTGACCCCTGAGGCTGTCCGGCTGCACCATCTTGGGTGATCGCTGTTTAGGAGGAGTAGAAGAATGGTACCGCAAGACTGAGAGACGTGGTGAAATGCTTGAAGGTGAAGTATTGGAGGCAATAAAACCAGCGGCTAGAACTCTCCTCCAGCTTTTATTGCGTAGTGGATGCATGATAAAAGCCTGGAGGATGCAAAGTGCACCGAAGAGGCGATGGACACATTGGAAAGTGGTCTACTTTCCGATGGGGATAAGCTCCAACGCGTCCAATCGGCTCGGTTTCCATTGGCTGCCGCGCCAAGACCTGACCCACTTCCAGCCAGTGACTCCTGGTGTCTGCTGAATAACTGACCTTGGCTAGCCTGGTAGGGACGATGTTCCCAGCCTTGATTCTACCCTGCTCGCGTGACTACCTACACCTGCGAGGTCACTCCACGCGCCATACTACCAGTGAGGCTTAGAGGAGATGCATAGTTGTGTCTAGCAATGACCGACGTCGTGGGCGTAGAATGTAACGGCAAAATGTCTCTCACAGCCTGCGCAACCAATAACTCTCAACCAGGACATGCCCAGATATTAAAATTGGCCGTTGGTAGTATTTTACGTTTTGCTGCTGGAAGGCCAACATTAGCCCGCGAGAATGAGATCGAGAACGGAGTGAACAGTCCGCAATGCCCAGCAACTCTGTGATCCATGCCTTGTCATGCGACACAAGAGCTGATGAATATGAATCAGCCTCAGTGAAAGTGCCAACAGCCAACATCACTGGCAGCTGAGAGTGGGCGTAAAATGCCCAGCGCACACATGAATAGCGTCACATCATCCTCTTAGGACCTTGAATGTTTCCTGCTGCCGCCATGCTAATTGTGATCGCTTGTGCCCATGATCTGGCTCCTGCTTGTTGCCTGAACAGGTATGAATAACCTGTCTGCAGCTCGTTGAGTACAGACAGTGGCTAATATTCTTTCTGATGTGAAGACAATATCTCTATTATTTTCAACTTGCAATTTCGACTTGCTCCTCTCGTTGCTTTTGCATCCCGTATCCCTCGAATCTTGTCGCTATACTCTAAGAATTCGAAAATGGCCGCAAGATACGTTTCCAGCCAGCTCATCAAGAACGTCTCAAAGGGCGGTCGAACATTAACTATCGAATATGTCGACAAAACAACGGCTTGGGTCCGCCCTTCGGATTTTCCTTCTTCATCAGTCAAACAGGACTTCACGGAGGTTGTCCAAGAAAATATGGATACTTTCAGCCCGGAAACGACGAAGGTTGCTATGAAGTAAGCTTGTTATCTGGATCCATTTCTTTTGACAGTTACTTTGATGCTCAAACCCACTTCGATAGGCTTTTCTAACTGGGCGCAAAACAGGGAATCAGAGCATCAGAGTGAGAAGGACAAGCGCGTGCATTATACGGCTTTCGCTCTTGACAAGAACGGGGAAGTCATTGAGACGAAGCATCTTGTCAGGCACAAATGATTTCCTGCCAGGGATTTGGATATGAAATTTGGCGCAACAATGTGAGTCTGTACCGGTAGCTATGCTGCAGTATAGAGCTCTGAATATACATGTTTTCTGATCTCGAGAGAGAAAAGAAATATGGTCCACGACTTCTTTGAAATCATGGGTCGACCAATATGCATAGGGAGTAATTGCACATATAAAAATGTAACGAAGTTAGCCTTGCCTATTGACGAGGGATAGGGTTCACGAGCTGGTCGGATGCACAGACCTCAGAGCTCACCCACACGGCAGTGATGGCATGAGATCAGCTCGGCATGAGAGTCGAAATCTCATCGCTTTCTCACGTTGAGCATCTGATGGCCAGCAGCATTGGGGCTCCGCACATAAGAGACAATATATATTTCTCATGCTTTGTGACCTTTATCTGTCAGGTCGCAGGTCGTCGCCCCGACGCTGCACCGTTTGCCGTCGCGAGGGCTGTTGAGCCCTCGCCCTCGCCCCTCCGAGGACAACTAACATCTTGTCTCATCCCACCCAGCTGGACTTGGGTCAGATGGCCCTGAGCACCACACAAGATGCGCGACTTCATAGACTACCTCCAAGAGGCCTTCATCACAGCCAGCGGAGGTAACACATATGACAACAGCGTAATGCACATAACCATCTCCTCCCAAGCAGCTCTCAGGCACATCGCTGACCCATGCTGCAGTACTCCAACCTCGACCTCACATCCCGCTCCCTGCTGCATTTTCCCACGCCCACGGGCAGCAGGATAACCCTGTCGTCCTTCGTGCGGCCCAAGTTCGGCACCTCCTACAGCATAGGCATTAAGGACGGCTGGGTCTCGTACCTCTACTCCACCCTCCCCACTGACACCACCACCAGCTCCGACCGCATCCCGCTGCCCAACCTCCTGCGCAGCTATCGCTCCCTGTCCACCACCGCCGCCCACCATGCGGTTGGCCATGGCCTCGTCTACGGCCGCCTGTACCTACCTCAAAGCAGGCTGGAGGCCCTGCTCGCCACGCGCGTCACCCGCCAGGTCAACCTGACCATCCGCGCCGTCAGCCAGGAGACCCTTCGGCACGGTGGCACGGCGCTAGCCCTGGCTTCATGGGATGATCCCGCGGGGCGCTTTGGCGTGGAAACCCTCGCTTCGTCAGACGGGGGCGTGTTGGGCTTACGGGGGCTCTGGAACGCGACGAATCCGCCGGGTCCGGCGCCGGCATCTATCAGCGGCACGGAATCGTTCTCTGGAGCGGCGGCAGCAGCATCATCACAACCGAGCACAGCCATCCCCATCACGGCAACACACTCACCCTCCTCGGACACCACCAATAACAACAACAACAACCACGCCGACAAGGAGCGCATCAACGGGCGCTTCAGCGTCGGCGGCGAGATCTACTACGGCCTGCTCAACAAGTCGGGCGGGCTCAGCCTGGGCGGGCGGTTCCAGACGCTGCCGACGCACACGGGGACGCCGCTGACTGCGGCGCTGACATTCAACCTGCTGGGCCACTTCAGCGCCACCTACGCCGTCATGGCCGGCCGCGGCTGCACGCTCGCCAGCCAGTTCGGCTTCAACGTCTACAGCTACGAGAGCGAGTGGGCCGTCGGCGTCGAGCTGTGGCGGGCCGGGCGGTCGAGGAGGGGAGGGGCGCCGCCGTCGGGCGGATCTGCCTCTGGGCAAGGCGGTGACGGGCGCGTGGTATCGGCGGATGCGCCGATCGAGGGTGCCTTGAGAGACGCTGCTCCGCCGCAAGAGGCGGAGGCGGTCCTCGCTGCCAGGACAGGGCTGGACCAGGAAGTCGATCCAAGCCTCGCCGAGGCGATGCACACGAGGAACGCAAACAACAACCAGATCAAGGCGGCCGCGGCGACCTCAACGACAGACGCGGTGCCAATGGCGAAACAAGCCACAAATCAGCGAAGCTTCCAGGCGAAGCTGGAGTGGCGGCTTGACGGCGACGATGATAGAAGTACAGCAACAGTTGTCTACGATCCCTCCACGGGGGCCAAGCTCGCCGCCACAGGCCTGGAAGAACTGTCAGCGTTTGGGGAGGGCGAGTGGGACAACAGCGACGCGGAAGACTCCCCCGCCGGCGTGGTCAAGTGCCGCTGCGACCAGCATATGCGGGTCGGGCTCATGTACGAGGGCCGGTACAAGTCTCTGCTGTTCAGCCTGGGCACGGACATCGACCTGCGGAGGCTGGACGCGCCGTTCCAGGGCGTCGGGCTGGCCGTGCAGTTCTCTTCGTGAGTCCATGAATGCGGGTTTGGGGGGGGGGGAGGGATGAGAGGGCTCAGACCTCTGGGGAGCTATGGACAAATGAGAGAGGGGACAACCCTCGTGTTGTATATACTTCTCTACAGGGAGAGGGAAAGCATCTATTGCTGTGATAACAGTGGATAGGCAGACATTGATATGGCTATAGAAGTGAACATGACGAGGTCCGGAGCCTCTGAGACGAGCCGACACGGGGCTTCTGGGAGCGTCTGGTGGTTCGGTACCAGTCATCTATGCCCGTCTTGGAAGGTAGCATATACTGAATGTGTATGGCTAGAGGGCGCCACATATATAACACAAATATCACGGTCACCGAGCGCAGACCATTGTGTGTAGCATCGTCACCGCTCACGGACTGTATCGTGTTGGGCTGGACAGGCAAACTTGGATTTGATCTCTGCGATAGCATTTCACCGGCAACAAAAGGCGGCGGGTCAGTCATGTTGACGTGGTATCATTTCCCAAATCCCGTGACAAATTCCGTGATCAGATCATTCCATTCCGATCTGTTTTTGACGCCTAAGACCAAGCAATCCGTAGTGAAAAAGTCCAACCCCGACGCCACCGTCATGCCTAGGGGCCGACAGTTTACTCGTCATCCTCCTCCTCCTCCTCGGCCTCAGCAGTCTGGGCAGCAATGCCTATTGGATAACAAGTTAGCATGCAGGTTCAAAGAGGTTGTATCATTTTTGATCGGAGCAAGGAGGAACGTACGGTCCAGATCACGCTGGCCAGCCTGGGTGATGCGGCGGCCGCCCTTCTCCTCGTCGATCTCGACAATGTTGATCTTCTCAAGGGCCTGCAGGACCTTGCGGTCGACGGAGCCGGAGGCGTTGACGTGCTTGGAGGGGCGCGCACCACGGTTCTTGGCGGTTCCGTGGATCTTTCGGAGGCGGCCGACACCGATGGTCTTGCGCAGGTAGACGGCGCGGGCGACAGCGGCGGCACGGACGTAGAACCAGTCGATGTCCTGGGGAGGCATCTCCTTGGCGGGGCCGGTCTTGACAGTGTCAACCCAACCTGGATGATGAGTTTGTGGTTAGCCGAGAGGTCCAACAAGCGGACAGAAAGAATTGGTGAGAGTAACTGTCACATACCAGGAATGGCCAGCTTGCCCTGACGCTTCAGGAACGCAGCGTAGGCGTTGATGAACTTGTGCGACTGCAGATCAAAACAAAACACCATCAGCAAATATTCCGTCTTCAGAGGTCTTTCGACCCCCTCACGCCTGCTCCACGGTGTTTGTATGTTTCTTTCATGTTTGTGCCTCGACCCGATGCCCTTCCATATTTGTATGCGCAAAGTCGAATGAGCGATTCATAACGCTCTCGAAGCAATGGCTATGCTATGGGGTGCGGTCGGGTGTCGGTTGATTGTGGTTCCTGGCCGTGATCGTCGTGATTGTCGTGCCCATGTGTGGTCGTCTTTTTGTTCCGTCTTGCAGGTCGTGCGGGATAGTCAGACTGGAAGAGTTGGGACACCTACATCAACATCGCGAACAGAGATACCGCCACCCATTTTGATTGATTTGATGGATTTTCCTGGGAGAGATTGACGTGAGGAAAGAGGGTGGTCGTCGGGGTTTAGCTGTCGAAGGTTGAGGTTGAGGATGAGAAGATTTCACGCAGGCCAGACGTCGAAGTCAAAATCCAAATGGCAGAAACTGGGGTTGTGCTGGCGCTAGCTCCACTCTGGGCTGGCAGAATTTCGAAAATTGATCCCTTGGTGTGGGCAGCGTGCACGGGCCAACCAGTCCAGATAAGTCTCAACAGCTGGCAGCCAGCTGCCATGGACTTTGCCGTGGACTTTTACGTGGACTTTTAAGTCCTGGCTAGTGCCTAGTGCCTAGTGCCCAGTGCCCAGTGCCCAGCCCACTAGCGGCCCGTGTGGTGCGGAACCTCGGCATGTAACGTCAATCAATCGGATTTGACCACTTCGCAAGCAGAGACCCATTTGGCCATTGCATTGCTGTTCAACACGACTTTGCCTCCTCTCCCTCACCCAGTCACCTCTGCAGAATTATGGTTGCGGCACAGAATCTGCACAGATCCTGCACAGAACCTGCAGAAATGTTGGGATGTCCAACGGCGAATCCCATCCTCGACGGAGCTGCTGGTCTACGAAACAATTCTTCTTATGGACTCACCGTCTACGCTGCTAGCTAAGTTGTGATATGTTCTGTCTGCTGTGTTGAGCAGTCAGGCAGTCAGGCAGTCACTCACTCAATCAATCCCTTTTTGTCCAGTTCCAGTTGCGAGTCACAGCTTCTGCAAGAATGGTCATGCAGATTCACATCAGTCATCCCTCTCTGCCTCGTCTTCTTCTGCCTTGTTTCTCGTATCAACCCCATCCCTGTGTTCATATATACTGTATGATTTGGATTTTAATACCGTTTCCTGTGAAACATGCAGATGCTTTCTCCATTGCACATGGCCACTGACCACCTCAGTCACATCTCATTATCCTCAATCTCCTCATCTACGGCGTAAAGACTGTATGCTGTTGGTGCTGAGGATTGAATATCGACGACACAGACAGAAAAAGAGTCCCTGCTCCCTTCCCTCCATCTCATCATGTCCCACTTCTTCCCAGCCCTGACTGCATGCAGGCTCAAGGGTGCATTCAATGAAACCACATGGCATCAAACCACCCTGCCCGTCCACCAAGCGGAGCCCATTCCTGTTCTCCACTTGTCCCGTCTAGGAATCTGGCCCTGCGAGCCTCGGCTGCCTTCTCAATCCATCCTAGCTGCCGCCAGCTGCAGGGCCGACCTGTTGAAGTGCCCACGGCCCGTGGATGAATGAAACACACGAGGGAGAATGATAGGCACCATGTATCCTCACCACGATTCTGTGCTATCTCTTCCCGTTGTGCCTATATGCCAGCTCATCTGGCTTCAACCTAAGCATATCTCCATTACAGGCGCTTGGACCCAACTGGGTGGTATATTTGCAAGGGTGACCAGACGAGGTGAATGAATGGACTGTGCCGGACTTGTCATGCCCAACTGTGAAGACGGATCCAGAATCTGAACGAAACCTGCTTTGATCCTCCTTCACTTTTGTTTCTACTGGGGCTTGCTAGCCTGAAGCCCTGCAGTGAAGCTGTTTGAGACTTCAACAACAAACAATATCTTCATCGTCTGAGTTGTCTTTAAAGTTTTGCCTGGACCGCTACGCCTGGCCAACCTGCGTCGTCGCTACCTGCCAAGTCGACCTCGAATCAGGCACGCCTTCCCCCCTTCTGGCCAGATAAGACCAAGGAGAGGAGCTTGGTTGGTACAAAAGCGCAGCTATGTCTTTGGGTGAGTCTCTATATATATTCTCAAGCCCTCTTAGACACCGCGTTTCCTATATGCTCTTGAACAGCCCTACTGATGCCACCGAAACCTACAGTCCCTACCGTGGTGGGCCAAGCTGCTGCTGCTTTGGCCGGCCTTGCCTACCTTAATGCTCGCTTCTCCATTGGCCAGGATCTTAACTTTCTCTTAGGCCGTAGAGCAGCCTTCGCAGCGTTAACGAAAACCGGTGAGGATTTCAACGGGGGCTCCTGGCTTCAGATGAACAGCGGCCACCCCCCCCCCCCCCGGCCTAATCCCTTCTCATATACCACACCAATTAAAGACTTGCTGGTCTTGACTAATATCAGATTACAGCCTCCAAGAATCGACTCTCGATTTACTACTTTTTCGAAGACGCAGTCAAGGAAAAAGGCGACTCAGAGGCCATATGGTCCCACGGCGAGTGCCTCACCTATAACCAGACTTACGCCCGCGTCAACCAATATGCGCAATGGTTCCTCGCTCAGGGCGTCCAGCCAGGCGGCCTCGTCGCCCTCCTGATGGTCAACTCCCCGGATATGGTCTGCGCCTGGTTCGGGCTCCTAGCCATTGGCGCCGCCCCTGCGCTGGTCAACACCAACCTTGCCGCCAAGGCCCTGATCCACTCCATCGAGATCGCGAAGGTCAAGCTCATCCTCGCTGACGGTGACGACGACCTGATGGGTCGGTTGGATGCCGTGCGCGGCGACCTAGAGGCCGGCGGCCACCGCATCTGCAAGCTGGGCGAGGCGCGCGAGCAAGTCCTCGGCATGCAGCCCCTACGGCCCAGTGACGAGCTCCGCAAGAATGTCAGTGTGGATGCGCCGCTGGCCCTGGCATATACGAGCGGTACCACGGGGCTGCCGAAAGCCATCACGTTCCCTATGGCCGTTGCCTTCCTGTCGGCGACGGTAAAGCGGCGCGGGTTCGGTGAGCTTCCCGTTGCCAATCAGAGGTGCTACAACTGCATGCCCTTCTACCACATGACAGGCGGCCTTCATGCCATATTGCAACTCTTGGTGAGTATATTAGGCAGGAAATGACCCCCACCTCCAATTAGCCTGGCCTCCTCCTCCAACTGACACCCATACTCACCACCCCAGACCCGCGACACCCTATGCATCGCCCCTAAATTCAGCACGAGCACCTTCTGGGCCGACATCCGCGCCTCGCGCGCAACATTCTTCATCTACGTGGGCGAGGCCCTGCGGTACCTCCTCGCGCAGCCGCCGTCGCCGCTGGACCGCGCCCACAACGTGCACACGATCCTGGGCAACGGGCTGCGCGGCGACGTGTGGATCCCGTTCCGGGACCGGTTCGGCATCGACACGATCCACGAGTTCTTCAACTCGACGGAGCTCATGTTCGGGCTCGACAACTCGAGCCGGGGCGACTTCACGGCCAAGTCGCTCGGCGTGCACGGCCTGCTGCTGCGCGCCCTCTTCTCGGGCATGTACGTGCCCGCCGCCACGGACCCGGAGACGGGCGAGCTGCTGCGCGACCCGGAGACGGGCTTTGCGGCGCGCGTCCCCTTCGACCAGGGCGGCGAGATCCTCGTTCGCCTCGACTACCAGAGCAAGCTGCCGGGGCGCACGTTCCGCGGCTACTGGGACAACGAGGGCGCCACCAACGCCAAGATCGCCCGCGACGTGTTTAAGAAGGGCGATGCCTACTTCCGCACCGGTGACGCCCTGCGACGCGACTCTGACGGTCGCTGGTTCTTCTGCGACCGCCTCGGCGACACGTTCCGCTGGAAGGGCGAGAACGTCAGCACCGCCGAGGTGAGCGACGTGCTCGGCGGTTACGGCGGCGGCGTCATCGAGGCCGTCGTATACGGAGTGCAACTCCCCGGTCACGAGGGGCGCGCTGGTGCCGTGGCGCTGCTGATTGAGGAGTCGAGGCGGGAAAACTTTGACTATGCGGATTTTTTGAGGTGGGTTCTCCCTTGACTCTCCCCCCTTTCCCCCGATGAGCCTGTCGAGGCTTTTGCGACCCTGTATTCCCCAGAGGGAGTGAATCGATTCTAATCGCAGACACAGACACGCCCGCGCCAACCTCCCCAAGTACGCCGTGCCAATCTTCATCCGCCTCGTCTCGGAGCCCCTCAGCACCGGCAACCACAAGCAGAACAAGGTGCCGCTCAAGGCCGAGGGCGTCGACCCGGACAAGGTGTCGAGCGGCGACGCCATCTACTGGGCCCGTGGCGACACCTACGTGCCCTTTACCCGCGCCGACTGGGACGGCTTATCCCAGGGCAGGGCCAGGCTGTGAGTGGACTAGGAATAGCCCGCTCATGCGTGCGTGCATGCGCGTGAGTGCGTGCCACGTCGCGCTGAGGCTTATCTCGCGGGGAAAGGGGGCCCCCCGTGGCGTCGCTATCGCATCTTCCGCTTGTGTGGTTGCAGTCGCAGCAGCGTGGGGTGGCGACGCGCGGTGTGAGTTGGTCTTGCGCGGGCCCTGGGGTTTCCCTTGCTTTCTGGCGCGTCATGTGCAGGCCTGCGTGAAGACCAACTTGCAGCTGGGATGATGGGTGAGATGAAGATGAGGAGAGAAAGGGCCAACCGAGGAATAATAGACGAAAGCCCGTCGTAATGTCTCGCTACCTCTTTAATGACAGACCAGCATAGCCCAGGCGTTTTAGATTCTATTTCTATCTCCTATCGCACCATTGGTGTTGACGTGAAGCGGTGTGATCTTATGCTTTCCTTTGTGCATCAGCGTGTAGTCCTGTAGTCTAAATGTGTGTGTGTGTGTGTGTGTGTGTGTTTGTGTGTAGTTTGCATACCTGATAGCCCGGGTAAGAAAATCAGCATCGCTTCCAGTGGCCAGCTCTCCATGCTTAGGATAGGAATATATGGTGAGCAGCAGACACGAATGAGTACTCAATGACAACTCGTACATAGGTACACTGGCGCAAGGCAAACCACGATGAGCCATCTGAAGCTCACCTCGGCGCAGCTGGCAGGTCCTGAGAGACAGGAACGGCTTCTGATACTGGGCTCCGCCACCACGGATATCAACACGCTATAAAGACCGGGTGCCTCACTGGTCACGAACTCGCCGCGTACATCACCCTAATCATCCCTCCGATGAGCAGTCCTCACCTTTACTTGATGACATTTTCGGACCGCGATGGGGGAACGTAAGAGCGCAGCACAGCCCAGCCCAGTTAGTTTCATACGTGAGGCAGTTGCCGCCGAGATGGACCTATCCGACTGCTATGGACTGAATTCCCCGATTTGTGTCATCCCACAGGGCTGGGATAACTTCCCCAGCGACATTGCCGGTGTTGTTCCCGTATCCGCTTCTTTGACTCGGTTGGTTGGCCGTGCGAGGCAAGAAGGGAAAGCACATTTGCCTATCTATCTGGTGCGGACGTTGCAGACAGAACCTTGGGGGTAGCATTGGCCCACATGGGTGTCCATGTGTGTGTGTTCAAGAAACTGTCTCTGGCCCGAGGGATAAGTCCCGTCATGTGCAATTTCCATGTCGTGTCTCGCAGTAGGTTTGAAAAGGAGAGGCAGAGGTCGGGAATATGTAGAAGTCTTACGTATGCATAGATGCCGAGCAACCCCCAGGCGGATTGGGTAATCTCCTGACTTCCTCTTGGAAAAGACCTCTTGTATTCCCTCAGACCCGATCAATGTACCGTCCACGACTCGACACGCTCGTGTGTTAGAGCAAAGGTACATCCAGAGAATAGGCTGCCCAAAAAGGTGAAGAACTCTTTCAGATACCATGAGGGAGGGGGGCATGTATCACACTCCTATACGCGTAGGCACCCACATGGCACTAAGATTATCCATGCAGGCCAGCTTAGACGGAAGGGGGCGAAGGGGAGTCGATACGTACAGTACTCAAGTCAAGTTCCGAAAAGCTTGCCCAGTCAGATCTAATGCCGGAGCTCTTCAGGGACCCTTCGGAGAATATATTGGGGGCCAACTGCCGAGCAACCGGCGTCGAGCGAGTGGCGGTGGTGAGATACAGGTACATCATACCAGGTCACCAAGAAGTACCTCTCGCTCACAGCTTCCTTGAGGACGTAGTCAATGGAGCCTTCAGCCGCCCACTCACCCACACACACAACCCTACCCACAGACATACGCACGCACGCGAGATCTCCATCAGCCCATCCCTTCCAAAACGTGCAACGGGCGCTACTGCATGCTTGCCGCAAAAATGGGGAACTCTATTTGAGAAAAGAAAAAAGATGAATGGGGTATTGGTTTTTCCCTTCTTGATATCTAAGCGGTGAGTTGAATTGAGTTTAAGAAGGGGGCGGCAGGTCCCGTCAACCTTCATGCCGTTGAGGAGTCCGAAGAAGAGAAGAAGAGACGACATGCTACGTGTAACATGTGCATGTGCATGTGCATGTGCGGAGACTGGATTTGTGCAAGGCACAGCCTCTGCTCATGGCGTGAGTAGGCATGAGTTGTGTGGGCGAGTGAAGTTTCCTGTCTGCCTGAGTTTGTGTCTGTCTGTCTGTGTCCTGGCTCGGCCGAGAAAGGAGTATTGTAAGCGGCGTGTCGCAATAGCTACACAGCGATGCTCTGACCGAGTCAGCTCTGAATAAATTTTTGAGGCTTTGGGGCCCCTGAACCGGGCAGACAAGTTACGAGGTCATTACATTTTTGAACCAAGTATGTGCAACACCGAGCAGATACACACGCAGCAAGAGAAGAGTCCCCTGTGATTTTGTGATTGGGCACACCCGAAGGTTGACTCTCACCGGTCGAGGCGAGGAAATTGACAAACTCAAAGACAGTCCCAACGCAAACAGACCTCGCAAAAGCTGAGTCTCTTATTGTTTATGCAAGATGGAGTCTCGTAGATTCCCGTCACCCCGTGTCACAGGATGAACTACCGGCTGAGGTAGAAGGAAAGATTGTAGTCTCGCCCGGGTGGCGTGTTTGGACAAGTGCCGTTCACGTGAAGGTGCTGTGCCTACCTACCGTGCGTATACATTGTGCCAGGAGCAAGCTGCTGCCGCCAGCCAGACCCCAGCCAGACCCCAGCCGCGAGGTCTGCGGAGGTGGTGTCTGGGCTCTGGCTGGGCCTAGGCCTGGGCACACACTCACATTATACCACCAAGGGGGTCACGGGTCTTTCATTGGGGGATTGGCTGGTGAGAAAGCTTAAATCCCAAAATAGAAGGATGTCTTGGTTGAGCCGCATGCGTGTGCGAGTAAGCAAGCCGCCTGTTTGAACGACGTCGACTCTACTTGCAGATGTCAGATGCCTCTTTTGGACCCTTCGGAGGCGGATCTAGCCTTCTCAAGACACCGTAAAGGGTCTGAAGACTCGACACGACCATGAATGGCGACCGAGAAGCGCGCGCCTGCTTTGTGATAGCAGTGCAAATTGAGTTTGCTGTGGCCGGCCGATGATACGATGCCTCGTCCGCCAATGGCCAGGGTTTTTTGGTTGAATTAACCTCCGGGCCGTTGTTGGACGGTGAAAACGACAACTTAGCAGCAAGGGTTCCCAGAGAGATTGTCTGGCCCAAATGCGTCGAGCGCTGCGAAAACGAAAAGCAAATAGGATTTCCCCATCCGGGCAGAATTCCCCGAGCTGGCCAGGGCAGACTGGGCCAGGCTCTGAGCGTGGCGTGGCGTGGCGTGGCGATCGTCCCATGTACCTGGTCACAGTCTCGAGTGGGTAATGCCGTCATCGGACTGTCATGGCCAGCAGGTGCCGCAACCCCAGAGAAAAAGTCTATTAGACAGGGCGAAACCCGGAATGGACGGCGAGGGTCAGGGAAGGGAGGGAGTGGAGCTGCATTGGGAGCGGCGCCGACCCGGAAGAAGCGACCAAGCAAGCAGCATCCCGAAAACGGCGGGGACCATTGGCTCGAATGCCCAAATGAGTGAATGCTACTGAGATGGTTTGAGTTGCTCAGACTGAGTGACAGAGTCACAGAGGCAGGGCCAAGGGTTCAGACGAGCGTCACAGGGTCGCAGCGAGCTGTGAGCAGTCTGTGAGCAGTGGTCGGCAGATGGGGTTGTTGACAAAGGCCGGCAGATTTCGGGGGCGACGTCGATCGTGGTTTCGGGGGTGGATCCTCGAGGCGGGCCCGAAAGGCAAACAAGAAACAAGGGTTCTGGTCGGCAATAAGGCGGATGTGGAGTGCGAGAAAGCAGGCCAAGAGACTCGGTCGGTCGGTCCCAAGATCCAGAGGGCCGGATGAATTACCAAGCAGCTCTCTGGGGCCCTGGAAAAAAGCTTGAGTGACGGGATCGGGTAGTGCTGACGGCGCGCCCAGCAGGTGACAGGAAAATTATTAAAGACAGATGCACGGCGAGACAAGCCGGGGATAGGACGTTTACAAGATGGGATGGTTGGTTATTATCGAGAGGGAGGGGAGGCTTCAGGGAGGGTAGAGGGTAAAGCGCGGGCGGGCTGGAAGAGTGGCCCGGATGCTTCGGTGACATTGCAGCTTTGTCTTGTCTTGCATGTTTTGCTTGTTGGGGCAACACACTCCAGGACAACAAACAATAACTCCGTGGAACCGGTGGGAGTAGAAAGCTTATCCAGGTGAAATGTGACGATCTCTGGCGGTGGGTTAAGAGTCATCAGGCGATGAGCAGGCCGTGAGCAGGAGTGAGCGGGCGAGAGCAGGCCGTGGGCAGGCCGTCGGAGGAGCGAGTCCCCGCCAAATAACCTGAAATTGCGAGATGATGAATCCACGATGGATGGTCGACAGCCTGTCTGGCAGTCCGTCAGTCATGCATGATGAGATGAGTTGGTGCTGTCTTGCTCACTCGCCCTAGCCTCTTACTGTACCACATCGACTGCCTGGACTGCACAAGACCTGGTCAGGAAAGTGGGGACCCCACCACCCGCGCCCTGCGACTGCAAGAAAATGGCAAGGTGGTGTGAAGGAGAGACATAGACGACAACCGACAAACAGACGACAGACGACAGACGCGATCGATCCATCACCCATCATCCACCATCCATCATCCCGGGCAAGGCACCAGCCACAGCGCCTCGCCCCACCCCACCCGCGTCGCGACTTATCAATCAGTCCCGTCCATCACTGGCCTCTATTCCCTGCTGGACCCATCCAACCGTCAGACCTCACCTGTCGCCGTTGAAATGACCCATCCGCCGAAGCTCCCGGGCACCACCTCACCTTTTGCTCCTCAGGCTCCTCAGGTAAGACGGCGGAAAGAGTATGCCCAGGCAGTCAACCAGTGTCAACCAGTCAAGACGACTAGACGGGCAGACAGGTGGCTGGTCTGCAACGCTGGTACCCGTGCATTGGCACGCCATCATGCGACATGGACAGGAACAAGCCGTGCCTGTGCCAGTGCCTGTGCCTGTGACGTGCCTGCTTGCTGACAAAGTGGGTACATGGGAATACCAGCAGCAGCCAGACTAAAAAACGATATGTACAGTTTGGATGAGAGAGAGAAAGGAAATGAGAGGAAAGAAGAGGAGAGGCCAAACACGGCGGCAAGCACATCACATTCAACCGACACCAACACCCACCGTTTCTATCTCCGAGTTCACGCTCCCAGCTCCTAGATCCCCGTTTTGCCCAGCCATTGACTGATTGATTGATTGATGGATGGATGCTTCTTGTTGCTATCCGGTCTCGAGCCAGTCTAGCCTCTAGCCTCTAGACTCTCGCCTCTAGTCTGTCTCTCTATCCTGTCCGCCTCGTCACCTTGTTTCCGTTGTTGTTTTAGTTTCAATGCAGCCACCTAAATCCCAACCAGTCACAAGAAAACGGCCAGAGTGCCCAGATACAAACGCCGCCACCTGTCGGTCTGTCGGTGGGTGAGCAAGTGAGTAACAAATACAGGTAGCAGTGACGGTCGGTCCCTCGCAACTTTGAGGACGAGAATCTCCGTCCCCTGCAAACCAACCCATCCTACCTCTCCGCGCATCCCACGGCCAAGCAAACGGTCAACCGTCTCGTCTCTCTCTTCCTCTCGCTGGCTCGCACCTTCATTGCTCGCGCTCGCTTCGTTTGCACGTACTCACTTGTACGTACCTGCCCATCCCATGCACATGCACATACAGATACATGCAACATAACTGTATGTATGTACATGCACATTACATGCACATGCCACTGCCGCCGTTTCCCTGTTTCATCATCATCATCGCTGTTGCTAGCCAACCTTGCCTCGCCTTACCTTACCGTACCTTGCCTGGTCTTGCCTTGCCTTGCCTTGCCCTGCCTTTCCTTGCCCGTCCCTTCCTTTCCTCGCCTCCCGCGAGTCCGCTCCGCCCTTTCCATGGCCGAATCGGACATGACCTGACCTTGACCTCGCCTGGGCTGGCCTGCACTTTCCCTCCACTCGTTCGCATGCCTCCCAGCTGCCCCAAATAAATACAAACACGCACGTCAGTCTGTACCTTGACCCAAGTACCTGCCAGGTCCCTTCTCTCTCTCTCTCCTTGCTCTCCTCCCTTGCATACTGTCGCATCGATGTGCGCAGCCCATGTTCCTGTCTCCTGCTCCTCTCCTACGTACTTACTCTTATGCCCTCCCTCCTCCTGACTGCCCCTCGACATAGACATCGGACCCCCGCCAGCACACACACAGACACACACGCGCACACACACAGAGAAATTAGATAGATAACCTCTGGAGGATCCCCACCAGTCAGCCTACACACTCACCCTCAAGACTTCTGGTCACACCGCACCATCTGTCACCTCCAAATAATCTAAATAATCGGGCCACTCCCCCCTGATATCATTTTGGTCACTGGCAGGCACTCAGTCACACAAACCAGAGAGACAGACAGTCAGGCAGTCTACAGTCCCAAGTCTCCAGATCTTGCCTCGTGCCTTCACCAGACACATTCTCCTCGAAACAATCCGTCTCTTTGACAGTCTGTCATCCATCCTGCCTCAGAAGACGAGTCCCACCTTACTGCCCTGCCAACTCACTTGGTTCAGGCAGTTGGTCCCTTGCTGTGTCTGTCTACCAACACACGTCTCCGTCACCAACCTTCCTGTTCATTTCCTTGTTCCACAGCTGGCCGGTTACCTGCTGCCTGCCTCCCTGCTCACCAAGACGTCTCGCGCCATCTAACCTGGCCGTTTACTCAACAATCGACCTGGTGGCCTCACGGCAACCCCCCACCACACTACACCCGGCCCTCAACTTGCTCGGATCCTCAACAACACAGCCTAAACCCCGGTCCGACCCGTGAGACAGCACCATTGTTACACCACCTAGGGTCCTCCTTCCACCCCATCTCAGCCACAGACTCCCAAACATAGCAGGTTTTCCCTCGCCTCACTCGATCAGACCCAACATGGCTGCCGCTGCCGTACTACCCGCCCCTCCCCATGATGCCGTCATGCCTGTCAACAAGGATATCTCGCCGCAGTCCACTCCCTCAGAGTCTACCTCTGGGTCTACCTCATCCACAGCCCTGCAAAATCCCAGTCTGACCGACAGCACTCGAACCAGTGAGACCCTGAACGAGAAGGACGCCCAGCAGGTACCACGCCTGGACGCCGATGGCAAGGTCAATGGGCCAAAGCCTGGCTCCATTGGTCTTCAGAAGACCAGGTCAAAGAGGCTGCGCCAATCTTTGTCTTCCAAGCGCAGTAGCAAATTAGCCAATGTCCCCGAGGAACAGGCTGATGCCGCCGAACCTGACAGGTCCGTATCGACCAGTCGGTTCAAGACGTTCGTCAAGTCCTTCAAGTACCTGTACAACCTGACCCCCAAGCAGGTGGATGACTTCATGGCATCCTACATCATCTACAACCTGGACTGGGAGAACGAGGCTGAGATCATCGAGACTCTGGGTCCTAACTACCAGCAAAAGGTTGGTGACTGCCTCAAGTCATACTACGGAGTGCTCAACCACCTCTGTGCCCTGGGTGACGTCGAGAAAATGTACATCCCACCCGCCATGAACATGAAGGTCTCTGTACGCGACAACCAGCTGCTGTACGAGGAGTCCATCGCTCGGGACCTTGGCTTGAAACCTGGTATGAGGGTACTGGATCTCGGGTGTGGACGAGGCCGCGTTGCTGCCCACATGACAAAGTACTCAGGCGCCCGCGTCACAGGCCTCAACATCGAGCCCAATTCGATTGCCCAGGCTCAAGCTTTCAACGATGAGTTGGGTTTCGACAACGACTTCATCATCAAGGACTTTAATGACTTGCCGCTCCCTTTTGAGGATGAGACTTTCGACGCTTTCTATAACATTCAGGCCTTCAGTCTCGCCAAAGACCACCCTGCCCTTGCAAAGGAGGTGTATCGTGTCCTCAAACCTGGTGGCCGCTTTTCGTCCCTGGACTGGGTCAAATATCCGGCCTATGATGAGAAGAACCCTGAGCATACGCAGCTCATGCGCCGTGTGAAGCCACTCATCGGTGCAGTGGGAACACCCACCCCGATATCCATGGAGAAGGCGCTCACCGACGCGGGGCTGTTCGTCACAGTCTCGGACAACGCCAGCATCGCCACAGATGGCCTTCAGAGCCCGCTCATCGGCAAGGTGGACTTTTACTTCCGGTCGATGCGGCAGCTCATCCTGGCGCTGGTCAAGGTGCATGCACTGCCAGCCCACTTCAAGACGCTCATCAACCGGTTTTGCCTGGATGGTGAGGCATTCGTCAAGATGGACGAGATGAGGCTCATCACGACCAGCTATCGTATCATTGCCGAGAAACCGCAAAAGGCATAGAAGCAGTAACGTTACGGCAGAAGAGGAGCGTGGGTGTTGGCGCATGAGTGATGGCGTTCTGTTCCTAAAATCGAGCAGACATTGCAGATCTACGAGGTCTGAATTTTTGATGGCATCCATGCTACAGCCAGCACTACATCATACATGGAAGGAAACGTTAATGTCTATTGCGTAGATTTCTCTCACCATCGCCATCTTGTTCATTCTCAGCGTCTTGCTACATTTCAATGGTTGGAGATATATGGGCAGGCCCGAGGATGGCTTAGGGGGCCCACGGGCTGGTCACGGATCAGGTTCTGGGGCTTCATTTTGATTCTGCTTTTCTGGCACCACATATCTTCTGTTACCCTCTCATTCCTCAAGTCTGGAACTTGAGGTCGCTGCTCAAAGTTAAAACGGGATTCATTTCAAGCAGATGGAGTTCGCCTCGGTAAGGATTTCTAAGAGGGAACACAAAACAGAGACATTGAAAGCACAGGAGTGTGGTCGTGAATGTTGCACTGTTATGTGTTGGTAGTTAGCTTTCTTTGTTTGAACAAGGTACCTCTGCAAGTTTTCCACTCTGGCTGATCCTGGTGTCTGTCATTGATCTGTGTGGTTTCGTGTTACGTGACTGTACTGCCCTCGGAGACAAGAGTGTCAGGCGTAGCATGTAAGCCCAGGGATACGCGTTCACTCATTATAGTTTAACTTCAGTCCGTTTGTTCTCAACACAAAATCCTAGGCGCCTCATGGGGACTGTCTTTTCTGGAGAGACAACATTAAGAGGTGTCTCTGAAGGCTACCTATCCGCTCAACTCTCAACGAGGCTCGCGCAAAAAACAGCATCTAACGACTAAACCCAGGAAAACAGCCTTAGGATGTTTCCATCTATCCATCATAGGACTCTCCGCTCACAGAACATACACCCTTGGCTTTTCTTCCCCCTCTAAAACCCTCGCCGTCCCGTTCCTAACCTTCCGGTTATGCAGCCAGTACACAACCTCCTGCACCAGAGCAAGCGCAATGCCGCTCGCCACCAGGATAATCATAGTGCGCAGGCCACTCCGATAAAAAGGCCGGTCGCCGCCCTGGAAGTACTGCGAGCCGTACATGAGCCCTCCAATGGCAAACATGACCCACATGGCGACAGCAATACTACGCTCGCGCGGATCCACGCAGTTCACCTGCACCCACGTGTTGTGCACCGGGTGGTACCCGACCGCGAACGCGTTCACCACCGTCCACAGCGCCCACCGGCCCCACGGCCCGGCCACGTGGTCCTGCGCCGCCCGCGCCGCGATCAGCGCCGCCAGGTAGCACGTCTGTGCGGCGATCACGGCGCCGCCGCGGAGGTTGGTGCGGTCGCTTAGCCAGGCGAAGAGGAACGCCACGGGGAGGGTCGCGGCGGCGCCGACTGTTGCGAGCGCGTTGGCGGAGACGCGGCTGAAGCCGAGGGAGAGGTAGATCGAGGGCGTGTAGGTTGTCAGTGGCGACCAGGTGGAGAAGACGAGCGATGTTGAGAGGTAGTGTGGCCAGCGCTTGTAGTGCAGGAGGGTCTTGCGGACTAGTGCCCAGGGGATCTGGAGACCGCGGCTGCTGGTTTCGCTGTTGCCTTCGCTGAGGAGCCTTTGTTGTAGGATGTGCTGGTCTGTTGGTGAGATGCGGATCAGGCCGCGGGATAGGAGGGGCGTGGGTGAGTTTGGGGAGCCGGGGAGGATGAAGAGGAGTGACAGCCCCACTGAGATCGTGAAGACGCCTTCGACTGTGGGATGTTAGTTTTTCATCTCGAGTCTTTCTCCAGCCTGTATGAGAACGTACTCAAGAAGATCCATTGCCACCCGGACAGACCCTGGCGCCCGTCCAGCTGAATGATTCCAGAAGCAAGGATGGGTGATAGCGCATTTCCGGAGAACATGCCGAAAAAGAAGATGGCCACTCGTCTGGCCAGCTCTCTTTGCCGATACCACGTAGAGAGCGTATACACGGCGCCCGGGATGTAGGCCGACTCGGCCAGGCCTAGGAAGCTTCTCGAGACGAGGAAGCCGGTCCGGTTACGCACGAAAACCTGCAATGTGGCGACGAGGCCGAAGCAGATGACCTGTCCGGATATCCACTTGCGAGGCCCAATCTGCGGTTCGGCGTCAGCTTCTGTGAGCCTGGAACAGTATGGGGGTATTTGAGTACCTTCTGGAGCAGCATGTTGCATGGGATCTCGAACACCACGATGAAGAGGAACATGAGCTGGTTCCCTAGGTTGATCGTGGCCTGGCTCACTCCTATATCTGTGGCGAAGCCGGCGGTCAGGGCGCTGGCTAAGTTCATGCGGTCGAGCTGGAAGACGAGCAGGCCTAAAAACAGCAGCGGCAGGACTGTTGTGTCGACTCTGGTCTGTATTAGATTGGTTCAGAAGATCATGATTCATGGTGTACGTACTTATGTCGAGCCCCGTCCTCTTCCTTCTGGGTCCATGAGTGACTGTTTCGCCTCTCTGGAGAGGCTTCCAATTCGTGGTCATCCAGGCTTTTCTCCATAGTCCAGAGAAGTTACTTGAATTTTAGAGAACGGCAACAAAGCTTGTGTAGCGAGATCAAGAATTTGTCTTGTCTGTGTTGCTGAGAGTGCATTCGGGATTCTGATATTCTATCATGCTGGGAAGTTCTCGACAGCATTGCGCGACGCGAGATTCTCTCAAAACTTCGAAATTGCGATTTGGTGAAGCACTAAGCGGCCGATCGTGATACTCCAATTGGACCATGAGGGACAATTTGTCCCAGTGTGTGGGAGGGGAAGACGTTATGCTTGTCAATTGTTGCGTGATGCTTGGCGATCACCAGTAATATTTTGCCTCAGACACCGATATGGAAGCGCAAGCTGATATTGACCACGCGAAACTGATACAAAGCATTTCGGCTGTAAGGAACAGTAAACATATATCGCTACGGGCTTTGATCAAGCGCGGATGATGCCATCGTGCCGAGCGTTCGGCGTATGCCCAGGTGGGGCAGTGATCTCACCACAAACGCCGCTATGTGTCTTACTGCAGGAACGAGTCTTTTTCCCCCTTATTCTCTGGCTCGATTGCAAACTCTGGAGTAACAGAACACAGGCTGCATGAAACATCAATGTCCAAAGTTAAGCGGATAGCTATTATCGGCGCCGGCCCAGCCGGTGCCATCTCGATAGACGCCTTTGCCCAAGAACAGGCATTCGATGTTATTCGAGTCTTTGAGAGAAGAGAACGACCGGGCGGCTGTTGGTAAATTATATAGAGCAAATATAGAGATGCGTGCTCATCCGTTCCAGGCTGTTCGATCAAACACCTCCGCCGCCGCTCTCCGATTTCGAGAAACTTGCTAAGCGCACCGCAGACACGCCGCTGGCTGTACCGAAATCCTTACCAGCACAGATTCGACCGCAGAAGATACACAGGTACGATGACACGCCTGTGTATCCGTATCTTGAAACGAACATCGATGCGGCGGTAATGGAATTCTCGCAGGAGCCGATTCCTGCGCAGCGGTCTGATCGTTCCATCTCCCTTCACGGGAGTGACACACCTTTCCGCTCGCATGAGGTGATCCGGCAGTACATCGAGGATCTGATTATTAGGAACGGCTATAAGGACTTTGTGGAGTATGACACCACGGTAGAGCGTGTTGAAAAGGATGGAGATGAATGGCGGGTCGTGCTTCGGAAGAGTGGAGAAAAGGTGGACTACTGGTGGGAGGAGCGTTTCGACGCTGTTGTTGTAGCAAATGGGCACTACTCTGTGCCATACGTTCCCACAATTCGAGGCCTGAAGGAGTTGGCAGAGCTTTATCCTGGATCTGTAGAGCATAGCAAAGCTTACAGAGGTCGAGAGAAGTACAGAGGCAAGGTAAATAATTCAACCAGCTCGCATCTTCACTCGCGCTTGCTGACAGTACTAGAGGGTTATTATCGTCGGCGCGTCTGTGTCTGGAGCTGACGCTGCGGTGGATGTCCTCGGAGTTGCGCAGCCACCTGTCTTCGCCGCTATAAAAGGCCATAAGCCAAATCTATATTTCGGGGACGCGGCTTTCGACCACCCAGATATCGTCAAAGTGCCGTCAATTTCACGCATAGATCCGCACAGCAGGTCCGTCTTCTTTGAGGATGGAACGATTGTCGAGAACGTGGACCACATCATACTTGCAACTGGGTACTCGTGGTCACTACCGTTTCTCCCCAACATCCCAATTCGCAACAATCGTGTACCGGACCTATTCCTCCACATTTTCCATCAATCAGACCCAACACTGGTATTCATCGGCGCAGTAGCAGCTGGTCTGACGTTTAAAGTCTACGAATGGCAGTCGGTGCTCGCGGCAAGAGTGCTGGCCGGACGAGCAAAGCTGCCTCCGGTTCAAGAACAGGAGTCATGGGAGGCTGAGAGAATAAAACAGAAGGGCGATGGCGTACCCTTTACTGCACTCTGGCCGAAATTTGATGAGTACTTCGAGACTGTGCGTGCCCTTGCCGGCGAGCCGGGCGAAGGACGGCCAGGGCGAAGGCTACCGCAATTCGACCACAATTGGGTCCGGATCTTTGTTGAGGGGCATCAACGCAGAATTGACATGTGGAAGAATGCAAACTCGGAAGCATGCCAGAGGAAAGAGAAAGCTGCGGCCAAATTGGCAAGGCTATAAGTTTAAAGATTTTCATATGCTTCGCAGAGACACATTGGCATTGCTTTATCAAAGCAGTGGCTTGATCGACTGGGTTCGCTTCATTTTGTCCGTATAACATAGTTTCGAAATCAAGAACTGGTACACTGCTCCCATGTTGGCACCTCATCTCCCGTGTGCCGCCGATGGGTAGCTCACGAAGTCCCTCACCCACGTTCTCGTGTCTGGATCCGACTCGTTCGGATAGTCCCAAGTGGCAGAGTACTCGACAATTCTTCCCAATTCGTTTAGCTGAGGCCTTTTGGTAGGGTTGTATTCCAAGCACCACGCCACGGTATTCCGTAGTTGCGATGAGTAGCAGCCGGCGAGGTAATCGTTGTTCTCTTCCAGAAGATGATGCCCGCAGGTCCACCCGCTCAATCTCTGGCCAGAAAGAATGAAATTGTAAGGACGTGGAATCATAGGATCGTCAGCGTAGTTCAAAGTCATAAGCTCGAACATGACCAAGCCAATGTGGAAGATATTGGAGTGCGAGGAGTAATTGCCAGCGACGTCCCCGGTGCGTAGAGCATTTAGGTCCCGAACATAATCCCATTCCTCGGTGGTTTGCTCCTTTCGCGTTTCACAACCTTGTCAGCGTTGGGGCTTCCGGAACGAGCTACAAATGAGAATCCACGCTTGGGGAAAATAAAAGGTCACACATGTGCAACTCACTGGCAAAAGAGAGTCAAGTTTTCCCCTTCGTCTTCTCGTCCAGCGCTGCGTTCTATCGATTACCAGCTATATTAGCCACGCACTTTTGATCACTCAATATATGTCGGGCTTACTCTTCATCAATGTCGTCCTGAAAATTTTCACTTTTGGGCAGGACACTCAAGCCCAGATCAGCTATCTGTGCTGGCGATTAGACCCTACATCGATGGTTTGGTGTCTCATAAAGAGAGGAGATTTGAGAGGAGTATCACCCACCTTGGTCAATGGCCATAGATCATGATCGGAAACAAAATCCCCGACGAAGACTAAAAGAAAGGAGTTGTTAGAAAATGATGCCTGCCAACAGCACAGAAAGAGAAAAAGAATAGTCATACTGTTCTGCGGGTCTAAGTCAAAATGTACCATGGGATTCCGATCGTCCACTGCTGACCTCCTACTTGACTCTGTCATAATGGGTATTTGGCTGGTCAACGGATCCTTCCCCTGATAGAATCCCTTGGGGTGTGCCAAAGCAACGCAACCACGCCAAAGGCATTCGAAGATAATCCAGGCCACCTTCTCTGAGAACAATTGTCTTGGCTGTGTGCTATTTAAGCGTACCATCTTTCCAATCCACGTGCCTAGGTCGCCGAACTTGAGGAATTCCATGGCAATGATATCTTGCCGCTGGTCGAGGCGCTGCCTGTTCAAGCGGATTCTGCCATCGATTCCTGGCTCGGCATTATCCCAAGGCAATACAGGCCAGAGGTTCAGGATGTTCAAAGAGCCTATGCCGAGACGCGGATCTTGAGGGTTATCCGGTTGAGATGAACCTGGTTGAGCAGGAACTGGCTGAGAAGGATCCGGTTGAGGAGCTTGATTGTTCGCTGGGTCAGGGTTGGCATCGGCTGCCATATTCTCATTTTGTAGCAGTCTCAGCAAATTCGCGAGGAGCCACATGATGGCTTGAACAAGAAATAGTATGAGAAGCCACACAACCCTGAAGATAAATATGAAAAGTTTGATGGCCCACCTCTGAGAAACTAGGAAGTAGTTGATCGGCTCGGGACGATCCTGGGGCCAAGGAAATGCCGCGAGCAGTATGCGTTGGACTACGTGTTTTGCCCCAGCCATCAAAATCATGTTGTTTCTCTCCTTCGTGATTGTATCCCCACCATCCCTTCGTATATCTGCCTTTACTACAAGTCTGAATTCCCTTCCTGTAAGATCATATAAGGCAAAAAGCGCAGCAACGCCGAACCCGCCCTGGCCTAATATCTTCTGGAAGCTCACGTTGGCTGGAGTAAAATCCCGATTTAGGTTAAAAGTGGTGCTATACGCCTCCTCAAGCTTTGCCCTTGCTGCAGGTGCCAGAAGCCCCGGAGACTCCGGCATTGGTCCTGGGAAAATCGCTGGGTTTCTCGTGATCCGCGGCCCTCTCGCTGCAAGGAAGGGATCCCGCAACCCGCCCCATCTCCCAAGCTTCGGATGCACAATATTGTCGATTATATGTTCCCTCCTATCGCGGTTATAGGAATGGCCAAGTCCTCTCCGAAACTCCGTGAAGTAGTCGGTATATAACTGCTTTGCCCGCCGGAGTTTGTCGGCCCGGGGGGCTCTGGGTGGGGGCGGAAGTCTATTATTTTGTATCGACGACATGTCGATGTCTTGAAACTCAATTCTTTCTGTTTCATCGGTATGAAGTTTAATGTCAAGAAGTCGCTGGCAGTCGCAACTATCATAGTGAATTCATCGCTGATAGCCGATCCGAGACAAAGGGCTTCGAGGCCGCAAATAAAAACCGTTTCCGGAGGTGCCAAGCGCAACTCCGGGCTGGATGCATCCCAAACAACGCAAAATACCACAATTTATATTTGTATACCTTACACTCTAGGCTCTTCAGTCGGGTTAGTTCGTCTCGGCTCGCCTGTGTATGGCGCCATTCCTTTGGAACGATTCAAATGTATTGTCTTGTCATGCCGCGGAGCTTGTTGCATCGACATATATATTCACAGAAATCATGACGAGTTCTAGTAAGACGTCTATAGTTGCAGTTTATGCTGCATCTATGTACTCCAACTAAGTAAGATGCCGATCCGTTCTATTTGAAGTCATCACCAGCACGCATGTCTTCTGGTAGAGCATACCGTTTCCAATCACTGAGACTGCCGTGGCAAGAATCACTGCCCCCAGTAATGCTCACAAGTGGTTCTACCGGAAACTTTTCCGGGTTCTCTATACTTCCTTCGACTCTGGCTTGTGAGCCACGGGTGCGACCTGGAAAGAAGGGTTACATTCGCAGCTATACGTGCCGGGAAAACACGTAAAACGATGCTTGAAGGTGTTCCGTGGCACTAGTGGACCTAAATCGAGTAAGCGCATGATTCAGATTGTCGCAGTACCGAGATACAAAGTTGCAATACCGGAAGATACAATCTCAGAACGTGGCAGCCCCGTAAACACAAGCACAAGGGCTGTTCCTAAGTGGGGATGGCAATACTACTGTGGAGATGTTCTCTCCTGGTCATAATCTCCAAACGAACGACCGGAAAAATTAGATGAACACACCGCTCACGGAACGCGCCGAGGCTGTTTCCACCAATTCGCTGGCTGTTTGGCTTAGATTAATGGAGCACTCCATCGCGATGGGACCTGCCATAAAAGTAGTGACTGCGAGTCGGCCTACAATAAGGCTGGTAAAAGAAGAATTAAAGGGGTTCAGCTTTCCATTGATAGTATAAACTGCATCGCATTATATATAAGAACGCCAAGCCACTTGCAGTAGATCACTGTCGCCATCTTACTGTAGTCGTGCACGCACCAGTCGGTCCACTTTCAGCCTTGTTCATCATGAAGTCCATCACAACTCTTGCTTTACTCGGCGCTCTTGGCTGCGTCAGGGCAGCCAACGACGACACAATCGGGTTTGGGCCGTACTTTTCCCTTGGGCCTACGGCTTCATGGATTCGTTCAGCCAAAACAACACTGGTGTTGCCCAAAGTCCCTACTCCTGCGACCGATCGTCTTGCTTTGTGGCCGGGCATGGGCACTAGTGGGAATGATTTAATCCAAGCTCTGGCGGTCTCCTTCTCCGACCCTAAGGCTAACTGCGGTGCTACCGCGGGTCAGTGGTGCGTGTGGGCGAGCACATTGCAGGATGGTACTCAGCTTGGAGGGACACAAGTACCAGCAAACGCTGGTGACCAGATCACAATGAATTGTATATAGATCCTTGTCTCGAAGTTCTCGCGCCCTAGCTAACTGTGATCTTGCATAGACGTGTACAACGATAGCACTAGCAAGTACGACCAGACCGTCTCTATCAATGGCAAGCAAGTTTCAACCTTGTCGACCTCTTCCGGCCAGGCACAGGGTTGGGGAACGGCTGTTGAGTGTCAAGCGCAAGCTTGCGACAGCAGCGTCCCGGCGCATTGTAAGTTTTCTCTTCCGACTAGGTTCGATTTTAATTCGTGAGCTGACTCAAAGTGACAGCGTACACTGAAACTACCATTACACTGAACGCAGCGGACACCACATTCGCAAAGACGTTGGCCTTGAACGAGGCAACTTCCACTGGACTCAAGACGTCGGATAACAAGGTTTTTACAGTCACGACTATAAACGTTGGAGCCCACACGTTCAATCTTTAATTAGATCAGGGATTACGTGTATCTTTTGTACAGTACTACCGAGCGAGAAAAACAAATGGACCTCATCTTCAATATCATTGCGGCACTAAATGCTGTATCGTCTGTGTCGATTCGTCACTGTGTTTACGTCAGATGCAAGAATAGGACGTCCAGGACAACAGGCAGCTTTGTCTCTGATTTGCTGAAAGTCGTGACCCGTGCAATCCGATACAGTGTCAAGGAAAAAATACATTTACAATATATAGGCGGCTAACTTGAGGCACTCTCTTGTCCCCTACGCATCTCCCAAAAGCGAACCCATGAGAGTTTCCGGGACTGGTGTGATTCAGGTTCTTCCAATGGCACCTGAGTATGCAAGAATAGCCCTGCCCAAACATGAAATTAAGCTTGATGAATGCCCGACACGTCTTTCTCTCACTTCATTGCTGTCTTGCTAACAGTCTTAGCATATCGGTTTGAGAACACACGCGTGCAAGTGGTTCAGGACAGCAGTTTTTCTTGTTTAAATGGCCTCAGGATGTATATATTAATCGCGATTGCCAAAGCGTAAGAACCCAAACTCGCACTGAAATTTTGCTCGAAATAGACGACTGTCGATCGAAAATGCTAAATACATACGCAACTGCAGTACGGTCGGACAAGCTTTGGCTAATAAAGTCAGGAGCACGCCAGCCTGGTGATTGCCAGTCTCCAAGACAACCGTTTCCACCTCTGCTGCTGTCATAGGATCCTTGGGTTCTTGCATGGCCGGACGAATCCACCTCCAAACAAGATGGGACTCAGTATGCCACACATTCTTCTAGAAAATCAAGACCTACATTCGCCTTTCCCGGGTTCCGATTCCAAAACCCTTTGCTGTTTCCGCCGGTCTGGACATGATGGATTAGGTTTTCGGATCCATGTGGGGGACTTCGGGCTTGGGTAGCAGTGGCCTCCTGGTCAAGGCAATCTGGATGTTTGTACAGCCGGATTCGACACATGCAAGACATTTGTATCACATATAAAGCTCCTGTAGACCAAAATCTCAACTTAACTTGGCGCTGAGCTTTGCATCGAAAGCTTGAGGGAGCAGTAGATTCGACCCCATGAGAGCAACCAATATAATTGAAAGGCTGCGGATCTCATCAGGTCTCAGTCACGTTGCTCACTTAGCAACACTTAAAAGCGCTCGGATATACGCTAAAGAATGTGTTTTTGCCCTGACTCTGTTACCAAATGGCCCCGTCTGGCCTGAAATCGAGACATCGGATGGTGACACAGCCTGAAACCTTTGGACAGTCAAGGATGATCAGTACACACAACGGCTCTCCACGAATTGCAGTAGTCGTCGGGACTGCCGTGCTCGCCGCATCCCTCATCGGTAGTTCATCCGCCTCTAGCATCGGTGACTGTTTCAATTCACGAACCGGCATGGCTGCATGAATGGGTGTGACTGAAAGCCCAACATGCCTCCTCCAGCCCTAAATCTTTTCTCCGCAGATCGCAAGACGCACCAAATCGTGATTTAGACTAGAGAGAAAATCTTGGAATAATCCGATTGCTCGGCACAGGGATCTCGCGTAACCACAGAATGCAAATCATCTGATATCTACGAATTTGACCCAGCCTTAGGTGGTACTTCTAGGCTATAATAAATAAAGTTGTAGAGCTTAGACGAGTCGGATGTCGAGTAGGGACTTTCAGCGTGTTGTCGAAACCTAAAAGGCAAGAGCAGTGACGGCCATGTAGTACTGCTTTACGCACACTACGTGCCCTGTCCGAGCAACTTGTTGTTGCATTGTCAGTGACTCGGTGACCACGTCGAGAGCCCGGACGTGTGCTTCATCCTCGAACGCTCGGGGATCTCGCCTAGAGAAGACACTGGGATCTTCGTCGATCACATATGCTAAGGTTTGTGCTAGTGTATCGCTCCCTACAATTTCGCAGCTGAAGTTTATATGTAAAGAACCCATAAGTATGGCTTAAAGCAACGTAGCCTCAACCTCCAACCTTTTGTGCTGCGTTGGTGTCACTGTTGATGATATTGCCCGTAATTCCTCCAACACCGTCTTCATGATGGGGGATCTACGCATTTTTTCATACATGCTCATTAGCATCATGTACGGCATCAGTACAACCACCATATTGATGCGAATCTACGTCCGCGGCTTGACAATCAGGTCTCTCTGGTGGGATGACTGGGTGATGGCCGCTATGCTGGTGAGCTCGAGCGAACGCGACACTGTGACCTGGGCATGTCAGAAGCGGCGCTCTGAGCTAATCTGTGTTTAGTTTTTTAATACTGCGCAACAAGTGATCTCCTATGTCCTATTCAGCCATGGAGCGGGCTTGTAAGTAGAATCAAGCATAATGAAGACATAGATTGCGATCTCCCAGCACTAATGTCAATATTGAAATAGAAACATGGCTGAAGTTATGACGAGTCACCCAGAATGGTTGCCCGTCATCCTCAAAGTACGCCCGAGCACTCAGAACTACCTGGGCACATATCACTGACCTTTCCAGTGGAATCTTGTCAACCAGTTCTGGTACACGTGGCTCCAATTTAACGTCAAAATGTGTTTTCTGCTGTTCTACTATCGTTTAACGGACCGCACCGGCTTTCGGCTCTGGCTCTGGGCCATTATGGGGTTTCACATCATCACCACTGTTGTGATAGTTCTCCTCATCGCGCTACAGTCCATACCCTTGGCAGCCGTGTACGAGCCTTCAAAGTATCCTGATGCCATAAGCCTAGACCTCAACGTCATTTTATTTGTCCCTTTTGCTCTCACCCTGGCCACGGACTTTTTTATTCTCGCGCTGCCACTCCCAATCGTCCTTTCTTTGCAAATGTCATCAAAACGCCGCATGGCTGTTCTTGCTGTGGTTACGACTGGAGGACTAGCAGTCGTAGTCTGTGGACTACGAGGCATCATTCTGACTGAAGCCGCGAGATCAGCAGACTTTACGCTCACTCTTGGGAAGCTACTATTAATGCTGAACGCCGAAATGCAAGTCGCTATCGTCGCTGCCAACATGCCATCACTCAAGACCTTTCATACATTCTGGAGGCTTAAAAGGCTTGGCCCCGGTCAAGGTGTTGGTGAAGAATCTCTGGAAACGAGATCTAGGCGCATCGCGTCCAGATCTCGAGGTGGAATCGAGCTCCGAAGTGAACAGCTTGCTTCCAAGCTTCTGGACTCGGGTCGGCATCAGGGGATGCCAGGGCACGGCTTTGCTAAACTAACGGAAGAGAACCCTACATACTTCAAGGATGACGACGATAGTACGAAGGCGAGCGCCAAAGACAGCGTCGGAAAATTTGTGACGGCTGGTACAAGTATTTGAGCGCGCTGGACAGATCCAATGCATGATTCTCGTGTCTATGTACACGAAAATGCGCTTGCTGGCAAGGAATGGAAGATAACACCTCAACAACACATGTCAGAATTCAGAGCCAACGGCAGAGAAGGTTGAATTAACAGAAGCCCATGAATTAAGGACAAAGTATATTTATTATGAAGGTCGATGGCAGGCCGCCTTCTCAACTCCGAACCTCTGGGAGATGACAACCCATTCTGCAATGATCAACGTCTGTCGCAAAGCCGCCACATCCTTTTCGACAAAAGCCGAACCAACGAGGCCCTTCACCTTTTCCCAGTCTACAAACCCTAGCTGTTCGACATGTGACCTCGTCACCAAGCGTTCGAATAACCGATGCAGTGCACCGCCGGTCGGCCAACTGACAGGAGCCGTATAAGGGTGCTTACTTCGCTGATAGATCTCGTCTGTGACAAAAGGTCTCACAGCCTCACGCAGAACCCATTTCTCCGTCATTTTCTTCGCAGAAGGGTCCCAGCGAAGCTTGAGACTAGGAGGTAAGTTGTTCACATATTCTGCCAATTCATGGTCAAGAAAAGGAGGTCTTGCTTCGATGCTGTGTGCCATCTCTGTTCGATCGCCCAGGCAGGAGAGAAAGTTGTTTGCCAAATGGCCTTTCGTCCAAACGTACAGCGCTGAGTGAAGTGGGTGCCAGCTGTTCTGGACAAGGTCGAGTACACGGCCGTCGACATTGCTAGCAGTCGTGTCGAGTGGACTGGCGGAATTGTAGCATTGAGTCCAGTGTGCAAAGAAATCTGACGGTAGTTGAAAGGCCGCCATCGATGCTGGAGTGGTTATGTTGTTCAGCTGGTGGCGGGCAAGAGAAGGTCCACGGTTGGACGCATCTGCCCCAATCGAGGAATAAGAGCCCGCGATTTGCTCTTCGAACTTAACACAGAGTGCTTGCCGTTGATCTTCGGAAATTGATTGCTTCCCTGACCAAGCCGGGTCAGGCTCTCTGAGGAAGTCGGGAATGTATAGTGGGTAGCCTGCGAATTGCTCATCCGCACCCTCACCTGTAAGAACGACTTTGCAGTCATTCTCGCGTGGTACTTCAGAGAGGGCGTATTTCCCAACAAAATTGAGATCGTGATTGTGGTGTTCGCAGTGATAGGTTGCATCCTCAAATCTCTCAGCTAGCCCTTCTTCATCCATGTGTTTCTTGATGTGTTTGACGCCAAGCCACTCTGCGGTCCGATTTGCAATGTCCGACTCATCGAACCCACTTCCTGTGTCGAAAGCTATGCTGAAGCAAGAGATCCTCTTGGTGGCGCCCTGTATACCGAGTTTCTCGCCCTGCTCTTTGACCAGGTGGTTGACCATGCCAGCAATCGCGGAAGAATCAATCCCGCCAGATAGATAGATTCCAATGGGAACATCAGCTCGCAGACGAAGCCGGATGGACTCGAGAAGCCTGTCTCTAACACCTGAAATCATCTCATCTTCCTGACGCGTATCCAACTCCAGCTTATCTCTGTAGTTGATCTCCCAATATTGCCGGGGCTCGGGAAGCCCAAATGGCAAGTGCAAAGCCAAGTAATGTCCTGGCCGAACCTTTTGGACATTCTTGAAAATTGTCCTTTGATCATGGTTCCATCCCGCCTCCCGAATGCTCTGCACATCCCATTCAGGTTTCCATCCCAGAGGAAGGAAGCCTTTTGCTTCCGCGGATATTAAGATTCTGTCGTTGTCCATAGTCCAAAACAGAGGCTTGATGCCGTATCGATCCCGAGCAGCAAGGAAAAGCTTTTTGCTGGAGTCGTAAATGCAAAGTGCGAATTCACCGCGTAACTTTGAAAGGAATGATATTCCATAGAATTCGTAGAGTGCAATGACCAATTCGGAATCACATCGCCCCTTGAATTCGTAGCCAAAATCGTGGATCAGCTCTACGCGGATGCGGTCGTAATCATAAACCTCGCCGTTGACGACCGCGTGAATGTGGTCATTGGAACTGTGAAATGGCTGGTGTCCGTCGGGACTAAGATCATTGATGGCTAGACGACAATGCCCCAATGCTGCCATCCAATTATTTTCTGGGCTGGATTACGGACTCGTAGAGTGTACGTACCAACGCTATTGTCATCACTAACCCATATGCCCCTGGAGTCGGGTCCTCGATGAGCAATTCTATCCAAGCTTTCATTCAGCTGAGCCGCAGTATCTCTTGAACCATCATCAAGAGATGTGCCGTTGAGGGCGAGGACGGCGCTTATGCCACACATTGTCAGTAACCTCCACTGTTCCTTCTTAAGCCGGATCGCTTTCGCATAGGATTGATGTATCGCTGGTAATTACTCTTTTAACTGTGTCCAAGAAGCATACTGCATATGCTGGCATGGTGTTCCGAATTCCACGGTATTCCAGCGTCAAAGCGATGCTTTGACATAATCAGGACAAGACCGGGATCCACCAATGATGACGCCAACTTGAACACTAAGCAAGTCAAGCCGTCATGTACACTTGCGGACTTTCCCCAACAGTCTGCAGGCGTTATGATTGTTAACTCTCATCTCTAAGCAACTACTGCTTCCCAAGTAATACCAAAGCAACCAAAAGAAAAACGCCGGCCAATACTATAGGCCGGGGACAGTTGGACGAGGTCGATGAGCGCGTGTAGGCCCAGATGACACGATAAATTAAAGCAGGGTTTGAATGAGGAAAGCCTGCATGTATACCATTCTCTTATGATGCCTAGGTCTCTCCAGCTCCAAGTTTCTCCTGTTGTCATGGTGTTTCAATTCACTAAATTTCTTCAAACAAAAACACCATAATACTTTCTCATGCGGGTGAAGGTTCCTCGCCCGTTAGAAAACAATTGAAATTGGTTGGTAGAGCTTTTGACTTGTAGTAGTAGAAACTCAGCTGCACATGAGGACTTTGTGAACAATATCGAATAATTTAGTGTGCTTCTTCCTAATTACTGTCTGCAATGGAATTGACCTGATTATGTTACCACTGAGCAGCTGGACAATCCGTGAGCAGCTGCTGAAAATAATGCTTCTCGTTGGTTGAGTCATCCAATCCGGCGTGGGACGTAGCCCATCATACGGTCTCACTTCTACAAAGCGATTGGCTTCGAGCAAAGTACATATGCAGGGTCGAGTAGCGCGTTGAGGATGCTGGCCTATCACTGCATGCTGATGTGAGCCGCTACTCATACTGGCAAGCGACACTCTGATAATTGTCAGCACACATGTCGTTCGTGTGCAGCATGTGGCTTCTTGGGCTTGAGTCTTAACAGGGCGGCCGCCAATATCTGATAACAGCTAAACCAATAGAAGCGTGAAAGCCTCTCGTAAATGACTTGAGAAAATTCTAAGCAGGCCTCCTGTGGCTCGGTCTTCTTGTAATCATGACATACAATTGTCATGGCAAGCATAAGCCATTGGTGCCGTCCATATTGCCAAGTAGCTACTTCGTTGGTGCCTGCGGAAGCCCCGACTTCAACGTTCATGGAACTCCATGCATGTGTATTCCGTAGGCCTGTCGCGATATTCCAGCTCCATCGCACTGCCACAGATGACTTGCCAAAACACATACGCGCCTAATCTGACCTCACGGTAGACGCGAGTGATTGGGCAACCTCCGAGACTAGTGCTTGCAAAAGAAGGTTGTATGATTGCCACAGGGCGGCCAAGAGGTCAAGGATTGGGGGCCATAAACCCCTACCTTTCCTTAGATACACCCTGCTCAAAGACTGCTAAGCCCACTCCGCTGAAATTTGAAATTGGTTTCCCTCACTACCAACCTCCATCTTCCACCTGCGATAAATCCGCAAGGAATTCAGAATTCGGCACCGTCAAGCCAGGGTTGCTGGGCGCACAGCAGGACTGGAGCTTTTTCTCATTTCGTTCCCACTCACCATCTGGTATTCAAACATTTTGTGCATCTGAAGCACCAATCCAAGCAAAATGGATCCCTCTACATCAAATATGTCGTCTTACGATCCAAGTCTGTTTCCAGCTTTGAACCCTCCGGCAGGTGTGCTACCCAATTTCGACGATCCACCTACACGGGCTCCTGCGGCGAGGATAGTCATTTGCGTTACACTGTCATTTATGCTTGTGTTTGTGTTCTTGCGAACATATACTAGAGCATTTGTGACACACATGTTTGGTACAGACGATTGTAAGACATGTTGAACATCTTTACTTACATGGTCAAAGGAGCAGTTTTGATCCCAAGTGTGTATCTTCTAACATGAGCTCATAGATCTCTGTATTTTATCGGCTGCTAGTGTTGTCACAGCCAGCGCGTTCTTACTATCTAGTGCGTTTGGGCCAAAACAGAGTTCGCGGTCTGAAAAATTACTGACATTGCTGGACAGTTCTCGGGGATCCCCTTGGGCCGCATCAATGGAACGTCCCCCTGACAGCCATCACCCACAAATATGTAGTGGTAAGCGAAATTATCCATCACACAATGTGGTGTTAGCTGATATTTCCAGAATTCTTTCGCTGCGGTGTGCATGTATGCTGTGAGCTCCATGTTCACCAAATGCACGCTACTAGCGTTTTATCTCCGTGTGTTCCAGCCTGACAGGAGAGCGAAGTTCATGGTCTGGGCGGGTATCCTTAGTATTGTACTGTTCTATGTCGTCAGTATAATCTTTCTCTTGGTACAGTGTATTCCAGTGGACCAAGAGCTTCCCGGTCTCGACCCGACGAAATGGGAGGAGCGAGCAGGCAACAACCGCTGCGGGCGCCGGAGCATCGACGTCTCTGCCGCACAGGGCTTATTTGGTGCTGTCACAGACCTCTACGTCCTCACAATACCTATCAGCTCCGTACTTGCTCTCCACCTCCCGAAGAAGCGTAAGATTGGTGTATTGGGCATTTTCTTGACCGGCTTGCTGTGAGTGAAGTTTACGTGCTCGTCTTACTTTGCGTCTTTTGACTAAAGAACTTTGTTTATAGGGCATGTGTCTGCTCTGCTGTAGCTGCATACTATCGTTGGGTATCACGAAACACAAATGACTATACATGGGACTCAGTGCTATTGTGCTCTTTGGCGTGAGTAGATGACCTCATCAATGTGAATAGAGATGTTCCCACGAGACAGCTGACACAACCCCATCGCTTCCAGCTCGGCTGAGCTCAATGTAGGCATTATTTGCAGTTGCCTACCAATAGTATTCGTGGTTTTCCGGGGCTCTGTCCCAGACAATCCCTTGAGTTCTTTTGTGCGGTATCTCAGGACGCGGGGTAAACACAGCAGGGTCTTGAACTCAAGTCAGCCCAAAGAGTCCTTTCCTGGGTTCTCGTACGAGAATCCGACGCCTCGACGAGTCCAAAGAGGCTCTCTGACGAGCATCCGCACATTTGTTCGCAGCGGTAGTCGCTCGCAGCCTCCGCAGCCTATCACGGTCAAGACCGAACTGTCAACTTACAGGACTCTGGCTTCCGTCGATGAGACCTATCATGAGCAATTGAAGCGCGACTACCTAGAAAGTCATCACGCTACTTATTCCATTGGCTCAAGGGCTCGCACGGCCTCTGAGGAAAGTTCTTCACCTTGGGCCCATCCTTCGTCTTCAGGTCGTGTCTCCTCGCAAGCTTACAGCCATGAGCAGTGGTATCCTGTTAGCCACATGTGTTATCAGCCACATGAGTTCAGTCCGCATGATCACTATACAGTGGGCCGAGCAGTTTGATACACCACGATCATATGAGATTACAGGGCCCAGAAAGAACAGCTCATGCAGAAAGCATTGTATATAATTTGTCTCCAGCGTCCAATCGGTTGGTCCGAGTCCGGTGTTGTCACCTATTTACTTCATAGAACTGACATTGGAATGAGATATAGCACGAGGTCCGGCGAGAGTGGCATATAAGGAGATGAGCCGCCACCGGGCCCCATGTATCAATGCGTCATAATTGGAAGACGCTGGGTTCTCTAAAAGCGACCATTCCCACTTCAATCAAGCATATATGGCTTGTATGATAAATGCTACCTCAGTAAGAGCGCAGTAAATAATTTATCCTATCTATTTCTGGATTGAATAGATTCATCTTACTGTCAAGTTGCATGCATAGACAGGTCAAGGGCATATTGTGAGAATACTTAGTTCTCAAGTATGATTTCATTGTCTCCAATAACATTATGTACAACAAATGTTTCAACTCATGATTACAAGCTACTGGCATCAATCTCAGCAACAGCAACCCACTCCAGTGTAACCGGCCCCAAGAGCCCATACTCGTAAGGTCCTTGTTGTGCATACTTGGACTGCTGAGCCGACGCAACCTGTCCCCAGACCTGGACCAAATCCGCTTCGCTCTTGATTCTGTTGAACAGTGTCGTAGTCACCTCAACTACAAGCTCGTGCTCTTGGCCCTCCGCCACGTAGCTCGAGATATCCACGACTGGCCGTGCTGGGTCAATTGGGGCGAGCTGAACGCCATCTAGACTTGCGCGAATGGTGTTGACCACGGGCCCGAGAGAGAGTAAGGCTCCGATGCGAGTAGATGGGCCGCTAGTTGAGGAGTTACTGCTCGGTAGAGACGGCACGGTAAAGCGTGTGGTGTAGCGTCCCACGCCGCTCACGCTCTCGAACCCGGCACCAAGCTGCGTCCAGGGAACGAGAGCCTGGTTGGTGAAGTTGTGCAGCGTGATAGCTGTGCCAGCCTCGACGTTAAAGCGATCCTCTGGGGCGTGCCAGTCTTCGATCTCGATATCCCAAGTCGGCAGGTCAGTGGTCGCGGGGAGGGCCACGTCAAACGTTGTTGTCTTGCCGGAATCGAAGGTGAGGCTGGCTGAGCCAGAGCTGCTGACTGTTGCAAGAACAGAGGTGTCGCTGGAGTTGCTACGCTTGACGGAGGCGACGTTCTCACTTGAGGATGTGACGAAAGGCCTGCTGGTGTTGTTGGCATTTGAGCCCGACTTGAAAACCAGAATAGTCGTCTCATTCGCTGCCAAGTTGACTGGGAGAGTGTACACCGACCCATCAGTCGTGTACTCGACAAGCTCTTCCTGTGTTCCGGCGAACGCATTGTACATGAATGGGGTGGCGTCGTTCCCAGACGAAGTGAAGGAGACACTGCAGTCGACCGAGATATATTGGTCGTTATATAGATAGACGTATTCAGTGCTGCTGTTAACATCACTTCGGACGACCGGATAAACGGGATTTGAGGTGCAGTTCAGGCCCACACGGGGCGCAATTGTCAACTCCGAAAGAGCTCCAGATATCTCATTGACAGAGGCCACGAAGTGAACCGCTGAACTTTGAGCCAATTGAGATGTAATATTAGCAAGTTGGTCCTCATCGGCAGAGGGGTACGTCTGACTGGGGAGCGCCGAAGCATCGCCAACGACGATGATGGGAAGTCCTGCCTGGGCGAAGCCAAGGACTGCCTGAGCTGCTTCCACTGTGATGATCTCCTGACCAGAGAAAACGAGCGCTTTATACGAAGGCCCGTCCGCAGCCAAAACTCCATCTTGGACCGTAGCTTGTGGGAGGAGCAGATTCTGTGGGCCGAGATAGTCATACGTGTATCCCAGTGATCCTAGCCCATTCACACCACCAAGGGCGTCTTCACCACCGGGTGCCCATGGAGCTGCGTAGTAATATAGGGCTAGATCGATCTTGGGAACACCCTGTTGGAGCACCCATTGGTTTCTGCCGAACCAGTCCAGTGTGTCCTTCAGGTGACCTGATCCGTACGTTGGCAGATTCGGTGTCCACATCTCGCTGTAGAGGTAGTAAAAAGTCGTATACCCCGGCCAAGTTGTGTTCGGGTAGTTCCCGGAATAAGGAGCGCCGTGAAGAACGTGCTGCGTGATGCCGCCAGCAAGGCCTGCCTTGCCATGGTACAGGAACTGTGGAATGGTCAAGTTGAACGCTGGCCCGGACACGGCACCCATCTCGCTCGATATAACATTGCGCCCTGCAAGATGAGCAGGGCCGGAGAATTGGCGATAGGAAGTCACACTGTCCTCAAATCCTAGCGATTCGCATTCTGGAGCGTCAACCGATGGAATGACGCGGAGCATTTCCAGTGGGAGATTGTACGCGGGTTGGTCGGAGTACTCAACACCACGCGCAAGGGACCATTCCTCGAAATGATCGATGTAATCTTGATATCCCGAGGTCAAGACGGTACGGTAATCCAGATCATGAACGCTCGTGTTGTCTTTGGTGTACTCGCCATACTGGTAGAGCTCTGGGTAAGCGAGGATGCCGCCGTTCCAGGTGTTTGAGGGGTTGTAAAGCAAAGGCAGATATTTCACGATGCTATAGCCCATCTCTTTCTCGAACCGTGAGATAAAGTCTGGCGTCCAGTACATAGCTGCTAGAATTTCCATGCTGTCTTCCCAGGCTATTTGACACCGAGTCAGTTTCGAAACATTTGTAAATTGGACGAGTGGTGTTCAGGGTCATCATACAGTATTTGCCAACATCTGCTAGCAACTCGGCTGTCTCCGCGTCGGTCAAGATCTGCTGATCCCAGAAGTCGGTGACTTTGACCGCTCCAGCGGTGCTGAAATGGTCGACGGTCCAAGAGCCATTTCCAATCACTGTCGTGGCATTGAGCCCTCCGCGACAGGCCCGTTGATTCGTGTATCGAGACCAGTAACTGAAAAGCTTCCAAGTTGAGTTGCCGCCGCTGGTCGGAGGGGTCCATTGCAGCTGTCCATCTGCTGACACATTTGGTGTGAGGTCAATGTAGGAGTCTTCGTCCAGAACGAAGACTGGGACTGACACATCGCCAGCCGAAAATGTGGAGACAGAACGGCTTGTTTCTGTCATCGGTGAGTGAATTGGACCACGGACGCGTTTCAGGGATATACGTACGTCCAGTGACCTTCAATGCAAATACAGCGGTGAGGTTCGCCTGACCAAATTGCTCGAGCTCCCCTTGAAATCCGAGACCGCCCTGAAGGACTGCTGGCAGGTATGGAGGCGGCACTGGACCAGAAAATGTCTGGCCTGCCGTCACAGTCGCATTGCCCGGGGCCTAAAGAATGTGAGACACGTACCGCATCCACCTTTGGCATCTAGCAATGGGGGCTATGGGAGTCTAGGGTCGTAAAGGAGGCAAAACTTACAATTTCGTATGAAAGACCTTCCGTCCCAGGCTCGCTGGGCACACCAGCGCCTTGGTTTGGGCCCAGAGCGAAGTCTATGTTGAAGCCGTTACCCTCGGCCTTGATCGCCTGCAGCGTTTCCTTGAACAGTTCATTGAATGCTGTGTCACCAAAACCGTAGATGGACCAGTCGGTAGGTGGCTCAATGGGGCCGTCAGGCACCGGAATTAGCTGTGCATACACGAGCCCGTAAAAATAGAAGGGCAGGAATTCTATCCCGCCGGCGCCAACGCTAGCCAGGGAGGATATATCCTTAGCTACAATGTCTGCTGATACAGATGCATCCGGTAGCCTGTGTTGAAGGTCAGTGAGTGGGCATCATACACAAAGAGAAGGAGGGATGAGAACTTGCCAGTAGCGAAATCTCGGGCGATACAAATTGCCCGGATTGCTGAAGTCGCCTGCTTGAGCAGTGACGTATGGAACTGTCACCACCGCGGACACGGCGAGAGCCAAAAGACTCTCCAGTAGAACAGATCGTACCATCGTGTCGAGTCTGAATCACTTGTCGAGCAGGTCGACGAGGGGCAGCAGACGAGCGAGCCTGTTGAGAACGAGGGGGGCAAAAGAATGAAAGCGACTTCATCATCTTATAATCTCCCACTATTATGCACGTGAAATTGGAGCGCTTCTCCCCATACTGGCTGGTGTCCGCCCGGGACGCCGCGTGTGGGGAAAGTAGTAATTAGCCCAGAGCACGACAGCGGTGAGCTTTCGTCACACGAGTGAGGGATCGAGGTCACGTTGAGGAGGCGAGGCTTCCTCGTTGCAATAGCATCCGAAAGAAGGCCCAGAACTTATTGCTCCACACTGCTGAGAGTGCCTGGACGGTTACAAGCCGGTGGCTATCCCTTGCCGTATGGGTGTCCTTGCATTGCACAACATTACACCGAGGGGACGTATACATATGGTAGTATTCGATCTGGGATCTGGGGCCTGGGGCAACAAACATGCTTCCCGTCCGAGAGCATGCACTGGAAGGGATGAACACCGGCCTCTCATTGGCTTTTCCGGGAGCTTTCGGTGCATGGGGAGTAGTGCCGGGGCTAAAGCGGTCACTTGGCACGTAGAACTCCGCCCAGATCATCCCGAGGTCACAAAGCTGGGCGATGGACACCGGGTTTTCCGGTCGGGCCCTGTTGCCATGCGCCGAGTCAAGTCAAGGTCCCCGGGCCAGGGTTCCATTCTGGGCCTTATTTCCCCACCATGGCTGCCTTCCCCACGGGGTCTACTACGTAGTCTTCGGGAGATACATTTGACTGTGACCGTAAGTTGCACCGCAGCAAATTGTGTCGTCATGCTTCAAAAAGGAACTACTGGTCGCTTCCGCGTTGCTCCCGCGGTCCCAAATACGAGCGCGGTGGCCAGATGTCAGGAATTGACTCCGTTCTCCGAAAAGCAGTGCTCAATCTCATCACAAATGACTGTGGAGAGAGAGAGAGACAATCCCGTCCTTCCACCATACAGCACTCTTTGCGTTTCGCATCTCAACTGATAGCGTGTTCTCTGACGAAAACTAGCAGGGAATCACTCCATCTCCGTACGGGAGGATATGGCCATTTTGCATTCAAACAGGTGGACATTTCTCGTATAGTACACGTGCACAGGCGTATTGGAATGCATCTGATTGCGCCAGTTCTCTCCCCGAGGGTGGGGACTGATCATCAGGTTCTCCTTGCATAAACTCTACAGCCTATAGGACCCCTGTTTAAATGTATTAGTTCCTGTAGTAAGCCGCACATGCGACTCCACCTCCACCGGGTATGTGGTGTCGATTTGGTACCGCTAGCCTGTTTGAGAGGGCGCTCGAGATACATTCTCACGAGGAAATTACGAGCGTTCTTGGGTAGGCCGGTTGACTTCCACGTAACTATCGAGTCATCCTATAATTGATTCTAGGAAGAGGCAAAGGCGAAAGAAGACAATCACTCAAGCACCAAGTGCGACACGAGCACCCGAATACTTGGCAGGTGGCAGTCGAATTTAAGGAGTCAGATCAAGTTTTCTCACTCCACATAATCAGTCCCAGCTCGGAATATATGACAGGCAGTAGGCAATGTGCAGCGGATTCTAGTACCAGCAGAGTTTTCAACTGTCGGCGCTTATCGAGCCGTGGTGCAGATAAAACTTCAATGTTATAGTTCTTGTGTGTATGATCTCTTCAGCGTGCTCAGTGCGATTCTGAGCAAGGCTATATTCCCGCCTCTCTTTCATCAGCCGCCGTTCATTTACCTGCTCTCTGATGAAGGGAAAAGTATTTGGCTACCTTGTCTGAAAGGGGGGGGGGGGGCAGCTTCCGGAGAGCATAAGGTAACATGTTGATCTCATACAATTTCCACACAAAATCATCAAAGTATCCTCTTTCAGACGCTTGTACTTTCGTCAACGTATTAAGTTCCCATATGCCAAAAACGTGCTGTTGACATTACCTTGCATGATCGAGAACGATGGAATACTTCCGCGGGGTAACTTTGCATCACTCCAAATTTTGGGGGAGGCGGAGGGAAAGAGGGGAGTGGGAAACAAAGACAATCGCTTGAAATGCGAATACAAGTAAGAGAAGGTGGCATGGGGAAAGCCTAGACATGAGCGCAGCATAGCTGCTTTGATTCAAGATGAGAGCAGATTTTGAGATAGTAACATTGAACGAGACTCTAAACTTAGGTCTTGATTGTCGTCTCAGGAGTGGGTACGAACCCACTTTTTGGCTGCAAAAGTAACCGCAACCGAGAATTTCAAGTTTGGAATTGAGCAAGGCTTAGAGAACAATCAGCCTCTGTCCGTTTCATTTCTGACCCTATGTGACGGCCTTCGCAGAGCATCACTGAGCAATTGACACTGGAGATAGATCTCTGTTGCACTCCCGCGGTGATACAAGTTCCCAGCCAAGAAAATTTGGTAATCGAAATTGAAACCTAAGTCTCTCCGGGCCTGTCAATCAGCCGAAGTTTCGAAGCCCAACTTGGTAGTCCGCAGTTACCGAGACTATACGACGGGGAGAGCTTCAATGATGCAAACCATGGCCAACCAACTCTAATCTCTGTCACAGTCACACGTCCAGATATGATTTGGATGAGTTCAACGAGCACCCACTGCCGGCCGCCAAATGATGCCAGACAAACTATAAAAAGGTGCTAATAGCATCTATCGCATAAATTTCCATAGGGCTGTGCCTTGTTCGCACGACTCAGGAACTCCTCGGTCTGGTCCGAGCAGGTCTGAGTTCCAGTCAGTCATCGATCAGATCCCTTGGCTCTTGTTTCATCATCCATGGCATTTCTATATAATACGCGGACCGCGAATTCATGGGCGTCTGAATCATTGATTATTCCCACGTAGTCTTTGAATACAATATTTGGCCAAACAGAACCCCATCCTCGTTCACGCGGACTCCAGCACTTTAGTCACCAAATATTCATCTTCCCTCAACAATGAGAATCTCATCGTTCGTCTTCACCACCATGCTCCTCTCTGAGAGTGTGGCTTTAAGCATCCCCTTTAGGCTCCCAAGCAGTCTCCAGTCGCGAGAACAAGTCGATACCAGAACAGCCGAGGGCTTGACGACGGTCCAAGCCCGCAACATACGGCCACGAGAGTGCGAAGAACCAGCCGAGCCTGAGGAGCCTAGTGAGGAAGACCGAAAGAATGGAGCAACAAGACCACCTCGACCTGCTCGGCCTAGCAATTGCTAATGAGCAATCCATGAAAAGGAAAACTTTAGTTGAAGTTTTGTGCTTGGTGTTAATGGCGAACGTTTTGGCTGCGGCAAAGGGAATTAGTACGGAGTAAACCACGACGAATACTTGAGCAAGTTGATTTCGGAGAGTTCCTCGAGACTTCTCATATAAATCTACATCCGCAAGGCAGATAGGATGAACATACCAACAATAATTCGCAAATACTCACGCAAAGAATGATCATTTATAGCCACTGGTGACCACGGATGAGTACACCTTCCGAATCAGATCTTGATGGGCCCTGCTCCTGATCTGGAGCCTTGCTTTGAAAGGTGCAACTCCCGTTGTACCCACCAACGGGGCACTTGTGTCGATGGGTTCCTCGTCAATCTGTATGCAGTCAAAGCAGTACACCAGACGTGACACGGCGATGAGCAAACTTTTGGCTGCAACGTTATAGGCGACACAAGCGCGACGACCTTAGCACGGATGTTTGTCAGCGCTGGATTCACACGTGCACGGCTCAGTTGAAAGCCTGGGGAGAAGGGTCGGCCTCACCTGCTCCGAATCCCAAATGGCCTTTCAAGAACTTGTCTATGTCCTCGTCCAGAAACCTCTCGGGCCAGAATCTCTCGGGCTGATCATACTCGACGGGATCATTGGCGATTCCCCAATTGTTATAAGTCACCACCGTGCCAGCCGGAATGTGATAGCCCTCAAACTCGTCGTCTTCAGTTATCGCGTGAGGAATTCCGGTCTCGGCAATGCTAGGCCTAACGGGTCTGTGAGAAGGCAAAGAGGAAAACATTCCAAGAGATTTGGGTTGTGACATACTTCCATCGCAATGACTCCTTCACTGCCGCCTTGATCAAAGGCAGGCTGTCCAAGTCACCAAAATTCGGTAGTCTCTCCGCACTGGGTCCACACACCGCGTCTAATTCCTTTCGTGCCCTTTCCACCCAATCTGGGAACAGGGCCGCGCCAGCAATCACTTGGTTCATGGTCATGCGCGTGGTGTCAGACCCAGCCTCCATCAAAGTCCCAAGAATGTAGAGAAGCTGATCACGGGTGAATTCAGCCTTGGCACCCGAATCGAGCAGTTCCGAGGCGAAGCAGGGCTTGTCGGTGCCCTCCCGCCGGCGCTGTTCGAGCTCGTTGAGTTGGGCGCTGTAAATTCTAAGGGACCATCAGCCTGAGTTCTGATGGGCGACGTGTAAGTGTCCACGGGACGAAGGCAACCTACCGGATGCATTCTTTGTACAAAGAGTCCGCTTTCCACCTCCAGGGCTGCCACACCTTGAGGAAGTTGATCTTCGTCAAAAAGGGAAAGGCGTCAACGAGAGTGGTACCAGGAGCCAGGTACTTGACAAAATCCTCACTCGTCTTCAGTAGCTCTGCTGTTCGCGGGTCGTTCAACTCAGACGGCTTGCCGAATAGAAAGCTCATAATGATTGAGTTGGCGAATCAGCTGTTCGCCACGTGCCACTTCTCGGGTTCTCTGGAGTAGTCCACCATGAGCAGTTTAGATCCAGCGTCCTGAAAGTACTCAAAGTTCTTCAGCTGACTTGAGTTGAGAATCTGGTGCATCATCTTGCGCTCGCGTCTCCACAAGTCACCGTATGGCATCAGCAACAAGCGGTTACCTCTTGAGACGAGGTCGTTGGCCATTGGGAATTGCATGCGGGATGAGTACTTCATTGAGCGCTTCTCGAGAAGCTCCAGGACTGTCCTTCTCGAGTTGAGGACAACCCAGTAGGTGCCCCCGACCTTGATGGTGAACCTTTGCCAATATCAGCACTTCTTCTCTTCAGAGGGAAAAGTGATCGTCACATTTCTCCATATCTCTCAGCCAGGCTTGCTAGGTAAGGGCCTTGCAGGCCCGGACGGTTGGGCAACTGGAATGAGTTTCCGACGAGTGGCAGACCCGGCACGATGGGAGGAAACCTATACTTCTTCTCATATTGATAGTCTCGAACAAGACGACGCAGAATCAGAAACAAAGTCACAGCTAGCAGTCCGGCAACCAGACGCAGCCACTTCCCTCCCGTTGATTGCAAGAGGCTTGAGGATGTAAGCATTTTATGGGCTGATATGATGAAGAAGTTGAATGGAACAATCACAGTCAGATCGACACCATGCCCTGTGCAGCACATGCCATCGTGTAATTGTATACAGGAAGACAAGGAGGGCGAGAACCTGGAATGGGCCGGCCCCACCGGGACATTGGCTTCATCTGCATTTCTACGTATAACGACAATGCCTACTTGTAGGCGGAAACTCGTAGATACATTAAGACAAGCCAGAACCTAGATACGTAGCTCCTGCGGTCCCCACCCTCCCCTCAGGTCCTCTGACTAGGTCGCGCGGGGACCCCAGCAAGATAGTCGCACGTATTTTGACGGGACCTTCGTGCTTGAAACTGGTAGAAAACAGGCCAGGGATCCAATGGTCAAATTCTGCGTCTTAGCTTTCGAAATCCGATATCTACAATGCAGCAGGTCGCATAGTGTTATGATAGGGCCTATCTATGGCGAAGTCGCAACAAAGACAAATCCCTTTGCACGCCTGATCCACTGACATCTCCCAAAAAGCTCTGTAACTAAACACACTACACACCTGCTGTGGAACTACTTTCGTTGGAAAAACCACCGGCCCTTCTGCAACTAAGTACACGCGTTACATGCGGAGAGTGGGCTGGTATTTCCGTAAGTCCGGTTTATACGTGCTGCCTCCCGCATAGTGATTTCCATGCATTACGGAAAGTGGGTGAGCTCCTGTATGCGGCACACCTGTTGGTTACGAACATAACTCAAGGCAGTGTTGGTATCAGTGTATATCATTGCTAACTACCATCAGCAGGACCTATTGATGTGTAAACTCAATCAACATGGCCACCAAGGCATCAGCAGCTCTAAGCCTAGAAGGTCGCGTGGCTCTCGTGAGCGGATCGAGCCAAGGCATCGGCGCAGCCATAGCCAGGGAGCTTTCATCACGCGGAGCAGTCCTCGTGCTGAACTACCCATACCCTTCAGAATTACCAAGTGCAGAGGCAGTCCGCAACTCATTACCCACGGAGGCCATCGCCGTCGAGGCCGACATGTCGACCGTCGACGGGCCGGCAGCACTCGTCAGGGCAGCCGTGTCCAAGTTCGGCCGCATCGACATCGTGGTCAACAACGCTGGCGTGAGCGACCAGATGAAGCTGGGGGACATCACCGCCGAGCGCTGGGCCGCCATCTTCAACCTCAACGCCCGTGGTCCCATGCTCCTGACGCAGGCCGCCCTCCCGCACCTGTCCCGGGGCCGCTCCCGGATCGTCAACATCGTGAGCCCCACGGCGCGCGACCCGCGGCCAGAGTGGACGCTCTACGGCGGCAGCAAGGGCGCGCTGGAATCGATGACCAGGTGCTGGGCTCGCGAGCTGCCGCGCGAGTACGGGTGCACTGTTAATGCTGTTGCACCGGGCCCTGTGGGTGGCCCTGCGATAGATAGGGCTCCTGAGGAACTTAAGCGGGCGCTGGCAGAATTCACAAAGACGACGCCCGTTGCTCCGCGGTTTACGCAGGCGGCTGAGGTGGCGTGGGCCGTTGCGATGCTGTGCGAGGAGGAGGCGAGTTGGATCAATGGTGATACTGTGAATGTGAGCGGAGGTTTACATATGTTGTGAGACGGGATTCCAGCAGAGAAACGCGGAAAGCCTCCGTCCTTTTGCGGAGTGGTATGATCTTTTTCTAGCGGGATCCCGCGATTATCAAGTATCATTTCCTGCTGTGGTCACATACTAAAGCAGATACACAAGTGCTCTATTGACACATTTTGAAACCACTGCTCATGATTTTATATACATGCAAGGCCTGAAAAAATGACTGGGTCAAAGCTTTTCATCCAGGTACAAGGTGAATCTTAAATAGCTTTACCGAAGCATTGAATTTCTACAAGAAGAAGCATTGCCATATCAAAGCCATCAAGCTCAGACCCGTCAAGGCCACAGCGAGTCATACATAAAAAGCCAATCCTCCCAGTAATTATCATACTTTCCAATAAGCCAGCTCCTCCCGTCACCCTCACTGCTGCCTATCCTCCATGGCCGCGTGTACAACCCGTCTGCCCGCAGGTGTCTTTTGAGCGCGACGTTCATGCTGAAGGAGCTGGGACTCACGCCCAGGAAGTAGCCGCACCGCAGCAGCACCACAAAGTCAACGAGTGCCTGCTGGTCCCAGCTGAGCGCATCGAGCTGCCGCAGAAGTTCGTCGCCGTCGTCGGCGAGGCGGAGCAGCTCGTGCTTGGTGACGACGCGCAGACCCTGCTGCGCCGCGGCCAGCGCCGCGAGCCTCGCGGCCTCAGTGGCGTTCCCCGTCGCGAGGTACGCATACTCCGGCAGCGGAGGGTCGAGGCCGGCTATCTTGGCGAGGTACGCCGCCGTCTGGTTCTCGAACGTCGGCCACGCGCCCAGTGCGTCGCTCTCGGTGCGGAGGTGGATGCCGACGAAGCCGCGGCCGGCCGCCAGCTTGTCCATCGCGTCGGCGGTCCTCCCGCCCAGGGCGAGTATGTCGTCCCGGAACCGCAGAAGGCCCCCGAACGACGCTGTGAACTCGGGCCCGTCCTGCATCACGGGCCAGTTCCACTGCACGCCCCAGTTCATCCGCACCAGCTTCGGGCTCGAGGCGCTGACGGGCCCCAGGCCCAGCTGCTCCTGTCGCTCCCTCAGGAAGACGTGGAAACGCTCCCCGAACAGCCCGCCGTGCCGGTTCAGGTCCCGCGCGTCGCAGCCGCCCCTGCGCCCGAAGTGGTTCGGCGTGATCTGCTCGGGCTTGACGCGGCCCGTGCTGAGCTCCTCGGCGTCCAGACCAGGGACGTCGCCGAGGCCGCCGCCGTAGATGGTGATCTGCGGGCAGGCTTCGCTGAGGCCGGCGCGGAAGTGCGCCTCGTCGAAGAAGTAGGCGAACGGCAGCTTCTTGCCGACGAACAGGTCAGCAAGCTTAGCCTCGCTGCGAGTCTGGATGGTCGGCAACGTGAGTCCGGTAGCACCGGACTCGATAGCATAGCGCAGACAGGTCAGGATGAAGTTTCGTATGTTGCCGATGCCGCCCGAGTTGTTGTCGCAGATGAAAACCAATCCTGGAGTCCACCTCTTGTTCTCGCTGCAGACGCGGGCCAGCGGCCAAGAGACAAAGGGAGCGTCTGGGGCGGAGAGGTCGGCGTCGACGCTGCTGCCACTTTGTTCATGGTGAGCATGTGAGCTGGGGCATGAGGTGATGGCGGCTGTCGCATGGGGGCGTTGGTCGAAGATGCAGAGTTGTGGGAGGCGGCACGTCCAGATGGTGACGAGGCTGATGGTGCAGACCAGCAGGAGGACCTTGCCTTGTCGTGAGAGTGACGTGAACATGGCTTGATCGAGTGTGAGGACGAAGAAGGACGTCCTCTCTGGCGATATAGTTATAGCATCAGCCACAGTCACGCCACCTAGTTTCTTCTGTGCTGTGGTTGAAGCCGCCCCTGAGTCAGCCCTTCATCTCTCATGTTCGGCTCGCTTTGGAATTGACGACAATGATCGATCTAGGGCATGATGAGCGTCACCATTGATTGCGATGGCAGACAGTAGATCATTCCAAGAGGAAAGCTGTCCCCCACACCTGCTGGCCGTATTTACGGTTCTTCAACTGCATTGCGGCACACCCCCTCTCGATTTACCCAGGTGTCCCCTCCCCTCCGAAATTGGGAACCAGAAAGACGGAGCATGCGCTCCGTCACATCTCGAACCCGCATAGATTTTGCCCTTTGTTCCACAGCATATACCGTACCATATAAAATCCGTTGACCACCAGTGTCCCACAAAAAACCTTTACATCCTGCATGGTGTAAAGCCAGACCGCATTCGAACCAGAACTTACGGCTCCCAACAACCATCGCCAACCCCTTACCAACCCTCCAAAAGAGGTTGTGAGGCACATCGGTCCATTTACTGTCACCAAAACAGCCACTTGGTCAAGTTCCATATACAACAGCCAATTCGTTACAAGTCTATGAGGTATCCGGTGCCGCGATTGACGCAGCAAAGTTCTAAATCAAAAACACCAACCCTTATCGTGACAGCCAGCCATCATCATATAAACATGCATTGCTCTATTCGATATCGAGCCCAGTCAAAATACATCACGAAGATCCGCTCTGTACCTGGAGATTATTACGTCGCCCCAATGGCCTTGTCCGACGCCAAGTCCTGCTTCACAGGATGGATCAATGAACCTCTCAGACACATGCGCCCCGTCTCCTTCTCCGATTCGGGGCCACCTCCGCCGCCGGATTCGCGGCCGAGCCATCGGTGCCACAGTGGTGGGCCAAACTCGGTGTTGTAGTAGTAACTCGCCGTCAGGAAGTTGGCCTCGCCCGTGCCAGGGGTAAAGGGGAAGTAGTACACGCTCGACTCGGGTGTCTCTGCTCGGTTGAAGACCGAGTCGAGCCTGTCCAGTGGCCAGCGGCGGTCGAAGTACACGGGGTGTGGAATGTACACGCCCTTGAGGCCATGGTGCAGCGTGATTGATCCAGGGAACATCTCGGGGAACATGGTGTGCTTGTTGCGAGACGCCTCCTCGTGCATGGCCTGCAGCAGACGGCGCGAGAAGCGGCCGATTGTGATGATGGACGTGCGGCGCGGTGGGACTGATTGGTTGTAGCCGGTGATATCGAAGCGCAGGCACCACGCGTTCTTCTCGGGGTCAAAGAGCGGGTTCAGCGTAATGAGGTCAGCCGGCTCGCCCACACCCCACTCGTAGTTGTCCTTCTCCATCGGGTGAGGAGGGAATGTCGATGTGTCCACAACACCGTCGTTGAAGATGGGGCCCCAGGGGCTGGGGAAGTTGCTGGCCTTGGTCTCCTTCTCGACGTGCTTGACGAAATCCTCCCAGCTTCCGTGCAGGCCGGGGATCCAGTACCTCTCGTTGCGCTCCCACAGGTACTTGCGCGGCTGCTTGTCGGACCACTTAGCAGCGGCGTCAAAGAACTCAAAGTAGTTGCCAGTGTAGCGCAGGTCGAGCTCCCAGTTCCAGAAAAACTCGTAGTCGGGGTGGTGCTGGGCGAACCATTGCAGCGCGAAATGCGGGATGCGGTAGACACTATACAGGGGCTTTCCGCTGTCGTTCTCAATGGTCATATCATCATTGAAGCCAGGGTAGTACTCGGTCATTGCTGGAACGGACCACGGGGTGGTGATGTCCCAGAACTCCTCGGGGATGTTCTCTTGGACCATCTTGCGCGCTGTTTCCGGGTTCGAGATATCGATCGAGTCATCGGTGACGTGCATCAGGATGTGAATATCGTACTGACCACCCGTCTTGAGGGACAACTCGTTGATGAGAGACCTGGTGGTGATGATGCGCATAGGCGACCAATCGATGCCAGTCCACGCGCGCAGGACGAGAGCATTACGAGCCAGAGGCTTCTTGCCAGCAATCTTCTCGGCCTGGGACCACAGCCTCGACAGCGCACCATCTGGCTTGTTCACAGCGTCTTTGTCCAAGCCAAAGCGCTCCCGGTTCTTCTCGAGACACCTCTTTTGCACCTGGTCCCACTTGATGTTGGTGTAGTTGACCTTGGGAATCATCTGCTCCAGCGCCTGCTCCCCAGACGGAACAGACTCGATCCCGAAGCCCCCTTCGGCCTTGGAATAAGAGTAACCATATGGGCCGAGCCTGCCAAAACGCTCGAAGCATTGATTGTGTGCCAGACCTAGCTCTTCATAACCGCCAAAGTATGGAGCAGGCATGTTTGCGGGTATGCCGGGATAGAAAAAGGTATCGGGAGCTGGCACGGTACCCTCGTTGTCGAGGAAGCAGGTCTCGATGCCTTCGAGGTGGGCGTAAGGGTTCGAAACTGCGGGCTGCAGGGGGATCTTGTCGGCGACCTTGACGTCTGGAGACGCCTGGAGCTGTTCAGGAACCCATTTCTTGTAGTCTACGAGGGTGCGGACACCATGGAAGAAGGCTTGGAGACTAAAGGCGGGTTATCAGAGGTTAGAAATTTGACAGGCAGGCCTTTGCCTCGGCCACGTAGACAGGGAGAGAGAGGTGCTCACGGCTGGTAGTCGTTCCAGTGGTATGGTATTTGTTGGAAGGGAGTCTGGTGTTCGACCTTGTCGCCGCCCGGGGGTGCGGGTACGGTAGGGTCGTTAGGCCGTTGGTCCTGCTGGGGTGCAGGCGGAGGTCTTGCCCACTCGTCATGGGTTTGTGATGTTGGGATGGCCCATAGTCGCCTGCTGTAAAGGAAAAGACAGACTGTGAGGACAATGCATGTTGTGAGTAGCTGCTTGAAGGAGGGCGGATGCATATTACTGCACGCCTTGACGAGGAAGGACGGCAGAGGCCGGGAGGGATGGGAGGGAAAGGACGAGTGGCGCGGAGTGTCGAGTTCGTCGTGCGCACTGGATGATGATGATGCTGCTGCTATTCTGGAGGAGTGGCGTCGGTGGTGGGTGTGGGTGTTTTTGTTGTCGTCGTATGGCAGATGGTCGCCTTCTCTCATGGCAAAGGAGCGGCCTGGGGGTAGGTGTGCAGTGTGCAGTATGCAGTATGCAGTAGCGGTCTCCTATCCGAGTCTCCAGTGCTTCTTTTCCTTCTAGACTCCACGTGTCCAGGTCCACCGTTCCAGCCACGGCAGATGGCCCCACTGTATTGTTCTTGGTTGATCTCGCTTGACGGACGAGCTTATCGGATCGAGAAGAAGGGAGCCACCAGGAGTGGAGGCAAGGGAGAGATGTTGGTCGAATTGGCCTTTGTTCGTTGATTGACGGGTGAGTGACGACGAGATCCGAGTCCGAGCACTTATGCTAGACGAGTTTCTGGCTGGATGGAGGACGAGGTCGGGACAGGTTGAGAGAAGAAGGCGGAGGAGCAGGCGAGACGACGAGCTGCCAACAAAGAACCCAAAAAAAGTAGAAAAGCAGGACCCCAGAGAAGTAAGTGGACGAAAATTGGGACTGGGCAGGGCCACTTTTGTTGAAACGAACGGATGCAGGTGAGGCCCAGCAAGAGAAGGAAACGATCGCCGTCTGTATCAGTTGTCTTCCTTTTTGGCTGTTTGTGTGCTGGTGCGTCGGTTGTTGAATTGGGTGATTGAGAGGTTAGAGGCTCGCACGAACACCTGTAGTCTGCTGTGGTACCGTATCTTGATCCCTCAAATCCTGGAAGTAAAAAAAGATAGCTGCAGCACCGTCTTGGGGCAAGCGGCCTCTGGCCAACGACTCTGGCCACTCAGGAGGGCCCAAGTGCATCCCCCAAAGTGCCCCCCTGGAACCCCCCGGGCTAGTTCCTTCCCGTCTGCGCGTCTGCCGTCCTCCCGGAGAGGGCAGGTGGGCAGGTGGAAGGTGGTAGGGACACCGAGACGGGGAAAGTGCCCCTGACAGGGATCAGCCAGCGACCATTTTGGCTGCTTCATTTTCCAAATGCGTACAGCAACTACGTGATTATCATGCACATGTGTATTGATTGTTACAGGGCCTCGAGTCTCCAAATGTACACAAATACACAATCACACACACACACACACACACACACACACACACACACACACACACACACACACACACACACACATTCATACACATACTGACATCAGTATCGGCACATTCATCTCCACGCCAGACCACACCACAGACGGACCATAGAACTGCCGTCGCTCATGGACCACAATTCTCTGGCATTTCAAGATCCAAGTCGTAACATCCGAAACTACTCCCAAGACTCGACACAATTGCCACTGCATATCCAGATGACATGTGACCCCATGATGTACCGTACTCTGACTCCAAAAATGTCTACGTGATGAATCTGTGGTACACCTCACTGTGTGCACATCAAATCCACATGTCACGGCTGCCATGAGCCGCCACAACCAGTTTCGAATCAAGTAACAGCACACTAGGACAGTGCTGTGTCAACCGAGTAAATTACCCAGTCAATTGGTAGACACTATCTATCACCAACCAGCGAAGGCTGCGACATACATAGGATGCCTCCACCAACATATGATTTTGTCTTGAAGGTACCAGGTTGCTATCAACTCCGTGACTACTTTGATAGTTTCACTTGTGACCCCGCCCCTCGCTTTTATTGGGGAGCCGGGGGTGGGGGGACAACAACGAGAATTCGTGATGGAATAGTTCGGGAACGTTAAGAAAGAGTGCCCAATTTCGTTCTCCAATCTGGGAGTCTTGTTAGAGAAAGAGATTGGGCACCCCTTTAGCCCTACATCTGAATGGTTCATGCTTCCAATCACAGCCTCAGGAACGATCAGAAGGTATGCCGCGGAACTTGAGAATGGCCTGTGATAGTACAGGATCTTCTAATAACATAAATAACAGAAATCTGAGGTGGGCCTAAGTCTGGTATAGAGATTATATAGACAGAGCTACCTTTTTATTCTACGTTTTGAATGAAAGAAAAGTGTATATTTTCATAGTGATCGAATCTATGTGATAGGTGTGTCTGCGTGTGCGCCAGGCTTCCCTGCAACATGTTGACTCCTGCGACCGCATGCTGGATACAACAGAGCGCTTGGTGACTCTACCTAGTCACATTCGACACTCAAGGCCTTCTTCGTCAACAATATGTGTGGATCCCACCGAGACCAACGTATCTCGGTGCCTTGAGACTGAAGAAGTGGACTGTGTTGTCGAAATGCATTCTTACTAGATGCATCCCCATAGGCCAAACACCAAGTGGCGGGAGTATGCAAACCTGAGTGTCGCTCACAACATATTGTCCGTTATTCACCTGTAACTTGCCTAAGGGCCTCACTGGCATAGTCCACGCTTATCTGCGGGATCGACAATAAAAGTTTCCCCATTGACAACTCCATGCCGGTAGCGCTCAGTCAGACTGATTAAGAGCCTGGCCATATGCCCCTTTACAACCAGAACTTTCGACTTTGGATAACAAATTATTAATTAACCGCAGAGGACGTGCTACAACTTATTGGTTGTGTGTACAAAGAAATCGATAGAATCAAATCTTATATCATTTTCGTGGCTGCAAATTCGATAACCAGATAAATTACTGATTCTAGTACGAAGCCAAGCTCGGATTCGACATCGGTCTGACTGGCGCGGCACTTGTAAACTACTGCACATAAGCGACATATTTATGCAGCGTCAGACGTTTTTGCGGAGGTTAGGGTGCATCCGCATGCCACCAGCTAACTGCGATAGTGTATATGTCCGTTGCGACTCCACTATCATCAATGGATACTGGTCTGTATGGCGCACATCGCGTAAGGATGAGACGATACTTTCCGGTTGAGATAATCGATCTAGACAATCTCGGGAAGGATCCACAGTATTCTGATGTGAGATCCAATTTGGCTATAGCGGGAGAGGAATATCCAGTTGTTTTGCACCGACTGGTAGGAAACGTGCTGGATACTGAATATGAGTCGCGGGCTACTGCGAACTCGTGAGAGATTGGCGCACCTCCATGGACAGGCGATGGCTGGATCTGCGGCACGAAAAACCTTCGGCAATTGCGAGTGTCAAGTTGATCCGGAGGCATCTTTCTCTCATAAAGACCAAGTCCTGGCCTAGAAGCTCAGTCGGTGCGTTGCTATCGTCTTTCATCTCTTCATCTTTGCTTCTGTAGTACTTCTGCGGTCTTGCGCTTGTTCTTGATTTCATCAATTTTTCCTAGGCGCCGCAGAGAATGGCCTATACCACCGTTCTCCCACCCAGCCGATCGGAGGCTAAGCCTCCTCGCCAGAATGTGTCGTCTCTTGACTCCATCGATTCCGATGAGGCATACAGGTTGAGATCTGAAGCTCTAGCAACAGATGTCTCCAAACTTGAAGATGGTTACTTTCTGAGCCCGAGGATTTTGGGATCGTTCGTTGGCACCGGTATAGTCGTCGTTGCAACATACTTCCAGTTTCAGGCTCTCGCTGCTGTCCTCATGTCCGCCGTTTACCCAGACATAGGTCCCAGCACCAATGTAGCTCTTGTCAGCACGGTATGGACTGCAGCGCAGCCTATCGCACTCCTGCTGTTTGGTCGACTGAGTGATCGGTTCGGACGCCGCAACTTTGCACTCGGGTCATGTGTACTTGCCATCATTGGTGGCATCGTGGCTGCAACGGCCCAGTCCATTGAGACCTTGATCGGTGCCGAAGTCATCATGGGTATCGCCTCCGGAGTGCCTGCAGCCTATCCTCTGCTGGCTGGTGAGCTGGTGAGCAACAGGTACAAGTACCTGGGTACCGCTCTTGTCGTCGTTCCCAACGTCATCGCGACCGGTTTCGGTGCGTACATCGGGTTGGCGCTCGTTCAAGTAGCCAACTGGAGGTGGATCTTTGTAGTCTACATTATCATCATGGGTAAGCAGGCTCAAACACGAAAGGCGCGCACCACTTCATGACTGACAACCGCAGTTCCTGGCGCCGCTCTGTGGTTCTTCTTCTACCACCCACCTTCGTACACTCAGCTTCACGGCAAGAAGTCCAGCAAAGTCGCGGAACTGAAGAAGGTCGACTGGATTGGAGTGTTTCTGCTCATCGCGGGTCTCGCCCTGTTCCTGGTTGGGATCTCGTGGGGTGGTCCAGCTCAGCCATGGTCATCTCCCAAGATCTTGGGTCTGCTGATATCTGGCGCAGTAGCCGTCATCTCCTTCATCCTCCACGAGACTCTTCACACACCTCAGCAACCCATCGTACCCATGCGATTTTTCCGAGACATGCGCGGCTTCACCTGCTTGGAGATTATTTCAGGGACATACGGTGTCATCAACATTGCACTCTTTGTCATGTGGCCACAGCAGGTTACCTACATCTTTGGCTCGACTGTGAGCTCGTGGCAAGAGTCTGCATGGCTCTCGACCACAGCTGCTTTCGGTCTTTGGGGAGGTATTATCGTTCTCGGCCCGCTCATGTCATGGATTGGACACATCAGGTACCAGATTTTGGTTTCTTCGCTCTGGATGACGGCTTTCCTCGGCGCAATGGCTAGCATCACTGTCGAGCGCAAGTCCATGGCGATTGCCTTCTCCTTCCTCGCTGGCTGGACTATCGGCTGGGGTGAAGTCATTGCAGCAATCATTGTCCAGTACGTCGTCGCGGATGAGGATCTTGGTGTTGCGTTCTGTAAGTGGTGGTCTATTCAAGAACGAAGAGCAGTTGCTGACAAATCTCAGCCGTCATTTCTGCATCCCGAACCATATTCGGCTCCATTTTCACTGCTGCTTTTATTGCAGTCTACACAAACAAGGTTCCTGGCTACCTCGCCTCCATCGTTCCCGGGCGCGTTCTTGCAGCTGGTCTGCCCGAGTCCCAGCTCGAGAACCTCATGACGGCCGCTGCTGCCGCCAACCAGACTGCGCTTGCTGCCATCGAAGGCATGACACCGCAGCTCCTCCGCATTACCAACATCGCTGTCAGTGACGCATACTCGAAGTCTTATTCTTACGTATACTACTTCGCCGTCGCGATTGGAGTGCTTGCCATCGCGGCATCCGTGTGTATGCGTGACTTCGACAAGTACCTAACCGGTCACGTGTCCAGACAGCTCTATCATAAGAGGGATGCCAACACCGATCCCTTGGAGACCGCAAAGGGTGCGAATGTGCTTGCCAGGGAGAATGAAAAGGCTGTGGTTTAGCGCTAGTGAAGGCGACTCGCTAATTTTTGTTCTGCATCTCGTGTAGAATGTATCTGTGGAAGAGAGTGACGAGCTCAATCTTTGCTCATCCATGAGTCCTGTTGAGGTGGCATCTACTAGTTGGGTATGTTGTTATAGGATCTATATTTCGGACATCACTACAGCCGCTGGAACGCATGCCGCCAAGTGGCGCCGTCATTCCTGACGGCTCCTGAGTCCTGCGAACTGCACGCAAATTACAAAGTTAATATTCCCTCCAGCTCAATAATAATATCAGACATGGTTCTACTTTGCATGCTAAACCACACACATCCTTTCTTCACTATACCTGCAGGCGAAGACCTTTTGCTCCAAATTACCACGGTCCTTGATTTATTGCCTACGCGATTGCAACCCAAGAAATCTGATTATTGCACTGCTAACGCAGCCAGGATACACATCCGACGGTGGCGGCACGAATGGCAGGCATAGTATTGCGGGGTCTACCTAGGGCTTACTGGCTTTTGAGGGCAACCCACTTTTCTCAATGTTCACATCACTTTTTTCAATTCAAAAAGATTGGTTGCTTCGTAATCACTACTCTGTCTGTCACGCAGATGTAATGCCATTCCATCTGCCATAGTGTTGCGCCAAGCGTCACGATATAGGATAACATGAAGTGGACTATTCTCGGGCTGTTAGTCCACTTTGTGGCCGCCCAGGGGACTGGCAACCCAGCGGTACGTAAGATTGTAAGCGACGCACCGTGTGCATGATTGAGGCTGATAATTATCCTTATTAGTGTGACGCTCTGATCACAGCTGGATTAGGGTCACGTATACTGACTGCTATCGATTCAGCCTACAAGGAACGTGTTGAGTCTTACTGGTCTGCCAGTGCCCGGTTGAATCCGTGGTGTTTTGTCCAACCACAGACTGTAGGCGAGGTCTCGCTTGCCTTGACAACGCTCGCAGCTGCTGGCCAAGGTGCTGGTGATTGGCACATTGCCATCCGCGGCGGGGGACACAGTTTTCCCCCGGGCGTCAACAACATTGAAAATGGCGTTACTATCGACATGGGCTTATTCAATCAGACCACTTACAATGCCGGCAGCGGCCTTGCCTCGGTCGGGCCCGGCGGTCACTGGACAGGAGCGTACACTGAGCTCGCAAGGAGCAATGTAACAGTTGTAGGCGGTCGGGAAGGTCAGGTCGGCATTGGTGGCTTTCTTCTCGGTGGCGGCGTATGTCTTTCTTTCTTACTCCCCCCCCCCTCCCTCTCCGCTTATTTGTTACGGAAGGAGGAACGATGAACGAGCTAACAGACGCACTATAGAATTCTTATTACACATTCCGTCAGGGTTTTGGGTGTGACAACGTCGTCAACTTTGAGGTTGTATTGGCCGACGGCAGTCTCGTTAACGCCAATTCCACCTCTCATCACGATCTGTATAGAGCGCTGAAAGGAGGCAGCAGCAACTTTGGCATTGTCACGCGTTTCGACCTAAACACATTGCCTAATACTCCATTGTGGGGCGGTATACGGACGTACGATTATAACTTATATGCCGACGTCGCTCTGGAAAGCATTGCTGATTTCGCTAACGCCGATGAATCCCAAGGCGACAACGCCCTCATTGTGCTGATTGTGACCAGTGGTGACACTACTATTTCCCTCCTCACTAATCAAATCAACACACAAGGCGTGACAGACGCACCCAGCTTCGCAAAGCTGTCTTCACTGCCTGCTTTGACAGACTCTATGCAAATAGCGACCGTGGGTGAGCTGACGGGGTCTGGAGGAACACCTGCTGGATTACGGTTCGTAAAAACTGACTAGGATTCTGGGACTAAAACTAATCATATGCCTCCAGGAATGTGTGGTTCACGTCCACATTTGGTGCTGATACCGACCTGCTCAGAACTGTCAAGGGACTCTACGAAGATTTCCTTGCGGACTTGTGGACCTTACTGCCCGCCGACACCTTCGAAACCCAAATAGTCTTTCAACCTATTCCTTCATACTTAGCACAAGCCGGCGAGAGGAAAGGCGGCAATGTTCTCGGCCTCGATTCTTCGTTGAAGAAGAACGCCGTCCTCTTCCTGCTCACCTTGAAAACGAAAACAGCGGCGGACGAGGCAGTCATACACGCACGAGGTGGTGTATTCTTTGCCAAGGTCGGCGAGGCCGTGAAGGCTTCGGGAAACAGTCTCCCTTTTGTCTATCTTAACTACGCCAACCCCAGTCAAGACCCATTAGGTAGTTACGGTGCCGAAAACATCGAGCTCATCCGGGAAGTCTCTGCAAAATATGACCCGCAGGGCTTCTTTCAGCGACGAGTACCAGGAGGGTTTAAGATCTCTCGTGTAGCTTGAGATATTGATTAATGGTGCTAATCATATACACCAGGGACAAATTTTTAATCTCCTTTGACCTTGTGGAACAAACTAGGTATAGAATTGCTATTACACTTCAGCTCTAGGAAACAGAAACTTACGGTGCTACCAACTTTGAAAATGTGACGAAGCTCAAGCTCGGTTGGGAAGTGCTCCCACAGTTACCGCCACCTGGGCACCCACGCCGAGGCGTATATTCCAGCTTTGCACGGCTTGTCGCCTGGCATTATGTGCCACATCATCTTTGATGCATACTGGGGTTACCATCCAGTAGTAAACAAAGGAACATCGACAACAGGATAGACTTATTACTGAGAAGCCAGTTGTACTTGCTCTCCTCTTTCGATCCATTTATCATGTTCGATGCAAGCATCGTTGCGACTGCTTAAGGGGTTCAGGCCTACGATTGGCCCTCTCAAACCGGTCCTCGTGCGTATATCGAGTGCACTGGCAAGTGCATCGCCCTACTTTCAACTCAAAATTCCAATGCAGGAACAATTATTCTATTGAAATCACAACAGTGCGCTCGGTGGCAAAGTTGTGTCTTCCCAGCCTTGATAATCTGGATCTCGGATGGTCTCCCTCCTGACCGTTGTCGTCACCATTATTCCTCCATGCTCGACCTCTTCCACCTCGCCAGAGGGTGCCAAAGCTTTCGGAAGCACTTCGACCATGCTCGTCGTACCAATCTGTCTTCTCACCATTTCCTGTTGATTTCTCTCTCCTACTGGAAACGCCTGGACTTTCTCAATCCATGAGACCCGCTCCCCAGGTGTTGGCCCTAAGCCTCCATGCAGTAGCACAGGCTGCCCTGGATGCGGCTCTGATGGCGTCAGGAATTCGTGAGATACAGTCCCATCGCTGCGTATCTGGCTCCTATTTGACGTGCTGCTGCTTTGTCTCGAATGGCTCGATTGTTTATCTTTCTTGCGGCTTGTCTTTCGCAACAATTTGCATAGATTCAGGAAGGACGGTAAGGTCGAGTATAGCACCAGCGCATCGGCCTCCGCCACTGACCAAAGAAGTGGCACAGGGTAATCATCTGTAGTAGACTATTAATGGTTTGGGAGAACAACAAGGGAGCTGTGGATGAATTACTTGTAATGTCGTGACTGATATGAACAACGACCGCTGCGCGGCCAACAGTTGTCACTAAGACCCTGTGCACTTTGAGTCAGTGTTGCTCCAAATTGCGTATCTGTGATTCAGTCTCTCATAGACTGACTTACAAGGAAACGCCCAACAGACTGAGCAACGGGCCAATCTTTTCAACCAGCGGCAGAGATCGTCTTTCCCAGAGCGCAAGGATGGGCTGGAAGAACAAGACAACGTCGAAGATGAGGTTCAACGTGAACCCAGTAAACCACATCGGCCTCTGCTCGAAGCAGACCCCATTAAGCCTCACAATGACCTCGTCCTCGCGAGGCTGACATGAAAATAGGGACACAAGGGTCTCTTCAGCGCCCTGCACGATGAGCAGTGCAATCAACATTCTTTTGAGAAGCAGTCTTGTTTGGCTCTTGTTTCGGTCGAGGACTCGGAGGTAGTGATCCAATATAGCCGCCTTCGCCAGAATTAAGCACATGCTGTAGCTTATTCCCGCTCCTATCGCAATCTGTTTTTGCAGTTAGACGCCATAACGTGACTGTCGCAGCAAAAGCTTTTGCTTGCCTTGACGAAGACGGATAGACGCTCCGGATCAACCTCACTCAAGTGCCTCCCAAGTCCAAAGGCGGTCACTTTGTCGCGTCGTTAATTATCTGGCGGCGATTATTCCATTGGGGGCGGGACCGTCGTTTGCACTTACTGAGACATACGCTCACGTTGAGCACGAGGGCAAAAAACTGAAAGGTCAACTGATGTTCTCGACATCACGGTAGAAGGTCTGCGTACGAAGCTTAGGAGTATGAGACCTAATTGACAGAAGTTGTCAGTTTCTGTTCACATGATAGGGACATCTCGTTCGCATCCCGGTCGTGTCTCGTCAAATTTCTGAGTACACCATGGCATGGCATACAATGCTACTATTCCCTCCAGTGGAGTCTCTATAGGCGCACCTGAAGATTTCCACAAAGTGGGGCACTGATAAAGAAAAGGTCCGATGAAGTGCCCATTGACAGGTGGGGCTGGTGTAGAGAACTCTGTATTGTTTGCTTACCGTCTTCCAGCTCAAACGCTCTCGTGACTGCCGCTTTCACCCCGATCCGCGCGACGAGGACCAGGCTCGTCAAAGTGAGGAGACATATTGGCGTGATAAAGGCCACCGATATCATTTTGTCCTCAGACATCCTCCATCTGCGCCGTCTAGTGGACGTACATCGCGATACGTGCCACGGCTTTCGTCAGGCTGGAATTGTTCGACGGAGGTAGAGGAATATACCGAAGGTGGGGACGCTGCACGTCGTCCAAAGAGCAGCGTCTGAGGCACCGCTGTTCTCTTTTGAATGTCAGCAGCCCAGGCGCGGCCATTGAGTCAAAAGAGTTGCAGTCTGGCAGCGCTAGAACGAACTTTCTTTTGGGCAGCTGCATTGGCCACAATGAGTACATGGACTTTTATGATTTCCAGCGTAATTCCCATCCCCAATCAGCGCACAGAGCCGCGTAAATAGAGTTTGCGCGACTCAGACACCTCATGTTTGCGCTAGGAACAGGCCGGTTTCAGCTAAAGTCTACCAGTCTGTTCGGTCTATTCTGTGCCCACCGACCCAGCTGTAATCAACTTCAGAAGATGTTGGCCGTTGTATTTATAATGTTAAGGACACCGGCCAAGGCTTTGTCGGAACCTGCCGAGCACTGAGTAGTGACAGTTCCAATGCATTATGTACTTCTTAGTGGAGAATCGCTAATTCTGCAGCGGCGATCAATCATACGTTCGACAATGCTGGTGAGTTGCAGCGTGTGTTGACGGTGCGTGCCCTACTGCATACGAGCAGTGAGGAACAAATGTCTTCCTCCCGTAGTCGTGATCCAGGAGAGCCCGAGGAAGACAGATCTACACTGCATCTGCTCCACTTTCTGACCATTGCCGGCATCCAACCCCTGATACGACAGGTTCACGCCTATCACTTACTCAGCGTTGTCATTTAATTCACACTCAGATGAAGTCGGACCCGGGCAATGCTCTGTCAAATGGCTCTGGTCGATTCTCATCGGCTAGATAATGCCGAACCATTGCTGGCATCTATAAACATGGCATCTCGCCTCCCAACACACGCACATGCACCTAGTGGCCACAAAGCTTGTCGGGCCTGCTCACAGGGACCCCTCAGGCTCTCTGCCACCTCACCAGGGAACCTCGGACCCATCATAGCTGTAGAACTTCCCATTGTCGCCCTGCTTTGCCCCGTGCAAAACCTTCAACACGCCGGCAATGCTCTCTGCCGGCTCCAGCACCGCACCGTCCCCGCCCATCCGAGTCTTCACCCACCCGGGGTCTACCGCGAGCACCACCACCCCAGGTAGTCCCGCCTCCTTCAGGTCCGAGGCCTGGTGTACCGTGAGCATATTCACACCTGCCTTGGAGATGCTGTAGGGCAGACATTTGCGGGGCGTTATCCCCTGAGACTTGGTCAAGCTGCCCAGGCCGGACGTCATGTTTAGAATCCGCACGTCTGGGCCCAGCGTTCCGCTGTTTAGGAGCAATTGTGTTGTCGTCGCGAGCCCGATGACATTGGCTTGTAGATTTGTGTGGAGCGCGTCTACACTCATGGACAAGCAGGTCTGTTCCGGGTGGGCATTGACACCTGCGACGTGCAGGAGAAAATCGATCTTACGGCCGGCTAGGACCGAGGTCACTTCCGACGTAAAAGATGCGATGGACTCAGGATCGCTGGTGTCGCAGACTAGAATGTGTGTTGAGGGAGAAACTACAGACTTGAGATCGCTCAGGTCTGTGGAGGCATTGCGGACGGTGGCAATGATGGCGTTGGATTTGTTCGCGGCGAGTTGCCGGACAAATTCGAGGCCTAGGCCTCGATTGGTGCCGGTGATGCAGTATACTTTGTCGCTCATCGTGATTTCCAGTGCCTGGTTGGGCTATCAAGTGAATGGCCAGCAGTATCCATGCGTTTCTGTCGTGTTTGTGTGAGATTGCTGTCGATGATCTATTCTGGCAAGAACATGAGACGACACGGTCTTTCTCGCGTGCTCGCGTGCGACAAGAAATGTCAATGTCCTTATAAGGCTATATTGATGATTCATAGCAAGCCTGCTATAGTGCAGTGTCGGATTGGTAAGTCAAAGTGATGTCAGATCTGCAGAGCTACCCGGTCTATTTCACCGGCAACACGGGCCGAGTGTATCCCCAAAGACCAAACCGCTCGCAACCATCTCTCTGCCTGTGTCCCTGTGTTGCCGTGTGACTGCTTCGGCGATCTTTTGTGATCGCAAAGCTTACTAATTACAAATATTGCACCGCTGTTCAACGGCAAGCTCCAGTCAGCCAATTTCGGCTGTCGATGCCAGTGTGGCCGGCGAGCGTGGACGATTTGCTCGCAGAAGGTACTTAAGTAGCGCAGCTGCAGTGTCAACACATTGAGGGCGGCTGTTCAGGTTTCCCTGAGTTTTATTCCAAGTTACAACCGAAATCATTTTGTCTCGCTTGTTTTCTTTTTAAGTTGAAACTCCCAGGGCTTCACAGCACCTCTCAATGCTGGCCGTCTGCTGTTCCTCATACAGCTTCATCTCATCGATCATCCCCTCTTCACCCAGAATCTCCCTCAGCTGCCGTTTCGATTCGGAGAGAGCGTGTTCAGGTGACTTCTGCACCTTGACTGCTGAATCGTGGTGCAGGTTACTCTGGAAGATTCCGGCTGCTGACAATGGCAAGAAATCCTCGTACTGTATCGGCTGCCACACAACCAGTCCCTTCTCGACGGCCTCTTGCAGTGTTTTGGCACCGCTAGACTTTCCTTGCTCCTTTCCTTTCTCGGTGAGGCCGTACTCGACCCAGATGAGCCCTTTGCTCCTCAAAGCTTCCCAGTCGTCGGGCAGTGACTTGTCGAACAAGTCTCTGAAAGCAAGCTCTTTGCCTTCCACCAGCAGCTTTGCTCGCATCGCCTCGGACATGGCTTCGTCATACTGTTTCCTCCCCTTAGAGGTCAGCGCAGCCCCTCGTTGCTCAATCTCTCCGAAGCGTGCACTATGGCTGCCTCTCGTTCCCTTGTCTGCTGCCTCGTCAAACACGATACCCTCGTCAACTGCCAGAAAGCTCGTCTGCCTCAGCAGAACGTTGCAGTTGCGCTCCGGAGGTCCTTCAACCCGATCCTTTGGCTGCAGACCGACATTTGGCATACCCTTCTGGACGGCGTCGATATTCATTGTCGCAGGAGTGAGGTGGTTCAGATGTGGGTTACGAAAAGCCATGATATCGATGAGTAAATCTCCATTCATGTCGGCCTTGAGTGTGTCGTAATCTTTCTTTGTCAGAGACACTTGATTTCTCCAAGCGAGTGTCTCACAGCCCCCTTGAATGAATTCATTTGCTTCCGAGGCAGTCAATCCCCCTTTTGAGTGAGCAAGGTCTGCAAGATCGATCGTCCTCTGGCTAAAGACTGAAGAACGCTTGCTGAGGAGTGATCTGGCGAGCGGCTGTAGCGACTCAGTAAGCAGTTCCGGCCGCAAGACCGAAACGAACAACCGGAAGGGCGCTACTGAAAGACCTTCTTGCGTTATTGGTCTGAAGGCTGTGGCATGAATCGGTAACCCGGCTGCTGAGAGGTCGTAATGACCAACAGAGACCATACCCATCACTTTGAAGAATTTTGAGGCTACTCTCAGCTCAGAAAGCGAGGCAAGACGCACGGCGCCATGCCGAGGAAAGTCTGTCAGGGCAATTTTCGTGTCGGAGCTGCTGTTGACCTTGTCCACCAATGTCTGTAGAGTTGCGTACTGTGGTACTTCTTGGCGGTACATCCGCGACAGCGCTTTCGCAAAGTCCAGCCGCAGCTGTGTAGTTGTCATTAACGATGACATGATCGTGATGACCAATTCTACCGGAACGAGTGATGTGAATTATCTGTGTTCGGGCTTTTAGGCCCAATGATCGCGCCTCAGGCTCCCGGTTAGTTGTCTTCAGACCAGAATGCAGCTGATACGGGCGTGGATGCCTTCACAGGTGATTTAAGATGAATATCTTGTCTTGTCGCACCTTGTGATCTGGTGACACATCAAGCAGTGCAGAGGAAGTGATTTACCTAATCAAGAGCCGCGCAACGGAAGCAAAGAATATGCGAGAAAGTATCATCCATTAGAATATGAGAAACGAGTCTTTCCTTTAGACGGTTTTCTTCCGGTGCCGCTCTACTGACAGATGAAGGGCGCTGGTCCTGCCAGCACTTACACCGAATTGGAAAAGAGACGAGGACCCTGCATCCGAAAACAACTTCCGCTCTCCCGATCCGCTTCCGAGCATTGTAGCGGCTCCCCGCACATATCTCCGACGCTGACCGGTAGAGCCGTATGATGTTCGACAGCTCAGATCACTGATGACATGCTTGGGCCGCTTTCTGGCAGGTTGAGTGCTGGCATGCCGCAAATACATAGCGGTGTTGCTTGCCTCGCTGCAACATGCCTGCAATCAAGTGGAAACAGGATCATGTGTCGTGACTTCAATATGCCGGTTGTAGCCGCCAATGGATAAGCTACGCTTACGGAACCGAGACTCTCCAGCTGTATCCAGGAACTCTGCCATGCATGCATGGTTCTTATCGATCCAAATTCTAGCAACACATGGTCGAATCACTGCAAATCATCTTGATAAAGAGGCCGGTTTCGCAGCCTATTCACTCAACACTGTCAAAAAGCCGCCAACGGTATCGGCAGGGAAGCCGTGATTCAAGTCCCCTCATGGGTCAACTTGTCAACCCCAAATTAGCCTTATTTCAAAGCTGGTCATTTAGGGCTTTAAACTATGTACACTTGAGCCACCTGCTTTCGCAAGTTGGAAATATTCACATGGAATCCTCCGTCCCCAAGACCTTCATACCGTAGCTCAGCCACAACACGTCCGGTGTGTTTTAGATATAAGCAGCGTCTACCCAGTCGGTGTAGTCGCTGCCTAGGATATCACCAATTTCCAGCGCCGCAGTCAACTTCGTCTCGAAGTCACGGTCACCAGATGCACCATTGCCAGTGTTGTCAAATTCTCCATAGACCACGCCATCAGTACGAGGATCATCGTCATTCCAAGCCTTCCACCCGGCACTGTTGATAAGGTCTGGGAGCTCCGTACGTTGGAAAGCCACACGTGCGTTCTCTCCCCATGGACGACCAAGATATACCTCAGCGGCGGACACGTCAGCACCAGATGCCTTCGTCACCGTGGAGTCCGTGATCACGTAATAGCTGGCCGAAGACTCGCTTGTACGGCCGCTCGCCGTGATGCATCCGGCCCCTGCAACTCCCAAGGTCGAGTTCGTGATCCAAAGTGAGCCCTCACGGCCGAAGATAAAGTCGGTGGCGCCCTCGATGTAGCTGTTTGCGAATATTTGGGTCCCCTCCCAGGTGAGAAGAGTGTCCTGGTAACTGTAAAGACCGACGCCGTAGTAACCTTGTTGCTCCTTGTTATACGCCATTACTGCCACGGCCTGGGATCCCTTGCCATATGTGTTCTTGATGTCGATGTTGTAGATGGAAACATTGGCACCTTGGTTATCAAGGGTGGCAGTAGCCTCATTGTTGGAAGCACCGAGGGCCTGGCTCATCTTGTATTCGAGGCTGACAACATTGTTGGTGTAGGACGAAGTATCGGTGGTTTCTCCGTAGATAGCCAGATTTTTTGTAGACGAGGGGATTTTCACCTAATACTACTGTGAGTCTACTACAAGTAATTCTGGCCAAACTTGTGGGAGCCACTGACCTGCTCGGTGTAGGTATCTTTGTAAATGAAGATACTACCAGTCGATGTAGCATCCACGGCATCTTGGATCTTCAAGAGGTCAGCAATCTACGTGTCTGGATGTTTGAAATAGAGAACACTTGCCGTACTATAGTCGCAACTCTTGGAGCACACGGTGACTGCTCCTTCAGGCGGGGAAGATCGTGCTGCGGCAGAGACCGACGCGACCAGCGCGCTTCCGAGAAGAACGGACTTCATCCTGATCAGAAAGGGCTGGGTTGAAACTCAGCGTCGGTCACGATCTACCTCAAGGAGATCTGTCCAAGCGATGTAAATCACAGCAAGGGACGCTCGCCCTGATCAACGCGGCCCGAAGAGCTTATATTCATACTGGGTGGATACTTGGACCTATCCTTGCCGCAAAAGGGGGTGATCGCTGCAGTTACAGCACAGCGCCTGGACACTTCCACAGCCATTCGGAATGTTTTGAGACGCACTCGGTGAAATCTTCCTACATCAGCTGTGGACTTTCCGGACATTTGAAATCTCCCACATAGCAGCTGGTCTTGCCGTCCTGTTCTGTGAGTGGTTTAGTGCGCCTGGTCTGATTAAGGGGGTTTGTGGGTCGGAACGGGATCTCGTCATACGGCCATGAGCTCGTGGAGTTGTCCCACCATTCAGCGAACGAGATGGTGATTTTCCAAAATTTTGCGGGGTTTTACACATGAGCAGAAGCCTCCAAGCAGAATACATCACGCTCGACGACATCTCATGAGTCTCTTTAAAGCCGTCTTTGGGAACGAAGGAAGCACAAGACTGTGAGTACGTGAACCTTTGTGTAAAATATACATTATCTATTGTCAATATCTTCGTTGTCTTCGACCCCGTCTCTTCCCGGGTGTGGTCGCATGTGCATCGAAGCATTTATATAGTTGCAAGAGTTATCCTCAGATTCGCCCTCAGGTGCTCACAGTGGTATTCCTCCCCAGAATGTAAGGCAAAACTCTGTTATCCGTGAAAGCCCACAGCAACGGCGAATAATCAGACGCCCATGCGTTCCCCGTCCAGTAAGTATTCTTGTGGCCCTGCAATCCGTACAGATTCTTGTAGAAACCGGACTGAATCGATGCCGTCGGGACATTGAGACCGAGCAGCGCATGTTCCTGCCAAACTGCGAATATGTCCTCCGATGGACCCGTAGAGCCGCCAAGTTGTAAAGTTGCCAGGGATTTATCGATCTTAGAGACAGCATCATACACCAAACCCTGTGCTTTCGTGGAGTCGGCTTCACCGATGACCTTGACGGTCTGATAACCTGGCACACCGACGGTTTCAAGGCGCCAGACATAGGGAACTAGGGGTAAGTTGCCCACTGATGATGTATCGACGTTGATAAAGTTCGTCAGATCAGGTAGCCCAGTTTGCCTCGTAACGCCCACATAATATGGCACGTGCGACCACTGCTCGAATAAATTCGTCTCTTCTTCATCGAGGTCGAACCCGGCAAGGTTGTCCAACGTGGGAGGGATCGTAATAAGAACCTTCTTCGCCTTGATTGTCTCACCGTCACCCAAGTTGACGTTGGTGGTCCCATCTTTGTTGCGTGTGGTTGATACCACCTTGTTGTTATACACCACTCTGTCGCCGAGCCACGCGGCAGCTGCATCATAAACCACCTGGTTGCCGGCTGGTGCATACACATATCCACTCGCCAAACCAAGGATATGAGCCGTTCCAAAGTTTTGGACAACATACAGGGTAGGGGCCTCAAGGAGGTTCCCAACAGTGTGGGCGAACGTGAAGATGACCGAAACCACGTCACTGATATTGTACTTGGCAACAAACTGGCCAAAAGGCATCAACAAGTCCTCGGGAACTGGGTCAGGCAGGTCAAAGGTCCCCTCGTTGAGGAATGGGAAATTTGTCGACATTACCCCCAAATAGTGGGTGAGCGGCTCGATCAGGGTAAGTGGATCCGGATATGTGGCATTTGGAATCACTACGCCTGCTTTGAAGTCGGCCACGTAGGTTTTGAAGGGTGACGTTGTTGATGCATTGACCGGGATATCAAATCGGCTGAAGAATGCCTTGGTCTGGTCGTTGTTGATGTACGCTTGTACCCCGTAGTCTACTGGCAGATTCGTTGCTGGATCATAGAATGTGTCGACATGGCCACCCAGATGATCCGATGCTTCGATGACAGAGACCGACAGATTGCCCTCCTCGATCGCGCGCCACGCTGAGTAGACGCCTGTCGCGCCGCCTCCGATGATGACGAGATCGCGATGAATTAGGCCTAGTTCTATCAGCACATTTGACCTGAGACATACGGTACACACTTTTCGGAGCGTTTTCTTACCAGAGCCCTGTCCAGACCCTGCATTAGAGCCTGAGCTGGAGCCTTGCCCTGAGCTTGAACCTGAGCCTGATCCAGACCCGTGAGGGGCGGAGCATCCATGAGGCTGTTTGAAATGCTTGCCTGGAGAAGCTGCAGTCAGCAACCCAGATGTGAGCAGGAGACCTGCTTGTAGGGGCCTGAAGAACAGCATCTTGCGAAATTTCACTGTCCCAGCTTGACTCCACGATCAAGTGAACACAGAGAAGATATCGCTTAGCAACAATAGATCAACTGGCGGTTTTGAAAAGCGAGCGGCAAGCCTCTGTTGCTTCCGGACAGAAGCTAGAACTAGAGGGTTATGGGATTACATTGACCATCATAGAGGTTGGGATGACTGGTGTCCGATGATTTCATATGAATTAGGTAGGAGCATATTCGGGACAGTCGGAAATTTTACTGAAAGTTTGAGGACAATAAACATGTTCGTCGAGTCTTATCTGGGGGCTTACAAGGCTTGGCAAATTAGATTCAGCTCCAATATAGTCTAATCCGTCGTTGCGTGGAGCTCAAGCTTGGTCCTAAGTAAACTCAAATCGGGAAACGGAGTCAGTCACCTTGGCTCCGGCTTGATGGGGAAAGGATTCATGACAATGTCAAGTCTTTGTCAAATCTTTTAATAAGTCCAACAGGGCCACCATGTGGCATGAATGTGGCATGACGGGGTTTTGGCGCCTTGTAATCAAACGATAAATCTTCGGAGCGATGTACAGCTACTAAACGGTAGCAGAATGACGTTCTGGGAGGCCGGTCACACAGTCACTGCATGGAATCGCCAATTTTGGCAGTCAACGATTCACGTATTCGTAAATGACAGCTATTCAGCAGGCAGGTAATTGAGGTGCTGGGCATAACGGGCGGATCCTAATTTCTTGTAAGGCTATCCTGGAGTATAAACTACTCCGAAGGGCGACTTCGGTACGTGGCTTTACTCCGCGGCCGGTAGCACGTTGACGAACCCGTCATTTTAATAGAACCAATTGTTTCAACTCGATAAATGAGCTGCAATCTTTTTCCGCCGTTCTACCTACCGCGACGACCGAAGCCTTTGATGTATACACCGACCTCTGTCGCATGAACAATGTTGTGCAACTCCTCGGATCAAGGAGAAGGTCAACTTCTATGCTGATGCTGATGGTCAATATTTGTTTCTTAAAGTTGATATGTCTTATTCGTAGATCAAGATTAGTAACAGGAAGAGGAGGTCGTCTACTGGTGGAAGCCCGGGCGTTCTACGAAGCAAGGGCGGCTCTTTCTTTGCACGCAAGAGCCTAGTCACCAGAAATTGTCGATTGCGATCACTTGCTGCCTTTCAAGGGAAATGGACAGAAAATGGGCGTGAATCGATTGCGATACTGCAAGACAACAGAGCGATAGGCTTGTTGAAAGCAGCAGCACTAACTTAGAAGATGGTGAACTGTTGGCTCTCTCCGCCCTGTGTCAAAACTCCCTGTTGTTGCCGCCTTGACGTCGGAATACGTGCAGCCCGGCCGCCTCGCGGCTTGTGAGTGATTCGGGCTGACTCGATAGGTACAAGTGACATCGTATAATTGTTTACGACTAGACTTAGTCTCTTCTACTACTGTCGTTCCCCACCCTCCCTCGTGTCTTTCAGATCTTTGTTAGCCCTCTCTGCCTGACTTCAAGCTCGACATGTTACGATTGATGCCCTCGAAGGGTCTAGATCTGAACAATTCATGGCATTTGAACAATATCATTGGAGTCTACGTGGAACCTAGCAATGAGTCCAGAAATTCGGATCGGTGCAGGGCTCGCGAGGGCTGATATCTTCGACGCTACCGTGGTCCTTCATTGATTCAGGCTACATGCACTGCCTGCCCATCCCGCTCCTCATCATCCAGAACCTTTCCACCATCGACGCCGGTCCGCTCTTCTGATGTCAAATGATGCGCTTGCATTTTTCTCGCGCGGCTGAACCTTGGGATAGTGTCCTTAGTGGCACCGGCAATAATGTTGTCTTTGAAGAGGAGGTTGATGCTTTCGAGTGGGACGCCCTTGGTCTCCGGGACGAAGAAGACGGCGTACAGGAGTGCTAGGATGCAACAGGCGCCGAACAGCAGGAACGTCCCATAGGTGATGCTGTCGAGCATTATTGGAGTGAGCTTTGCGATGACGAAGTTGAAGAGCCATTGAGTCATCAGAGACGCGGCCATAATTAGGGAGCGCACTGGTTGGTTGTGTTAATTTCTTCGTATTCCCGGACGGGACTGGGGTAGAATTGCCTACCATGATTTGGAGAACATTCAGATGAGAGCACGTAGGGTATAGGGCCCCAGCCAAATGAGAAGAAGACAACAAATAGGTACACGCAAATAATAGCGAAGATGTTGTTGCCTGATAGGCTCGTATCGGTGGGGTGTACGGCTTGGTTTATGCCAATGTAGAACATGGCAAAAGCTTGACCAGCAGCGCCACAGATGAGGGACCACTAACGAAAATAGGTCGTCAGCAGTTGCGTTCATGCTAAGTAAATTGTGTACCAGGAACTAAGACGCAGAGACTTACCTTTCTTCCAGCTTGCTCAACACCAAACATCAAACCGAGAGAAGTAAACACAACCTTGACGACACCGTAGATGCCCGTGGCGAAAAGACCCGCAGAGCTACTCGTCAATCCAACACTCTTGAAAATCTGGGGGCTGTAATAATTAATCGAGTTCGTCCCAGTCCATTGTTGCCAAAACATCAAAATGACAGCCAGAGACGATTGATATAGCATCTGTTTGCTGGAGAAAGCGAGTCTCAATTGCTGGGTAAGAGAAAGCTTCTCCTTGCCCTCAAAGTCTGTAATAATCTCTTCCAGCTCCTCACGAATAGTAGGGTCGTCAGTCGGGCGAGCGCGCACACGGGATAGGGCTTTTCTAGCCTCATCGATGCGGAATTTCTCAACGAGCCAGCGCGGCGACTCGTTCTCGAATATGACCAAGAGTAGGAGAGCCCCGGGGAGGATCTGCAGAGCAAATGGGATGCGCCACTTTGCTGAGTCGGTGGGGCTCGTAATGTGGATGCTGATGCCGTAGTTGACGAAGTAACTGAGCATTATCCCGGTGACATTGAAAAGTTGCATGCTGCGTACGGTGAAATGTCAGCGCGGCTCGCAGAGATACAAATATCTATCCCAGAGAAAGAAGATAAGATGTTGTTGGGGGTGCATACCATCCAATACACCTCCCACGAATCTCCCTGTTGGCATTTTCACCGATGTAGGTGGGGACGACCGCGCTGATGAGGCCGACGCCGAAGCCTCCTATGAACCGGCCAATATAGAGCTGCGTGAGGTCTGTTGTACCGAGGCCGGAGCAGGTTTGAATGACGGAGCCGATGATGAAGATTAAATCGGCGCTGATGAGAGACCATTTTCGACCAATCTTGTCACTGAGCCAAAACGAGGCGGCAGCACCGAAGAAGCAGCCTCCTTGCAGAACGGACACGATGTTGCCCTGCAAGTTAGCAAAAGAGGAACTCTTGCTGTCAAGGTTAAAGGAGTGCTGAAAGGCATCCATCGTCAAGACGCCACCAATGAGCCCCGTGTCCCAGCTGTTGGCGAAACAAATAAGTCAGCACACCATAATGGGCATGTATAACGACCCAACACCCTGACCCATAGCATCACGGACGCGCAGATTCAGTGGACTCACCCGAAGAGCATGCCGCCAAAAGATGCTACGGCCGTCAGCCAGTAGGTCCTTCGATACGCCTTGATATCCTCCCATATCGTCGACTTCCGAGGCGCCTCGGACGCGGAGTGCACAGATGACATGGCTGCTGCGAGTTATCGAGTCGTCTGAAACTCTGGAGAGCAGGAAACGAGACGCTCAAGCTTCAAGATGTGGACAGGCTGCCAGACGACATTCGGAAAAGAAACGAAATGCCAATGTCGGGATCCAGATGTGAGATGTACAGATAGACTTTTTTCCTCTCTTACGACACCCAACAAACATGCATGTAGCAGTGTCTGCCATTCGGTCCTTTTCTTGGCCGAGGTGCATTCAAGATGGGGCGGTTTTCTCCGCGAACGTCATTGAGGTTCCGACTTCTTCCCCGCGCGAAGGCCGACTCTACGCCGGCTCCACCGCCTGACCCCATGGAGAGCGCGGCTTACCCACCTGGGGAAACCTTGGACGACTCCACAACGCCCCCACGACGAGCACGACGACACCCCTGCAACAGCCCGTTACTTGAAGTCGACCAAACGAGCTGTGCAGAATTGTGAGTCAGTATGCTCCGCAAATAATGCAGGAATCGTCCCATGTGACCATCCTTCGTCTGTTCAGAGGCTGGTGGTGTTCCTAGATTTCGACTCTCTGCCAAGTTTGAGCGGAGATCGAAAGCCAAGTTATCAAATGTGATATTGCGCAAACTCCCACTGAGCTTGGCCGATCCGTGCCTGCACCACAGCGTCGATCTCTGCTCGAGGTTGAGCTTGTAGCAATCCCAAACGTTAGCGTACAGCTCCAGAGAAACAAGTTCAGCCATCCCTATAGTCACTATATAATATGCAATAACACTATGGCAACAATGCTCTTCACAAATTTTGGGAACATAACGAGTGCTCACGCCGTCACTACGCCAGGCCAAGCAATTCAATGGACATTCAATGACACTCCTGGAATTACGCCCAGACAACCTCGGATATATGACTCCCGTCCGCCAGGAGCGCAGCATGCTTTCGGTAACATCCGACAGCAAGCGGTGAGGACTGCGCGTCGCGATGGATCCAGTTGGCACCCACTTCCCGATCTTCCAGCATCTAGATAAGTGGCTAGAGGATTACAAATTCGAGGTTCGCCCTGATAACGGCTTCTTCACGAGCCAATACCTGCCTGGGATTAGTTTGGCATGCAATAAGCGAAAAGGAGGACCTCCTGTTGGCTAAGAATATGCTCTTTTCTGTAGTGAGCTTATGTCAGTCGCTTAACGACGTCTTCGCCGGTGGCTTGATTTCAGCTCGTTCCCTATCTGACTCTGACGCATGTAATCGAGGCCCGACTGATTGCCCTCAAGGTTGGGAACCCGTTGGTACACACGAAGGCAAACTCATTCTCGGATCAGTTATATAACTGTTTTCTAGACAGATTTTTCATTCCCAGGAGCTGAAACATTTGTTGCTTAATGGATACCGGCCGCTGCGAGCATCACTGCGACAAAAGCACACGGACGACTTCAAGTAGAATGGCAACACCGAGCACTTAGAATTTCTACCCAGCACCAGACTCAATATGAAAACATGCTTCATCGTAACATTCTCTTTATTGGTTATCCATTCTTTAGTATCTACCACATCACATCAGACATTCAAACAGGTTCTGGAATGTGGAGTGGATCCAATGAATGCTGAGGCATTGAGTTGAATTAGATTGCATTATGCACCTATTTACGATGATAGCTGACTGGTTGCGCCATGACAATGTAATCCTGCGTGTCAAAATCATCTCTTTGTATCATTTGCGACTGCACAGGTACTTTTCTTTGGGTAGCTGGAGTTCTAAGGGATTCCACGGACACGCCGGTAGTCGAGTGATCAATCATCGGTGTGCCATGCGAGCACGCCTTTTTCGTCAAGGGAGGTAATCTATCATGTACCGGGGCATTAAACTCGACTTTCTGGAGAATTGCGCCTTGAAACACTGAATCTCGGCCTGAATGGGAGACGACGAATGTATCAAGATGAAGCACAAATACCAAAAATTACATCTCGATCCTCATACGCTTTTCACCTCCTCCCATGTCGATTGACATAGTCACGAACAAAGTCCCGAGAAAAAATCCCAATCCCCTTATCTGTTCTTCAGTTTGGCCTACTGTTACTGAAATCATCGTAAGAAGGAGTCGGAGGAAAGCAGTTCTTCGAATCCTATGTTTTCTTCCAAACGTGACCAGCAGTGCTTCATTTTCTGGTGTTTCTGCTCACACACAGCGTTTCAGTATGAAACAGTTTCAAGACTTTCTGCAGATTTAAACTTGAGACGGGTGAAACCCTCGAAAGTGTGGGTGAGCAGACTTGTTTTACTTGGACAGCGAGCCTCACATGAATGAGCTATGGCAATCCCGTGGGCTCGAGAAATAAAAAACTAAAGGGCCATTGTGAGGAGAACCAAAAAAGACTCTACTTTTCTCTGAGAACGGACGTATTTAGTATGTACGGTCTCATGCTTATTCAAACGCCATGCCAGCACCTACCTGTGTAGACTCTTCACCAACGCGATAAACCCACTCCTAACATCTTCTCAACAATTATCTAGCACAACCACCCCCTTTTCTTTCCAATGCGGTCAAAAGACATTCCCTACTCCGGCCTCGCCCATCACATTACAACCGAGGCCCACGCCCTACCAGCTAGCTTCCCGTGCTCACCACCCAGGAACAACCTTGGCCTTGCACCACACCCCGTGCAGCGGCTTGCTGGAGAAGCTCCCACCAGAGAGCGGCACCCTGCTCTCGTCCATGTCGCGCGGGTCAGCCAGCTCCCACTGGAAGCGGCCGACCCAGCACGCGACGACGGTCAGCATCTCGGCCTTGGCGAAGTTGCGGCCCAGGCAGTCACGCCCGCCGTGGATGAACGACAGGTGCGCGTACTTTGTGCTGGCGCCGCCCGTGGAGTCGTACCTGTCGTTCCCCTCGTCGTAGAAGCGGTTCGGGTTGAAGCTAGGCCCGTCAGGGCCCCACAGGTCCGGGTTGCGGTTCGTGCCCGTGACGGAGAGGATAACCTTCGTAGTGGCGGCGACAAAGTGGCCCATGATGGTCGTGTCCACCGCCGCCGTGCGCATGATCATGGGAATCGGCGGCCAGTAGCGGATGACCTCGTGGCAGAAGGCGTTGAGGAGGGGCATGTTCTCGATCTCGAGGGCCTCGGCTAACGGGACTGCGCCGGTGGCCCTCGGCGAGGGCAGCTTCGCCCTCACCTCGGCACGCAGCTTCTCCTGCCACTCCGGGTGCCTGCACAGCTCGTACATGGCCCACGTCATGGCCACCGAGACGGTCTCGTGGCCTGCGCCCAGCATCGTCATCATCTGGGTCACCACGTCGTCCTCCTCGAGCTCCTTGTTGCGGTCGCGGATCAGCGCCGACACAATGTCCGAGTCGTGCAGGTCGCCGCGCTTGTACCTGTCGCGCTTCTCACGCAGCGTGGCCCGACACACTTCCCGAACCACGCGGGCCGCGTTACGCACCTCGGTGTTGTGCTTCATTGGAATGCGATTGACAATGTTTGGTGGGATGATAAACTTGAGGACGCTCAAGATCTGAAACATGCGCGTGGGCTCGAAGACAGTGCGATAGTTCTGGATGAGGTGTGAGTCGGGATTGGCGATAGCCTCAAAGTCGACGCCAAGCGCTGCCTTGGAGATGACGTCCAGAGCAGTGAAGCCTGCCAACTCGCCGATCTCTGTCTTGTCACTGTATCCGTCAGATTGTGTGTTGGCTGTGCTGGCGGTGAAGTTCATGAGTTTTTCGGTTGCCTCGACTGCTTTGGACCAGTAGATAGGTTGCTGGGCCCGGATATGCTTCATAGCGAAGGATGGGAGCAAGAGGCGGCGCTGGCGCTTGTGCTCTTCCCCGTTCACCAGCACGACACCGGGTCCGAGGATTGACTGCGCGATGAACGACAGGTGAATGGGCTGGATAAAGTCGCTCACCCGCGTCAGGACTTCGGCCAGACCCTCTGGAGCAGCGACGACGACACGCTCGCAGTTGAACAGACCCAGAAAACGAAAGACACCATCGTGTTTCAGCGTGCGGGACCTATGAGGCGCAATGATGTTAGGGGGTGTTTGGACCATCATATGCTGAAGGTTAGGCACTCACCACTCCGCTGGACCAGCTCCATTACCCTCGCTAAAGGTGCGGCCACCGTACCCAAACCACCAACTTCTGCCTTCCTATATATCACGTTAGTACTGCCTTTCACAATGCGATCCCCAAGTCCACGCAACAATCAATAATCAGGCCACTCACGGTAGGCTCAGGCAGGTGTCGCATCTTGGAAAGATACTTGGGCTTCAGTATCAAGCGGTACCAAAGCCAGCCCCAAAAGTGCAACCACCACGAAGCCCAGAAGAATACAAGGTAGCTGTTGAGGTAGCTATCCTTGAGGAAGGCGGGCGTGTACGAGATTGTGGGACCCCATTTGCGCCAGACAGCAGCCAAGATGAAGGCATCACCAGCCGCCGCCAGCGTGACCAGCTTCATAGGCTTGGAGAAGAAGTCATCCATGGTTGCTGGTGTTAACTGATTGGTCGCCTGGAGGGTACTGTGTCCTGGGAACCTGCAAGGCTGAGGCTTTCAGGGGTATGGTCTGCCGAGGGTCCTGCGCAAGGCTGCCTCTCCTAGGGTTCTCTTTGGCGCGGAAACGTTAGAGAACGTCTGTGATGACTGATAATGATGGCTTGGAAAAGTCAGACACAGTTTGCTGGGAGTCAGCCTTTTCTTTATACAAGGTTACGCGATGTCATCAGGTTTGTCAGTCCGGCAACGTTCGCCGTCATGACTAGAGGCTTGGGCATGACGATTGCCACTGTTCGATACATTAGATGTTTCTCGTGTGATGACAATGGAATCTGGAGGACTGTTTGTCGAGTTTGCCTCGCGTTGTCGCCATGATCGACAGGGGCAGGCTTCCCACCACGTGCTCGCCCTGCATGGGTGACGGTGGAGGCGGCTTGATGGCGTCGACCTGCCAATAAGAACATTTTCCTTCACAGATCCAGTGAAGCTCAGGTATGGATAGCTAGGTTGTGCCTTACTGCACCCGGATGAGTTGCCTCGTTCTCGGAACCCCCGAGGACAGCTTCACCTCGGGTGAGAGAGTTGAGCAACATCGCTGACTGGGAGGCGAAAATGCTGACACTATAAAAAGATCATACGCCCCAAGGTTCGTGCCCAGTCCTTGACTTCGCAATGGCTGACATTTCTAACGGCGCGTTCCCAGCAGCTTGGGATCGACCTCAGCTTGTTGACGTTGGCGAAGTCATGAGAACAGAGCCATGCGTGCTCACACAGCTCCCAGACGGAAGCAAGGCACAGCAGCATCATAGCTCTCTGTTCGGAAGCGAGCCCCGATGACTGGATTCTGATGCCAAGGTACGTCTTTGAGATTAGATTTGAGATCAGTGATTGAGATACAAGCAAACTCCCCTAACCCACAGACTAAACTCCTCATTAATATCACATTACACCCCAGGGCGTGTGTCAATCCGCCACTTTGTGCGTGCTGACAGTCATGCCCCAAGGCTACCCGCTAAGTGGAGGGAGGAAAAAGGAACCCTGTAAGGAAAAAGGTACCGTGGCTTACGGTCATGCACTTGTAAGCCAGCATTTGGAATGGAGGCATGCTTTCGATTTCGGAGTCGATAGAGCCCCAGTCGCCAGCGCGACATGTTGATGCATTCAATGCATTTCTTTCCTGAGGTTCTCCTTCACCAACCCATGGTTCCATTTTCATTCTCTTTTCTTTGGACGGAATTTGGAACGACCGAGCTAGGCGTTGCCTGATTAGTTGGTTCCTGTGCCGCCGTGATTGGGATCTATGGCCGCCGATACCTTCGCCCGAGTGACACCTGCCTGGACCTCATGACCGTACAATATCTTAGGCTTTCGCAATGGGTGACTGACATAAGAGGGAGGGAGTCGCCTCTCCTTCGGCTCGAGGCCCTTTTTGTCATCTCTCTCTCCGCCTGTTCTCGTCTTCCCATCTGCAAGATCATCACACCTCCCTGCCTGGCTGACTGCTTGACAGGCTTGGCTAAAGCTTGATCATACGTTGTTGATAGCCCTCAGATAGAGGATCGAATATCATTGCGCCTCTTCTCTCCCTCTTTCTCTTCATCTTCTAGGTCTCTTCTCTGCTTTCAGCCTCCAGCACTGCAGCCATCCCGTTCAGACGCCGTCGCCATGGCTTTCACTGAGCTTGGAGTGTTCACCTACCGAGACGGTGTGGCAGTCATCCAGCTCTTCTTTTTCACCGTCTACCTGGGATGTGCCTTCATCCTCTGCTCACGACATGGATGGAGCCGTGGCTCAGGGTGGCTGGTCCTGATCACCTTCTCCTTGCTGCGGATTCTCGCAGGAGCTTTCCAACTGGCGACCATCAATAGCCCGTCGAGGACAACGTATGGAGGCGCCCTGATCTGCCAGTCTATCGGGCTATCACCGTTGACGGTGCTCAACATTGCACTCCTGACGAGGGTGTGAGTATTGACCTCCCCTGTCTTGATAATGCGAGCCGTGACAGCACTGACTGTCCTTGTCCCATCCAATAGCAACCGCTTCGTGATCCACGGCATATCCACAAGGATCTTCTCTCTCATCTCTCTCGCCTCCCTGACCGGCCTAAGCCTGGGTATCTACGGCGGCACCAAAGCAGCCGAGTCGTCGAATCACATCACATCCAACAGCATTGTGCAGGCGGCGGTGTGCATCTTTCTGGCGATCTATGTCTTCGCCATCTGCCTGTGGGGCTACCTTCTCAGGCAGTGGAAGTACATTCCGGCCGAGGAGAATAAGCTGATGGTGTGCTTCGCGGCGTGTGCGCCGTTTATCTCGGTGCGACTGGTGTATGGGCTTCTCGCTGACTTCAGCGGGTTGAAAGAGTTCAACCCATTCGAGGGGGATGTGACCATCTTCCTGTGCATGGCGGTGCTGATGGAGATCATTGCCGTCGCATTCTGTGTGTTCACGGGCTTGAGGCTGCGTATGTTGCCAAAGGGTGGTAGTGGAGCGGTGTCGTCGGAGACGTCGAGTGACAGTGAGAGAGCGCTGCGCGGAGCCAGGACGCCGGGCAAGTTCTGAACACCCTGGGTCCCGTGTCGTGGCCAGCTGACCTAGCTACAGATGCTGGGACTCTCGTCTGGCAATCCCCGCTCCGGGCTCCATTCCCCCGGACACCACCCTTCCTTTCTCATGTTACTTTTTGGCGTTTCCTATCTTGTCACAAATCCGCAGCCACACTCGTGGTGGGCTTGGTAATAATTGACTGTTTCGACCACCTTCGCGACCCCTCCCCTCACCGACGACACACGACAGGCAAGGGATGTGCACAAGAAGAATGATCGGCAACGGCGGCACAGACCCGAGGCCCCATCTCGCCCTCGCTTGGACGGCAGGCAGGCCCGTTGGGGCAGGCGGCCGGCGACTAGACTCGTGTGAGCTGGGCTGAAGCTCAAGCTCGGTGGGGGTGCCTGGGGGGTGCCTGGAGGCAGAGGTGATGGAGAGGGCGTGTGCTTGAGGTGGTTGAGTTGCTCAGAGGTGGCTGCGGCTCGGCTGGGGACTTCTGGGCGCGAAGGATCAGGCTACATCCCGTTCACAGAAATTGCCCAACCATTGCTGCTCAACGTGGGGTCCAGGCAGGCGTTCAGTGTCGAGTCGGGTATCTGTCTGGGAACACGTTTTCATGGCACTACTGCACGGTGCTGTTTTCTGTTGGTGTCTCGACACGGTAGGCCAGAATGATATCCGTCTCCGAGACAGTTGTCAGCTTTCAAAGGAGTGGAGGTGTCGTGTGTGAGAGAGAGCAGGATCGCAAACTGGATGACCTTATCGCACATTGTCCACCGAGGGGGTACATAGCCAGGTCATGTTCACAAGACCATTCCGTATATAAGCAATTTGTTCCTATGAGATTTTAATTCGAAGACTGAACGGGGGTTGAGCACACTCGATGCAGAGGCCAAGAGACTGCAAATCTCGCACAGTCACTACTGGAAGACGACGAGGAGGCGGCGTCGGCTTCGTTGTTCATTCCGCTCGTCCAGTGTCAGCTCTTGTGTGCCACGTGTACTTGTCTCACAGACAGGGGAGTACCCAGGTATGCAAGAGATGGACATGCAGCATCGTGAGGGTTGGCAGCCTTGGGACATGGGGAGAAGGGAATGAGGAGCTGCCGATATCTTGAATGCTGAGCACGTTTTCCTTGGATGCCTTGGATGAAAGCCGCAAGGCGACGGCGGTGGTGGACATGGCGTAGACCTGCTCCCACGGCGAATGAGCTTGCCTTGCCTGCTTCAGCATGCAGGTGGAAGGAGTGAGAAGTAGACCACCGTATGAGAGATAAACGGTTGGGGGTCGGTCGAGTCGGCAACGCACAGGGGTAATGCCCTGTAGGTTGGAGGTGTGGAGGTGGAGGAATCGATCCCTTTGGCCCGATTCGGATCTCACTGTAAGGACACTGCCATGTGTTACGGTGCTGTACAGTACCTGACTGTAACACTCGGGAATTCAACCGTTTCCCTCATCCGTCGAGGCCCAATCTTCACGATACCGCAGAGTACTGTAGACCGTGTCTCACTTGTCAATTGGGGACGGGTAGCATCAAGGGGCCCTACATAATGCAGGATCGTGCATGCATTCCAGGATTATTGCAATTACTGCTTCAAGCAGGCTGAGGGTGTACAGGATTTTGGCTGAAGCTTACGGCTCACGAGGAATTTATCTCCAATTTATCGATTTCTCATTGACATCTTATTTGCACTAGGTGAGAGGTGGGGGGTCATTTGCAGGGGATTGGGTTGTTTGGTCGCCTGGGGCAAATTCCAGGTCCCTAAGAGGGCCTGGCCTGCCTGGCCTGCCTGGCCTGGATCCTCACATTGCCCCTCCAAGACAGCTGCCATGTGCCAGCGTGCACCGCCTCAATTCGCGTCTCTCCCTTCAGAGAGCACATTTCACTCAGGAACTTGCTTCTAAATGACTTGCTTCGCGACTCACTTATTTGTGGCCACAATCTCACATTTCCTACCGCTGTAGACTGCGTGCCGACCGCGACTTGTCTGTCGTACCTAGGCATCATGGTCGGCGAGCTGGGCGGGTCGACAGGTCTCGCTGAGTAGTGGAGGCATTTTGGGAGACATCGCCAGAACAAAGAATTTGAGAGAGATAGAAATAAACACGGTGGTGAGGAGTTAGAACTTTGAGAGGACTCGCATACAAATACATCCTCCTCAGGCCAAGGTTGGCTGAGTTGAGCTCAAGAAACGTGGGCTGGCTGTCAGAGTTGCTGACCACAGGGTGACCACTCCTGACTGCGCCATCATACAACTCTAATCTTCTCCCACATGGCAGCATGTGGGGGAACGTGCTGCTGCACTACTGACATGACCAGAGACATGACTGCTTCTAGGCTTTCCCGCCATGTCAAAGCCTTCCTCTTCCCTCATCCAGCCGCCGCGTCCTGACAACGCCTGACGGCCTCGGCCATCCTCACGGCGCATTTCTGAACGGGAAGGATCTGGGCTCTCCGAAGACATGACTGTCAAACCAGAGCGCCATCGCCGAGCTGAATTGACCTTCAGCATCGGAGCTGCCGTGCCTCACCCTTAAATACTTGGGCCTGGCACGATGGCAAATTCTTCGGAAGGAGAGACGAACACCTAATCAATACCCGGTGACATTGGGTTCTCAACCAAACAAAGACACTCGAATCAACTGCCCAATCTCTCCCACTCCAATAACTTCTATTCCATTTCCAGCCACCTCTCTCGTTGTTTGCTCTCCCTTCTCCATCATGTCCGCCGCTGCCGTGGCTTCGGCCCCAGGGCTTCCTCAGACCCAGCGTGCTATCCTGGCGGGCGAGAAGGGCGATTGGGTAATCAGCCAGGATGCTCCCGTCCCTGAGCTTGAGGCCGACAACATCATCATCAAGACCGTGGCAGTCGCCCTCAACCCAGTAGACACCAAGATGGTCGGCCCTTTCATCGCCGAGGGCGCCATGTTCGGTTTCGACTGCGCCGGATACGTCGTCGCCATCGGTTCTGACGTCGCCGCTTCCCGTCCCGGCCTCAAAGTCGGCGACAGGGTCTGCGGCTGTGCGGACGGTATGAACAGATTCCGCCCAAGGGCTGGTGCCTTTGGCGAGTACGTTGCCCTCGATGGCGACATGGCGCTCAAGATCCCTGAGAGCATGGGGTTTGAGGAGGCTGCAGGTATGGGAATGAGGATTGCCACCGCGGGTATGGCGCTGTTCTGGAGTCTGGGCATACCCACCGAGTGGCTTCTTAAGGCTGCCGGCGAGCAGATGCCGGTGCTGGTCTATGGTGGCAGTACAAGCACCGGTACCATGGCCATCCAACTCCTCAAACTGTGAGACCACCTTCCACCAGTTCCTCCGCATGTGCACACTTTGCATTGCGCACCTTGCAGTAAATTCCGCTCCCATTTGCTGACACAAACAAGCTGCAACGTGAAAGTCATCACAACCTGCTCACCTCGCAACTTCGACCTCGTCCGCTCCTACGGCGCTGACGCCGTCTTCGACTACAACTCACCCACCTGCGGCGCCGACATCCGCGCCCACACTGCCAATGCCCTCGACTACGCCCTGGACTGCATCACCGAGGAGGGCTCCATGAAGATCTGCTACCAGGCCCTCGGCCGGTGCGGTGGCAAGTACACGGCCCTGGACCCCCACCCGGAGTCCAAGCGAAAAGTCGTCGAGCCCGACTGGATCCTGGCCAGCATGCTGGGCGGCAAGCCCTGCTCGTGGCCTGCGCCCTACGGCAACGATGGGGACGCTCGCGTCAAGGAGTTCGCCAAGCCCTTCTTCGAGACTATCCAGAAGCTCTTCGATGAGGGTAGGCTTACGCCGCACCCGACCAAGATCAGCCCGGGTGGGTTCGAGGGGCTTGCTGGCGAGGGTGTCACGGCCATTCGAAAGGGTCAAATCAGTGGCCAGAAGCTGGTGTATCGTCTGGATGGAGCTGTCCGGGAGTAGAGATGAGGCCTTATGGCTACTTTGAGATTAATCGATTCTGGCGTCTCGGGCTGTTCTTCGGCCACGCGGTAATTTCTCAACTACAATATCAGTGCTTTTGCACTTTTACAGCAACACTTCCTCGGCCTTCCATGTCAAAAAGTCCGCCCCATCTATTGACCTTCTTCTGCAGCGAGAAAGACGGATGGTGACGGAGGTGCACTCGGATGGTTGTCTGTGATGTATGTATATTCATAACAAGCTTTTATTGAAGGTAGAGGCGTTTAAAACCGGGATGCATGCGAGATATAAGCTTTCTTGACTTTGAGTGACGTGAGACATATCCTATCAATTTGTATCACTATTGAAAATGATCACTTATGAGACTCATAAATCTGTTAGCGACCTTAGACGGTCGCGTGCGATAAGTGCCATTTTGCCCAGTTTTGAGCTCCAGCCAGATGACAGTCCCCCTACGCTGACCGTTAACCACGGAAACTACCTGCACATATGACCAATACGTGTTAGGCCTCTACCTAGTCACGGACTACCTCACCATACAAGTCTTTTCTTTCTTATTTTCCTCTTGTGAATGCCTCTTAACGCTAACAATCTAAAGCAATCTAAGATCTACATAATGCTGCTGTGTTATTGAGCAGATCGAAATGGTGACACAAAATGTGTCACAATTCATTGTTCATAAGTGATTCAGAGCAGACCAAAGATATCATGACCTCAAGTAACGGTTACATCTGGGAACTTATGACTGGAAATGAGTTGGACATCACACCCAATATTGAGGAACACCTTGTCCTTGATCGTCGTTTACAATCTGCGCTGCAACCTAATTGAATTTTGAGCGGGAAAACGTCTCGGAAAATCGATACTGCAGGGACACTGGAGCTTTCCGAGTCGACATCTGGAATGAAAGGGAGATTACTTAGACGTAGAGAAGTGAGATTGGCTCTTGAAGAAATCATCAAATACTTTTTACAGGCCAGAACTTAGTCGGATAGCAACTCTGCTTCCATTTTACCAAAGTCTCCCGCTCAGTTTCATACAGGCTCCTGTTCTCCATAGCTGACTTTTTATCAAATTTTGTAGGCGAAAGTCCATAAGGCTGGGTGAAATACATCCCTGTACAGTACATTCACATGTATTACAAGATTTAATAGAACATTTTGATGTTCGAAGCTTCAAGAGGTAACGCTTCAGTGCAAAGTGCCACGGTCTATCATCGAGTCCTGTCCCCAAATTTCTGGTACCGCGCTTTCAACACGTCTAAAGCTGTGATTTGCTGAAATTTCCAGGCATTTGTTCCATCAAAAACACGTACCGCAATCCTGTAGCTAAATAGCACTTTGCCGTTAAAATGACAAAAGCTTCACTTCGGCTCTGAGGTCAGCTTGTCGGTGCTTATGAGAATGCAATTCATCTTCACCAAACCTTGGCCACCGAGAGCTTACAACTCATTTTCTGATGAAGTTCTCGCCTGCGCTGAGTTTTGGTATTCCGTCCGCGCCGCAGACTGTGCGTGACCCCTACCTACGAGCTTGGCTGACATCGTGCTTGCCGGTCAGCAACCCTGTCAGCCACGAGGCGAACCTACAAGGTACCTAGTTAGCCTATCTCAACTTCTACCACACAAGATTTACATTGCAAGCTCTTGGCAAATGTTGCCGCCGTCTTGGCTGACGGAAGCTACTTCCAGCTCGCAGTTGCAGACAGCAGAGCCTCGCCTCGTGGAGTGCGCCGCTCAGAAATGCTGACGGGCAGTGGCGATTCATGAGGGTGGCTGTCTAGTGCCACTTTGCCTCGTGGGCACTGCATCTCAATCTAGATCCGGGGTTCCTTAGTTGCGATGTCGCCGCTGAAGCAGCACTTGCATATGCATAGATTATAGACAAAAAGTGGAATATACCGTGACCCGGATGTCCCCTTTTGCGATCCGGCATGATGAGCATGGTTGAAAATCACCCAGTATAGCAACTGTTTACAACTTGACTTGGATGGTCAGCGTACTGGTTGTGACTGCTTCTTGACAGCGTTGACAACTTCATACCCCGTGAGCCAGACCCGTCTTTGGACGTTGCGCTTACAAGATTTGCAATATCATCTATCTTGTTCTTTATCAGACGGTTCCAGCACAAGGCTTGATACACCGCGACTTCACCTTTTCCTCAAAACATCTCAAACTCTTTCCTTCGTGCCGATGAAGGTTATTTTCGAACACTGCTCTTCTGCACCAAAATTTAGAGCTTGCCAAACCGAGGCACTGTGGAACACATAAACATCAAGCTGAGACAGCCAAGCTTCACCTGTTCCACAAAGACAGTCACACGAGTACTAAGCGTCCCCATGGGAGCTTGCTCACAGCACCTACCCTGATCGAGTTCCCGGGGTCTTGCAGCTGTATGTCGCCAACTGTACCATCTCATACAGCGTGCAAGACGGGACACCTCCATTAGCAAGAGTGGATGCGAGTCACCAAACCAACCATTTGAATTCACCTTCTCAAGATACAATTGGCTACATCTACGTCGACAATTCAGAATGACGCGCCGCAGGAGCGAAGCATTCGGCTCCAAGCCAGTCCTGCTCCTCCTTCACGGTGCAGGCAGCTCAGCCGCCATCTTTCGAATTCAAACACATTTCCTGGCAAAAGCCCTCAGCCCCTACTTTGACCTCATCTACGTGGACGCCCCACTGCGGAGCGCCCCGGGGCCGGGGATCCTGCCGTATTTTCAGGGCATGGAGGCCTACTACCGGTGGTTCGGCGCCGGGGTCGAGAAGAACATTTCAGCCAGCAAGAATGCACAAGACTCAGATTCTTTCCTATCACCAGAGACTGCGGCGTCTCCCCGACGCCCGTCCGCCACAGAACACAAGCGCAGAGGGTCTACGTCGGTCCGAGCCCGCGGGCCCGGCCGGCGAGGCGTCTCTCCAGCTGCAGCCATCAGCGCCGCTGCGTCGCTGGGGCTTAACCTCCCTCGCGGCGCCGAGGGCCTGAGCCGTGGCGTCATGGGCCTGCTCGACATCGCCAACCAGAGCATCCCCCAGCAGCTCGAGGCGCAGGGCGTCCGCAGCCGGGACGTCGTGGGCGTGGTCGGCTTCTCACAAGGTGCACTAGCCGCCCTGGGCCTGCTCGGGGTCGAGCTGGCCATCGGCTCGCCGCAGTGGAGCAACCTGCGATTCTGCGTGGCCATGGGCGGCGCGACGGGCGGAGGTGCCGCGCAGGCTGCCGTCACGGGGATGATGGCTGCTACGAACCTGCTCGGCGGCAACAAGCAAATTCCACCATCAGATGCCTCAGCTGCAGTAGACTCAGATGCGGACGCTCAGCTTTTCCCAGGCCACACCGTCCACGTCATCGGACGCTGCGATCCGTGGGTCAAAGATAGTCGGCAGATTGCGGGTATGTGTAACCCAGGACGGACCAGAGTCGTGGAGTTTGAGGGCGGACACTGGGTGCCGCGAGAGAAACATGACATTTCGCGCGTAGTGGATCTTATTCTCGAGACCGAGTTGGACAGCCGGCGCGAGGCGGACGACTCGTCGAGTTCGTCGTCCGAGGACGAGGTCGAGGTGCTGTTGCGCAGGCTGGACGCCGTCTCGGTGAGATCCTGAGCAAGACTGAATTCAGTGCGATAGCCATTTCCGCTCTGATACAGCTTTTTCCTGATTTCGCCGCAGCACACCATTGCTAGTTGGGGGTCCTTGTCCGCGCTTGACTGTCTGTAAGGGAATCGTATGTGTGCAGTCTCATTTCACGGCAGCCATCCATTTCGAATTGGTCAGTATGACATTGCTTCGGTCATCAGGGTTCGTTTGGTTTGGACAGCTTTGCTGTGGTCCTCACTTCGGCGTTCCAAGGCGTACATAGATTCATCCTCCGTGGCGAGTCAGGCGCTGGCGTTAGGAGCGACGGTTGGAATAGCCTCAATCGAATACATGACAAATCCTGCTCCCACTCCGACGCCATATCCACAATTGTGCCTTTTTTTTGTGTCCCATTCGCGTGTAAAACATGGTAGCCCGTAGCCGGCAAACTGTAGAGTATGAGCGGCTCTGGCTGACACTTTATCCACCGAATGTTTGCCACCAACAGAGACAGCCTCGTCATGACCCATCGACGATCCGCTGGGTCATCGACGAGGTGATCCTAACTTGCCTTGGCAGCAGCTTTCCCAAGAGGATCCTATCGCTTCGATGAGTGAAAGAGAGGCGCTGGGCAGGCAGAGGTGAGATGGTGCTATGTGGTGAACACGCACGAAGGATGAGATGTCGTTGAAACACCAGCCAATCACAGGCCGCGCAGGAGGGACCTTTTGAGAATGTTGCATCCCGACCCAAGTCTTCAAGGGTCTCCCATGCAAGTAGATCTTGGCGGGGCGGATCGAAAGCTTGCCTTACAGTAGTGACCCAGTTTTGCCCGTTTGGTAAGCGTTGAAGATCACCCTTCCCAGCGTTTCGGTACGGTGCGTGGGTGGGCAGCTGCTGTGACCAGCCGAACGATGGTCTTTTGGTTAAGGTGTGAGGCTGTTCACTGCATGTCATCTATCGCGCTTACACCTTGACAAGCGATCACAGATGGCGTCCTACAAGCATCGTAGCGGACTCGAGCTTATCCACCCATACATCGGAGAAGAGATGCGATTCGACGGGATAGATCCCAAGCGCAGCCCACGCCGAATCCAGCCGATTAGCCTGCAAACGCGCTCCCTCTTCAGGCAGCCACCAATCCATCTTTCTAGTAATTTGCCCAATTCCTTCCATGCGTCGCCCAATGCTACCTCGTGTAATTCGTTACCGGCTTCTCCTCTTTTTCCGGCGCTTGAGACCTGGAGCTAGCAACACTCGACCGCCGTCGGCGGCTGGAAAAGCCCCCCAGACAGCCAAACGGCCGCCATAGCGTTAGGTGACAATCTGGCACGCAGGCTTCAATTGGAGATGGCTGCATGCATTTCGAAACTGAACGAAGTAACAGTGGCCTAGGATGGTCGCTGGAATGCGGTCCGGGAGCGTCTTGCGCGTCCGACGTCCTTCTGGAATTGTATTTGCCCACCAGCCGCGGTCTCCGAGCTTCCTTCAGCACGAAAGCACACAAAAATGGATGCTTATTGTGTCCTTCTAGCGCGGGTACCTTGGGTACTAAGCACATAGTTCCTGGAACCGGGTGTCATCGTCGTTCCAGAGCAAGACGCACATGGGGCCAGAAACGTGGGCGCAGGGTTGCGGCCATCCTAACCCGGATCTTATCACAGCGGGTTAAGATACCCATGCAGGGTACTTCGTCCACCCATTGGTTTCTTCGTCTCGTTGTTTGGCAGCTGCCGTGACACGATGCGCTGTTGTGCCACCGGCAGTAATCTTACTTGCCCAGGCATTACCCATCACCGAGATCCGAACCCTGAGTTTCGGACATCTCAAAGCTCGGTTTTGGACTCGCCTGTCATACACAACAGACACGACACCCACGACCTTGAGACCATGAAACAGATCACAAGTGTCCCATGCATTGGCTTCGAGCAATGTACTCGGCCGTGTTGTGTTGCCACAGCCGCGTTGTGCACGTGTGCCCCTGAGGATTCCATCACTCAGCGGCAGTAGCACGCACGCCTGGAAAGTGGATCCAGAGTGGCCCTATCTCGGTGATACGCTGCGAGATCTCGGGCACAGTCCTATCATGTGCGAGTGTCTCTTTTCAGGAGGGACCTTTGAAAGTTGTTCGTGTAAGCTTTTCCGCGTCGCTGTATTTAACCGCAAATACGCCTCTAGCCTCTGATAGTCTGCAGAATGATTCCCGCGGCGGAAAGGCGGAACCAGCAACAAAGAAGCAACCCACTGAGACTGCTACGCTGGGAGCCTCCCGGCTGGCCAACTGCACGTGCCTTTGCTGTCAATCTTACAACCACGTGGCTGACGGGCTGAAGGTGTAGCTGGGAATCGTGTTCAGTGGTTGATAATACACTAAATTATCATGCGGTCAGATCTTCGGCGCGGTTTTGGGATGAACTTGGAAGATGTACCGTTGCGTTGGCCGGGGCCAGTGCTGGGGACCATGTCGTCGGATGTCAATCCGCGTGTCCTTGCTTGCCATCCAAGTACCTGCTAGGGATAGCCGCGCAACAGTGGGTCATCGGGTAAACTTTTTTCACAGATAAAGGCTCACTCATTAGTCTGGTCCAAAAATAAAGTCGATTCGAACCTGACAACTGTGGCACAGTACAGTCCCATTTGGCGGGAACCATCAGCAAAAACGTGGTTTCTCCGCGAACACCTCCGGTTAAGCGGGTTGTGTTCCACGCACAGCCGCCCCACCACGGTGGCCCTTGTCGATGCAACACGATGCTGGGCCCATCATTCTGGATCCGGAGCTGTCCACTTCTCCATTGTCCAAGTGCCACAGGTTCCAAAAGGCTTGTCCACAAAATTGGTTGACCTCACCGGCCAAGGTGCAATACATGGGATATGCAGTAGCGGATTCCTAGCCACAAATATCGTTCAGCGCCACATCACAGCCGGGACGAATGTAAAGCGCACCAGACGCCCAGCCTAGTCCGGGTAGTGTGAGTAGGTGCTTTGAGTGTAGCAAATAGCATCCTCTCAAGGGTTCACAATGGTTCTGCCTTTTGCCAAGAAAAGAGGGGGACAATCCTGCGGAAGCGCTCCTGTCACGCAACAGCAAGAGGGCGTGCTTCTCATGATGCATACGCCTGAAGGATCTCAGCAAACTCCACTCAGGGGAGGTCGGACCCACCCGCAACGCTGTATGGTGTTGCTGAGTAAATGAAGTCGCGATCCCTCGGTCTATATTCCAAACCGGCCTGACTTGCATGCGGTCCAAGCGTAGCATGTTGTCGTTGAACAGGAATGGACGAGGATGATCGAAGCCCGAGACCAGGAATTCAATGAGACCTTTTTGTCAACCAGTGATCCCAATGCTTGGTGAAAGCTTGTAAGAGGCCCTAAATGGCTTGGAAGAGCTTGTTCCAATGCTTGACGTTCCATCGTGCGACCAGATCTCTTGGAAATCCTGTAAGCCAAGAACCGGAGGGTGTGTGTGTAACGCCTGGGCATGCAGGCTAGGCCCTCGTGAAGACCCCCCAGGCTTTTAGACTGGGGTTCAGAATGGCCATGGATGCTTCGGAGCCGGGCCAATGCTGCCTCCTCGCTCGACTTCCTAAGAGCAGAGCACCATTAGAATTTGGCATGAACGCTGCGATGCTGAAACGGTGCCGATCCTTCGGACTTACATCTGCAAGGTGGACAGGTCCACGTGTTGTCATGTCAACTGGTAGCAGACAAGCATGCGAGTAAGCCCTGACTGGCAGCCTTGCAAATCATTGCTCTCCATGTTCTAGGACGATCGCGAATCATCCTGATCAGCTGTCCATCTCCCGCAATCCTAGTTCGGCATTACTTGTGTGTCAGGACCCTGGATTGCCCTGATTGACAGCTAAAGGGCTCAGATGTTCGCGCAGTGTGGTTTATTTCTGCATTCCTTATCTGGTTTTGAAGGAATGTCATGAAGAGGCGACTTCGCGTTTGCCATCCGGGTCAGCGATCGTGTTTCCATCAGTATGACAGCGAAAGAGGCTGGGACCCAGTGGGTGAGCCTGCCGGCGGAGTCTGAAGTCCTTACCAGGTCAGTAACGACTGGTCACAGACAAGCCACACTTTGACACGCCTGGGTTTGAGATAATTCTGGAGGTGGCTGCTGCACGGTTCGAAATAAGTCTTTTCGGAGGATGGGATAGGTGCTGAGAGGCACCTGGGGAATGCAGCCAGGCAGTGCTGCTGATTGGCTCGTGCGCTGGACTCCAGGGGTATGGCGCTGAAGAATAGCGTCGGAGGCGCTGTGACAGCCTCCCGAATTTGATTATGGCAAAGGATGTCAAACCTTGTCGTAGTCGTGTGCACCGGCGGTTGCGTGTGGATGCCATCTTGCGCAACAAATCAACTCAAGATGGTCTTTTCTCATAGACAGAGATGCGTTGTCTGCGCTGTGCAGTCATCGTTACTGTCTCTTGAGCCACTGATCGTTCGGAAGTCGATATCACGGCCTTACAGTGATCAGCATGGTTGCTGGACGAATCCTCAGGAGATAACGCGTTGACCATCAATTTTGGTATTGGAGCACGAAGTCCAACACGCAACTATCGCTGGATAATTCCTGTCATCGGAAACCTTCGCGCCGGCTGCCCTTTTCCGACCAGGCTCTCACGTCTGAACAGCCCCGTCACACCGACAAGGTGCTAGGCGCAGGCTCCCGGCGATGACAACAGCAAAGGAAAAGCGGGCAAAGGATCCGGGATGCCTTTCTGGCACACAATCAAGGGTATTTGATGTCGGGCCTATGGCCTAGATCCTGATCTGCCGACTTCCCAGACTTAATTCTCGCAGCTCAAAAGGCCGTAGGGATGGCCAAGTTGGCAGGTCATCGCCATGCCGATCTTGAGACGGTGCGGGCGAGGATTGTGTGGTGAGGCCCTTGGCCAAACAACCGGCCTTCTCGTCTGCATTCACTGGCTGCTGCTCGACACCTTGACCATCTCCGCGCTGATTTCCCCGGCGTGGATCCTTCGAGCAGTAGTAGGCAGTCCAGATTACAGGCGAGAAGATGGACGATGGGGGCATCGCAAGAGAAGGAAGTCTGCAGTTTTCCGTGAAAGTCTCATGATACAGTCGAGCCAGACACGACCGAATGTCGGAATGGCTTCAGTAGGCATCGCTCAGCCTGGTGCTCAGGCTGATAGTCGTAGAGGCGGTTGGTTGGTCAGTCGATCTCAACTGATGGTCTTAATTTGGATGGATGCCGGTGCCAGGATGCCCGATGCCTGACAAGATTTGCCTCTGTAGGGGTCCCAGCGACATCTCCAGCCCGTTGGCCACGCAGTGAGAGATGCTGAAGATCGCGATTCGGTTGAGATTGAGTGGGCGATGTGAGTAATGAGTAAGGTGAGCGAGCTGACAGTGTCACAGTCGAGCTTGCCTGGCGACGTCATTGTGAGGCTGCATTGACCCGAGGGTCATGTGTGGCTGTCCATATATCTCGCGTGCCGTCCCCGTCGCCGTCCTTTTTTGGTGTTGACCGGGCCTGAGATGCTCGAACCTGTTGTAAGGCCTTCCTTCCCACTTCCTCGTCCCAGTCGAGCCTCACAACAAGAAGCCTTCCGACCCAAGGTTTGCCTGCTCGACAAGTTGCCCCCTTGCCCCCTGCTGCCAGGGACCTTTTTCTCCTCTCTGCTCTCCTTGTTTTCACTCCTCTCTTGCTGTCGAAAAAGGGAAGGACGAGAGAAATAAATATCGGCGCTAACCGCTTTGAGCAGCCAGTCGGTGCTGCACCTTCCTCGTGGGTTAAATCGTTCCAAAATTCACTACCACGTCTTATTGACAGGGGACCCCTGTCTCTAGCCTGCTGCCTCCTGTTTCCTTCCTCTTGCCTCTCCCACGCGGCTCCCCTCTCGGCTCTCACCAACAGCCGTTTCGAGAAAGAGGCTCACTCGACATTTGGTACCATCCCAAATTACCATCCCCATTCCCAGGTACAAAGGTACAAAGGTACGCCTTGGTACCCCTCGAGGGTATCCCATCTGAAGCTTCCATCTGCGGGTTGAGACAGGCAGAGCACCTTTGGTCCCCCATCGTCCATCGTCTGGGTGTGGTTCTTTCGTCTCGTCTGGTCTCCTCGTCCCTGTTCCTCGTGGTCAGTCAGCTTCCATTTCTTCCATCTCCCCTGCTCCTGTTCCTGTCCCTGTTAGCCGTTCCTCTTGTCTGTTAGCCCTCGCCCTATCCCCCATCCTGCGAGAGCAAAGGAAAAAAGGAAAAGGGTACCACACATGCACGCCCACGCCCATGCCCACGCCCACGCGCACACAAAGTCCCTGCATGACACTGTCGAGTGGCCCTCATGGATCCCCCACCGTCTCCCACATCTCATCTCATCCTTGACCTGGTCCTTGTCCCTACCCTAGCCTTGGCCTTGACCCCGGAATTGATACTCACACCCCCCATCATCTTCGTCTCCTCCAAGACGTGTTGCGTGTGTGCGCGCGTGTGTGTGTCTCAAGCATCCTCATCCTTCTCCTGCTCATCCACACACCACCACCACCACCACCAGGCCCCAGAGACACAGACACAGACCGTTCAACTGTCGAATCTGCTTGGCATCTTGGCTCCCGGGCTTGGCTGAGTGCTTGACACTTAAACAACCTCGCCGCCTTCTTGGGTCCCTGATATCGGGAAAGCTTGACTCTCCTCTTGATCACCACCTAGCCCATCAGCAAACTCCATCACACTCCATCATCCAGCTCGACTTCGGTGATCGATATATCACTGCATTACTTCCCCTTACTTGACTAGACAGTCAAAGACTCCACCAGCTCTGCGACATCACCAACCAACACTCTTTCTCTCCCGCCCAACAGCTGCAGCCCTATCTCTTACCCTTACTCCGTACCACTTTCCCCCTTGCCACTTGTGCTGTGTTGCGTTGTCACAGCATAGGCACTGTCATCTTTGTTGGACACTTCTGACTCCACCACGGCTGTCACCTTTCCTCCGGTGCTGTCAACCAACGCGGCTCGACGAGCCACGAGGTCCTGACACACCTGCTCAGCCTTTCTCGGGCGTTGCACTGCATTACTGCAGCCCAACCCCAACACGTCCGTCCAAGATTATTGACTCTTGTCTGGTATCATCCGCAATGCAGGACAAATCAAATTCTGGAAGCCATTCTGACACCTCGGTGTCATCTTCCTCCTCCGTCACTTCCACCATTTCTTCCGTCTCTTCCACACAGACTTCCGGCACAATACCAGCAGATCTTGCACAAGTCCCTGGGAATTCTGCAGCAGCTGCAGACGCAGAGAAGGCGTCCGTGGCCCCAGCCAACCCCACGCAGCCCAAGAAGACGAGGTCTCAAAGCCCAGGTGCCGTTCAACGACGAAGGATCCAGAACAGGATAGCACAACGAAATCATCGTGGGTCTTCCTTCTCGTTCGTTTTTCTCGTGGCCAATAGCCTTCGTTCAGGTTGAAGTCATGGTCCAACATCATGATGGTTGCCTTTGTCCTCACTGGCAACGCCACGAGCCCATATCTGTGTGAATTTGGCTAACTCTATTCTTTCACTTAGGACAAAAAGTAAAAGAAAGAGTTGCCGAGGAAAAGGATCGTCTGGCGCGCGAGCAGGCTGCAGAGCAAGCCGCCCACCACGTACACCTTGGACTGTCCAGCCGGAGCAGCAGTGCAGGGAGCGTGAGCAGCAACAGCTCCATCACGAACTACCCAATACACCATCTGCACCCAAACGGTGGTTTTGCTCATAACCAACACCACCACTCTTCCCAATCGCCAATCCAAGTCTCCGGTATTCGGTTGCAACCTCCAGGAACCATGGATGGCTTTGGGGATGACATGAACAAGGGCTGGGTCCCCGACCCGACCTTGCTGCCAACACCAGATGGTGACCTCGCAGCCTTCGCAAACGAGTATCTCAACATGTCCTGCAGCTGCAATAGCATGACAGGTCCCTGTGCGCAACATCGTGAGGAGATGCGGGTCCAGTTCATGAGCTTCATGTCATCGCCTCAAAACTCGCGAGGAATGCACACCCCCAAGAAGAACTCTTTCGCCACCGGCATGGAAGACGTTCTCCTGGAGAAGCTGATGCAGCCACCGCTGCCGAGTCCTCCGCTGTTTCCAGAGATGCAAACACCGATAGAGCCCTCGAGGCAATCCACCGGTGCGTCGGCTTTTCGAAGAGGCACCATGGGCTCGCAAGGCTCTGGCTCAGCAAGCCCTGGAGATACCGCCAACTCAGCCTCCACAGCCACCAACACATCTCGTTTCAAGGCTATTCTCACTTTCGTGAGAGCGGCTGGCTTTCCTGACTTCGACTCGATGGTCACCAGCTACTATACCTCCACATTCCAGAAGAACAGTGTTGCCGAGCTGGCTCAGCGCAGCTCACGTGGCCGCAAACTAGCCAACGTTCTCGATAGCATCCAAGAGTCGTCCTCCAAATGGACAGTCTGGGAGAGCCGGGGCTATCGCGAGAAGATCGTCGAGTCTGCCCAGGGGATGTATACCCAGGAGCTCGACCAAGTCATAAGGAAGGCCCGCCGACGCCAGCAGCAGCATCAGAACAGCATGCATGCCGGTCAGGACGTCATGATGTTCGACGGCGAGATGAACTCGGAAGTGTCTTCCGGATCTGGCGCTGGTCCTGGAAGCATTGCCTCAATGGGAGCCGTCCCTGAGGAGATGCAGCGCGTATTTCAGGATAACGTAAGTGATCAAGTGTTCCTAGGGGCTCAGGTACCTTCCCCCCACCTTTTCTAGACTCTCTTCAGTTTGGCCCCTTTCGTTTTGTTGAGATGTCGTCGCATACAGCCCTGCTCTCTTGGTGACAGTCAGTCCCCCTCACTCTGTTTACTCGAGCTGACGAGCATCGTTATACAGTTGCCGAATCTCTGGGCTCTCCTCACGGAACTCGCCGGCACAAACAATATGCAATGCGACAGGGTAGCACTAGCATCACTGTTGCTGCTGTATAATGCCCGGCAGAACCCAGACATCGACATGGATGAGCTTGTCCCTGACTGGCGCAACCCAGAGGGACTCGTCAACATCAGTTGACTGCATGCCAGCGAGCCTCAGACACACCAACAGATGGGTTCTCATCACCATCACCGGCCATCGTTGGTAGACCCGTTGCTATTGGTGGATAATAGCGCGGCGTTTGCTTGAGGGCAGTGGTAGTTGAGCTCAAGCATGTAAACATATATATTCCACTTTGAGCTGTGGATCGCTATGGCCGTGGATCTTCGTGAGAGGAAATCTTCATCTTTTATTATTGGTCTCCTAAATTACCAGGATTAAGAGTTTCAGTGGCGTATTGCTCTGGTCTTGTCATCTTTTGTCATCTTTTGGACTATCTCAGATGGCGCTGGCTGGTTGGTGTTTGAAACGGACGGGGGTCGGCTTTGGGATCAACTTATCTGTGGCATGATTGCATGTCCCTTTCTTTTCGGCTTGGATGTCAAGACGTTTGTGTATATTTGGTGCGCAGCCGCGTAATCGGGTGATCTCGTAACTCGAGGCTTTGCTTTGGATGTCTTTGGAATTTCTTCTGAAACCACCAGTCTCCAGGAGAGAGGGCAAATTGACTGGAATACCAATTTTTTCAGCATATAAACGTGTACCTCGAACTTTGTGGATTAACTCTATGCAAATCAAGCGGTCTTCCAGAAACCGGCTCTTGCATTCTGGCACAGTAGCGGCAACAGGGCCCAAAGGCGACTGCTCGTTGGCTCATCCGTCAGTCCCCGCTCTCCTTGCGGCTCTCGGTAAATATTTCTCAGAAGTTTATCGGTAATAAAACTCATTCATTCCCATGTGATAGATTGCTGACTTCGTGCTGTGTGTTGGTGGTGGACCAGCATCAGCGGACTCACGGGAGTACTGATCACTGATACTTGAGATCGATGTTGGCATGGATCCGCCTTGGGTGACCCCGAATGATTCAAGGACCTTTATGACACCAGATCCGTGTCAATATATGCGAAATCTTGTTATCAGACGTTTCGATGCTTCCCATGCTGCTGTGCTTGTGCACCGTTGTGGGCGTCTGCAGGTGATTGTTGACATGAGCTAATGAATTTCCGATGACTGTGTTCTGCTTTGCCATCATTTTAGGATGTCACAACGTCTGCAAACATGTCAGCTCATTATGGAAAGCCAATATATGTGTGAGCAAGTTTGGCAAAGAGTGTACATAACCACACGTGCAGTTGCTCTCACATCTCAACAACATCAACTCCAGCTTTTCTGATTTACAAGTGAACTGAATTATGAAGATCATTCTTTTGATAAAGTACCTATGATGGTATACTCAGCCAATGTCAATGTCTTCTCACAGAACCCGCAAATCCAAGGCGCCAGATCAGACATAACTTTGGGCAAATGCTTTAACAAGGGACAAGAAAGAACGCAGTGGAATGCAACAATGCGGAAGGGGTCGAAACTCAACAAACGCTATGCCACCATCATCATAACCTCGAACATTAGTGTGGTGCATCATTACTCATCTATGCGTCCTTGACCAGCGCAACCTTTGCCCCGTTCAAATTGACAGTCGTCAGCCCCAAGCCCTCGGTCCACGGGTTCGGATCCCGCGACTCAATCCGATCAAACGTCTGCGCTAGCCTGACAACCACGTAGCTAGCCTCGGTCAGGGCAAACTGCTGGCCAGGGCAGATCCTCGGGCCTCCGTTGAACGGGAGGTATGACCATCCGGGTCTCATGTCGGAGCGTGCCCAGCGCTCGGGCTCGAACTCGTGTGCGTCGTCTCCGAAGACAGACTTCCTCCTGTGCATTGCGTAGACAGAGTACGAGACACCTTCGCCCTTGCCGATGGTCACGGGGGCTTGACCGTCGGGCCCGCCACCGTGGGGGATGACGGTGTTGCGGCTTGCGATGCGGGAGTTGAGAGGAACAACAGGATAAAGACGGAGGGCTGAGAAGGGAGAGAAAGTTGTTAGCATTTGGTCTTCTGGATCGGTTCTTGTATGTGCGAATGGGCGGGGGCATGTGAGATGGGAACAGCTCCTTCGCACTGGATCTAGATGGGATACACGAGTCTTGGCACCTCATTGGATGGCAGCCTCGTAGGCGGATTATCCGAATGCGATCCCGAGATGGGGATGGAACGCGATAGCGAAGCCGATTTCACTCGCGGTGAGAAAAGGATCCAGGGATAGGGCATGGGAAGGATTTGGGGCAGGGGATGTTCAGATAATAAACGAAAAGAATTCCAGTACTCACATTCGTTCAATAGATACTTGACATACTTCATGCCGCGAAGGGTGTCATAGTCGGGAAATTCACCACCTAGGGCATCTACCTCCTCTTTGAGTTTGGCCCATATATCGGGACGACGGGCGAGGACGAAGAAAGTGTTTGACAGCAGAGACGCAGTGGTATCACGGCCGGCCAGGAGCACATTTAGCAGCTCGTGTCGCAACTCGATCGGGTCCGAGGTCTCCTTGGCCATCTCGTACAGGAACACATACCTCTTCTTGCCATCAGGCCCCACAATGCAAGAGTCGTCCTCGGCACCCTCGCCAATCTTACTGTCCGGGCTGGTAGACGCCGTGCTCCCGGGTGAACTGGCGCATCTCTTCCGTAAGGCATTCGAGATGTACTTGTCGACAAAGCTGTGCACAGTCACAAGGGCCGCATCCCATTCCGCATCCCGGAAGATGTAGTTGGCCACGAACCAGTTCCGGGGCCGGAAGTTCGCCTTGGACTGGGCCGTGTCGAAGGCCCTCATAAACATGTGCTCCTCCGAGTCGGGCGACTTCTGCAGCGTGTTGAGGCTGCGTCCAAAGAGCACCTCCGTGGCCGCGTCGATCGTCAGCCGGAAGAAGAGCGGCGCCAAGTCCACCGTCGCCCCATTCGAGGGGATCAAGTTGATCAGGTGCGAGACATGCTCCTCGTAGGTATCCAGGTTGCTGACCTGTAATTTGGCAAAAGTTGGTCTCACCAGTGCCTAAGGAAGAGGAAGATGTTAGTTGTGACCGTCCTGCGATGGGAGTGTGGGACAAGTGTGTGGGGCTTTGGTAGTGCAAGTGTGTGAGCTCCCAAGCGTCTGTGGCCAATCAGAAAAGCTCGGAATCCCAAAGGGGCAATTTCCGATCTTGCCGACTGTGTCCGTTCTCCTTGACGAGGAGGACGGACTCCGATCCGTCACGAACCGAATGGAAGAGAGACTACACCGGTGTGGCACGCGGAGAGGCCAAGCGAGCCTTCAAGGCACGACGGCCGGGAGCTCCGGCCGATGCAAGGGACTGTTGTTCTGGAAGAAAGGAACCAAAGGGGTGGATGACAGGTGGATGACAGGCGGGATGTAACGCTACTGCCGGAGGCCAAGACGACCTTCCACCCATGGTCTATATAAGACCATGAAATAATGAAGCAAAGAACAAAAAGAAAACCGGAACAACAACTCACCCGAGAATGCTCCCAAGCCGCCCCATCCGTCGTGAAGATCCCCGAGCCAAGCAGCGGTCCGAGAGTGTCGATCCTCTGGCCCACCCCGAAATCCTTGAAATTGGTCGACAGCACAGTCTTGATATTCTCCGGGTCGATCGTATGCGTAAAAGATCTCCCCAGGGCCTTGGTCTCGAACGTCTTGCCCATGGCCGTGTACCGGCGCAGGCCCAGCTCGAGGATGCCGTGGTTTCTTGCCGCCCGCAGCATCTCGAGCACGTTCTGGATCCCGACCCATTGCTCCCACTGAGGCAGCTTCCTCGCCGGCTGCGTGCCGTTCTTCTTCGCAAAGGCTTTGGCTTCGAGGTAATTCTGCACCTTGCTTGCCAAGACCAGTATCGCGAGGCACCCGAGCGCGACGGGGAGGTATGCTGAGAGCAGTTGCATGACGGGCTTATCTGGCTGTTCGCTGGGGTGCGTTCCCTATATGGGTAGGAAGTGCCCGGCTTGCTGACCGGGTGCGTCTTGACCTGTTGAGAGGGGCGTGATGGAGACGTGCTCCGTTAGGTAATCTGAGCCTATGCACTGTAAGGCCAGGTTAGAAGCCTTGATCGTGCTGGACGTAGTAAATCGTGCTGCTTACCAAATCTGGAACCTGCGTTGAAGGACCTGATGCTGAAGAATGACAAGAGTGACAGTGAAGGGCATGTCATGTTCTTAAGTGTGAGAGAGACGACGGTCATTCACTTGAGCTCGCCTTGATGACATGCATGAGAAATCTGTCATCCATTCCTGGCAGAGTATTCTTGGAGCTGAGAAGCAAATTGTCAGCCAGATGGCGTTGTGAATAGAGATGATCGAGGCGAAATCATCGTGAACTCTGGTCATCATGGCATGCTGTTGGGGCCAGAGGGAACGAGCCCACTTTCGTGGCAATTTGCCATGTCAGGCTCAATTCAGCCAGGAACCTGAATGTATTGTGATTCTGGTGGGATAGATTTGGAAATCTTGATTGACATCATCGTGGCGGTGGCCAAGTGGCCCTGAGGTATTATCAATAGGCTGGATATTGCTGGGATCATGTACTACAGCTCCGTCAGCCAATGTCATCAAGTCAGCCTCCTGTCCGAGAGTTCGATCAATTGATCGATCATGTTGTATACAGCTTTCCGCATTTCAGAAATTTAGTATCGTTGTTTAATTAAGTCATGTTCTTGACCTTTTTTCTCTTTCTTGTCTTGCAAAGCAGTAACCAACCTGAGTGAGAAGTTTGTCTTGGCCAATGGTGAATTGTTCAATACTCACCTATCATTGATAGTTGGCTATCGAGAAGACAGCTGCATGTGCACTTAGAAATATTTCCTCGCGTCAAAACGAGTTTGTAGCTATTCAAAAGTAGTCCAGAGATATTGCTGACTTGATTGTAATTGGTCTGACAATGTGTTATCCTTGGAGTAATTACTCTAGGGATCTTGAGGCACAACATCCGTAATACTCAGATGCAACGTAATTTTGAAGAGAAGATCATTGATAATGTGCGCTTTTGCCACATCCACAGAAAGTCCTAAGGGAAGACAACACTTACATGATGGAAGTCAGTATCGTGGATAAAGTGCTTCACGTTCGTGGCTCCAATCGCTCCTTATCAGCTTTGTTGCAAACACGAATGCTGTTCCAAGTTCAAAATTGACTATCTTGTCTCAATCTGCTGATATTTCAATCGCCATTGTGTGCAAGAATTGATTGATTACTTTCCCAAAATACCAATAAGAATTACTTGTAAGCGTAGATACAAAAGAAATCCCGACAGCTTAGCTGCTTCTTAGCAGGGTCATCCATTTCCAAGCTTACTTACGAATGCGAATAGCGTTCACAGTATCCATCATGGCCAGCATGGAAGCCTGATCCTCACCTCCCACCACCAAAGAACCGAGGCTGTATCTGAAAATTCCACCGGGTCCACCGCGACCATGCGTCCAGCCGGTGATAACAAGGCGACCTTCTTCCAGCTCCTTGGAAAATTGCTCCTCGAATGCATTACGGTCTCCTCTCCCAGCAAGAGGCGTCAGGAGGGAAGCGCAATTCAATCCGCGGGAGGTGAAGTGGTTCCGCATGAGTCCCAAGATGTAGCTACCAGTCAATCGAACGTTCAGGTCGATGACATGCTGCTTGTTGTTCTCATCCAGCATGATGTCCGCCCCCATAGGACCATAGTAGCCCTGGTCGAAAACATATTTTGAAATTTGTTTCGCCGTTTCACCGTAATACTCTTCCCAGTGCTTTTGACGGTTGAAGTCGACAAATGCTCCGCTCCAATAGTTACGCTCATCAAGGATTGGCTCAGTGCAGCTGACCCAAACGGATCGTCCAGTCTTTGTGACGAAGAGATTTAGACCGCGGGGAACGCCAGGAAGCATGTCCTGGAGAATCAGGCAGGCCGGGTTGAGATGCTCGTTTGCGGCATTCACGCTCTGAATCATGCTGGCGGTCTCCTCCTGAAGGCCCTCGAGACAGTCGGCACGGTCCGCCTCATTGTTGAGGACGAAGACACCTTGGCCACCGACTGCCTGGGGGACTTTGACAACAAATGGCAAGGCCCGCTGCTGAATTGGGGCGAGCATTTTTCCCACCTCTGCAGCGACCAGCACTGGGTCTTTGGATTCTTTGTGTGACAGCTGCGAGTCGATAACATCCGAGCGCGGGCTGGTCAAAGGCGCAAAAGCCAACGTCCTCTTGGACAGCAGCTTGTAGTGGACATCAGTATCAACAGTAAGCGTGCGGCCCTCAAGAAGATCCAGTGGTGTGTACGAGAAGAGCTTAGTGGCGCCTGCTCTCTTGATGTCCGACGGGGCACTGATGAACCGGACATCAGGCCTCTGGGCGGGGTCCAACTGAGAGTAGACACGCTCGGCATCCTCGCGATGGCCGGGTACCGCGGTTAGCTTGGCAAAGAAGCCGCTCTTTGGAGGCTCTACGTCAAACAGATACAGAGGAATAGGTCCCGTCTGAAAGGCATGGTACTGAGCGGCGGACCCGAGACAGATGCGAGCGTAGATGTCGTTATCGAGCTTCGGATACCGCGGGGACTGGTAGGCGTACTTGACTGGCTTCGGGAATGATGGTGCAACTTGGGGTCCCGGAGGAGGGACTGCCATGACGAAGCCGACTTCATGACCGTTGCCTCCATCGAGGGAGTAGAGGTCGAAGAGGGTTTGGTCAAGCGTGATGGTTGGAAGAATAGGAGCCATGGGAGTCAATTAAGTTGATGTGTCTGACTTGGTGTTGACAGTTGCTGAGGTAAGACTTGACAACCCGTAAAACAAGAACAGTACGTCTGCAAGTGATCTGCTAGGGATGCCAGGTCTCGCTTGGTCGAACTGCAAGTTGAACGTGATAGCCGAGTATGACAGGATCTGCGGTCACTCTTATAAGCAAGCTTAGACATTCACGATCAGTTATTTTCAGAAGAAATACACACCATGTCTCCGCACCACGTGTCTCAGAGAATTGGCGCTCAAAATCGTGAACCTCGGTCATCGCTACTTAGGTGAGTGGATCTACGAACCACGGTGACAGAATGTCGCAATAGTCAGCCCAGGGGAGTAGTTGAGCAGCAGAAAGGGCCTTGAGCATGTTCATGTCAGCCCACGAGCTGCAAACGAATTTCAACGACTAGCAGCAAACCACCCTTGTCTATTCGCCTCTAGATGAGCAGGGTAGACTGCTTTGATGGGCAGCATAAACGCTGCCGTGCCAAGACAGCGCGGCAAGGTGACTGACCACGAAGAGGTGCGCTTGTTTAGACGCGTGATCCACGGCTTCAATAGTCTCAGAACTGTCTTCCCATTCTGGAATCGTCGCAAGCCTACATCGGTCCGCATCTGGTTGGATTCAGCTGATGGCAATCCCACCTGGGAAGTGAAAAGGAAAATATCGCTTGCAGTGGCGACAAGCCTTCGTGGTTGCTGTCAGCTAGGGGCGTGCGCGTCTTCTATTGTAGGGGTGAAAGAGATGTAAATTCTCGGCATGAGGTACATTGAGACGAAGGTTGATCATGTCATGGGTGGCAGTGGTGGTGACGGAGGGAAGGGATTCTATTCTCACGGCGGGGGTGGACGCGAGAAGAGAGGCCCTGTCAGCCATGCATAGCCCCCTGTCCATCTCATCCACCGTTGTCATGCCCATCTTCATGGCTGACATCTCTGCTGACTTTTTTCTTCAAGCACGCCCGTGAACAAAGCCATTCAGTACAATCGTGGCTAACATGAGGTTGAGTCCTGCTCATGCGCAAGAACAAGTCATGGAACAGCAGCACGCGATGGCGAAACTCAATGGCGCTGACCTTGCTGGCGCATCATCCCCAGTTGGTCGAGAACGACACTTGAGCTTTCGGTCATGGCAGCAGAGCCGATAAAGTCAATGCCTGTTCCATAGTGATGGCTTGGCAAAATAAGTCGGTCGATGCACCGTCATTCTTTCCATCCTGCTGCCATCATACAAGGCCAGGGTCTGAGACCAGCTGTACAACATATCCACGTGCGTCGGCTGCCGGACCAACTCAAAGGAACGGGCTCCAATCTCAGCCTTGATCTGATCTGTGTGGCCCAGGGCACCAATCACTATGGCCCCGGAGTCTAAATTCACAGAAGTTGACCTCGGAGATGGAATCGAGGCAGTAAACCCTGGCAATGACTTGAACGCAGACGAGAATGAGCAAGGCAGCAGCAGGCTCGAACCCTTGTCGACTGAGTCCACCGGCCACTTAGCAGCTCACACTCATCTCGAAGGCAACACTTCAGGGCCTGATCGCAAGCAGTCTCAGTCTTCTCTCCAGTCATCCTCCTCAAGGACCATATCTCAGTCCACGCTCTCCGGTGCCGACGAGGAGTCACTGGGAAAGAATAGGAGAGACACATCACCCCCTGCCTACCAAGATGTGGAGCTACAGCGGAGAGAGAGTGATGCTTCAACCATCACAGCTAGCAGCGAGGTTGCCGTGGGGAAGCAGGAAACGCGCGAGGAGAGGGCTGCTGGCAAGGGGTTCTTTTCCTGGCTCACCAGGACGCGACCACCGCCCTCATATCCGTCCGAAAGAACTGTCTCGCCCGAGTACACTGCCGGAATCTTAAGCCGACTGACATTTCAATGGATGTCGCCAATGATGTCTGTAAGTACTGGCCCATCTCTTGATGCTTTCCGTCTGCCCACTGCACAAACTGTATTCTTCTGTTCTACCTGGTCCCCTATACTTGGACCTGTCTCTTGAATGAACCAGGCAGCTGAGTTGTTGAAAAGACGACGTCCACGCATCGAATAGCACAGATTTGCGAGCTCGGGCATCTACCCAATGCCGATGCTCTGCACTTCATGAATTGACGACTGACTGTTATCATGTGATAGGTGGGTTTTCGTCGACCTCTGAAAATCAATGATATCTGGCTTCTCAACCCAGACCGATCTGTCGAAGCCCATGCCGAACTCGTCAGCGCCGCCTTTAAAAAAGGCGTCGAGGCAGGCTACAAGGCACCACTTTTCTGGGCCTTGTACAGTACCTTCAAAGCCGAGTTCCTGTTCGGAGGTCTGTGTCGGCTAATCTCTGACTTATTCGTTGTCGGATCTCCCTATACTCTTCGTTACCTTATCCAATTCACCTTGGAGTCTTACTATGCGAACTTCGAGGGCGTTGAGCCGCCTCCTGTTTCCCACGGCTACGGTTTGGTCTTCGGAATCGTATGCATGCAGGTCATCCAAAGTTTTTGCACAAATCATTTTTTCTACAATGGCCACATGGTCGGCGGCCAGACAAGAGCTGTTCTAATCACAGCCATTTTCAACAAGTCGCTGAGAATATCAGGGAGAGCCAAAAACGGTATAAAGCCGCCATCCTTCAGCGACACCCAGGCAACGCTAGTCGCCAATGAAGGAGACCAATCCGGTCAGGAGAACAAGACAGAGCAAGCACTGGACCAAGAGGGGAAAGCGAAGAAAGCAAAGTCGCAGAAAGTTTCTGCCGTTGCAGAGACGGGATGGTCGAACGGACGTGTTATCGGCCTGATGGCCATCGACTCGGCCCGTATTGATGCAGCTGCCGGTTTAATCCATACTGTCTGGACTGCACCACTCATCACCATTATTGCAGTGGCACTTCTGATCGTTAACCTGAGCTACAGTGCTCTGGCGGGATTGGCCATACTAATCGTGGCAATGGTTTTCCTTGCAAAAACAGTCGGCAACCTATATGTCAGGCGCAAGATGATCAACCAGATTACAGACAAGCGCGTAGGTCTTACACAAGAAGTATTGTCAGCAGTCAGGCTGGTCAAATATTTCGGTTGGGAGACCTCCTTTGTCGAACGTATTATTGGTCTCCGAGCCACGGAAACAACGGCACTGCAATTCTTCATGGCGTTTCGCAACATCGTCACTGCGGTCTCGCAAACAGTACCCATCTTCGCGGCCATGCTTTCTTTTGTCACATACGCTACTACTCACAGTGGACTATCCCCAGCCGTCGTTTTCTCATCAATGGCTATCTTTAACAGTCTCCGCAGCCCCTTGACGTACCTTCCTGTCTGCCTCGGAATGGCAGTCGACGCCTGGGCGTCTATGCAACGGATCCAAGAGTACCTTCTTGAGGAGGAACAGGAGGTCTTCAAAGTCGAGTCAAGCTTGGAAAGTGCCATTCAAGTTGACGACGCTACCTTTACCTGGGAGAAACAGGCCTCAAACGGATTGCCGCTAGCGGCTGGGACTGGCGAAAAATATGGCTCCAAAATGACTCTCGTCGCAGATGATTTGCCTTTTAGTCTCGACCGCGTCAACATCGACATAAGTCGAGGAGAACTCATCGCCGTAATTGGTGGCGTTGGATCCGGCAAGACTTCACTGCTTGCTGCACTGACAGGCGACATGCGCAAGACCCACGGTTCAGTGGTCTGGGGAGGATCCAAGGCCGTCTGTGCCCAGTATGCATGGATACAGAATGCTACGGTCAAGGACAACATTATCTTCGGCAGCCAGGTCGACGAGGAATGGTATCGCATTGTCGTTCACGCGTGCTCACTCACCGCTGACTTCGAAACTCTCCCACATGGTGATGCAACGGAAATTGGCGAGCGAGGCATCAACCTTTCTGGAGGGCAGAAGCAACGGATCAGCTTGGCCAGGGCTGTGTACTCAAAAGCTGACATCCTCCTCCTGGACGATCCTCTGAGTGCGGTCGACCCCTATGTCGGCAAATTCATCTTCGAGACGGCCATTTGTGGTCTTCTTGGCCACAAGACACGCGTCCTTGCGACGCATCAAATGCATGTCCTTAGCCAGTGCGATCGCATCGTCTGGATGGAGAATGGCCGCATCAGAGCCGTAGACTCTTACCTTAATCTCATGGTCAATAACACAGAGTTTTCTGCCATGGTCCATGAACGGGCCGCCGCGGCGCAGCAAAATAGCGAGGCAACCGCCGACTCAGCCATACCAACAGCCGCAGTCAGTACCACCACCACAACCTCTGCTGCAGCCGCGAAGGCCGCAAAGGCCGCCGCTGGGAAGTTGAAGGACCTCATGTCAACCGAGGACCAGAATACCAAGAGCATCCCTTGGTCTGTGTACATTTCGTATATTACGTCTGCGGACAACATGTTGCTGGTCGGACTCATAGTCCCGCTCCTCTGCCTGGCGCAGGGCCTGAATATCTTGTCTAGTCTCTGGCTAGCATGGTGGAGTCAGGATAAGTATGGTCTCCCGGAGAATACCTATATCGGCATATATGTCATGCTTTGTGTCACACAAGCTCTTTTCCTATACGCCTTCGGCATTTGCCTCGCAATTACTTGTACTAGTTCCAGCAACCACATGCTGAACAAGGCGCTGCGAAAAATATTGCATGCGCCCATTGCTTTTTTCGACACGACACCTCTCGGCCGCATAACCAACCGCTTTTCCAAGGATGTCGATGTGATGGATTACTCTCTGACTGAAGCTCTTCGTCTTTATTGCATATCGATCGCGATGGTCATATCCATTTTCGCCTTGATTCTTTCCTATTTCTACTGGGTGAGTACAATTGAAAGCTTCAGATGCCCACCTCCCAGCGAATACTGAGCAACTAACAACGTGGACAGTTCATCTGTGCCCTTGTCCCAGTAATGATAATATTCTTCTTCTCGGCGGCTTACTACCGCTCCTCGGCCCGCGAGGTAAAACGGTACGAGGCCGTCCTTCGGTCAGTCGTCTTTGCCCGTTTCACCGAGGGACTAAGCGGCGTCTCTTGCATCCGCAGCTACGACTCGCAAGACCGTTTCGTCAAGACGATCAAAATGGCCATAGACAACATGGATAGCGCCAACTACCTGACCTTCTCCAACCAGAGGTGGCTCAACATGCGTCTGGACCTGGTGGGGGTCATCCTAATCCTAACTGTCGGTATCGTGGTCGTCCAGGAGCGGTTTACGCAGTCCCCAGCCATTTCTGGGCTGGTTTTGTCATACATTCTCGGCGCGACGCAGGTCCTGCAGTTCATTGTGAGGCAATTTGCTGACGTCGAGAACGCGATGAATGCTACCGAGCGACTGTACTCTTATGGCAAGGATATTCCACAGGAGGGTTCCGTCGTGAACAATGGTGTCATCCCAAGACCGCCGACGTCTGCTTGGCCTTTCGCTGGCGAAATTACGTTCGACAACGTGCGCATGCGGTATAGGCCTGACCTGCCCGAGGTGTTGAGGGGTTTCTCCCTACAGGTTGGCGGGAGCGAGCGCATTGGAATAATCGGGCGCACCGGGGCTGGCAAGTCTAGCCTGATCGGTGCACTCTTTCGGATGCAGGAGCTCAGTAGTGGATCCATCACCATTGACGGGGAGGACATCTCCCAGTTGCCTCTGGGCGCCCTCCGCTCACGGCTATCCATTATCCCACAAGACACGACACTATTCCGCGGCACTGTGAGATCCAATCTTGACCCGTTCAACACCTGTTCCGAGTGGCAGCTCATACACGCCCTGCAACAAGCTTATCTGGGCTCACTCAACCTGGACGACAAGGTCGAAGAGGAGGGGTTGAACTTCTCCCTCGGTCAGCGGCAACTCCTCGCACTAGCCCGTGTGCTTGTCAGGGGAAGCAGGATTGTCGTGTGCGACGAGGCCACATCCAACGTCGACCTGGAAACGGACGAGAAGATACAAAGCACTATGCTCCAGGCCTTCAAGGGCAAGACAGTGCTGACGATCGCGCACCGGATACGAACCATCATCAATTATGATAGGATATGCGTCATGCACCAGGGCCAGATCATCGAGCTCGGCACTCCGAAGGAACTTTGGGAGTTGGGTGGAGTGTTCAGGGGCATGTGTGAGAGGAGTGGCATTGGCGAGGAGGAGTTTACCGAAGTTGTAAGTTATTCCTTCAAGCCCAGCAATCCCCTGATTTCAGTTTCCTAACCACATATCATGTATCACTCTGTCTGCGTCGACCGTCCTTGACTGACTGGCCTTCACAGTGGTTTTGATATTCGCGACAGGGGGCATTATGGCATGGGTACACAGACACCGCATTGAACAGGCGTTAGGTGTTATTTAGCATGGGTATCCAAGTAAAGTCGGGTGCTCGTGTGGCATCTTTTTCGTGATGTGTAATCGACTGCCGGCCGCCGTCGTGATGGCCACACGGCTCTTGATAGAAATAAGAATTGCGACACGCTATGGCGAGTGCGCTGTCCGGAGCGCGGGAAAATTCACGTACCGGAAACTCCGTTTGATTTGGTGAAGGCGTTGTCGTCCTCAAAAGCCGGACCGGCTCAATGTTATGTTCATATGTTCGTTTCCAGGAGAAAACGCAGCTCTCAGAGTCCTGAGGTCGACCGACTAGGTAGCCCTTATGGACTTGAATGCCCCAGTTATGTAGGAGCACACCACGGCACATTTGAGCTAATAGATCGGCTGAAGGCCTCTCAAGGAGCGCCTAGTCTGTGTTCGTCGGACTTACGAGCCTCGACCTGGGCCTCGCCTGTCTTCTTCAAATACTGCTTCCAATTGACTGATTGGTACTGAACGGTATTGTTAGTCCACAATACCGGGCCTTCTCTGTGCAGACGTTCGCTCCTGAATCGTTCAGCGCTCGAGCTTTCCGTCGAATCGACCGTGGCTGTCATTGTCGGGTCTGACGGCCCCGGTTTAGTCGCAGAATTGACTGACATTTGGCCCGAGTTGCACAAAGAGGTCGGCACCGGTTTCGTATGCGCATCTTGTGGGAGCCATAGCTTCAATCTCGCCAAGTAGACTTTGACGAGTTGCCGCCTCAAGAGCCTGAAATGTCGCAGGTCTTCTTCCTGTCCGGGCTGCCCGCGGTTCCTTCTTAGTCTCTGACGTAGCCGCCGGTACGGAACTCCCAAAGCCGCAGCTTGGAGTGCTAGCGATCTATCGGACTCGGGGTCCGCGCTGTGGGTCATCAAGTACGCCCAACCAGTTGAACAGTCATGAGGCTTTTTCTCCAGTGACTTCCCTGGAAGCTTATACAACTCATCACGATGCCTTTTCAGTCGATGGAGCATTTCGTCTCTAGCAGATCCAGGACCCCATCTGACAGACCATAAGAACTGTCTTACTCGTGCTATTTCAGTTTCCATGTGGTACCGGCCCGTAGCCCCGTCGATTGGGTCACCAAGGCTGCTAATATGGTCGCTCCGGGTGTCCTTATGGGGTCCAAGCTCGGCGCTGGCCAGCGCGGAGTCATCATTGTCTGCATCTGTCTGTTTGCCGGTGATAAGTTTGTGTGCTCGGCCGCGTTGTTCGGAAGGTCTGGCGTGAAGACCGGGGATCTTCTTCGCCTCGTCCTCAGAAACCTCGGCTCTTCTTACGGTTGGGGCTGCCGTCCCTTTCTGGGCTGTCTCAGATGCATCCTTGGGTGCAAATAAAATGTGTTGAAGACGAGACCACATGGCGGTCGACAGCCTCTCTGTCGCAGCCTCCCTCGCCGACTCATGGCGCGACAGATCACCCTGCTGGGCTGTCCGTGATTGGATGATAAAGGACTGGCTGTGCTTAAACAAAAGCTGAAGCAGGGCCAAGTGGTGACCGATGAAGAAGCGGTCCGGCAAGTGGCAGCTTGACTGGACCTTGTCCCGTGGCAGATCTGTAGTGTAGGTGGACCTGGTCAGGGCCTGTCTTGTGAGACCAAGCCTGTCCATAAGGGCTTCGACGGCTGCAACATCGCATTTTGAATCCAGCCAGACGGCACCGAGGATGGCCTCGACGGTAGTGGCCATCCTAGCTTGACTGCGGCAGGGGGAGAGGGTACAGTCCTGGATGCGCATGCGGAAGCCAACTTTTGCGAGGTTGATGTTGCTGAGCGAGGCTCGTTTCAAATGTTGCCACTGGGACCGGGGAAGAAGACCCTGATCATCGTGGCCGTCGTACCACCTAGCTGCCAGCTGGGCGTCGGCAATCCTGTCTCCGGCCAGGGCCAGACGCCGATTGTGGTCGCCAACGGTTAGGGCTTCTCTGATGAATTCTTGATTTCTAAACCTGTAGCCGATGATGCGCTGGCATTCTTCAATGCGGGCCTGGTTCGTCGCGTTCCACAGCGCCGCAGGCGAAGGGAGTTTCATGGTCGGGCGTGGACGTGAAATCTTATGCCATGCCATCGATGCCATCGATGTCCCGTTTCATGTCATCACATTCCAGCACGTTCCTGTTGGATATAATTTGAAGTAGCATTGGCGGCAGAGCGTCGATCAGCCGGCCAGCAATGGATGAGATTGCTGGCTGTGACCCATGAGACCGAGGTCGAGTTGACTTCGGGTTGAGGTCGAGTCAAGGTTAATATTTTCCTCGCCTTGCTCAGAGCATGCGCCGGCACCTACGGGCGGTGGGGTCAGGTGGCCAAGCAGAAAGGACAGTCAGAGCTCTAGGACAAGGCAGGGAATGTGGCACTGAAATGAGTGAAGAGATGAGGCAAGGTGAGTCCATCCAGCAGAGGCTACATGCACAGCGGGATGCCTCGAGATTGTTGGAAGCACTGAGGCATTGATGGACGGTGATGGCCTGGTCGCTCAGAAGATTTGTAGGGCCCCAAGTAGCAACTGGCTAAGTTCTACTGCAGTCAGAGCCAAGGTAGTCAGGGTTAGGGTACTAGCTGTGGGGTGGGGGTACGAGTGGGGGTGGAATTCTTGTTCGCTGAGATTTTCTTGAAGATCATTGTGTGGAATAATTTGATCCGTGTTTGTGCCATCATCGGACTCAGACAGCTCAGTAGCAGCTTGCCCTCCGTATGCTTCGGAGGAGGTCCGCAACGTGCTCATGAGTTTTGAGCAGATCTTGCTCTTGCAACTGTGTGTAGCCAGAAGAAGAGAAGAATCACTCTTCTGGCTCAACTCTGTTCCTGTCTCCAATCAATTCGCGAATTTCACACAGGGAGTCAACTAATCATTGACGAAGTACAATCTGCTTTCTGCACTCTTTCTCACATGGTAGAACACCTGGTCACCTTTCCTGCATATCATGACGTGCCACTACACCAAGAGTGACGCCGAGAGTGCAAGCAGCCCAGGAAGAAACTGCCTCATTTTCTCGGTTTCCGGAGGACAACTACAGCAAGCTGGCTGCCAACTCGAGATTGACTGCACTTGGCCAGTCTACAAGGACTATGGAACATATAGCCTGTATTCTGTTATGCCCTGCGCCTCACAAGGCCTGCGACCATCTTCAATGCCCACTACCAGCGGTGCGATATTACGGTCTTGCTGGCAATAATTAAGATCGTTCACAACCGTCGCAATGTTCCTAGCTAGCCTTTGAGTGGTGCAGAAGGAAGGAAGGCCACGAAGCGCGGGCTGGTTACGACCTTCAAGTCAGGCTCATATGTTCGGCCAGTGGAGCTGTCACATGCAGCTGTGGACCAGCTTTTGCCAGCAACTCTACATCTCATACATAAAGTCCTGCTCATAAATGTACATCTGCTATAACACTATGCAATATGACTACTGAGGCACTATCTAGGTACAGACTTGCTGGTCAGACCTCTATTAAGGCGCGCCTATATATACTGTGAGGTATGGCCACCATATCCTTACTTTCCGCCTTGCAGTGATGGATTAGTCCCAATTTATGTTTCGATGTTTTCTGAATCGTCAAAATTGATGCTGGTGATTTCAACCAGGTCAGTCAATACCGAGTCGGGGTGGTCAGCAGCTAATCACACACTCTTTCATTCTAAACGAGAGATTTGCTTCCGGCATGGATCAGGGCCTTGTCGTAACAGTCGATTTTCACTGCAGCCTCGTGCGCAGCAATCACGAAATAATTGCACCCAGCAAAGCATGCCGCCAAAATGGCTTTTGCTGAGCCAGCCACATCTGAAATAATTACGACTGTACAGAATGCCCCTGAGCGGCCCGTGCCAACACGAAGCCTTGGCTGTGCCCCTGCCCCGGTCCGTTGGGAGACGTTCGGATGAGAATACTACCCTGCTGGAAGCATTGGATTGTGTTCCTGGCATGCTGAGTAAACCTTATTGTCCCACCCATGTGGTGCCCCGCAAGAATATGAGGAGACAGTCACTAGTGCATCGGCAGCAGAAACCTTGGATGTCAAAACCCGCAAAGCTAAACTGATTGTAGCAGGTGCAAGGGGAGCTGTACATTGCAGTGCATCCATGGAGAAGTGATGACTTAATAGATAAGGGAATATACTTCGTGTCATTGGACATCTGCATCGCATCATCTGGTCTCTGTCACCTAGCGATTGCATGATCGATGGCGAGAGGGCCGTTGAGAAGCATGTTCCCCTGAGCACAGGTGCAGCAAGAGGAGCTACCACCCCCGTTTTAATGCCCTCTATACGTATAAATACCATATCCCGAGCTTTGCTCGAGGCTTAGGATGTCGTAGAGATCACGCCTGGTCCTGAGGTGACCCATTCATTGCAAAACGCCGCGTGAGATTGTCGTGCCGGTATAGCGGTTACACGACATCATGTTAGCCCAACTTCTGCTTGCGTCGCTGCTGCCGACATTCTCATTGGGTGCGACCATTCATTCCCACGGAAGCAGTCGTCTTCAGGCCCGACAGAATGCAACTGAGCCGTGTGCTGTTGTCAGCCGCGAATGGGCTGCTCAGAAGGCAGCCAATGTCTCTGGTATGTGCACCTATCAGCCACGCGTGCAGAATCAAGGGACTCAGCGAGCTGACGGACGTTGACGCGCAGGAGTGCCGATCGTAGACGGTCAGCTGGCATACGATTGTCTAAATTCTGTCCCATTGCACGCGGATGATGCTGTCCGATTAGTTCGGTCTATTCAGCCGTACTTAGTGTGGCAGACAAGTGAGTTGCTTGAACGCTGGAAGCATTTGTTCCCAGTTCGGTCAGTGCTGATGCAAGCACCGCAAAAGCCACTTCATATCTACAGGATCCGCCAGCATCGTTTCAATTTCCTGCATTTGATATTCCGGCCGCCTTCGAGGAAATCATCAGCAATATCCAGGGCGGTTTGTATGCCAACGAGTACGAATTCCAGGCCGACCTCTACGCCGCCTTCAATCTAGCCAAAGACGGTCACTTCAGATACTTCCCGGATCTTGTCGCTGCAGCCCTTCAGTTCCGAAGGCAGGACATTGCTTTGGCCTCAGTGAGCCTCGACGGGGTGGCAGTCCCTCAGATCTATGCGGTTTGTAAGTATAAGTACCTGTTCACAAAAGTAAGTGCGCAGATTGACAACATTGCTGAACACATCCGCAGCTGATCTTCGGGCCTACAATAACGGCACATTCACGAACCCATCCCCAGTCACTCAGATCAATGGCGAGGACGCGGTCCCGGTATTGGAGGATTTGTCTCTCCTGGGTGCGCTGCAGGATCGCGATGCTCTCTACAACACCCTTTTCTACTCGCCAGCCTTTTATGCTTCGAATAAGGGCGACTGGCAAGGTTACTTTGGTGGGACCGGCCGCTATGGTAATATCTATCCCAACGCATCTACGTCTCTGACGTTTGAGAACGGCACGACGATCGACATCCCCACTGTTGCACGGGTTGTGGGCGATTTCTCCAACATTACAGATGGAGAATCTTTCTACGCCAAGTACTGCTCGGGTACAGTCCCAGTCACATCGGTAGCTACGCCTACTCCTGTGCCCACGCCTACGCCGGGTGGGAACCTAACGGGTACTACGCCGCTGGGATATCCAACTCCGGTCGTCGTCACATCGGATGGCTCTGCAGCTGGCTACTTCCTCCCAGACAGTGACGTGGCAGTCCTCGCGCTGCTCACCTATGCGCCTGCGATACCGGCCGAGTTCCAGCTCGCAGTTCAAACCCTCATCGAGGACGCCAAGGCTGCCGGGAAGACGAAACTGATAGTAGACGTCTCGGCCAACGGCGGAGGCTATATTTTCCAGGGCCACGATACCTTTCGGCAACTCTTCCCCCAGATACAACAGGATGGCTTCAACCGCTTCCGCTCAAACGAACTCCTGCAGATTGCGGGCAAGCAGTTCTCAGCCGCCATTCCGCCTGGGTTCAATCCTGAGACAAGTGATAACGACACGCTGATCAATATATGGGAGTCGTATCAGAACTTCCGCTTCGATCTGAACTATACCAATCAGTCATTCGTTTCGGTCGAGGACAAGTTCTCCCCGGAGACAATCAACGGCGATGAATTCACCCCAATCCACCGCTGGAACTTTGACGACCCCCTCTTGACCATCAACGAGACCTATGGTATTGGTTTCGACGTGACGGGTTATCGCTCCCGTGCGAACAACTTCACGCAGCCCTTCGCAGCCGAGGACATCATCCTCCTTTACGACGGCTACTGCGCCTCGACATGCACTCTGTTTTCCGAGTTCCTGCGTATCCAGGGTAATGTGCGGTCCGTTACGTTCGGCGGCCGCCCCGGACTGGATGAATCAGGCGAGATCCCCATAATTCAGAACTACGGCGGCGTCAAGGGGAGCAATAATGTCGGCTACAGCTACTTCAATCAGCTCGCCGAAGTCTCGCTGGCAGCTCAGGGCAACGCGCTGAATACCACGTCCGGGCCAGTGGGGCCTCTGTCTGACGACGAGATTGCGTTGTTGGAGCTCAACCTCGACACGTACGCGGCCAATCGCAGCACGGGGACAAGCATCAATGTGCGTGACAACATTCTCAGGTACAATATAGATGACGGTGTGCCCGCGCAGTTCATCTACGAGCCAACGGACTGCAGACTGTTCTACACACCTAAGAGTATCATCGACCCCGAGGAACAGTGGCGGCAGGTAGCGGAGGCGGCTTGGGGAGGTGGAGACTGCGTTGCTGGCTCGCTGGGAACTGGAGAAGACAGGCTGAAGAGGAATGCGGTGCGAAGCGGTGAGAAGTGGAAGAGAAGCGTTGAGCCCAAGGTGATCAGCTTGCCAGACAAGGCGCCCGTGAGGACCCTCTGGTGGGAGGCGCAGTACGAAACAAGTGTGCCTTACTAAACGCCGCGGTCGCAATGTTCAAATTGGGTCCTTCTGCAAGACTAGACTATCTAGGGAGGAGAATGTCGTACCAGTGATCATTCAAATGTACAACTCACGTACGTTCAGTTCCAAAGTCACACACAAAGCTTTTCTTTTTCCTCTTGCTGCCCGCCCATTACACGTCCAACGTACTTCAACTATGGTAAAAGCCCTTATGTCCGTACATCGTCGCAATTCTACCCGACTCTCGTAGGCATAGGTGCCAAATCTGACTTACTGGCGTCCGTAATTCCAGCAGTAGAAATGGAAAACCACTAGTCGACATCGCGAGGCGTCTTCAGCTTGCCGCGTCTCTCCAAGGAGTCAAGGTAGTTCTTCACATCAATGTCCTTCTGCTCCTGCTCCAGAACCTCGCGGTTGCCAACGCAAAGATTCAGGAGTTTGTCGTAGTCTCCCGCCTCCCAAAGGTCGTACTCGAGGACAGTGGCCGTGTTCATGCCTAATAGCTTGCTGGCGTCGTAATTGACGGTCTTGCTCTTGATGCGACGTACGACGTAGCTAATACGCGTATTGACCAAGCCTTTCAGTCTGGCATTGTCGTCAGCGGAGAGAGGAGTCATGACGAGAGCCTCTAACAGCGATGGATTGCGAAGCAAGAGTGACTTGAGACCCGTGGAGGCAAACCACAAAAGCGTGCCGATCTTTCCGTAGCGCCTGATATTGACATCAGAGACCACCTCAGGCTGGATTTCGAGGCGCAGCTGGCTGGTGAGGTTGACCCAGAATCTCTTGGGCTCGTACAAGCTCTTCGCACTCTTTACCTTTATCTCGATCTCTTGCGCCCGGTAGCTGAAGAAGCTGCGGACCTCCTTCTGAACCTCGGATGGCGACAGACGGGCTAGAAGTCCAGGCTTGAGTGACTCCTGGTGGCTTGGGACGTAGTCCTTGACCAAGTACTTGAACATGCTGAGGTACTTCTCAGCAGGCTCCTGTTCTCTATACTTTCTGTACTCTTCCTCGTACTGGGAGACATACAGCTGGAGCTTGTCCGGGTCGAAGAAATGATTCTTGGCACAAATAAGTGCACTCATCTGTTCAGCATTCTCAAACTTCAAGTCGCTCCACTTTTGATCGATGCTGAGCATTCCCGCGAAGCGCAAGAGCTCGGTGGGATCCAGGGACAGCGGGATATCGCACCACTTCTTGCCACCCTTGACCATGAGGTAGCCTTGCTCAACAGCCTCTTCGATATCGTGAGGCCGCAAGATGAGGCCGTCGTAGTTGTGTTCTGGTCGGAGCTGGTGGCGAAGGCCGTGGTCGCGCAGGATCGCTTTCATGATGGGGCGCATGCAGCCATAGGAGATCCAGTATGCATTCCACTCGGCGACCATCGGGTCCTTGTACTGCTGAACATCAACCTGGATAACGTCCATGTCTTGGGGCCCGTCGCTCGTGCGGTCCCAACGAGTGTCGTCAAAGTTGACCGGACGGGTGGGCAGGTCGGCAGCGAACTCTCCCGGCCAGGAGATGGCGTAGTATACCCACTCTCGGTCGGCATCGTTGATGTCAATGGCTCCTATGAGACCGGCAAGATCTTGCTTGGTGAGAAGCTTGCCTTCGAAGGGCTTGCCGACGATGACATCGAGGTCGCCATGATCCGTCTTGCCAGGGACGCCGGGAGGGACGATGACGACGCCGAACTTGGTGCGCAAATTGGCTGTGACCTGCTCGAGAACGTGTCTGTAAACACGCTTCGGCATTCGAGGGGTGTAATGCCACTTGAATGCGTTTCCTCCCATTTTGAAGCACCAATTTCTGAAGGCAGGGAACAAGTGGGCTGCCGCAAGACGAGGTGCTGAGGGCCAGAGGCGAGGCCAAGGGGTGCTTGCCAATGGTATCGTGTACGTACTTGTGTATGCGTGACGTGAAGTGATTTGAGGGTCAAAACTGACCTCCAGCAGCTGGTGAAGACAGATAGATTTGCCACCAGCTTGCTTCAGCTTGCTTGAGCTTGCTTGGCCGGTGTCATGTGGTGGTGGTGGAGTTGGTGGTGGCGATAGAGATGATGTGTTGTGTGTGCAGTGCTGTGCTGTGACAAGGGATTCAGGTCGACTCCCCCAGCAAGATTCTTTTTTCAAGCTTTTCTGGTCCAGGAAATTGTGGTTGTGATTTTTAGGGCACTTACCGAGTGCTTGCTTATGTCGCTGTCTTCACTCACTCCCTCCCTCCCCAAGCCCCTCGTGGTGTGGGAAGTCAAGCCGGCCGAGTAGCCTGCGAGCACACACCGCATCAGTCCCGAGAAAAAGAAAAGAGCTGTCATGCACCCCAGGGCTTCTGATTCTTTGATATGTGTTACATTCAGCTGCTCACCAGAAGGGTGCACTTACTCAAAATCTGGATGCTGGCAGTCCATTCTTGGTTGGCCTTGAAGATCCCAGGGCAAACCCAGAGCATGTGCTGCTTTGCCCACCAGCAACATCCAAGACAAGTGAGTGTGATCAAGAAGAAGAATAAATACATTGTGAGAACATTCTGCCCTATTGTACGATTGCTATCGGAATGAAACCGTTCTGTGGCCTCGGTCTCTCTGGCATGGCCCCATTACGTCTCGTGGCCCAGCAGGCTATTCCTCAGCTTGTCCAGAGAGTTGGTCAGCTCGTCCTCTAGATCCTTCTGCCACACCCAATCCATCCTGTTCAGTAGAGTCTCCCGAATCTTCTCCTTGTCCGTGCCAAACACAGGGTGCTCGAGGTCGTACAGCTGGCCAGTCTCCCTCGAGTCCTCCACTAGCCGCAGCGTCCTCTCCCGTCGCGTGGCATCGTACACTCTGAACGCCGCAGAAATCGCTTTGCTAGCGTCCACATGTTCGCCCGCAAGAGCCTCTGAGACGAGCTGGCCCAAGACCAACGAGTCCTCGATGGCCATGCCCGCACCCGAGCCCTTGTGTGGTGTGGTCGCGTGCGCCGCATCCCCGATGATGCACACCCGTCCACCATCGGACACATAAGTTGGTGCTGGCGGGTGGTTGAAGAGAGCCCAGATGTCGTTCTTGCGCATCAGCGAGATGATCTTGGTGGCGGTGGGTGACCAGCCTTCGAAGTCGGCCTTCATTTGCTCAGGGTTGGCCTCCACCACCCAACGATCGTCATGCCATTCCTTGGCTGAGGCAAATGCGACAACTGCAGGCTTTTGTCAGTGACGATCCAAGTTAACAATACGGAATCCGCCACTTACCATTCATCAGCTTGCCCTTCTCAATGGCGAACGTGAGGATGTGGCCGTGTCGGCCTAGGTACATTTGAGCATTCTTGGCCATCTCCTCGCCCAGCAGAGACACAGCCTCATCCATCGGGATCAGACCACGGTAGCAGAACTTGCCGCTGAATGTCGCATTCGCGTTCTCCGGTTTCGACGTCTCAGCCAACAACGTCTTCCGGATGTTGGACTTGATCCCGTCGCATCCAATGACCGCGTCATGGATCTCGTCGTCTCCCTCTTTGAAGTGCAGCGTCACTTTGCCGTCCTCGCTCTCGGTGTAATGCGTCACCCTCCTGCCGAACTTAGCGACACCGTCAGGGACGTGCTTGATCAGCTCGTCCAGGAAGTCGCTCCTCTTGACACCGCGCTGGCCGCCTGAACACTTTACAGTGGCGATGAGCTCTCCCGTGGCGTCTGCGCCTTCTCCCCCCTCGACCTGGTACTTGCCATCGACGCTCTCGCCAAATCTGAAGTCAAACCACACGTCCTGTTTGGACTCGAACTGGTTCCTCGTCTCCGTCTTTTCGAAGGCGGCGTACACCTCTGGTCCGATGGCCTTCATGGCGCGGGAGGCATTGGGCCCAAAGGACACTCCAGCTCCGATCTCGGCAAACGCATGGGCGGACTCATATATGGTGACTGAGTACTTTGGCTGCGATGATGATGGTGACTTGGAGCGCTTGATGAGATTCAGCGCGAGCGTCAGGCCGGCGATGCCACCACCCACAATGGCGATGGACGGGACTGGCTTCGTGGGCGACATGCTGACGTGCTGTGTGGTGTCAGATGAATGAGAAGTTCGTCGAGCCAGCTAGGTATGAGCTCTTAATAAGACAAAGGCTAATGAGGGGGTTTGATGACAGTCAAGTGAGAGATCGAAGCCTTTCTTTTCTGACCCTGAATATCAATGCTGTTGCCCTTTCTGAAAGAGATCTCTTGGCACGGAGCAACACTGATGATCCTTTCTAAATCAATAAGTGATGAAGTCTTCGTGTAATGCCCTTAATGCGAGTGGTTTACGCTTTTGGGTCGTGACGTTGTCGAGGGTCCAGGGATGGATGGAGTCCAGATATCAAACCCCACTCTAGTCCATTCTGACCGAAATTTCAAGATGAATGAATCGGCAAGTTTATTTAAGTGCCCGGGTGCGCGGCTCGCTTTGACGTCACGAGGAGGGCTCAAATCCGGAGTGCAGCAGCGATCCGCTTGACAAAAGGCGGAGAGATCGTGGGTTATGCTGAAGCAATCCCTACTTCCGAGAGCCCTGAAGTGCTCACTTGCATCCGTCAAGGACATTGTTTCGGCAAGCATGAGCGTGCGGGTCCCATCGTGGTGTAGAAATCGGGAATGGAACAGGCGTGATTGGCGGCTCGATGTTATATCGCCGAGGCACATGCATAGGCATGGCCCCGGAGCCCGGAAAAGGGAAATAACCAGCAGGTAGTCTTCCGCACTTTGTCCTACGTGGCAGTCTAAATGGGTGCGTTGATCGAATTATGTTGAATCCAGGATTAATATGTCCTGCGGGCTGTAGTTCGGCAAGTCCGGTAAAGCGTCCTTGAGAATGATATGTACAAACCCCCACTAGATACGTCGGCAAATGCACCCGGAAAGGGACAGCGGTTGACCCGATCGGCATCGCTAACATTCAAGCGACTACATAACGGCAACTCCCGTTGAACGAGCAATATTCCCGCACAATATGCGGTGGACAATTTCCTCTCAAGCAATAAAACGCGTGGTTGCGCAAATAAGATACGTATTAAAGTTGAGCTCTCCAGCTCACCGGCGGACATATCTAAAGAAGTCGATGGTGGCAATGCTCGAGGGTGATCAATCTATCTTTACTCAGCAAGTTTTCAATTTCTTCACGCCAGTTTGGGCGATCACATCATATATAAGACTCTTCTCAATATTGTTGATTTGATATTGAACCAAATTGATTGGGTGTTTATTCTTATCTTTTCCTCATTGCGCACAGAAATTGGCTTAAGGGATTAATCTCTTTGAAGCTGTGAGTATTCACTCCCATTGTCGACTCCCAATTTGCCGCACTTGGGAGGCCACAGATCATCTAGGTAGAAATCAAACAGATAATGGCGCAAGATATATACCAGTCGAGTAACAGCACAGGACAGGAATGTGTCGAAGGCGCATCGCGATCCACATCTTGGTATCATGCAATCTATATGGAGGTACCACCTTGATACCAGCCCATTCATGAGTACTCGAGGTCCGCAACTCCTTGCTAATTTGGTCTTTCTGAGGTTATGGGGTCTTGAGTGCCTGAGTTCCTGATTCAGCTTGTGCCATGCCGTTTTTGGCATTCACAGCCTCACGTCCTTGTCCGAATATTCAGCTCTAGCGATCCTATGCAGCCACGGACAAACCATCCCAAACAACAGCCTCTTCTAACACAGCACCAGCCCCCTCAGCAAAGCATTCCAACTCTTCGCACCTCGCATCCTCAAGGTAGACCCTCGTCGTAATGACGGCTCTATTGTTGACAAACACTTCAAGCACACTGCCGTCATAGAAGACATTCACCATTAGCTTCTCCTCAACCTCGGCGCCGGTCTGCGCATCGTGCGTTGTGAAGAGCGTGAAGGGCGCCGTCTCAGACTGCAGCTTCGTGTCCTTCTCGCCACCCTTGTAGGATGGTGGGACGTAAAAATCCGGACGCTCGATGATGAAAGTCTCGTCGGCCGGCGTGAAGTATAGTTTGGTTGACTGAGAGGTGCTAGCATGGTGGATGATCAGACCAACGCGCTCGCTGGACGAAACCGATGAGAAAGATGCTTGTGCTTCCCACTGTGCTGTATGCAAGGCCACAGAGCTCTGTGCTGTCCGTGTTTTTGAGTTGAGCGCGCCAGGCTGAGCTGTTCGTCTTGTTGCAGCGCTGCGCAACCTCTGCAGCCGCGAATCGGGTGCTATGCCGAGGGTGTGCACGGTGAAAGTTCCATCTTGTCCAGGAACTGGCGTCACCTTGATATTTGTGATACTCTTCAGGTCAGACTTGTTTGCCCGTACCACGTTGTTAATCGTCGTGAGCGAGACGACCCTCGGGAGAGAAAGACACCCGCTCCAGCCTTGGTTAGCCTGCATTTCAATGGGTATGTCGTCCTCTGTCACCCAGCCGATGACGATCTGTTGCTGTGTCACCGGGTCAAAGAAGCCGTTGGCTGCGTAGTACAGTCCGTGGTCGAAGGCACCACCGTAGGAGAACTCCGTCAACGCCTCATACTCAGACGGACCCTCAGCAGGATCAATGCCAATCCATAGCTGCGCTCGTGGGCATCTCTTTGTGCCGGGAACAACGCCGGAGCCGCCATGTGGGGGTCGACAGCCCTCGGCGCCAAAGATGAGGAAGTCTTGATGGTGTTTCTTGTCTGCAGAGTTCAGGGATAGGAAGTTTGTCACTTCCCAGTTCACGCCAAGGTCACCAGTCCAGCGTGAAGGCGCATAGTTAAGGCCTGGTGTTGTGAGCGGCGCAACGTACGACCAGTTGGTCAGGTCAGTGGGGTCGACCTTGTAGAGGAAGGTAGTAGGAGTCTTAGAGCGGATCCCCCCCGAGATGATTCCAAACAGCGGCTCCTGCTCCTGCTCCTGCTCCTCTGCCACATCCACTCCATTCTGCCTAGGTCTGTGCTTGGCCAGAAGTTCCCTCGCTGCGGGCCAGGTTGCAACATAGGGGTCTCGCCACCCGGTAACTGCAATGTCTTCTGGTGGGCCGGGCAGAATGGGATTGGAGGCATGTTTGATCCATGTGTTGCCGCCATCTGCGCTTGTTGCGAGACTCAGTGTCTCGCAGCCTCGATGATAATCTTTTGTGTAGTGTATTGGTAGCCTTGAAACACTTGTGTAAATGAAGCTGACCTCTTCTTTACTGCCTGCGTCACCTCTGTGCTTTCTATCTAGGCCTGTTGGCCTCCAGCATCCCGTGAATACGCCCTCGGAGTCATACGGGGCATCCCTTTTCAAACTTGGCGCCTCGGGGACTTCCCAAGATACCAGGTCTGATGAGAAAGCTTTCCCCCAAACAATATCCCCCCATTCGGCTCCATTCGGGTTCCATTGGAAACCAACGTGATATGTGTTTGTTGATGGAATGTAACCTGGGGCACAGGGGTCGTTCATCCACCCTCTTGGTGCGATGAGATGGTATGATGGCCGCCAGCGAGCGTAGTCTTTGGGGGACAACTTTGTGCCGCTAAGATGGCGAGGCACCCGCTCTTCTGGTGGCGTGACTGAACCCATGATATGCGCTTGTAGATGGGTGTCAGATGTGAAAGGGTAGTGATCAAGGAGGGGCTCGGCGCAGGACAGCGCAGCTTTTACCGTGTGATATACGATTGAGGCGAATAATGTTGGTTGAGTGACAAACTGACAAGGACGACGTAGAGGATCCAGAATAGGAAAAGTCGGAGGACAGAACAAGGACAATTGGGCTAGAAGTAAAAGGGAACTACGGATCTTTAGCGGCCGGTGCTCGAATCTCCACCGGCTGGCTGCACCGTCGGATGAATCTTGTCGGAGCGAAACACCGAGAATTGTCCCCCGGGCAAAGCCTCCTGGCCCGTGAAGCCGATCGACGGCCTGTCCACCGTGTGGTAGCACCGCACTCTATGGTGCAACGATCTGCCAGGGAAGCGTGGCCCGAAATAGACCTTGTGTCTACTATAGTAGCATGCTGACTCGGATATTGTTTGAGCCGGCATAGTTGGTCATGTAGAACGCGGATCCCCCTGATTTCGAGATGCTATTTCATCTCGACCTAATGAGCAGGAATCGGATTTTCTTTCATCTACCGTAATGATCTCACCAGGGACGCTTTTGCCGAACTCACACAATCATCCTTCCCTGTTCTCAAAGTGCTGTAAGCAGATGAGCCAGCTTGGGGGGAAAATGAAAACTAGTCACGAGACAATGCCAAGGGGGTTTCCCCGAAGATTGCCCCAGATTTCTCCCGCTCCGCCCCGCCGTAGGATTCGCATAATGGTGAATGTCCGCAGTCGAACGTTCTTCAAGTCTTGGGACCATGTCTCCCCACGCCCTCTCCGCCTCTCTCCGCAAGATCGGCGCATATTACGATCCGGAGGTTTACTCTCGACCTGGTCGACGAGGGGTGAGCCTCGTGGCAGGGACCCACTGGCTCGTCATCACCAGAGCAAGATCAAGACTTGAATTGAGACAATTTCTGAGCTAATAAGCGTGCCGGATGTATAGAGTTTGCCATTCGTCCCCCTCAGACTGGTCAAGCAGGTACATACACCGGAAAATGCCCGCTTCCAGGGCATCCCTTATTCCAAAACAAGGCCCAACTCTTGGCCTACCAGCGCATTGTACTTGGTCAGGAAGACATGCTGCCCCGCCCGTATGGTCTTGAACAGCTCCAGGTAGCCCTTTAGTAACGGTTTACGATGGTGTATGTTGTGTACGTGCATGTGGTGTTGTGAACCGCCAACGCCGTGATTCACGCTCGCACTCCTGCCACCATCCGTCCCGCCTTGGCCGTCCTCGGCCGCTTCCCAGTACTGAATCGCAGCGATGGCGCTCTCCACTACGGTGTACAGCTTCTCGATCATGCCAATCCCGTGCACCTCGATGCTTGCCAGCGGCGTCGTCTGGCATATCCTCAGGGTGTTCTCGGCTATCGACACTGCGTTGTAGATGGAAAGTGCCGCATGTCCCGACTGGGGGACAAGAAGCTTGTGTGAAAGGCACAAGTGCCAGAGGCGGTTTAGCAGCCACTGCTGGTTCACCAGAATATCAGCCTGCTGAGACGAAGTGGCGGTTGCCGCAGAGAGCCACGATGGTACGGGTGGCGGTGGCTTCTCTGCGGACAAGGTTGTCGCTGACTGCGATGGCTTCAGAGCCGCCGTGGCCACCGACGAGTTCTTCCCTTCGAGGTTGTGACGGTCGATCTGGTCGTAGATCATGACGGCGGTCCGTTCGTTGAGGAAACGGCAGCCGCCCAGGTCATTCTTACAGTGGCCGTTCCAACACCGTAAGAAGTCCTCATTTATTGGGTCAAAGAGTCTCATGAGGTGTAGGAGGCCTAGCATTCCAGCCGACTCGGCGTCGTCCTGGATGACAATGCCGGAGGAATCAGCGCTGTCGGCAATGCCAGAGATGGATTCTAGTAGGGAATGCGTCAAGATGCTGGGCTCGCCTACGAAGCCAACAGAGTGATGGCGCTGGAGACCGTATGCTCTGTAGTGATGTTAAAGTCATCGTCTGCCGATGGGACTTTGCTTGATGCCTACCTTTCTGTCACGGACAGCAGGTAGTAAACCCTTAGCCGCTGCTGCTTCTGCTCGGGCGAACAGTTCAGGTAGCAGTCGAACTTGTCCAGCCCGAAGATACACCCAAGCTCAACAGCCTCCCTCATCCTCAGCCAGGCGGCGTTGTGCTGCCCCTTCTGGAACAGACAGGCGAATAGGAACACCGAGGTGAAGATCATGTCCATGGTCGGGGACTGGCCGAAGTCGACGACGGTGCGCATCCTAACCGCCTCCATGAGCAACAGGTCAACCATCTGCTGCCGCGAGGAGGACGAGGCGCTCTGCTGCTCACTCACGCGGACAGGCTGGATAAGACCGAAGGCAGAAAGGGAGAGGAGCATGGCGCCAAAGTCCGGGTTGGTGCGGTGCTCCTGGGCCAGGAGACGGGCAAAGACGGAGGAGCGCTTGAGGATGGGCAGGGTCGGATACAGGCGCTCAAAGTAGATATCCAGCCAGCGAATGAGGTTTTCGTCGGTGATGACGGCCGGCCAACCGCTCGTTGGCACGGCCAGGACATTGCTGCTGCTTGCCGGGGAGGCGTGTGTGATAGGAGGATGGCCGGTGACGTTGTTGAGGGAGTGGTTGTTGTACTGGGACTGCCGCAAGGAGAAGACGAGGTCGTCGAATGTGTTGGAGGCAGCGCTCCCGGCGCGGCCATCCGGGGAATCAGAAGCAGTCGGGCCGGCAAGCGAGGCCGAGGCGGGCCCGAACGAGGCAAGCATGCCGTCCCATGACGGGGTCAGCCCTGAGACCTGGTCGGCAGCACTTGGCAAGCCGCTGGAATCAGTACCGAACATGAACTGGTCTTGCTGATGTTGCTGGTGCTGTTGTTGCTGCTGGTTCTGCTGAGTGATGCCGCGGGTGTTTCCGGGACTTGCTTCGGCGGCTTCATGGTTAGAGACGGAGAGGACAGGGGCCGAGGGGGAGAACGACGATGCCACGGAGGTGGACTCGGCGTTTCGGATTCGCTTTTGCTCGCGCTCCCGGATCTCATTGAGGCGGCTGTTGACGTAACAAAGTAGATGATGAGTGCCCAGCCAAATGCAGATAGATAGAGACGAACGAATCGCAGAATAAATGGATATGTATGGATGGAGGGGGGTAGGCAGGTAGGGGGGGTGAGTGGACGAGGGTGGATAGTGCAGGATGGATAGACGTCACGATGTCCGGCATGGTACGTTATAGGTACGAGACCTTCCTCCCTTTTCATGCTATGCACGTGGCTTACCGTCCAGCAGGGCCCCTCTTGCGATGGGGAGTAGCATAGGTGCACTCGAAACCGCGCGAGGCACAGTTTGTGCATGGGTTGGTCAGGTCACACTACTGAGATGGTCAATATACACACAGCACAATCTGATGTGTCTGGACACATATACATGCACATGCAACACGTGCCGGGATCTACACGCCGCCAACCATCGACCATGGGATGGGTTGTAGCGCCGAGTGTGTATATGTACATTATATAAGTGTGAAAAGCGCGAGAGATGGAGTGTGAGTGTGTGCGTGTATATGTGTGCGTCTGTGTCTATCACAAGCTTCATACCTTGGTCTTCCGCAGACGGCAGTTATCGCAGGCCTTCTTCACAGTCGTCTGCTGTAGCGGCTGCTGCTGCTGGTTCTGACTCTGATGCTGAGGTTCATGCTGCGGCTGTTGCTGTTGAAGATGGTGATGTTGATGATGTTGTAGGGCCGGCCTGGCCTCGGAGGTGGTCGGCCGTTGTGGGGACAGAGACGGGGACGAGGATGAGTTTGCCATTCATACCTCAGTCACACAACATCAGACCAGAGTCTGATTGGGATTGGGATCGGGATCTGGATCTGGGATTCGGATCAATGGGGAGGAGGAGCGTGGAGAATTCGTGTCTCGGCTGCTGTCAGTTGTCATGTCAAGCTGGTCCTGGCCCGGTTCGATGGCGCCCAAGTCCCAGCCCAAGCCAAGACAAGCCCTACTGTCCTCTGTGGCCGGAGCAGCCGACCAGGCGACCAGCCTCTCCAACGCCCGGCCGGAGAAACTCTAGCTCCACCGGTTGCTTCCGAGATTGTCCCTCGGTTTCCCCTTTGGGCCACTGTTTCATGCTGCCGGCGCCAAGTCCCCCCCACAAATAGAACGAGAGCTACCTTTTCCCTGGAATTTCTGGGGCCCCGCACGTGCGAAACTGAATCGTGCTGGCTTTCTTTGTGTCTGTCTGCCTTCTGGTGTTGCCTGCTGCAATGTCAGCTCAGCTGCTGTTCAGCGCTGTGTGGTCGGTCGTATGCAGCCAGCCTCACCCCCCTAGTCTCCCCCCTGGCTGACTACTACACATAGGGCTGCAGAGCCGGGAGAACTACATACAGTACTGTACTCGACTCGACTTACACGCACATGAACATGTTCATCGTCTGATCCTAATTGTCGACTCGTGGCTTGTACCGCGTACCAGGCGCGGTGCATGTGTATATAACAATCCCACCGCCGCCTCAACTTCCCCGGATTTGACTCTGCAAGTGCTCAGACCTCACCTTACCAAGCACGGTCCATTCTCCTTGCTTCATTTTTCCTTTTCTCAACTCTATCTCTACATCTCATCATCTCTCTCTCCTCCTTAGACACAGCACAGCGCAGTCCTGTGCCTGACCTGTCACCATGAGTCCAACTATGAGCATAGACATGGATGACCAGAAGACCGGCATCGAGAAGACCGATGCCCTCGGAGCCATGCATCACGAGGAGCCCCCGATGCCCGTTGTTGCTCAGGGCAATGCCGTCAACCCTTTCCTGTGAGTAGCCCTGGATATTATCCACTACCTCGTGTCTCGTGCCTGTCAGCGTTCTTCTATGGGCCTATTCATTAGCTAACCTCGAGTCTTTCTTTCCCTTTCACAGTATCTTTGCCTGCGTAACGTTTGCCGCGGCATCGTTCCTCTTCGGATACGACGACAAGGTCATCTCGCCAATCATCGCACTGAAGCCATTTGTAAGTCACTGTGGTGTGGATTAGCGTACACACAGAGCATGAGGCTGACCTCGCCTGTCTCTCCCAGGTCGAGAAATATCAAGGAGTCAACGAGGCAACAGGCGAATTCGTTTTCACAGCACGCAACCAGTCGCTGCTCCTCTCCATTCCTCTGGTCGGGTCCATCATCGGCGCCCTGCTCGCATATCCGCTGAACAACTTACTCGGGCGGAAATGGCCTCTTCTCATTGCCTACATCATCTCAATCGGCGGCACCCTCCTTCAGATCTTCTCCCCGAATCTTGGCGCCTTCGTCGGCGGCCGGTCCATCGTCGCCATCTCGATGGGTATTGCCAATGCAACCGCTCCTCTGTACCTCTCTGAAGTGGTCCCGGTCGCCATTCGCGGCCGTGTCGTCGCTTGTATCAACATCATGAACCTGCTCTCTGGCGTCGTGGCCACGTGTGTCGTTTTTGCCACAAGCGAGCGCACCGACAAGCTGTCTTACGAGGTTCCCCTGGCCGTCCAGTGCGCGCTGCCCGGCCTTCTCATCCCGCCCACCATGATCCTGCCCGAGTCTCCTCAGTGGCTCATCGGCAAGGATAAGTTTGAGCAGGCTCTTGCCGCCCTGCGCAAGCTCCGTGGCAACTCCGACGCCGAGGTTGCCGATGAGTTGCGCGTCATGAAACTCTGCCAGGATAACGAGCGGTCCCTCACCAACGACGTCTCCTTCTGGAACATCTTCGACAAGCAGAATATTAAGCGTACCATCACTGCTGGCTCCTTTTTCTCCTTCAACCAGATCTCCGGCGTCTTCCTTTCCACGACCTACGCCACTGTGTTCCTGCAGGACATCAACGTCGCCTCTCCCTTCGCCCTTACGATCATCGCCGCGTGCTGCACCCTTGCTGGCTGCTGCGTCGCTCCCCTGGTCATCGAGAGGCTTGGTCGTCGCCCGCTCGCCATGTCCGGCATGGGCATGCTCTTCATTCTGGACGTCATTGCTGGTGGCCTGGCCTTCCGCATCTCAGAGCCCTCTTACGCCGTCGGTGTTGCAGCCTGTTCCTTCATGTTCAACTTCTTCTGGGGCGCATCCTTCTACTCCCTGTCCAACGTCATGCCCTCCGAAATTCCTACGACGAAGTTGCGAAGCTACACCATGTCTTATACTATCGCGTGGGCCCAGACTACAGCGGTCATCACGACCGTTGTCGTGCCGCAGATAACTGCCGCAGACGCAGGTGGCCTCGGTGCTAAGACATATCTTGTAAGTTCCATAATGTGCTTGCCTGCGCTGCCCTTTGTACCTTTTGCTGACTACGACATCTTCAGGTCTTTGCTGGCTGTATGCTGGGAGTCATCACCTTTGTCTACTTCCTGCTCCCCGAGACGAGAGGCAGAACTTTCGCCGAAATTGACGAGATGTACGACGCCAAGATTCCGATGTGGAAGTGGAGGAATTACGAAACATCAACGACCGCGAAGACGGCCAAAAAGATCGAGATCTAGAAGTGTGGTGTACGATAGGCAAAAAATACAGTGTACCTATATAATGTATGATGAAGAGATGAGGATACCCACTCAATCGCATAGAGAAGTTTTCATGTTGTTTCAGCGTGCTTGGTCGCATGAAAATATTAACACACATTCATCCTTCCATGGCCACCAGGGGATGTCAATGATGGCCGAACGCTGGACGTGGCGCGGATCAATGCCCCTTTCTCACGTCCTGGCATCGTCCTCTACTTCCAGTGTGGACTTTGTGACCCATGTGTCGCTAGAGAGCATTGGAGCCGCAAGAAGGGCCCCAAGAAAATTGCAAGATGGTCCCTACAACTTGCAGACTATCGCCTTGTCGTAATTGCAACCACATGCGAGTGATTTGCGGCCCCGTGCCACCGTCAAAATATGGCTTTAAGACCTCGAGCTCTAGCATAACCCGAGTCGATGATTGCCCAGGTCAAAGTCTTTCAGCTCCACACAAATATGGACCTCAGAAAAACATAAAAGAGGGGCGCTGTATTGCCCAATAAAAAAGTGTCTCAGGCCCTTCGACTATGCGACTATTACAGGCATCACAATCTTATGATAGAATATTAAGCTTGTCTGTTACAATGACTCGGGCCTGCATTGCCAAAGTCTGGTGTGAACAGAACTTTCCAATCCTTGACCATCAGATACGTGACTCCCAACCGCGCACAGATTTGTAATGTTAATGAAGCTCGGTTGAGCTTCGTGAGGAGAGAGCCTAGCACAATGTACGCACTTCTTTTTAGGAGGATAGTTCGGAAGTGTCTCTCATTTCTCGAAGCAAGTTTCATGTTTGCTAACCATGTTGCCTTGTGGTATAATTTCTTCTCAACCACAGAGTACTGCGAAGCATGGTAGATGAGCGGGCTAGCTGAAATACTGAGTCAGAACATCTTGCTATGGACAGATGAGTGACAAGAGCAACAGGTACTTAACATAACTACCTCACCAAGACATGTCGCACAAATCCCGTGCAATATCGTAACATCATGTCAGACTTATAATTGGCGTGTAGCTAGCTATGTCCAAAACAGAACGTGAAATGGATTTCGGTATCTGAGGCAAACTTGTGGATTCAGCAACAATTTCTACAATGACCTATATTCCATTCCGAGCTTCCTGACCAGAACCCTTCCGTGCTAACTGCTGGCTAAATTTGCTCTTTGGGCTTGGACGTCTTCCGAGCTGTTTCCTCACAATTACGAATATCAAAGACTACTACATTCCACAGTGCCATATCAACAAGATCACAAAGAACACAAATAGTTTAGGTATTGCTTCGGTCTTATTAAGGGAATAAACAAGAAATCTATCAGTCTATCTTTGGATTTTCGTTTTCGAAAAGGAAAGACAAAGGAGAGCGGACACAGCCAGAGTTTCCGGACCAGTTCCCAGACAAACAAAAATCCCAAATTAAATCAAGTGGGTCATGGTCCTCTCTTGCCACATCCTAACGCCAGAACGCCTCGCTTTCCACGAAGAAAAAATGAGGAGAGAAGAAGAAACGAGAAGGAGAATCCCGCCTGTGCTCAAATACCCGCTGATTGTTTTTCTGTCATGTCTCCACTCCCGCCTCATTATTCAGCCTTGCTGCCCCTGATTTGAAGAAATTATACAGCCCACCCACCCTCACCAATCGGACCAAGAAGGCCCGCTTAGTAAAAAGACAGGTGACCGACTACCTCTTCACCATAACGAGCTCGCCCGCCTCTTCATCACCCACAACGGCACTGTCCTGGCTCGCAATGTGCCACCTCAACCCTTCCAGCTTCGCCCGTCCGATCCACTTATGGGCCGGTAACGTGTCGAACCGGTCCTTGTAGCCAGACTGCTCCACCATGGGTAGCACGTCCGCCATCTCGACCCTCATCTCGCAACGGTGGTGGACATACCGTGCTGTGTTCCCGTCTGATATTGCATCAGTAGTAGCAGAATCGATACTGGCGCTAACAATCCGTTGGGCGAGGTCTTCCACCTGGATGAGGTCAAACGCGCCCTCCCAGCCAGACTGTGACGGAAGAAGCTGGATCTTCTTAGTGATTTCCTTGAATTGGCTAACAAGGTCCTCGAACATGGCCTCCGTCGGCTCGGCACCGTCACCTGCAGGTACGACACGGTGAATGGTGACAGGAACGCCAATCTGAGAGGCCGCCTTCTCGAGGTGCTTTTCGCTGGCCCACTTAGAAGACACGTAGCCCTCGGATCCATCCTTGGGGGGCTGTGCTGTGACAGATGTCGGCGCGTGCGTGACAGCGTCGTTATTTCCTTGCTTGTCGGCATCAAGATTGAGAACGCCACCCGACGAGATAAAGTGTACCGGTATTTTGCGAGTCGTTGCAAGTCGTACGATGCTGCGAGTAGAGGTGTAGTTGGATCCCTTGAGAAGCTGGAAGTAGTCGAAGAAGGACCTATTGGCGCCGCTGTGAACTATGATATCGACTTCGCCGGCGAGCCGGTCAAAATCGGACTCCGACATTCCGAGGAAAGGTTCGGACATCTCTCCTGGGTGAACAACAATCTTGGGCCCTGAAGGTGCAGCACGGGTGGGCTTGTCGCGAACAGCGACACAGTGAATCCGGGCGACACGATCGTCTGCCGCGAGCTGATTCAAGATGTGCTTGCCCAAGAATCCCGTCGTACCCGTCATCAATATTGTTGCGCCATCGCCAGCTTTGCTGACAGCATGTTGCAAGCTGTCATCCGCCTTGTCAAGAATATCTTGATCAATGGCTATCTCGTCCTCCCAACAAATGGTCTGATCCAATTTCTCCGCCGAAGAAATCTTCGCAGCCATGGAGCCAAGGGTGTTGTTCTCAAATAACTCAACCAGTGACAGCGCAGCGGCGAAGCGCGTACGGATCATGATCTGCAACTTTACAAGCAGCAACGAGTTGCCACCAACCTCGAAGAAAGTGGTCATATCGTTGACTGACACCAGCTTGATGATGTCCTTCGGAACTATATCGATCCACAAAGACTTAAGGGCCTTCTCGGTCTCACTTAGGGTAAAGGTCGTCTTATCTTCCGAGGCGGTCGGCAGCGGTATTTCGCCAACCGCCCGTCGGTCTGTCTTGCCGTGGGAGTTGAGAGGGATAGTCTCCAGTGGTACAAGCATGTTCGGGATCATGTACAGCGGCAGTGCCAGTTTGTAGCGCAGGCTGCGTAAAAATTGCCCGGCATTCTCGGTCTGGGCGCCCGGAGCGAACTCGACGAAGCCGACCAAGAGCTCGTTGCGGACGGAGACGACGGCCCGGTGAATCACACCGGGGGCAGCCTGAATGATGGAGCTTTCGATATCTTCGAGTTCGATTCGGATGCCACGCAGCTTGATTTGGGTGTCCCCACTAATTCGCCCTTGGAACATGACAGCCCCATCCTTGCGGAGACGGCCGACATCTCCCGTGCGATAGACTACCCTTCCATCCTTGGCGGCGAACTCTGCGGGAGCGAAGTAATTAGGCAGAAACTTGCTGCTGCTCAACTTCTCGTTGTTCAAGTAGCCCTTGGCAACACTGGGACCACCAATAACAATCTCCCCGGAGACACCAACGGGAACTGGATCAAGGTTGCGGTCAACGATGTACACTGAATAGTTTGGAAGCGGGACGCCAACAGGTATCTCAGGTGGAGTGGTCTCTGTAAGGGCGCCTCCGTAAGGAACCTCTGTCTTCGTGCAGGTGATGGTCTCTCCAGGGCCGTAGGAATTGTACAGCTTGAGGCCTGGCAGACGGAGCTCTTCAATCCCTTGTCGAAGTGCGTTTGTCATCAACTCACCCCCGCCCCAGGCGAACCGCCACTGGGAAGCTGTCTTGAGATATTCTGCCCCATAAGACAGCCAGCTTGTATACTCGGAAGGTGTCGCTCGGGTGTAGGTAATATCCTCGTTCAAAATGAGCTTGGCAATCTCAACAGGATCTCCGCGACTGGCTTTGGGAACAATGTAGACGGAGCCGCCGTTGACGAGACCACAGAGAATCTGATCAAGAGAGAAGTCGAAGGTGTAGGCACTTTGCTGCAGAACCTTCTCCGGGCCAATGTTGTACTGCTTCGTCAAGCCGAAAATGGTGTTCTTGAAAGCTGAGTGTCTCAGGATGATGCCCTTGGGTACGCCGGTCGAGCCACTCGTATAGAGCACCACTGCATCTGCCTCAAGTTTTGCTTTGCTTGGGGTGGTCTTGGGGCTAGGAGCGAGCCGCGAGACGTTGATCGCCCTGGCCTTTGAGTTCAGTTCAGGAACCATGTGTTCGGTGGCGTCGTGGCACAGGATGACGACCGGCTTGGCAGCGCCAGCGACAACGGCCAGTCGAGACAGGGAGCTCCGCAGGTCCATAGGAATATATGTGCCTCCTGCATGCCATATTCCAAGCAATGAGCACACCCATTCAGCGGTCGGCTCCTGGAAAACGGCGACTCGTGACCCAGACTTGACACCAGTCTTCGTGAGGATCTGGCTGATGGCATTAATGCGCTGCTGCATGGCAGAGTAGGTCAACTCGTTGCCAACTCCGTCCTTTGCTGCAACGCTCTCTGGATATTGAGCTGCCACCGCCATGATGCGGTGAGACAGAGTTTCAGGCCAATCCGGCGTCAATTGTGGTCCTATTTGGGATATGTCAGCGCTGTAGCCTCTTAGCAGCACTCGAGGGTCACAACTCACCACGACCAAGGATCTTGGCGCTTTCAATGTCCTCGACGCTCCAAAGTGGCACCTGATCGACCTTTGTGTCGAAGCTGGCGGCAAATGACTTGACGAGCCGCATGTAGCTATTGAACAGCAGTTCGGTGGCCGGCTTAGAGTATAGATATCTTTGCATTCTAAAAGTAACATGCATCGAAGTGCCAGCGACTTCATTGACATCAACAACCAGGTCGTAGCCATTGCGTCCCACGGAATGTGTTCCCACAGCCTCGCCTCCGAGAAGCTTCGGCTGCTCAGCATTGATTTGCCGGTAATCCATGAAGACCTGGAACAGCGGGCTGTGGCTCGCCGAGCGGGGTATATCCAATGTCTCGAGGAGTACATCGAAGGGTAGCTTAGAGTTCGCCAGTGCAGAGTACGCCTTATTGCGTGCCTCGAGGACGGAGTCCTTGAAAACCTCTCCCTTGGTTGACTTGAAGCGAAGAGGAAGGAGGTTCAGCAGGAAGCCAACCGTGCCGGTGACGGCGGCATCGGCGCGATTGGCATCGGCGACTCCGATGACCAAGTCGTCCGTGTCAAGGTGTCGGAACAAGAAGACCTTCAGCACGGCCAGGAAGAAGTGGAAGGTCGTGATCTTGTGGCGCTTGCACTGCGTCTTGATTTGGCGGACGAGGCGGACATCCAGTTCGCAGTTGGCTGGTTCGAAGTTGTAATTCGTTTGGTTCTCTGCCACACATTGTGTCAGTCGATGTACCTTGGGTGAAGTGATCTCGCAACTCACGTCTCTTGCTCCCATGAGCAACAGGAAACAACGGTAATGGCTCAGGGAAATCAGGGTACTCCCCTCTCCAGAATTCCATCTCCCCATTCATCTTCCCCTCTTCGACGGCTCTTCTCTGCCTCTCGGCAAACTCGCTGAATTGGCATGTAACAGGTGGAAGCAGTTCACCATCGTACATTTTGTTGATTTCTGACAAAAGAATATTGAATGAAAACCCGTCAATCGCGATATGGTGGAATCCAAATATCAAGTAATGTTTCGTATCCGATAGGGAAAGCAGTTTGATGCGGATCGACTCGCCGCGGTGGAGCTTGAAGATGTACTTCATCAACTCATCTGTCTCCTTCTCTACCTCATCTTCAGTCGTGATGCGCCGTTTCTCCAGCCTCAGCGGGCTGTTCTCCTCTGCGAGAACCCCTTGGGTAGGCTCATTGAGTCGGGCGGTGTCGGAGAAGAAAGCTGTGCGGAAGGCCTCGTGGCGCTGGCCTAAGCCGGCGATGGCTCGCTCCGCATCATGCTCGCGGATGCGTCCTGTGAATTGCAGTCGGCAGGTGAGATTGAAGGTGGTTGGGTCCTCTAGATACCGCATCAGAAACCAGAATCGAGAAGAGGCATAGGACATCTTTGTGGTCCGGGAAAATACCAACTGTGTTTCAGGAATTTCCACTTTCACCTCTTCTGCTTCATCTGATGCCTTGATGGGCTCCGAGTCAGTCATCGAGGTTTCTGTGTCCTTGTTCGTAGTCGCCTTGTCCTTTGTCTTCACATCCTCACTCTCGTCATCCGACAAGTGAGTCTCGGGCGTCTCAGCACCGGAATTCGAATCATCATGGCTGGAGACCGGAGACTCAGACCGAGTGGTCTCGTCCAGTGGTGACGGTAGTGAGCTTTCAACTACCTCTGCAACAGTTGGCGCTGTCTCTGTCGCTTGAGTCTGTTCTGGCAGACCTTGCACACCTGTCTGTTGCGCAGCTTGCTCTTCTTTTTCTTCTGCTGCCGCCTCAGTAGGAGCTTCACCTTGGCCCGCTGGCCCATCGGACCCGGCAGGTGTCTGGACAGCAACCCAAGAACCAGCGTCAGAACTATCCGAAGAATCATCAATACGATCCTCGTTAGGAGCCGGGCTATCCGAGGCCCCCAGATTCGTCTCCGCGTCAATGAGTTGCGTGAGTTCGCTGGAGTCACGAAAGGACTGATCGGCCTCAGTTATAACTGATGCGACGGCGGGCTCCTCTTTCTTCTCTTCTGCAGCAGCCTCCACAGGTGCCGCCTTGACGACATTGGGAATGAGATCGGGAGAAAGACGCTTGACAGCGTCCTCAACCAGGTCAGAGACGGTGGCACCGCCGAGAATTTTGAGCACAGGCATGTCGAGATCGAGCTCTTTTGTGAACCAAGTGCGCATGTCGACAGCGAGAAGGGAATCGACACCGAGTTCTACAATGGTCGTTTCGGGAGTGATTCCCTGCTCCTCAGGAGCCATATTCAGCCTCTGATAGAGAGTCATGAGAAGCCCGTCTGTCAGGTCACTCGAATTAGTAGGCGCGTAGATTCAAACAATGAGGCTGCCTTTGACTTACCGAGCAACAACTCGTAAACATCCTCCTCTTTGGTTAACTCTTTCAGCTTGTTTCTGACACTAATTGTGCCCTTACCTGAACCACCCGCATTTTGCTCCTGAGGCTTGACCAATCTCAACCAGGCGAAACGGGGCACATTGATCCACGCAGGCGGGCTGTCGTTGTTTTCGATATCAATTTGTTGAAGGCCCGCCGTGATCTCCGGGTTGCGGCCAGACTCAGGGCGGCCAGCCATTACGGCTTCGGAGAAGAATTGGTAGAATTCCCACTCATTGATGTTGGCGTAGCCGACAGATCGAAGCCTCTCGAGCTTGCTTGGATCACGATTCAGATATCCCAGACCAACGATGCCAGGCATGTTGATAACCGAGCCGACGAGGCCACGCTGGCGACGCCCCGCAATGAGCGAGCACATGAACGCGTTGGCTGCCGCGTAGGCAGTCTGGCCCATGTTACCCGACACCGATGCCAGCGAGGAGAAGCACATGAAGAAGTCCAGATCATTGTCCGTAAAGATTTCGTCCAAAAATCTAGTTCCGTCTACTTTGGGTCTCAGCGTCTCAAGGAAAACCTCGTGGCTCTGATTGGCGAATAGACTGTCCTTCAGTATCATAGCACCGTTAGCAACACCACCGATTGGCGGCATTTCTTTCTCAATCTGCTTGACGACAGCACGAATGGACTCGCGGGACGTCACGTCCATAGCGTAGGTCTTAACGATGGCGCCTTCGGCCTCGACGAGTTCCAACCATGCCTGCTCAATCTTGGGGTTTCGCGAGGACAGGGCGAGGTGACGAGCACCACGCTCTACCATCCAGCGAGTGAGGGCAAGACCGACTTCTCCTGTGAGGCCGATCATAAAGTATGTGCGGTCGGTGCGGAACTTGATCGACTGCTCGGCAGGGAGGACACGCACGGCCACGGACTCGTCCTGCTTCCAGTCAACGACCCGCAGGCCCTGGCGGTAAACATCCTTACCCGGGATGGCAGACAGCGCAACACTCTCCGTAAATATCTGGCTGTTGCTGGTCTTGACCAGGGACCGGGCATTATCCACTGCAAGCTTGAGAGTCTGTTTCACGACCTCGGCGTCATAAACCTGAGCCACAAAAGCACGAGCGCTGTACAACTCCGCACCGCTCCTCGACGTGCAACCGAGAGGCAGGTACTTCCTGATACGCGCGCCAACGCCCATAGACTCCTTGTTCTCAGAGAGGTCGACGAAGAGAGAGGCATCTTTGGGGAGCGATTGGGAGAGAACGCGGTCGGGGATCGATGGGTGGAAGTGCTTCACGCTGGGACAGGGGCTTGCCAAGGTGGATGTGAACGTCACCCTCTTTCCAGAGGCCTCGGAGCGGCGCTTGAGGACGTGAGCAACAGCGGCACTGGGCTCATGGGCGAGGACCGATTGGCTGTTGGTATTGAAAGAGAGGATTGAATCTGCCAGTAGCTCGGCGGCAGTGGCAACAAGCACAGCCTCCTCGTTGTCTTCCTCGTGCTCGGCGGCCCAGGCGTTTGGCACGGAGACGATGGATCGGTTACTTTCAGATAGCGACACAACCTTCTTGCCATCTTTGGTGGATCCTGCGACTACGTACAAGCAACCAAGTCCGGCGACAGAGACAGCGCTGAGGAGTGACTTGGTGACATGAATAGTGATCGTCTCCCCTGTGCCTTCCGTCTTTGCGAAGTCGAGCAGGTCATAAGAAGCACCAGAGCTGTTTATTTCAATGACGGCGTCTGAGGGCGTGACATCTTTGGTGATAAGTCGCCTCTCGGAATTCAGGCGGGTGTTGATGTCGATGGCGGGTAAATATCTTGGGATAAGCATCGTACCATTGTCAATCGACATCTCTCTCTCAAGCGTCCACAGGGGCTCATAGCTCTTTGCAAGGCCTTTACCCCATGCATCCGAAATCTGCAGCCGCAAAAGATTCTCGGCGATAGTCTCGGCATTGGGCTTCTCGCTGGCATCGAAATTGAGAAATTGCAGGCGAAGTGAAGGCATCTCGCCGACCAGGCAACGACCTGTTCCAACCATCATGTTCATGTAGGGCTCCTCACCACGACTGCCGGCGGTCACCCAGAGGATGTTACGTGAGTGGTCGCACAGGCGGACAATGGCTTGAAATTTCTCCAGGCTGAAATCTTTGAAGAGCAACTCGTCGAGCTCCATCAAGCTGAGGATGGTGGGCTGGGAGTTGATGGTCTCTTCGTCAATGTCGAGGATATTCTCGATGTTTTGGATTTCAGAGAAGAAGGGCCCAAGAGAAGCAGTAAGGCTCCGGACCAGACGAGAAGTCTGGACCTTCTGACCACCGAGGATGAGTAGCTTGTCGGTATAGGTGGCCTTGCCACTGAAAGCCATGGGCTCACGGATCATCTCCATCTGCTTGTCGACGGCCTGCGAGACCATGACGCTGAAGGGCACAAGGTATACCTTCTCCTCGGGAGTGGCAGTCTCGACGCCAGAAAAGCCGCTCTTGCGTAGGACGGTATCCCAATCCTTCTGCCCAACCAGGGGAGAATAGATACGGCCGTCCTCGCGACCAGCCCACCAACCCGGAAGACCACAGAAGCCGAAGCCGATTCGAAGTGGCTTGTTGTTGGTGACCTCGAGCAGGCACAGGTATCCACCAGGGCGGAGCAGCTTACGGACGTTCTTCAAAGTCGTCTCCAGGTGGGCCGTGGCATGGATGACGTTGCCTGCAATGATCAAGTCATAGGTGCCCTCTTCGAAGCCCTGCTCCTTGATGTCTTTCTCGGCATCCAGCGTCTTGAAGATCATCTTCTCCGCATTAGACTTGAACATCTCCTTGGCCTCCTCGAAAAAGGCAGCCGATATGTCAGTATAGGTGTACGTCGCAAATCCATCTTTGAGGCAGTCCAGCGTGGCGGCGGTCGAGGAGCCGGTACCGGCACCAATCTCAAGGATCCTCATGTTGTGGTGGCGATGCGAGATCTGCTTGACGAGCTTGCCAAGGTACATGTTATACTCCTTGTAGCCGTAATGCCCAAAGTAGAACTCGCTCAATTTGTCGTCCTTCCGGAATTCGTCGAGCATGGACAGCTCGCCACGGACAAAAGGCACAAGCATGTCGCCTATGAACACCAGTGTATGAAAATGAGGGTGGATCTTGGACCAATGCTCAAAGTCTTGCTTGATGTCGTCCCAGGTATCATCAAGCCACTCCTTCTTGCAGGTAGCATGCTTGCCCTCCAACGCAGTCTCGTGGACGAACTGCGCCCAATTAAGGATGCAGAGCTGATGCCAGTCGCACTTCTCGCGCTGCTCGGGAGTGATCTTCCGGTACAGCTGGTTCAGATAGTAGAAGCACATACGCTCACAGAGAGCAGCACCAGCGACCTCATCTTCCGTGAGAGCCCACTCCTTCCATCCCAGGGCGCCGTCGGGCTGTGCGATATCCCACAGGGTCTCGGCGAAAGTCTGTCTGTCGTCGGCGGCAGTGGGTTGTGTGAGAGGCGTGACATGAAGGCCCTCGACATAAATGGCGGCGTTTTTCCCATCCTCGGCGTAAATATCCACATCGCCAGTCATGCCATCTTCTGAGAGGGAAAGGGTCGCGTCGAAGGGCATTGGAATCTCCACACCAGAAGTGGACTGGCAGACATCAGGGTTGACAGCGATGCGGCTGATCAGAGTCGGGACGTGCAAAGTCCACAGACGCCCGTCACCAGGAGCTCCAATGGCAGCGAAGATGGACTGAAACGCAACATCCAAGGTGGCAGGATGGACAACCCAGGGGTGAGTGACAGAGTCGGGATCCCGGGCAATGGTCATCTCGCCGGACGCATGACCAGCGCTGCGCTTCATCTCAGTAATGCCATTGAACATTCCTGTGTAGCCATATCCAAGTTTGGCCAATTCCTTGTAGAAGAAGTCTGTGTCAACCGGCAAAAGGGGGATGTTCGACTCAGCACGCTCTGGAAGAGCTTCGCCAGACGGCTCACCCGTGGTCAGGCGGATCTGACCACTAGCCATTGAGACAAAGCCACCTGTCTCCTTGTTCTGGCAGGCATGAATAGAAAAGTCGGCCGTGATGGTATCTTCACACTTTTGCACGTTCGACATCACGTAGATAGTCTCCACACCCGTGTTGTCATCCATAAAAGACAAGGCCTTGTGGATGCTAAAGTTGAGCAGCTCCACCAGCTTCACCGTCTTCTCATAGTCAGACACGAGCTGCTTGGATGCTTCAAGAGCCATGACCGCGAAGCCCGCGGCAGGGAAAACGGTCTGGCCCTGGATTGCATGCCCCTTGAGCCAAGGCATCTCATTGGGCTTGATGTAGTTGCGCCATCTGAACTCGCCCTCACCCTCGTCAGTTGCACGAGCGCCTAGAAGCTCGTGCGTTGGATTCTCACGTAGCCGATGCGCCTTCGACAGACGAGTCTCGTTCCAGATGACCTTCTCGTGGTCCCAAGTGTAGCAGGGCAAGTCCTTGGATACAGTGTAGGTGGCGTCCTTGGCGAAGAGTCGATCGTAAGCCTTGAAGTCGACAGCAGAGCTGCCGAGGACTGTCCATACAGAGCCGAGAGTGCTTGAGAGGGCGGTCGAGTCGTTCATGCCGCGAGCCAGGGTGCCGAAGTATGGGACTGCGGCACCCCCGGCTTCTTCAATGGTCAGGCTGGCAGGGCCCTTCAGAGCCGCGTGGGGGCCGACTTCGAGAGCCAGGCCCGGGGTCCCAGTTCCCTTGACAGCGGCAGTCAAAGCCTGCGAAAATAGCACGGGCTGCAGCATATTGTCTTTCCAGTAGGCATTTCTCAGAAGCTCGGAATGCTCCATGGTGACTTGTTCACCGCCAAAAACGGAGGAATACCATGGGCATGCATTCTCACCAGGCTCATTGATCTGAATTCCACAGGCACCGAGGGCTTCCAGATAGTACGAGGAGCAGGCCTTCATGTGGCTGGAGTGATAGGCAGTGTCAACCTTCAGCTTGCGGGCAAACTTGGACTCATCCTCGAAGATCAGCTGGACAAAGTCAACAGCATCCTCATCACCCGAGATGGTGACACTGGCGGAGGAGTTGCTGGCCGCCAGCTGCACCCTGCCGTTGAGCTTGGGAAGACCGCACAGGTCGTTCGCGTCGTCCATAGAAGTTCCGGCGGCAATCATGGCACCGCTCTTGCCGTTCGGACCCTTGGCGAACTTGGTATACTTGCCACGATAGAAGGCAATGCGGATAGCATCACGAGCGGACAGGAAGCCAGCGGCGTAGGCGGCAGCAATCTCGCCTGATGAGTGACCAACAACGGCGCTGAAATCAAGGCCTGCAGCACGGAGCATGTCGACCACCATCACCTGCACGGCGGTGCAGAGGGGCTGTGAGATCTCACCAAGCGCGATGCGGGATGCCTCCTTGTCCGCGAGCAGCTCAGCCTTGAGCGACCACTCAGGCGCGTCGGGCAGCTCAGCAAGTGACTGCTCTAGCTTGTCAATGATAGCCTCGGCGGCGAAGGACGATGTCACAAGGTCACGGCCCATTGTCGCCCACTGAGCACCCTGTCCAGTGAAGACTCCGAGAATGGTACGACTAGTCTTGGCGTTGGCTCGAGTCGCGACAGGTTCCTTCTTCTCTCTGCTCTCTTCAAGCCTGGCCTCGATTGTTGAAACGAGCGCCTCAAGGGAGGGAGCAGCAAAAGTCGCGCGGAAGTTGAATGCCGTGCGCTTGGAGAGGGACCAGGACAGAGTACGGGCGTCGAAGTCGGGATATTCTTTGAGGAAAGATAGGTAGGCGTTCAGGAGCGACACCAGTGACCGCTCGGAGGCAGCGGAGAAGACAAACGGCATGGAGACGGGCAACTCCGTCTCGTCCGAGATTGGCTCTGGCGCGTCGTAGCTTTCAATGATGGCGTGGGCGTTGGCACCGCCAAAGCCGAAGCTGTTGACCGAGGCGCGGCGAGGGGTGCCTTCTGGGAGCTCCGGCCACTCTATAGCCTCGACAGGCACCTTCAGATTGCCGTAGTATGGCTCGATATCGGGGTTCAGTCGCATGAAATGCATGTTTGGTGGGATTGTCCTGTTCTGGATAGCCAGGGATGCCTTGAGGAGACCAGCGATACCCGCAGTGCCTTCGGTGTGACCGATGACCGTCTTGATAGATCCGACGTACAGGACATCGTTGTCATCCTCCTCGGTGTCTTCAGCAGCCTCGGGCCGCTCAGGGAAGAACGCACGGAAGATGGCGCCAGCTTCTTGGGGATCACCAGCTTTGGTGCCGGTGCCGTGGGCCTCAAAGTATTGGCAGCGATCCTCTTTCTTCAGAGGGTCCAGGCCGGCACGAGCATAGGTATCCGCGATGAGCATGCCCTGGGCGGAGGCACTTGGCATGGTGATACCAGGGGTACGACCGTCCTAATCCGGATGTTAGCACTCGAGACCAGTCAGCCTCCAGATGCGTATGATTGTGTACTAACCTGATTGATGCCGGTCTCACGGATCAAACACTCGATATGGTCGCCGTCACGAAGGGCAGCAGAGAGCGTCTTCAAAACAACGGCACCCACACCCTCGCCACGAGCATACCCATCGGCACCAGCATCCCACATACGAGAGCGGCCAGTGGGAGACAGCATGTTCAAGTTGCTCTCAGCGATGTACATAGCTATCTGTGTGTGAGCAAAAGCAACGAGACCAAGATGATGAAGCAAAAGGGGGACCGGGCAATTAAAAACTCACTGGGTCCAAAGATCAGGTTGGTGCCGGCAGCAATGGCAACAGGGCACTCGCCATTCCGCAAGACCTGAACAGCCTGGTGGACGGCAATGAGCGAGGAAGAGCAAGCCGTGTCGATGGTCATGGAAGGGCCGTGCCAGTTGAAGAAGTACGAGATGCGGTTGGAGATGATGCTCCGCGCAGAGCCAGTGGCAGCGTAGGTGGGAACATTCTCACCATCGCCATAGACGATCTGGGAGAAGTCGTCGCACATGACACCGACATAGGCGGCCGTTTTGGAACCAGAGAGAGACTCGATGCTTGAACCAGAGGCCTCGAGGGCCTCGTAGACGGTCTCCATCAGCAGGCGCTGTTGAGGATCGATGGCCTCGGCCTCGGAGGCGGAGATGCTGAAGAACTGGGCATCGAACACACGGGTGTCCTCGGCAAGAAGGTACGAGTCAAGAACGTTGCTGGCACCGTGATGGTGGCCATCCTTGTTGTACCAGTTGTCGGCCCGGAAGCGGTCGATCTTGCGGAGGACATCGCGGGGATCGGAGAGCAGGTCCCACAGCTTGGAGGGCCGGCTAGAATCGCCGGGGAAGCGGCATCCACTGCCGATGATGGCGATGGGCTCGTTCTTGTAGGAGGGCATCTTGAACGGTGTTGAAGACAAATCCAAGAGCTGCTCGCGGAGTGTAGGTTTGAGTGGTGTTGAGTCTGGTCTCGCAGTGGGATTTCAGGTGTATCTTGCACCTCTTGTTCACACGAAGAAGTCTGGCCGTCGATGTACTGAGCTGCCTTTCCGCCTGTGATCAAAGTAGTGGTGGCAAGAAGCTTTCCCGACAAGTATTTGACTGTCCAAGGCGTTGAGTCGATATGTTTCACGCAAAGGATAGTTGGATAACTGGTGCAGTACGTGGCGATGTAGGCCTATCCTTTTCTTCTTTTTCTTTCTTGTTGTTTATGGAAATATCGAGACTAGACACGCAACCGACGAGACTGAAGCAGAGACCGAAGCAAAAGGCCTGCAACAAAGAAGCGCGGGATGTGTGATAGAGCAAGGAGGAGCTGAGGCGATATTACACAGAGAGGACCGAGAGAGCTGGTGATGGGAGCATCCTGTAGGCAAGTGAGGGCGAGCATTGTACGACCTCATATATGGCAGCGGCAGTGGAGGGGGAAAGGGGACGGCGAGGAAGTGCAAGTGTGTACAAGCATGCAAACAGGAAAGCGCCTTTTCCGATTCTGGAGATCCTGACTGTTGACAGTCATGGCCAGCGACGCAGAGAGGGCGTACATCACCGAGTGGATGGGCAAGTGAGCCCGATTGCCCAGGCTAAAGGACAAGATGGCGCTGCAGCTTACCGGAAGGATTGGTCAGGGCAAAGGTGCTCCCGGAAGGCTACATGTGCGGTGATTACATTACTATGGCAGCTGGAGGCTTACCGGGCCCGGAAGTGAAGGAAGAGTCCTCGTAAGGTCCGGGTCCGGGTCAATGTCAATGTCAAGGACAAGGTCAAGGTCGACGGCAGCGTCTGTCAAGCAAAGGCTGAATGGAGAGGAGAGGCCAGCCCAAGCGCGGGTGGAGGAGGCTGTCATATCGACGGGGGTTAGCACCGAGCAGTGACAGATCCTCCAGGGCGCTTGGCTGAAGTGGGAAACAGGACATGAGGCTCATGACGGGAGACTGTGGAGAAAATTTGGGATGTGTGTGTCTGTGTGTAAAGGGATGGTGGCATGTGAGGGAGAAGGAAGATGGAGACGAGTGCCAGGCCGGATTGGGCGTGACTGGATGTGACAGGACGAGTACGGGACACGCGAGGGACATGAGGAACAGTCTGAGATGCTAGCCCGGTTGAGCTTGAAATTTGTGATGCTGCATTAGGGCGTGTGCGGGTAATGGCCATGGACGAGGCTGATGATGATGGTGGTTGGTGAGGGTGGTGAACCAGGGTCAAATTGAAGTTGAAGGGAAGGGGGAAAGGAGCAATTGGCACTGAAGAGGAGGAGCAGTCAGCCAGGGCAGGCTTGGAAGCTGATTGGCGGGGCTGACGCGAGAGCTGACTGCCTCGTCTCTCTCTCTCTCTCTCTCTCTCTGAATCTTTTCTCTACCATCACGGCGCTTACTGCTCATTGCCTAGTACTCACGAGACTCACCAGGGTCCAAACTTTGGTCCCTTGCGTCGGCATCCCACGCCCACGCCCATCTTGGTTCACGATGGACCAGGGTCTCCCACATACACCCTGTGCATCCTACCCGATCTGGCTCCAGACTGACCCCACACACCACACAGCACACGTGCGAGTCTATGCTTTAGTATTGTAGAGTTGTGTGCCTGCAGCTGGTTGACATGCATCAGCCACGTGGGAAATGGCCGTGGTGTTGTGGTGTAGCCAGGCACGTAACATGGCTACCTGGTCACCCACCAGGGCACCACTGTACCATACGTTTCGTGGGTCAGCCTGCAGAGAGCCTAGCTATGAGCCTACCCGAGTCATCAGTATGCCAAATTCAATTGTCCCATCGGCCATGCGAGGTGCCAATTGAGTGGCCATCACTGACATGGCTGGCGTGCGTGGTGAGTCCGTCATGGAGGGACTGAAGAGTAGGCACTATACCCTGCCATACTGACTGTATAAAGACTGGGCCTGATCTCTCTCTGCTCTTGTTTAATGGCTTCGGTTCCTTGAGGGCATCACCACCAACTACAGTGATGGCCAAGTCAGATGATCAGGACTGGACGAGACATTCGTGACATTCGTCGTGATTGGATAACGCCATCGTCTCAGAGACATAAGATCGGGGTGGATAGACACAATCCCACCGGCAGGATGGTGTAGAAGTTGTGGACAGTTGATCCATCCATCAATGACATGCATCCGCTTACTTAGAAGCGAAGGCGCGAGGCGAGACGAGGACAAGATAACGATAACGATTGAGACAAGGGACCAAGCCGTCAGCCAGCAGCCAGCAGCCATCCATCATCAGCCATCCATCAGCCATCTTGGCAGTGCTGGGTTCATTTTCCTCCGACTCGAGCTAGAGCTGGGGGCTAAAAGCCAAAAGAATGGCTATGATCAGCCAGCACTAGCCCCGGGTCAACCCCCCCAACCCCCCACTCGGCTCAACACAACCACTGCACACAACCCACCAGCTGCCTCAGCCAGTCTGCCAGTCTGCAGTCAGTCCCGCCCAGTCGGCCCAACCCCAAGCCGGCCTGCAATCCGTCCGTCCGTCCTTCTTGATCCTCCTGCCACTCTCCTCATACACCTCGTGCCTTTCATGCCTGCCAGCAAACTCGCTGGCTAGCTGGCTGGCTGGCTGGCTGGCTGGCTGGCCCATTGCAGCCACCACCTTGCTCGGATCAACTTCGACTGGACGATGGCTGCTGCCTCATTCTTCCAAGTATCAGTTTGTCCGCCATGTCGTGGCAGTGACAGAGGCACAGAGGATAAGAATGCTCGACCCTCCTCGTCGATGGAGGTGATGTTCGTGATGATGATACCTGCATGCTAACGCCCATCACTTGCTAACCATCACCACCACCACCACCTGGCACCCATCTACAAGACAATCACGCAAGCTATTAGAGCCAACACAACACAACACAACACACATAAGCCAACATGTCTTCAAGCCCCCAGACAATCCTCTTCCTCGGAGCCACAGGCGGCTCTGGCTTCAGCTGCCTGCGCCGCAGCATCGCAGCCGGCCACTCGTGTATCGCCCTCTGCCGCACGCCCTCGCGCCTGACCGACATGCTGCCCGAGTCACAGCGCCACGCCCCTAACTTGCGCATCGAGCAGGGCAACGTCGTGGACCGTGATACCCTCGCCAGGTGCCTGGTCCGCTCAGACCGCCCCGGCTCCCTCGTTGACGCCGTCGTCTACACCATTGGCGGCAAGTTTTCCTTCTCCAAAATGTCCAACGACGAGTTCCACGTCTGCGAGGACGGCATGAAGGCTCTCGTCGGCGCCCTGCACGACGCCCGCTCTCTCGCCGCCGCCACCGGCAGCCCCTTCATCGTCGCCATGAGCACCACCGGCATGTCCGCCCACGGCCGCGACTACCCCGCCTCGCTGTGGCCCATCTACGGCCTGATGCTGAAGCAGCCACACAAGGACAAGACCGCCATGGAGGCACTGCTGGTCGGGAGCGGCGAGGCCTTCACCATCGTGCGCGCGAGCCTGCTGACCAGCGCCGATGAGAGCAACAAGCCCATCCGCGTCGGCGTCGAGGACCCCAAGGCCCACAAGCTCGAGAGCAAGGAGGTCGGCTATACCATCTCGAGGGAGGATGTTGGCAAGTGGATCTTCGACAGTGTGCTTGCCAGCGACAGCGCCAGGTGGAAGGACAAGGTCGTGTCTATTACCTACTGAGCGCCCGCCGGCCATCCTTTGGCTGCTCCTACGCGCTTGGGACTCGCCAGGGACTGTCGTTTTCGTCGTTTTCGTCTTCAGCTTCTCATGAAATTGGTTTGCTACGTTGTTTGCCGTGTCTTCTTGTTTGCTATGTTTCGCACGGCTGGATGTCTCGTTTATGCGGATTCCCCCTCCCAGTTCCGGTTCTTTGCTGTTGCCACTGCTCCGCCATGTTAGTCCATATAGATAATTTGAAATTCAAGGTTAATGTTGAGAACTTCAACTGTCCCACAAAATTGAGCGCATCAAAAGCCGCATGACTGTATGGAGAGTCGAGCAAAAGTGACCAGCCAGGCAGACTGGTGGATCTTGGCCTCGTCTTGGGCCGTCTTGTCTCACCATCGCCATTTTTTTTGTGTGCTCTTGTGTCTCGATATGCGGTACAATATGACCTGTTGCACGTATATACGCAGGTGTCTACCACAAGTCTAGGCTATATGCGAGCGCATGTACATGCATGCGCCTGTCCTCTCGCCTCTCGCCTCTTGCCTCTTGCCATGCCAGCTGGCCCCCCCCCCCTGCACCCATGCGTTAATGCCCCCCTGGCCTCAGCCCCAGCCGTTCCAGGCGCCAAGAGCGCGGCTGTGAGGAGACAGACTACCCGGGTCCATGTAATCCACACAGGTAGATGGTACCCAGGAATTTGTTTGTCTACTTAGTGGACTACTGCAGCAGTCCAAACACCAACATCAACTCGCCAATCTCGCCCCGTCACATCACCACCACTTGTTTTCAACCAACCGCCCGTCTGCCGCAGGGGTCCCACCCTTCTCCGTTTGTCATTGGGCTGTGGCCCTGGTACAGACCCACGGACATCACCAACATCAGCCTCGGGGCTCACCAGGGACCAGCAGTTCGTCATGGCTGCCGCCGTCAAGATCAAGGTCAGTAAAGGGTCCGAGCGAGTGAGTGGCCTCAATATTTACCTTCCAGCATCTGTTGGTCAGCCCCTGCGGGAGCATGGAGCGATGTTTCAAGAACGAGTGAATGAATGCTCCCGAAGGGCTGACTCGTCGGATCTCCCAAACTCTATTCTGGAATAGGAGTGCGAGTGCATAATCACTGCCTGCAGGACTATTTATTTACTGGCCTCGCATCTCCTTCACTTGCAAAGCAGGGCGAAGCACAACATCTACTCCATAGATCAAGTGCCCGCCACCAGCAAAATTGATTGAAACCCATCCAGTCCTTTCTGATATTCCCACCCACCTCCTTCATTCTTTGATTCAGGAACCCGATAAAATCCCCCCAAGAATAAGCCGTGCCACTTGTTGGAGCACTCTCCACCCTCATCTCTCGTGCCCCCCTGCTTGTCTCTGGCTTGTCTGCCATACCAACCCGGGCATAATGCTCTCCACCCTCCTCACCACGGCGCTGGCCGCCACTACCGTTGCCGGCATGGGCACGGGTTTGAGATTTCGGCGACAGAATGCCTCGGACGCTGACGATGCGAAGAAGCTGATAGTTGGAGGTGGGCCTACCGGCATCGTTGCCGCCGCAGACTTCGATGGCGCCTCCTTCGACATCGTGGCCAATGACACCACTACCGGCACCTCGGCCAGCTGGATGCTGTTCAAGGAACCAAACCTCCTGTATGCTGTTGACGAGAACAGCAACAACACCAGGCTTTTCAACGTATGTCCTGCATTGTCCTTCTCCTCCCTTGGAAGCCGTCTCGCTAACACCCCGGGTCAGTTCGACCCTGCTACCAACAACCTGAAGCTGGTCCAGAATGCCGCTGGATCATCTGGAGTCGTCTACCTCGAGTTCAATCAGGACAAGACCGTCTTGGTGGGTGCTGCATTCGGCCAGGGTCAGGTCGATGTATGGGATGCCTCGGCACCTGATGGAACCCTAAAGGTATGTTTTTTGTACTTGGCTATCTTGTTCCCGCCCTGGCCACTGCGCCAATGTTTGGCGTGTCGCAGCTTTATTCTGATCGATCAACAGCTCCTCAAGCAAATTCCTGTCGGCGGTACTCCAGGCCCTGTCAAGGGACGTCAGGACAGCCCTCGTAAGCCCCCTGACCCTCTTATCCCCATGTTCTCACGACTTGGATTCCCGGTCCGCTTGCTTACATGTTGTACCCAGACCCTCATCAGGCCCTTCTTGACCCCAGTGGCCGCTTCTTCGTCGTCAACGACCTCGGCACCGACTCTATTATAGTCATTGATAGCCAGAACGACTTCAACCTCTCCAATCGTGTCACAGTTGACGCCGGTAACGGCCCTCGCCACGGCGCTTTCATTCCTGCTGGCGCCGACAAGGCTACTCACTACTTCCTGGCTTGCGAGATCACTTCGGTCGTCAAGGTCTTTGAGCTGACATACACCGGGGACAACCTCGAGTTCAAAGAGATCCAGTCCATTTCCACCTTTGGCGCCAACTTCCCACCCGCCAACGCTACCACGGCATCGGCTGGCGAGTTGGTGACTACCTCATGTGGCAAGCACCTATATGTTTCGAACCGCCTCACGGGCAACACTACCGACAGCATCTCCCACTTCTCCATCAACGTGGACAACGCAGCCGCGCCCCTCGCCTTTGTGGACCAGGTCAGCTCCGGCGGCCTGATTCCGCGCATGTTCTCTTTGGCTGCCGATGAAGGCGTCCTTTTGTCAACGAACCAGGATGGCGAGAACGCGTTGCTAGCTTTGGCCAGGGATGCGAACACGGGCAGTCTGACCGAGGCGCCCGTCGCCAGTCTCACCTTGGACAAGTTTGGAGGTGCCAATTTTGGGCCTCAATTTGTGATGGAGGTCGGTGCGCAGGAATGCAACTCTTAAGAGAGAGAGATCGGGCTCCCACGCCTGACATGGCCGGCATAGCATGGCGTTCCTGGCTGGCGTTTTAGAAGTCGATAGACAAGAAAAGTCGGAAGACTTGTGCTAATAGATAATATCTCCCGCGCGTGCACAAGCTCTCGGCTGATTTACGTGATATTCATGACGCTGCGTTAAAAAAGAACACATATCTAGGCAGACCAGGCATGCCCACGTGGTTTCGCCGTGAGACTCCCGGCAAGACAGATTAGGAAATCCCGTAGATGACCGTGGTGGAGAGTCAGGGGCACCGCCTGCAACGATGGTTTCCCATGCGACTAGCAGAGCAGCCTCCTAGACTCCCTGATCATGGGCGTCCCCTGTGGAGTCTAGTCTGTGATTCCTCAAGATTGTAGCTTCCAAATATGTCGCTGCCGGATAAGCTCATACGGCGAACATTAGTCTATTTGTCCTTCCAATTACCAAAGCCGTGCCGGTTTGCTAGCCGATGACGGAGCCGACCGCTGTTTGCCAAGCGCCGGCCGACCTTAAGACCGTGGCCGCCCTCACAACATCAAGCGCCGTGCCCGCACCTGGACAACCAGCGGCATTGATCCAGTCCTCGCCTCCGTTCCCAGCAGCAACGGACACAAAGTCTCCCGGTCGCTTCAGGTCTCCTGCGGGCATCACCTCCGGCACAGACTAACACACGCAAAGATGTCGCCCTACGCCCCCAAAGTAGGCGATGCCATCTCCGCCCTCGACACCCCCTCCATGATTGTGGACCTCGACCTGATGGAGGTCAACATCTCAAAGCTCATGGCCCAGCTCCTCCCCACCGGCGTCGACATCCGCCCACACCTCAAGACCACCAAGTCCGTCTCCCTTGCCCGTCGCCTCAACGCCGCCGGCGCCAAGGGCGGCTGTGTCGCCAAGCTCTCCGAGGCCGAGGTCATGTGCGCCCTGGGCTTCGACGACCTGCTCATCACCTGCGAGATTGTCGGCCCGGTCAAGGTGCGGAGGCTGGTCGACCTGTTCTCCCGCCACCGCAAGCTGAGGATCGTCGTGGACGACGCTGGCGCCGCGAGTGCCATCGACGATGCGCTGCAGGAGGCGGGCTTCACCGAGACCGACGCCATCATGACGCTGATTGACCTCGACGTCGGGCTGCACCGCACAGGTGTCAAGCCCGAGGGCGCCTCGGACCTGGCGAGGCATGTCGCCGGCTTGAACCACCTGCGGCTCATCGGCGTCCAGGGGTACGAGGGCCATCTGCAGCACGTGCACGGGCTCGAGGAGAGGAAGCGGCTGTGTCTTGAGAGTATGGCCATTCTCACCGGCACGGCCGAGAAGTTGCGGGCCCAAGGGCACAATATCGAGGTGGTAACCACCGGTGGGACTGGCACCGCCGAATTCTGCGTCACCATTCCCGGCGTCACCGAGGTGCAGCCTGGGAGCTTCTTGTTCATGGATACCGACTACCGCAATGCGGTCGGGTCCTTCTACGGCAACAGCCTGACCATTCTGTCAACTGTACTCAGCAAGCAGGGGCCGAGCACAGTGACCATCGACTCCGGGCTGAAGTCTTTAACAACGGACAGCGGTCTTGCCGAGGCCAAGGACAAGCGGTACACATATGGCGTCTTGGGGGATGAGCATGGAAGTTTGAGCTGGGAGCCTGGCACCCCCGAGCTGAACGTCGGTGATCGGGTAGAGATGATTCCTAGCCATATAGACCCGACTGTCAACCTACATGACCGCTACTATGCCTACAGGAAAGGTGTCATAGAAGAGGTATGGGAAGTTGATAGTAGAGGCAAAGTACAATAAAAAAATTAATAAATTGTTTATATTTCTTACAATAGTCATATTCAATTTTTAATTCACTTTAAAAGTGGTTTTCTAAAATTATAAAAGAAGTTATATAATAATTGTAAAATATATTGATTAACCCTTTTTAAATACTATAAATTATAGTACTTGTATAAATAGTAGTGTTAGCGTTTGTAGCTGCCTGATTGGTTTATTAAAGCTTACAGCTATAAATAGGCTTTAAAGGGATATAGCCTTTAGCTGCTTTTTAAAACCTAATAAGCAACTTATACCTAAATAAATACTAATATTCTAAACTATATATTATATTTAAATATATAACCTAGCTAATACTAATTAATAGTTATAAGGGCAATTATAAATAGCTAAATATTAAAAAAAACAGTCTATTACTTTAAAACTTATATACTATTAATATACACTTTTTATAAAGCAATTATACTAATATTTATTTACTTTTATAAACTTATATTTATTATAGATATTCTCTATTAATATTAATAAACCAATTATATAACTAGAAAGACTTAAATACTATTATTAAAGTATACTTTCCAGCTTAATTATCTTAAGCATTTATTACACTTTAAATAAACCTTAACTTTATAGCTTTAAACTTGTTATTTCTTCTTATTAATAAGTAAATTTACTATATTTTAGATAATACTATAATATATAAAAAAAAAAGCTACTACTTATATATATTTATTATATCTTTAATAGGTAACTTTTAATATAATTATATCTAATTTTTTTTACCTAACTTTTTTATTAATTATAAAAAACTTAGCTTTTTTATATAATATATAATACTTGCTTTCTACTTTACTATTTTACCTCTAATACTTTATTATTATTAACCCTTATTAATATTATAATAAAAAGTAGATCTAAATTTGCTTAAGCTGCTTAACTATTACTAGAGGAGCAGCTATTTATATATAGTTTATTATTTAATACTATATAAAATAATACCTACTTTAAACATTACTATATAAAGCAATTTAACCCTTTTTTTTAAGGAATGCCTTATTACAAATGTGACAGGAATAGAACCAGGGGAGCACTGTTAGTTCCCTAAAAGCGTAAATAAACCCTATAGGCTAGCAGGGCAAGCCTGGAAGGATTCGCTATATAATAAAAGCAGGTTATATAATAGAGTAAAAGGATAACTAAAATAATTAGAGTAATGCTTTATTTTAGATAATTTAAATAATCTAACGCTTTTATTACTTTAAGTAAGCAATACTTTAAATAAGCTATTTAAAATAATACTCTTATTGCTTTAGCTAAAAAAATAAATTATATAAATTATATTTATTATTAATAAATAGTATTAGCTTAAAATAGCTTTTTAATAATTAATTTAAATATTTACCTAAAATAGCTATAAAGCTTTTAATCTATTATTATTATATATTATTTAAAATATTACTATTTTAAATATTTTTTAAATATAAACTTATTTATTAAGTTTATTAGCTAAAAACTAGCTATAATTATTATATTTTAACTGCTTTTATTTAAATATTTTATATAAACCTTAAGCAATAACTTATATAGTTATTACTTTTACTTTAATATATTTTTTAGCTATATTTAAAAAAACTTTTAGTAAAAGCTAAATAATAATAACTTTAAACTTTTATAAGCTTAATACTTTAAAATAATTAAAAAAATTAAAAAACTTTATACTTATATTTAAAAACAGGCTAATTAAAATAATAAAATAAAAAAACTTAAAACTAAAGTTAAAATACTTTAAAACGCTACTAATATTATTAATACTTTAATTAAACTTAAGGAATTTATTAAGCTTACTAACCTAACCCTTTATAATAGTTCCCTAGGATAATTATAGGCCTACTTTACCTAAGTTAGGGCTTATTAGCGCTTTTATAGCTTTAATAATTAATTTAATAAAAAACAAGTTATATATATAGCTTTCTTTTTAAAAAAATAAGCTTTAATATAGTTTAAATTTTACTTTATAAACTTCTTTAAAAAAAATAAGTTTAAATAATATAAGTAAAAAACTTAAAATATTTTTAATAACTTTAAAAATTATAAACTTACCTTTAAATTACTTTTTTAAAACCTAAATAAGGAATAATAAATAAAAAAGAAACTTATAAAACTATACTAAAAGGAATTTACTATAATTTATACTATAAAGTTTTACTAAATTTATATTAAAGTTAATTATACTAATACTATAAAAATATTTATATTTTATAATAGGTTAAAAAATAAAGTAAAAAATAAACTATTTAAATTAAACTAATTAAATAATTTTATTTAATATATAAAATTAGTTATTTAAATTAATAATTAAATTTATAAATATAAATTTAAAAAAAAAGAATAAAATTTAATATATTTTTTTTACTAGTAAAATAAACTAAACTTTAAAAAACAGTATTAGCTATAAATAATAGCTAATAAATAATATTTAAGCCTAATAAAATTTAATACTGCTTAAAAAAAACTTAAAAAAAATATTAAATACTATAATTATAATAAAAAAAAACACTTTATATAAAATTACTAAAATAAAAAAAAGAATAATTAAAAACTAATATTAAAATAATAATAGGCTAACCTAGCTATTAAAGAACTTATAGAAAACTATATATTTATAAGCTAAATAGTATACTATAAAAATAACTATAATACATACTTTTTAAGCAAAAAAGTATTAAAATAGTTCCTAAAAGTATTTAAAAAATAAAAGATTTTTATAATAATAAAATAAAAGCTATTTATAATTATAATTAGTACTAACTAAATAGTATTTTTAAATTTAAAGGATTAAAATCCCTATAAGCAAATAAATAAGGCATTCCTTATAGCACTTAATATTAGTATTATTTAAATTGCAATCTTAAAATAAAATAAGAATATAGTAATATTAGTAATTTATAAAAAACTTTTTATACTATTATTAATATATTTTTTTAATAATAACCTTTAAATATACTATTAGTATTTAAATTATAAAAAAATTTTATAAGCTTTATATATTTTTAATAAATATAGGATATACTATATAAGTAAAATTAAGAAAGATTTTTTTTTTAAATAGCTAGATATAATAAAAATAGTAAGGCTTTATAAACAGAAAAAACTATAATACTAAAGTATTTAATAATACTTTTTAAATTAAAAATATATAATTTTTAAACTTTAAACAAACTACCTTTTATATTGCTTATAAAACCTTAAATTATAAAGGTACTGTTTATAAATTAATTATTAAATATATTTTAAACTAAAACTTTAGAATTAATATTAATACTATTAACCTAATATAGTTTTACTGCTTAATAAAAAAGATATAATACTAAAAGATTTTACTATTATAGTATAAGTATTAAAAGTAATAAAAAAGCTTATATAAAAAGCTATTTAATAAATTAAAAAAATCTTAGTAAAAAACTAAATAATAAAAAATAATTAAGGCTAAATTTAAATAAGCCTTAACTAGCTTTAACTAATATAAAAAGGTTTTTTTATATAATAAATACTAAAAAATATAAATATATAAAAATTATACTATAAATTAAATAATAACCCTTTATAATATTCTTAAATAGCAAAGTATAAAAAAACTTTATATTATTAATAATAGTAAACTAATATAAAATACTATAGCAATAAAAAACAGAATTCTATATATTTAGTACTATTAATAAATAAAAAGTACTTTATAAAAATAGAATTATTAATATAAAAACTAATTATTTACTAATTATCTTTAATAACTATAAGGAAATTATTTAGTTTAATATTATAAATATAATAAAATACAAAATTATATTAGAAATTTTATAACTTAAAAAGAGCAACCCTTAAATTAATTAAATTACTAGCTAAATTTATTAAAACTAACTAATAAATAGGAAAGTTAAAAATAAAGGAATAAATTTAGTTCTTAAAAATAGCTATAATACTAGCGCTTATATAAATTCATATAATAAACCTTTTTAAAAATAAAAAAAAAACTTAATTACTAAAGCAAAAATAGCTAACCCTTTAAATAAATTAAACAAATAATAATAGCACTTTAGTTTACTATAAACTAAAAAAAAAATAAAGCAGTTAGCCCAAGCAATATAATAGTAAATATAAAAAATATAAAAATAATAATATTTAATATATTATAAAATAATATAACTACTATTTAAAAAATTTATCTATTTTATATAATAATAAAAAAAAATAAATAACTTAAAATAAATCTTAAAAAAGTACTAAAAATACTTAAAGCTATTTTAAATAATACTTAATACTAAATTACTTAAATATAATTAATAAAACTATAAAATATTTTTAAAAAAAAAAAGTTACCCTAAGTTTTATAAGATTTATAACCTTAATAAAAAATAGCTTAAAACATTATAAAAATACTTTAATAATAACTTAAAAAAAAAATATATTTAACTATTTATATTACTTATAGGCTATTTTATTTTTTTTATACTTAAAAAAAATAAAAAGCTATACTTTTATATAAACTACTAATAGCTTAATAAAATTATAATTAAAAATTAATACCCTCTTTCGCTTATTAAAGAATTATATAATAGATTTTAAGGAATATAATAGTTTATAATATTAAATTTTAAAAGTACTTATAACTTTATTAAAATAAAATATAAAGAAAAATAAAAAACTGCTTTTAAAATAAAGTATAATTACTTTAAATATTTAGTTATACTTTTTAGCTTTATTAATATATTTACTTTTTTTTAAGCAATAATTAATAATATTTTATAGAAATACTTTAACTATTTTATAGTAGTTTATTTAAATAATATTTTAATCTTTTTAAAGATATTTAAGTAATATAAGCAGTATATATATTAAATTTTTTAAATTTTTTAAAATGCTAAACTTTTAATAAAACTAAAAAAAAGTTACTTTTATATATAAGAAATTAATTTTTTTAAATATATAATTTAATTAAGAAAAATTAAAATATAAGCTTTTAAAAT